AAGTTGCAAGTGGCAAGTGGAGAGGGGAAATACAAAACCGTTTAGACAATGGCCAGGCACGCAAATATTCCCGAAGCAGTGCAACATAAAGGCCGCAGCTGAAGATTATATTATTAGAATTGAACATGCAATCAGACAAGTGTTTTGTCCAAAGGAAAAATATGGAAAAAGGGAGAAATGAGACTGGAGGTATTATACCCTATATATCAGTTGAAGTAATATAGAAACATATAGATACTATTGTGTTATGGTGAACTGATAATTCTTAAACAGAATATGAATCCAGGCTGTTAAAATTATATAAACTATTTTCCTGTTAAGGATAATATATGTTTAGACCTTAAAATTTAACATAATTATATTTACAAAAAGTTTATTGGTCTGATAGTTTATTAGTCTGAATATATCTTAGGAAGAGCTAAATTATTAGTTTATAAAAAGGAATTTCAATTCTCATCATAACAAAATTTAATCATTAATAAAAACTTAACTTATCATAAAGTAATAATGTTTAATATCAGCACTTAGTACTCTTAATTTTAAGGATAAACACTAAGACAAGACTTTTGACAAGTTCCCAGAATTATCTATAATACCCTATGCCTAGTGTACTGGGAATCGTTTCCTGGTTGTGCCCAGATCTTGGCCAGGCTAATTGCCAGGCCATGAACATAAACATCGGCCAATGGCCGAGGGTGTCCGAGGTAGGAAATGGAGGGCTAGAACAGCAGAGACTTCCACCATGGTCATCGTCATCATGGGCGATTTATGATTGCATTTCCTGTGACTGCCACAGCACAGCACACTGCTACATCAGGCCAAAAACCGAAACGCGAATTGATCGGTCACCGTTGGTTTGTCGCCCATGGTGGTGGCACCATGGGACAAGTTAGCTGGCTGGCTGGCTAGCGGAAATGCCACCGCAGTTGCCGCTCTCATTGATATTCCATGGAGACGGATTAGCGACTACTTCGACCCTTGTCTAATAAGGTATTAATAAGTTTTTGCCTTGGCCAAGACCAGACAATTGCCGTTGCAATGCATTCTTTAAGCTGGCTTCTTTGTTGCTTGTTAGCCGCTTGCCGATTGTTTTTCTTTTCTTTTTTTCGATCGTGCTGCTGAATTTTAAATGCATGATTACCAATCCACACTGGGCAGCACTGATTTTATGGATTTGTGGGCTTGACTAACCATAAAGTGGAATTATTATTCTTAGAATGAAGAAATATTAATCGTTTTTGCCTATACTTAAATTATCGTAAACATATTTCTAGCATCTTGGCACATAAATTTGTCAATAATTAATCGATAAACAAGCTGGGAGAATCCTTATAATGATTTATTTTTTAAAACTGCCATATAAGTTATAGCCCTAGACTTGCATTTTTAAAATTTTCCTGCCTTATTAATAAATTTTAGTACTCAATTACGTGATAAAAGTTGTAGTATCACTAAGGGAAATGATCTGACAATTAAGGAGATGTAAAAAAATGGATACTAAATTAGTAATTTATTAAAAATTCCTCAAAGTTATAGTCTATAGTCTGGCAAGAATCCAATTAGTAGCAACTTAGGTTTACCAAAGATATTTTATCTTTCTCTACCATTTTTGCTGTCCAGTGTAATTGTGAGAAAATGAAACTGGCAATCTGACTGATGCAACAAGCTAAAATTAACGTATGAATGTCAGATTGCTGCTGTAGCTGTGGCTGTTGCTGATGGGTTGAAGTTTCTGTTGTGGCTGTTGCTAGTATTGCAACAAAGGTCAGCCAGCGCGTGCTGTTGCTGCTGCTGCCAGTTGCCAGTTGACGTGACCCGTTGTTGGTCCCAGCCAAGCCAAGCCAAGCCAAGTCGTTCTGGAAGTGATGTTGAGGCTAAGAGTGGTGATTAATCGGACACATGACAAAGATGCGTCAGGTTGTGGGAATCGTACGGAGTCTGCGACCTTAGCCGTAACTCCAACTGCTGCTTTTCAGATTCGCCATCGATTGGCAACCACTTGAGCTGGCTGGACTTGCAGTGGTCACTTGTGACACACTCGAACGGGCTACGTGAGATTGGGGAAATTGGATAGAGATGCAGAGAGACAGAGAGAGAGAGGGAGAGAGAGAGAGAGAGGAAGAGGGAGGGATGGGCATGGGGCAGGGATACCAGTACTGAGACTGCTGCAGATGCCAATCGAGAGATAACCGCACACCGATACAGGCACACACTCACACTGGCCTACAATTTCAATACAATATTTGAAATAATTGGCTACAAATCGTCATTGCAGTTGCTGTTGCTAGTTGCTGGTTGCAGTTTCTGCTGCCGTTCGTATGCCACAAATTGCAGTCGGCTTAAACTGCTGCTGCTGCTGCTGCTGCTGGCTGACCTACGACACCATCTCTCCTCCCCCAAAAAGCCGCCTCAAATTACTATTGATACTGATAGGAACTGCAACTGCAACAGCAACTTGCAACTGCCAGCAGCAACATCAGCGCAGCATCAGTAACTTTTGTTCTTGTTCTCTTAATGCGTTACGGTAAATATTTTTGTCTTCATTTTTACTGTTAAGATCGAGATGAAGTTGAGGCATCATTCCCTGACTCCTTCCTGTTGGTCAATGTTGCTGGTTGATAGTTGCTGCCGCCGCTGCTTGCTGCTACTGCTTGCTGCTTGCTGCTTGGACTCCAATTAGCCAAGCACTCCCCATGCAACACATGCGGGTTTTTATGGCTTAAAATAGTGGTGACGAACGAGGGGGTTTAGGGCCATCGAGGCTTGGCCAGGTGCCAAGAACTCAATCATTCCATTTGTTGAAACAATTGACGGTTGCTTAATGTGCAAAACGTGAGTCCAATTTGCATGGCAACAGCATTAGCTGCCAGCAACTAGCAACTATCAACTAGCAACTTGCAACAACCACAGCCACAGGCAACCTTCATTAGGGGAGATAAAAAGTATAAGTATTCTGCACCGAAAGATTTGTGCAGCATTTGATGTCGATTTATTTTAAATCGAAGTTGAACAATTTATTAAACTTTTGCCCATCTTAAGCTGGGGAGATCTTTAGAGATGAGAGCGTGTAAGGTAAGGAGAATCAGTTCCTAATGTTAAATGTACTTCTAAGATATTATTAAAATTAAGATACAAAAAAGATACTTATTTATACCAGCCTGGTGACCCCGATTCCGCTCCTCTATTCGTGTCACGCAGCCATCGCGTAGGACTCACGCTCTTTGGCGATGCCTCATCGTCGGCTGCCGCTGCTGCTCCATTGCATAGGTCACGTGTTCCGTCGTGTGTCTGGCCAAAATATCAGCAATTGAACTATAGACATTTTGGCCAAATGCAGTAAGCAGGCCAAAATGCCGCGATCCCGCTTTTTATTCGTTGTTCAGCAGGAGTGGAGTGAAGTGGAGTGGAGGAGTTGCAGTTGCAGGTCGGCGCATCTCGGCGCAAATGTCAAATGCAAATGCGAAAAGGCAAGAGTCTGCCTGGCACCTGCTAACTCTTGCATTTCTTTTTGCTAACAGCCAACAGTGTCAGTCATAATTAATACGCTTAATTTGAGTTACTTAGTCTGGGTCTCGCCTTGTGGTGGCTGTAAGTTCTCGGTGGCTTCATTAAAAAGCCATTAGTCGGAGATGTATTTCGCCGCCTATCATCCGTCGCCGCCGCCACCCTTGGCCACTTTCTAATTAGAAACTTTTCCTATGGAGAGCATAAATTTTCAGCAATGTTTGTTCAGTTTCCGATACAATCAAAGACAAGAGCCGAAGCTGAATGTTGAGTGTTAGTGTTCAGTGTGTCAAACAATTTAACTGCCTTTGGGACCCAAAGGCAAGTTTGCGTGGGAAATGCCGTCGATCGTCACGATCAAAAACGACGGCAACGAGGGGAAAACTTCACCAACGTCAACCATCAAGTACATGGAAAATGCAAAGTTGATTTTATCGCCGTCTCTAACTCGGTCTTTGGCTCTGTGTGTTACTGTCTTGGCCTAAACTGATTTGCCACTTGACAAATGAGTTGACTGCCACATGTGCAATTTGGAAAACAATCCACCCACTTTAGAGCCCCTTTTAGCTGCTCCCTGCCCCCCTCGCTGCAGCAATTTTCCTAGCTGGCCAATTTTCATCCAAGTCAGGCTAAAAGCAAAAACGAAACAGAGCGAGTCTAAACAAAAGAAATTCTGCCGCTTTTGACTTTGACAATTTGCGCATTGATTTAGAAAATAGCTCTTCCACTGAATTGGAGCGTACTCCATATGAAAATGACATGGAAAGCAGAGGAGAAAAGTGCAGCTGAGATGGGGTCAGGCTTTAAGACCGCTTGGGACTTACCCCAAAAATACCCTAAAAAAGAATTTTAAATTTAAATAATTTATAAAAGAAAAGCCATTAAATTATTTTGTGGGTATTGTAAAATTTAGTTCTATACTTTAAAGATAAAAATTCAGTAAAATATTTTTCTTAAACCTCGTTGTCTTGAGAATATACCCCTTGAAGGAGGGCATTGCCAGAGAAAAATTGGCCAGAAATTGAAGCTATCAAAAAGGAACTTGCCCAGTTAACCCAAGACAACGAGTTGGACTCAAACAGAGGCAAAGCGCAACGAAATTTCTGTTTCGGTAGTTTTTGTTTTTCATTTTTTTCAAAGATGGAGTTTTGGTGCAGGAAAAAAGTCATCATAGCCTGACCTTCATTGTTGTGTTGCTTCTAACATTTAAATTTGTTTTGCTTTTCCATTTTGTGTGCCGCTTTTGTTTTGGCTTCTTTTCGATTTCAACAGAAAACGTGCCAAATTTGGCTGCCAGTTGCACGTTGGCCCGAAAAAATTTAATACAGTTCAGCTGGGTTTGGCTTTGGCTCTAGCTTTGACCTGGTCTCCGGTCTTGGGGGCTATGGTCTCTTGTCTGGCAGCAAGCTCTTGACACACATCGGCCTTATCAGGGTCTTATCAGCTGGCAGAAGTTGAAAACTCAACCCGGAGGCAGTCGAAATCGAGGCGTTAATTCAGTCGGACGCAGCATCTCTCGGTGAAATGTTGGACATTCTGTTTCTTTGGCTTGTTACCCAGCTCTTTGGCCTTATTCAAGGGCGTTCTGTGGGCGGTGGATCAGGAAGCTTGGATGAGTGGCAGGAGGTGCATTTTCTCGTTTGATTTTTGCTTAATTGACATTCAATGTTTCTGTTTACTTATAGTTTTCGGCACCTCAGCCAGATTCCACAATCTTTATGTACAATCAAACTGATAAGCAACCCTGGGACTATACTTGGAATTAAATATGATTGTTAATAAGTAATTAAAGAAAACATAAACTTAATAGAAATGATTTCAGTTTTGTTTTAATAAAAATTTACTTGAAACATTTCCCGAATATATTTCTGAGTCGGAAGTAAAAAATGTTGTAAGGAAAATAAATTTATTTCGCCCTTTGATGTTCTCCTGAAGATCATTTTTTAAAATATTTAATTAAAATTACAAAATGTTAAACAACTTTTTTCTTAATTGACTTGAAAGTTGGTATTTTATTTTTAGCTTATTAAATTTTATTTAGTTTTAGTTTTAGTTTTAGTTTTAGTTCTCTAGAACCTAAAGGTGTACACTCCGCCGCCTCCAAATTGAGGTGGGCTGCTGCCATAACGTCCTCCAAGATGCTGGCCATACGATCCCGTGGCATCGAAGGAGTGGCGTCCATTAGGGCTCGTCCAAACAGGCACACGTGTATTAAGGCTAAGATCGAAACCCTGCTTTGGGCTGCCACCACCGCCGCCATTCAATTGGAATTGGCGACGCACCCTGGTTAAAGGAGCAACATCGAAGTTGGGAGAATACTGAAAAGAGTACTCTATTAATCCCAGCTCCTTGATAAGTAAATCGTGTTCTAATAACTTACAGCCAATGGTTCAGGTTGCAGATTCACAATCTCTCGGGGATCAGGATAGGGGTAGGCCAAGCCACTGGACAAGACACAGGCAAGACCCAAGCCAATAAACAGAAAACTGGAGGTAGAATGCATTTTGCTTTGATGAGACTTTGTCAACTGAATACGGCTAGAATCGAGCTCGGCTCTTATATAGCTCTGGTCGATGGCTTATCAATTATTGGCAGATGATTCCCCATCCGAGGGAATCCCATTCAAGACGACGGTTCAGTGGTTCACAAGTGGATCCCCACATCTCATTGATAAGGAGGATCCACGGACAGACAAAGTAAATCCCAGCCAGAAACAATGACTGCGAAGGTATTTGGATTGAAGAATTACAGCTGTTTAAGGGGGAGTACTTAGATCTATTGCCTCTAAGTAAGCAATATCTTGACTACTTTTCTAGCGAAAATATCTCAAAACATGAATATTAAATATTTGCAATTTATTTTTATATGCCTCATTTATAATAGTAACAAAGTTCTCATCAATAAATGAACTTTAAAGTTTAGAAAATTTACGTTTTAATAATATTTCAATATTGACTAATCTTTAATTGGAAAAATTTAATTTTATAATTCATATTTAATTCTAGTTTAAAATAAAGTAAATATTTTGTATGCCTTCTATATGTTTCTTAAAAAACCTTCTAACAAACATTTTATAAAAAGAGTTTCTTTTAAGCCTGCGAAGCCCCTTTAAAAGTATCAGAATTTTCTAAACTTCTAATCAATTTTTTCCATCTTAATTAAAATGTTAGATTAAACTTTTTAGTCTTCTACCATTTTCCTTTCTTTACGATGGCCTGATTTTGATGCATATAATAAATCTTCAGCTTAACTTAAACTCATTCCAGAGCAGACTTCATAAGACAACCTTCTTTTTTAATCACTTTTAATCTCTAACAACTCCACCTTCGGTTTCGCCATCATAAAGAATCTCTAACTTGAGATGACTTTCGCCAAAAGATGATTTCCTCCCAAGAAGAGAAAAATAATCAACCCACATGTTCCGATGCCCCGGGCAGAGTTTAGTTTCCCAAATCGATTCATCATTTCGCAAGGTCAACTCAATTTAGCTTTCCTTGGGTCAGTCAAATTAATGATGTGAAAAACTTCTGGTAATACCCAAATTTGGTTGTAAAAGAGTTTTAAAAACACAGAGCCTCTTCATGAATCATTTTTCAACTATTTAAGCGAATCTTGTTCGCTTTCATTTCGGGGGTATTGCGTAATATTTGAAGCTTTTGGGGTTAGGCTGCGGATGTTTGGCGGATGAACCGACGGCGGCATGATAAATTTTCATCGAAGGTTCTGTCGACAGTTTACGCAATAAATCCAATTAGCAAAAAACATTTTGTCTTGGCAGGTTTCATTAAGACCGCCTGTCATCGTAATTTGTTATTACCCAACCAAGATGGCCAAACAAGATGTATCAACAATTAGCCAAACTGCAAGATCATCTGTGACCCAGCCCCTCAGTGACTCTAGAAGTCTGCCTGAATGTTCCGGGTAAACAAACAACGTCAAGGACTTTGATGGCAATTGAGATAGAGAAATTATGGTCAGGTTTGCACATGCTTATATTTGGCAATATATTTCGCAATATTCTGAATATACAAAAGTTAAAATTTTAAAATACCTGACAAAAACTTCCATCTAGATAAGCAAACTGCGGACAGGTATACTTGTACATGTGATTAAATTTGGTAAATTATTATGCAAAAAGTGAATATGACGCTTAGAAATTCGGGAATCTGTAGGTGTAGGTAGTTCCGAATTTCCAGCTGGGATCTGAGTTTCCATATGGTCCTCCCAATCGCTGGCCATATTCTCCAGTCAGACCCACCTCGTGGCGTTTGTTGTCGCTGGTCCAGATATTCTCATGACCCTTCACACGAAAGCCGAACCCATCACCTCTCTGGCCACCTCCTTGTCCCTCAAGATTTAGCGGGTAAGATGGTGGTGGAGTGGGCTTCATTGTCATATCATCGGGCATCGGAAGGGCCAAAGTAGCTCCGATTGTGCAGCAGAGCAGGGCGAAGATTATGGTGTACTGCATCTTGTTTTCTGTAGATTGAAACGTTAGAATCCGTTGACTGATAATTCTGCTGCACTTTTTGAGCTCTTTTATAGGACAATCGACGGTCTGCTGAAAGGAATCCCCGATGCAATCTTATCTGCTCGCATTAACCTACGATTATTGTCCCATAATTGCATCAAAAGAGTCATCGCAGGTCATCGGAAAGGAATCCCCGATGCAACCTCAATTGCAACAGAAGACTTTCTCATTGACTGATAAAAATCTTTAAAAATGCTAACTAAAAGCAGAGTTTTAAAATTATTTTTATTTAAGTAAAATTTTGATTAAAAACAAAACTATTGAAATACAAATTTTCTTATTATAACTTCACAATGTATTTTAAAGAAGTTTCATCATAATTTTAAATTATTTCCCTTAAAGACAAAGAAACTTCGACAGTCGCTGAAATAATTTTAAATTGTCGCTGCAACAGCAACAACGGCAGATACAGAGCAACGTATGTAATCAAACAAAAATACAAATATCAATATTTAAAACGAATTAATTGATTAAAAGCCGAGGGCAAATGTGAACACGAATACAGTTTCCCAGCAGCAATCGAGTGAGGCGGCAGCAAAGTGAAATGTTGATACAATCCATATTTATGAATATATTGGCCATTATTTTGGTCTGTTGGGTGAGTGGACAATACTGCATAAGTTTTAAAAAGAACTTGAAAATGAAATATTTACTTTCCAGCTGGGACACGTCACTTCCCAATCATCAGCCGACGATCAAGAGCTTGAAATCGGTTCAAAAGGTGAGGGGCCGCCGCAGAAAGAAGAATTTCACTGGGACAATAATAACTACGATCTTGGAAATACTTATTGAATTTAATATTTTATGTTTATAACAAATATTTGTAATTATTTAAATAAATATATTATAACATGAGCTTTTCCTTATCAGTCATGCTATAATCACTAGATGCTTATTTATTATACTTTTTGGCTGTTTAAAAACACCACAATATGAATTTTTTTTAAGACAAATGTGTTTTTTATTTTATAAATGTAATGTGTTTAATATTTAATAATTTTTAAGGTACAAAAATATTGTTTTCTAATGATAAATAAGCTTTTAATATTTTACGAGACTTTACGAACACATATAACAAAATTTAGCTTGCCTACTTTTAGGCTGAGTGTAATTTTGTACTCGTGTAAAGTTTTATAGGGATTTATGAGTTTGACATCAAACAATTTTGGTTTATAGTGCTTCAAATATATTTTTAAGCAAATTGCAAAATCTTATAACGTTACTCGAAGTGGTAGCTCAGGACTATTAAAACGAGAGAGACATGTGTTACTGTTAAAAGAGGTTAAACGATTATAAAGAAAATAATTATAAGAAAACTTACCAGCTAAAGGCCAAACCGGAAGACAGGCACACGGAAAAAGCATGCTAATACAAATTCCGTAAACTAAACAATTTCGTTTCGACTAATTCAAAATAAGTAAAGAAGTATTTCAGATCATTTATTTTTTTTTTAAGAACAGAAAACTTCACCTCATTTAATGCCAAAAGAAGTAATATAGAAGATATTATTAGGCCAATCATTACGAACGTTATTCCGATGAAAACATCTTGGTTAATAGTTCCTTGAAAGGTGTGATATTGGAAATGTCTTTTCTGGTGACTAAGCGGATAATTTGCTAGATAAAAATATGGAAACATGAAATGGTAAATAATATAAGGATTAACTGACCATAACAATCCAAAATGTAGGCGTAGAACCCAAAACCGCTGATTAAGTTCCAAGAAGCCAAAATGGCGATGGCAAAGCAACGTTCATTTGATCGATTTGGCATAGTTTTTTCCGGGTTTATAAATAGTTGGTATTTTATGTGTTAAATAAAGTGAATCACTTTTGCCTGGCCTGCCCGAACGAAAATCAATTTAGCGTCAGGTTCAATGGACTTTTACGACAAGTGCGTGTCAGCTGGATGAAAAACTAATTGCAACGATTAAGACCACGCCCCCTCTCGAGGGTAAGGGTCGGGGGTTGCCATGGTTAGCCATTGTGCCAAACTTTGGCCGTAACTGGAGCACTCAATAAAATGGGAATTAGCCAGGCAGAGGCGGCATTAATGGTCTGCGATTTGGGTCCGGAATAGGAACCTCTCTCTATTTCCCCGGAGGTGGCAGCTTTGACACGCTTACCAAGTATCAATGCGATTTGTTTGTGGCACGCGAATAAAGTTTTATTCTTATTTTGGCTGCATTGCATCGGAAGTGAATTTGAGTCCTTTGACTGCGGCATGGTAATTGCGTTAATTTCGCTTGAATTACGTTTCACATCATTGTTTTTGCCACGGGGGCCACGCCTACTTTTCGCTGTTTTGCATGTTTGGCGGCACTTTTGTGGTTTTTCAAAGGTTTTCGTTGCTCCTTGAGTCCTTTGATAGTTGCATGTCGACAGCACGATTGTTTGCCTTACAATTTATACAAATTAATCCCGACTTGTGATGCACCTAGAAATACAAATTAATAAAAATTGAAATTTAGTTATAGGTAAAAATTGAAATTTTACTTCATTTTAAGATATTTTCTTATCAAAAAACAAGCATTTAGTTTTCATTAGGTTACTAAATAGCTTTTATAAGTTCTTATAAGCATTGCTCCTGAATATTTAATTTAACTTCACTTTTTTTCATTTATAAAGAATGTTCTTTCTTTTCTTTATTCAAATTTTCTCTCTGCATAACACGTACTTATGTATACCCGACTGCCGCCTGTCCAACCCTTTCATAGTTCATTGACTCTGCTATAAAATTACATGTATCAAAAACCTATAATTATATTTCATGGTTCTGAGTTCACTAATTGGCCTGTATAACGTCTATGACATCATCATCCTCCATGTCCAAGGAGCTAAAGGTGTCCTGCTCCTCGATTTTCATCCCATTGAAGAGCAAGATCACGGATTCAGGATACACGCCAGTTGCCTTGTAATATTTAAACTTGAGAAAACTGGACAAAGGTGCCTCCGTCAACACTTGAAACTGCAGCTTATGGGTATCAGAGGATTGCAGCCAAACTGTTTTGCTTTGATTGGCCATTAAAAGTGGTTAATATAAAACTATAATCGTATATATGTACATATATTCTGATAGTAGCCACGTGGCATACTGATCGGCCGACTTCATTCATTTCTAGCCTGCTTGCTTAGGCCACATCATCAGAAGGGCTGAGATTTATGATCAGTTGCCGGCGTAGCACTTACCAATAAATAAGTTCCAAGAGAGCTATGATAAGATAATGGTTGATTATAAGTAGCCGGGACTATTCCCAAGTCACCCTCACACTTGTCTCATGTACTTATGTGTGGGTCAGCCTATCTCGCTCTGAAATCAATGGACAGTGGGAAATCAAAGGTGCAGACGTGGGTACAGAAGTAACCCAGTAACCAATGCACCTTGGTCTTGGGTCATCAAAAAATAGATAAGATATATTCGGGGTACGTTGAAATGGCGAGAATCATGTTGATAAATTAAACAGTTTGAACATCTTTGTTAATTTCTTAAAGTAAGCTAATATAAAATTAATTCAAATATTTTTAACTACCAAAACAAAAACTGCCCAAATGAATTAACCTTTGAACCGTAAGCTCATACTGCCTGCCCAAACAATGATCCGAAATGGTCTGGCAGATCAAAGAGCAAGGTGACTGAGCATATTTTGAACCACTGTGCACGATAGCCAGCGCTATCTAAACGAATTTATAAATATTATACGAACATACTATACTTATACTATAACGGGGACAGCGAATTTCGTTGGAGCTTTGCGAGACAATTTGGGGAATGAGAAAATGCGCTGGCAGTCAGTTCTTTAGTGGCTTTCTGGGAGCACGGTCGTCTTACTCACTGATTCGGATAGGGAATCCATTTACCACTATCTCTGGTGAGGAGTTACCAAAGAGGCTCATTTAAATTCAAAACCAGTGGAAGCTAATTGCGTCTGTGGCCAGAATGAAGTGCCTGATAGTGTTTGGGCTGATTGTGGCCGTGTTCGGTGCTTTCGCGGGCTATGGCTACGTGGTATTCACGGATCTGACCAAACCACTGCCCAAGCCGGAGTTCAAGGACAATACCTTCTGGGGTCCTGGCGATGTCAAGGACTATGTGCCCGATGAGAAGATCTACGAGTTCAAGCTGCAAGTTCCACAAGCGGAGATTGATGATCTGAGAAAGGAACTCAACCGGACGCTTAAACTCACCGAACCGCTGGACGGGATCGCTTTTGAGTATGGATTTAACACCTATGCCCTGGAGCAGTTTGTGGACTACTGGCGGGACAAGTACCTGACCAAGTGGGATGAGCGCCAGGCGCTGTTCAACTCATTGAAGCAGTACACGACCGAAATTCAGGGGTGCGTTTAAAAGCTTATATTATGTAAATTATCTACTAAAAATTCCATCTCTCTGCAGTTTGAATATTCACTATATTCACGAGAAGGCCTCTGAGGAAGCTCAGGCCAAGAAGCATGTATATCCTCTGCTCCTGCTTCACGGCTGGCCAGGATCCGTTCGTGAGTTCTACGACTTTATACCTATGCTTACCAAGGAAACGAACATCACGGATTACGCTTTTGAGGTGGTGGCACCTTCCCTGGTGGGATACGGGTGGTCTGATGTGAGAATATATATATACCATATATATATCATATTATTAACTGAATTTCCCCAATTTACTATTTTAGGCAGCCACACGTCCCGGATTTAATGCCGCCGAAATGGCCACCGTGATGCGCAACTTGATGCTGCGCTTGGGTCACAAGAAGTTCTTCGTCCAGGGAGGAGATTGGGGCAGCATCATTGGCAGCAATCTGGCCACTCTCTACCCGGAGAATGTGATCGGCTACCATTCGAACATGTGTGTCCTGCACTCGCCACTGGCTATTCTAAAGGGAATCTACGCCAGCTTCTACCCGGAAAAGTACCTGCCTTCAAGATTCTTTGTGGATCATCACTTCCCCGTTTGGGACAAGTGGTTGGAGCTGCTGAAGGAGAGCGGTTACTTCCACATTCAAGCCACCAAGCCAGATACGATTGGAGCTGCTCTGACCTCCAGTCCTGTGGGTTTGGCCTCTTACATCCTGGAGAAGTTCCAAACTTGCACGAATCCTGGCCTGCAGCAAGATTTTGGCGCTATAGTCACTGTCTTTGGTCTGGAGGCTGTGCTGGACAACCTAATGGTCTACTACCTGACCAATTCAGCCACCACAGCGGCTCGTTTCTATTTGGAGAACGTGTCCAAGACCTACAGGGATCTGCAGTTGGATCGAGTGCAGAGTCCGGTTCCGATGGGCTGTGCCCGCTTCCGCTTCGATCTGCCCTCGGTGACCGACTGGCAGCTGAGGGACAAGTTCCCCAACCTAAAGCATTCGATGTACTTCCAGCAGGGTAGCCACTTTGCCGCCTTGGAGATGCCAGCCATGTTATACAATGACCTTACAGCCTTTGTTGTAAAGATTGGCCTGCACGGCGAGAAGCCAAAATAAATTGTTTCTTACTATTAATAGCAAATGATCTTTGTACTTTGGCTTTTGGGTTGCAAGGGACATAGCTTTTGTAATTTATAGCTTATGGGTCAAAATATTTGATTGGCGGCAATGAGTTTACGCCTGTCCATAAATTACATAAGCATCACTGATATAATGTAAATAGACTTTTTTAGATATCAAAAATAAGATTAAAGATTATTTTTTATTCCAGGATCAATGGACCTCAAATGTATGAACTAATCTGATTTGTTTATAAACACATTACACGATTTTAGTCCTTGTTGACTTGTTTAATTTGATATTTTCTAATCACAGACAAATTTTACGCTTAGTAAAGCAGAATTATTAACAGTTTTTAACAGTATAACTGTGTACTACAAAGTTTGTGGTCTTGATAGCTAATCAAATCTATATTCTTTATCATTCAAACAAAGTATACATAGTAAAGAGGCAGTGCTTACTCGGCATAGCAAACAAACAAAAACTCTTAGTCTTAACGGCCAATGTTTAAAATTAATATTTAAAAACAATGTAAACGAAACATATGTAGATCATATGGAGAATCTTGTTTATAATATTAATAAGACTTCAGGTTATACGACCTCCAAATAGACGCGAATTGTAAGCAATTAATTTAGAAATGTAACGCCATACTGCTGTCACTTAATACTATTGATTGTTTATTGACTTGTACATAAGGAAGCTTTTTCGTGTCGATAATTGAAATTATTTATTGTTTTTTTTTTAGTTCAATTCCATATACATACCTTATTTAATTCTAAGCATGAATCGTTTGTTCCTTACTTTGGCCAACTGATAAATGAAACTGGCTGATCATCTTCATTAGCTACATTTGAAAGCTTTCATCCATGATTTTGCTCTCCTTCAATTTGTTGTCAAAAGCTCTCCGAAATGTTCGTATAATTCGCCTAATAATGCTCGCATTGCATTGCAATTGAGAATAGGTTCCACAAGCCGGTTCCACATGCCGGCGAAAGCTTTCGTTTGCCGGTTGTTTGGTCTTTCAATATCATTTGTGTTCTGCGATCAGACGCGACCAGACGGGCAGCTGTCCCCAAATCCATAAAAAGTATATATAAAGAGAATATAGTATAACCACCATGGGGAATGTCTGGTTACGAATCTTTATTGGGGGCCTGACCATGCTGGCGGCCATTGGCTATAAGAACTATCGAGATCTTTCGGCTCCCGGCAAGAGACCCGATCTGGACAACAACGCTTACTGGGGTCCAACGCTGAAGGAATCTTATAAGGAGAATAAGGCTGTTCTACCCTTCGACATCAGCGTCAAGCCAGAGGTGAGTTTTAAAAGGTTTTTTAAGGGTTTAAAGAACAAAATACAACATTATCTATTTAATATATTCAGCCTAGATGAATATATGTCATCATGATAATAAAATATAAATATGAAAAATTATATATTGATCATGATGGTATGGAAAGTTGTTGAATAGATTTTATTTTCTATTGATATTTCGCATACAACTCCAATTATATTTCTCATCTTCTAGTTCTTTTAATCATACAAATTATTTCCTCAAAAGATAATTGAAGACCTCAAGAACCAGCTTAGTCGTCCTCTGAAGGCCCAGGAACCTTTGGAGGGTGTAGGTTTCCAGTACGGATTTAATGCCAAGGAATTGGCCAAGGTGGTGAAATACTGGCGCGATACTTATCTGGCCAAGTGGAGCGAACGCGAGCAGTTCCTTAAGAAGCTGGAACACTACCAAACCGAGATTCAGGGGTGAGTGGCGTAACACAAATGGCTATTCATGCATAATTAGTACCTGGCATGTGGACTTGCATTTGCCCTGCATTAACCCCCATTGCTAACACCGAATGTTTTCCATTTTTTGCAGTTTAAAAATTCACTTTATTCATGCAAAGCCAAGCCAGGTTAAAGGCCAGAAGCCCAAGAAGGTTCTTCCTCTGCTCCTGATGCACGGATGGCCGGGAACCGTTCGCGAATTCTACGATTTCATCCCACTTCTAACCACGCCCAGCGATAAGAGCGATTATGTCTTCGAGGTGATTGCACCCAGTCTGCCGGGCTATGGATGGTCTCAGGTTAGTAGTTTGAATTAATTTTGAATGATTACTGTCTTTCACTTAGAAAATAATATTAATGAATTATTAACTACATTTTAGCTAATTCATCATTATTTATAGTTTCTTAAATAGGAAACAATTCATATCCAATTTATTTTATAAACAATTCATTAATAAACAAATTTCAAATTCCAATTCCAGGGATCTTCAAAAACTGGATTTGGTGTGGCTCAAGTGGCCGTGGTGATGCGCAACCTAATGCTCCGAGTGGGATTCGAGAAGTTCCTGGTGCAGGGCGGCGATTGGGGTTCCATAATTGGATCCAATGTAGCTGGACTTTTTCCGGAGAACGTGCTGGGTTACCATTCGAACATGTGCGGGAACAACAGTCCATTAGGGCAGATAAAGACATTGTTGTCCTCGTTCTTCCCCAGCTGGTTTGTGGACAGCCAGTATGCGGATTTCTACAAAGGCTTGGGACACTTGTTCGGCACCATATTGGAGGAAATGGGTTATGCCCACATTCAGGCCTCCAAGCCAGACACCATCGGTAATGCCCTGATCGACAATCCAACGGGCCTGGCTAGCTACATACTGGAGAAGTTCTCTACATGGACGAATCCTGCATTTAGATCACTACCTGATGGCGGATTAACCAAGAGATTCACCTACGATCAGCTTTTGGATAATGTGATGATCTATTATGTGACCAATTCCATTACCACTTCCGTGCGCCTATATTCGGAGTCCATGATCAAATCACAGTTCGCTTTGGCCGTGGATTCGTTGCCCATCAAGGCCAAGGCTGGATGCACTCGTTTTGCCCATGAGATCGTGCACGTCCCCGATTCGGTTTTGGCCAACAAGTTTCCCAATCTTGTGCACAGCACCCACCATTCGGATGGCGGTCACTTCCCGGCTTTTGAGCTGCCCCAGCAGTTGTACGATGACTTCGTTAGCTTTGTCCAGAAGGCGAATTTTTCATAAAAGAAATTGATTGTATTTAGTTATAGTAACACATTGTATATTTTCATTATCTTCTTCAAAAGAAACAGAGAGGTCTTTTGCGAAAATTAAATCAAATCGGCTTGGTGATTGAATTTACCTTATCTGCTTTGAAAACCGAAAGTTAAGAAGTATTTTTGTTTGGGAAAAATGATAAGTTTTAGAGTGGTTTTGTGTTTGCTTTGTATGAGTATATGTACATAGATAAATCTAAGCTCGGAACGATATTACGTAACCTTAACAATGTTTCAGTATGCGACTTTTGAACACCCTTATAAATATATATATCGATTTTTGCTTAAAAAACTATTCAATAAAGAATATAAGCTTGTAAGCAAGTTCAAAATCAAAGGCGTAGTTCCAAATTAGAGAGTATCACTACCTAACCTGGAACCCCAGCTGCGTCGCGAAATAAACAATTTAGCCAGACAACCCCTTTACCTTCCTTTCGCTATACTCGTATATAGAACTCATACAACCCTCCGATCGTTCCCCCCAAAAAGCTTTAAACCAAAAATTTGAATGAAAGCTTTTTAAAGTAAATAAACAAACAAGCAGCGATTTACCAGAGTCATGCACGATTTCAAAAGCCGCTTCTTGGTCTTAGTATTGTCCAAAGTAAACCTGTTGATAAGCCTTAACTGATCAACTGTAGGGCGGTCACTCAAAGTCGCTTATCATCGTGAGCGGCGAAAACGAGAGCTGCGCCCGCATACGTTCCGTATCGTTGGAGTCAGAGCTGCAATCCCAGTCAGTCTGAGTGGAACCGCTGATAGGGAATGATGGGTGTCACGGTGAAAATTTTGGTCTTGATACTGGCCATTGGCGGTGGATTGGTCTATAAGAATGTTAGCCAATTGTGGGCAGATTTGCCTATTCCCCAGCTGGATCCTCAGGAGTGGTGGGGGGATGAAGCACAGCCCAAGGATTATGCCGCCTATTTAGCCAATAATTCGGAGGTGATTAACAATAAGCTGAGTTATCCGGAAAAGGTAAGTTATCAATTGCTTTGATCTTTAATTATTATATACATATATACGTATATACATATGTACGTATATTATCTACAGACCATTGATGACTTAAAAGAACGCCTCAATCGGACACTGCGTTTAACGCCTCCTCTTGAAGGCGTGGCTTTCGAGTATGGTTTCAATACGGATTACCTTAAGGAGGTCGTGGAATACTGGCGCGATGACTACCTGCCTCGTTGGCGGGAGCGCGAGGTGTTCCTTTGGCAGTTCAACCACTTCACCACCGATATTCAGGGGTGAGATAAGAGCGGTACTTATCATATCCACAGATAGTAACGACGAGGTTTGCTTACTGATTTTAAGGCTACGCATGCACTTCCTACACCTGATGGTTTATGATGACAACAAAGTTGGCAAGAAACACTATCCGGTGTTGCTACTCCACGGCTGGCCGGGATCGGTAAGAGAGTTTTACGACCTTATCCATTTGTTGCACCAATCCAACTTGGACAAGAACAACAAGTACATCTTCAACGTGGTGGTGCCCAGTTTACCAGGTTACGGCTGGTCGGAGGTGGGTTTCAGACTCGTTTTAATAACTCTTCATGGGATAATCCTTCTCTGACCTTGCAGGGCACTTCCAGAAAGGGCCTTGGACCCGCTCAGGTGGCTGTGATAATGAGGAATCTTATGCTGCGCTTGGGATACGACAAATTCTTCATCCAAGGAGGAGATTGGGGAAGCATAATTGGCAGCAACATTGCCACCTTGTACCCAGATAATGTCCTCGGCTATCACTCCAATTTGTGCAACAATCTAAGTCCCAAGTCATTGGTCAAGGGTTTGGTGGCTGGTGTTTGGCCCAGTTTGTTTGTGCCATCTGGCTTTGAGGACTTTTTCTTTCCAAAGTCAAATGAGTTTAAGTACCTAATGGAGGAGAGTGGCTACTTCCACATCCAAGCCACCAAGCCCGACACCATTGGCGCCACACTTACTGATAATCCCGTAGGATTGGCTGCCTATATCTTGGAGAAGTTCTCTACTTGGACTAATCCCAGCTACCGATCTCTGCGGGATGGAGGAATCACAAAGCGCTACAAAATGGACGCTCTGCTGGATAACCTGATGATCTACTATCTGACCAATTCGATCACCACATCCCAACGTCTGTACGCGGAGCAGTATGCCCAGGCTCAGCGGGATTTGCACCTGGAAAGGGTTCCCACGAAAGTGCCTACGGGATGCGCCCGGTTCAAGAGCGACATCATGCAGTTCCTGGACATCCAATTGCAGGATAAGTTCACGAACCTGGTGCACAGCACCTACCACCAAAAGGGCGGACACTTTGCCGCTTTGGAGGTGCCAAAAGTTCTCTACAAAGACTTCATAGATTTCGTCAAGACGGTGGAACAGAAATTTAGAATTAAGTCACTGTAGATCTGTATTTAATAAAAGGTTACTTCTTTTTCAAAAAGGAGTCGTTTTATATATTTACTTACATACACATGTGAATATATGTATATACATATATATATGTATATCGATAACTTAAAAATTGATCCAAGAGCCTAATAGAAATAATTCAATTTTTACTTTACTGTACACTTAATTACAAAAAGTGAATTGGTAAGGTAATTTTTATTAGGGTTTATTTTTATCTTTATCATAATAAATTCTGCAAGATTTATTCATCAATTTCATTTATAAATTTTAATTTATTATACATTTGTATTTGTTTATTATAATTTTAAAATAGTTCCTGTCACGCAGGAAAGTGAACTTAAATTTAACCATATATTAATATTTTTTAAGCTTAAGTGGGTACAAAATGATCTGAGGTATAAAAAAATACTAAAGGGTACACGATTTTTACAGACATATACACGTGCCTGATAACATCCCATCACTGATCCTGGAAGCATTGCAATCGAGAATCGAAGTTAAAGTAATTGCACAAATCACAGAAGTAGGAATAAAGGAAATTGTTAAAAAGTATTTTGTGTAAGAACCTGGCAGGACATAAAACTTATAGACTAAACTATTAAATCAATCAAACTATTATTAAACAAACATAAAAAAAAAATAAAGCTCTCAAAGGCGAAGAAACTAAAGAAGTAAAAAAATAAGTAACTGTAAAAGGGTGACATTTTCTTCTAAACCAAAAAGATGACCGACCTCAAGTTAACGGTTGCCCTAACCAGCGTTAATGGGGAGAATATGTCCAGGCACGAAATGCTCCAGTGGGTGAACAACATGGTCCAGGGTCACTTCAAGAAGATCGAGGAGCTCTGTTCTGGTAAGATCCCCAAAATGGTTACCCTTTTCAATATTAAATCTAATGATATCTTCAAGGTGCTGCCTACTGCCAGATGATGGAGATGATTTTCCCCAACTGCATCAACCTGAAGCGCGTAAAGATGACCGCCAAACTTGAGCACGAGTATCTCCACAATCTGAAGCTCTTCCAAGAAGCTTTCAATCGCTTGAAGTTAGACAAAACTGTACCGATCGATCGTCTAATCAAAGGACGCTTTCAGGATAATTTTGAGTTTTTGCAGTGGTTCAAGAAGTTCTTTGACTCACAAGCACCAGACTTGGAAAACATTAAGGCATTGGCCAATGCGCCGGTGATTAAACCCATTAAGCCTCGTGTTTTAGCCAAAGATCAATCGCCAGTCAACGCCAATGATGATGCTCTAAAGGATCTTATAGGTGAAATGCAGACCCTTAACTTGAGGAGAGATGATATCATGGAGGCCAGTAATCAGTGCTACAACAAGTTGCGCATAGTCGAGGATCTGGTAAACGACATGGTCAACAGCAACCAGCATGTGGAGCTATGTAAACGCATCCAGGCGGTGCTTTACAAAACGATAGATGGTGAGATCAACGAGGAACCCATTGGAGTTAATGATGATCCAAATGAAGGATTATATTAGGTTTTTTTTGCTGTAATATTGTTTTTTATAATTATTGTATTTTGTATAAAAATTCTCTGTATATTCATCCGTTGGAGTCATTATCTGATGAGGAGTAATCCCCCACCAAGCTAGGGGATTTTGTGTTTGAGGCTTTATCGGTTTCAGTTTTGTCAAGCTTCCTGCGTCGGATACCCAGATCTTGAAGTTGGAGCTGGCTATTTAGTGCTTTTTGCCGCTTGAGGCCACCGAATGTCGTGGTTGTTGCTCCTGGCAGTGCTGGACGCATTAGCAGCTCCAACCGCTGTTCAGATTCCCTTTCCAGAGCCGACCTGGTCTGCAGTTTCATCAAGGCTGCCATTTCTCTATCCTGACTAGTTTCCGGCAGGAGGGCAATGTCCAGACTGCTCTTGGCCAATAACTTGCGGTCTTGTTCCTGCTGACCCTTAATCTCTTGCTTCTGCTGACGGAATTCAGCTCGAAGGCGACAATTGGCCATGTAACTGTCATCCCAAACACTCATATTCCGCTCCACAAGCTTCTGAAGCACCGGCTTGGCATCTGCTCCTGCCTTGGCATCCTTTGCTTGGTGTTCCAGCTTGTACATAGCATCGTCAAAGAGTCGCTTCTGGACTTCCTTGGATTCAGGGACAACCTGCTCGTTCTGCAGGGGATCCCAGCGATTCTCCTGCCGTCTTGCACCAGAGAGTATAACATAGTCCAGATTGCCAGGATCAGTCTGAATCTCGAAATGATTGTCGCACAAGTGGCACTTCATTCGAAACTTGAAAACAGGCGTAGTGTAGTACATTCCCACCTTGGTCTTCTCAGCATTGTAGCGCACACCCATACCGATGTGGTTCTTGCATCCATCGCACCAGATGTTGTAGGGCATCTCAAAGCGGATGATGATGATCCCCAGATGAATCTTACGGGCACGTTCCCGCAGGGCATGGGTGCCCTGGAATTTATTGAGGCCGCCCTTCTTCGGGTCATAGTCAGGCGGGTAGTACTTGTTTTGACCTTTTCGTTCGCCCATCTTTTAGGTATTAATTAAAAGCTTCATATGTAGACTTTTGTTGTTTTGTGACTGCAAAGAAAATCAGCTGTTTTATAAACGCCAGTGGTGGAACTATCGATTAATGCAGAAGATCTAGAAGTAAACAAAAATAAATATGCTGAAATCGTTGACATCTATATATTCATGAAAAACATTTTCAGTAATACTTTTTAAACTTTTTGAAATAAAAAAGTTTTCATTCTTCCGTCTATTATTGACTTATAAGTAAAACCAAACAACTTTCAGTGCTACCTTCAGCACCGATGAATAGCTGAAAAACGGCTAGAAACAGCAAAAAAGACCAAAGACCACCAAACTAATCGATAACAACACCGACGGTGTGACAGCTTTTCCGATCGACCCATCACCAAAATAGTAGTTTCTCGTGGGCAATCATAATTTGGTTGTTTTATTAAACCTTTTTGCCACGTAAATTGAATTAGAAGTAGCCCCCGATCTCGGCAAAATGATTATATATACGAACGAGGGCAATCCGCTGGGACTGCAGCTGCTGATGCTGGCCAAATTCGCTAAGCGACCGGTGCAGGTGCAGTTGGTTAACCTAAATGGTGAGTTATTTCTTGGATTCCAAATAAATACTTTGAAAATGCACTCCAGTGACTCATTTCTGATGCAATTACTATTGATAATTGCAGATGCCAAGTACAGGGATTTGCTGATTTTGCCCACTTTGGAACTGGACAACGGATTACGCCTGTTCTCGCCAGCGGCTATTGCCAAGTATCTTCTTGTGGATGAGGGGCAGCGGCGCGATGAGGTAGGTCTCCCAAAAATGTCTTATTAGGCCATGACCCCTGAAGGTTAAACTAATTTGTTGGTGCTTCCCTGCAGTGGCTGGAGTGGTCTGCCACGTTGCTGGCTCCGGCTTTGTCACACCACATGGCCGTGGGTCACAAGGCGGATGCGAATGCTCTTCCTGTGCTTAATGCCCTTGTGAAGAAGCTTAATGACAGCTTAAAATCCTCGCCCTTCCTGGCTGGTGACAAACTCACTGCTGCTGACATCGCCGTTTGGTCGCTCCTGGCGCCAGAGGGCACTCTAAAAGGGGCACAGAATGTGGATAGCTTAAGGGATTGGTACGGCAGAGTAAAGTCCCTTCCAGAAGTGGAAGAGGTCCTGGCCGAACAACCGTTGAAGAATCTCAGTTTCAATTCGCTGCAGCAGTCAAATCGATATGGTGGACTGCATCATGTGCCATTGAAACGTCTCAGTTTGGCTGATGCGGGCAAACTGCTGGTGGATACCACTCCAACTGTGGCGGATACTGTTACGGATGAGGAGATAAGCGCGGCACGAGCTGCCTTTGTTTACACAGCTCCTAAGGAAATTAAAGAGGAACGCACTGTTCTTCCTAAGGCCGGCGAACGAAACGTATTGGTTACCTCAGCTCTTCCCTACGTTAACAACGTGCCCCATTTGGGTAATATCATTGGTTGTGTACTGTCTGCGGATATCTATGCCCGCTATTCGCGTTCCGCTGGTTACAATACATTGCTGATTTCCGGCACGGATGAGTACGGTACCGCCACGGAAAATAAGGCATTGGCGGAGAACCTCACTCCCCGAGAGATCTGTGACAAGTACTTCGAACTACATAACGCCATATACCGCTGGTTCGGCATTGGCTTTGATTACTTTGGTCGCACCACCGCCCAGGAACAAACAGAGTGAGTTTTGTGTGCTTAAACTAAGACTTCTTAGTAGAAAATAATTTCTTTTTAATAGTATTGTGCAGGAGGCATTCAAGGATGTCCTCAAAAATGGCTACATCATCACAGAGAGCGTCGAGCAGCTGCTTTGCCAGAAATGCGATCGTTTCCTAGCTGATAGGTTAGTTTACATGTTATAACGATTTCAACTTAATCTGACTAGTAATTCTCTTCAAGATTTGTGGAGGGTACATGTCCACATCCTGGCTGTGGCTACGAGGATGCCCGTGGGGATCAATGCGACAAGTGCGGGAAGCTGGTAAATGCTACTGAGCTAATCCGTCCCAGATGTAAGGTGTGCAATAGCGCCCCGGTACTGCGTTCCTCCGATCAGTTGTTCATCGATCTGCCAAAGGCGGAACCACAGCTCAAGGAATGGGTTGACAAGTCGGAGGGAGGATGGACTCATAACGCGAAGGTAATAACTAGGGCCTGGCTTAAAGAAGGTCTCAAGCCGCGTTGCATTACCCGCGACCTTAAGTGGGGAATCCCCGTACCCCACGAGGGCTTCGAAAATAAGGTTTTCTACGTGTGGTTCGATGCTCCATTTGGATACGTGTCCATGACCAAGCATTACACCAAGGAGTATCAACAGTGGTGGCAGCCAGACAAGGGCACAGAAGTCGAGCTCTTCCAGTTTATGGCCAAAGACAACGTGCCTTTCCACTCAGTGGTGTGGCCGAGTGTTTTACTGGCCATCAACAAGGGACACACGTTGGTTTCCCACATTATGGCCACTGAGTATCTAAACTATGAGGACGGCAAGTTCAGCAAGAGTCGTGGTATTGGTGTCTTTGGCAATGATGCACAGGAAACTGGAATTCCAGCTGATGTGTGGCGTTTCTATTTGGCTTCTGCCAGACCCGAAGGACAGGATTCCAGTTTCAGTTGGAACGATCTGGCTGCTCGCAACAACTCAGAGCTGCTGAACAATTTGGGAAACTTTGTGAACCGTGCTTTGGTCTTCTGTGAAAAGAACTTCGATAGCACTGTTCCCGAAGTGGTAATCACTCAGGACGAACTTGTGTTATTGGCTTTAATTAACCGTGAACTTCGTGGTTATATCAACTCCCTGGAAAAGGCCAAGCTGCGCGACGGCATTCGTCATCTACTGGCTATTTCCCGACACGGCAATGGGTACATGCAAATCCAGCAGCCGTGGGTGCTGCTTAAGGGTACTGAAGACCAAAAGAAGCGAGCATCTACCATTATTGGTCTGTGTGTCAACATTGCTTGCCTCTTGGCAAATCTACTCTTCCCTTTCATGCCAACCACAGCTAGAACTCTTTTCGGTCAGCTCAATGCCAAACAAACGCCGCTCAATGCAGAGTAAGTGCCTCTAAAAAAAATGTATTTGAGCTTCTCCTAATCCTTCATTTTATTGCAGGAAACCGCTTGCTACTTTGCTCCTCACAGCTGGTCACAAAATCGGCAAACCAGTTCCACTCTTTGCTAAATTGGAACAATCCTTTATTGACGAGCTTAAAGGCAAGTACGGCGGAGCTCAGAACACAAAGGCCGCTGCTCAAAGTCAAACCAGCTCTGCAGATATGGAGCAAGCTGTCCAGGCTCAGGCAGATAAAGTGCGTGAACTAAAGGCGAGCACAAAAGACAAAACTGTGTGGCAACCAGAGGTGACAAAACTGCTGGAACTCAAAAAAAAACTGGAGGAAGCAAAGAAGACTGCGACTAACGTCACTCCCATCGCCGCTCCTGCTGCCTCAAACGGGTCACAGTCAGTCAAAGATTTGGAAAAGGCAATCCAGGAGCAGGGTGACAAAGTACGCAAGCTGAAGGGCAGCACAAAAGACAAAACTATTTGGCAACCAGAGGTTAATGTACTCCTAGACCTCAAGAAGCAATTGGAAGCGGCTCAAAAGGCAGCAAAGACAGCTCCTGCCGCCGGAGCACCTGCTTCTTCATCCGCCTCCCCTGCAGATGCTTCCCAAGTCAAGGCATTAGAAGACAAAATCGCTCAGCAGGCTGAAAAGGTCAGAACTCTGAAAGCATCAGGCGATGCCTCCGTATGGAAGCCGGAAGTTGATATTCTGTTGTCCTTGAAAAACGAATTGGCGTCGCTGACTGGACAACCAGCCGCCGGTGGACAGGGAAAAAGCAAGAAAAAGAAGTAGGCCTTGAACCCTCGTATTTTATAACTAACAACCACGATGGACATTTTTACCTCAACTCTTCTAATCACGCATTCGATGGCAAATCTTTAGTCTCGAACTGACACAGTTCTTTTCATTTCTTAAGTTATGCTTTTGCATTTAAAAACCCTTTGTATTTATTTGAAGTATGGCTAAATATTCAGTTAGTAATTTATTGAGTTTGTGAAGAAAATATTAAACCCATTGACTTTTAAAATTGAATTTTGAATTTCGATTTAATAAAAAAAAAAAACTGGTTATCGATAACATGACTTATCGGTGTGTCATAAACTGAATTCTGTTATCATGGTAAGTGTTAAAATTTCATTTGTTTGAATTGGTAGTTCATTCCTTTTTAAAATTAAGTTTTCAATGCTTGTGTTAAAATAGTTTGCAGTTTGTAAAAAAAACCGATTTATTATCGCGGCTTAGGAATACGTGGGAAGAAGTCACGGTAATCAATCATTGGTCCATCGCTAGCAAGTTACAGCAAAAAATTTGCTTTGCCATGTAAATGCAACACAAAAACAAAAGTGCAATATTAAACAATGTGAAATGTGTTAAAACTTAAAAACTTTTGCTGCGGTAAGGGTGGAGTAATTAGAAAGTATTAAGTGTCTTGTAAAAAGTGAAAATGACAAATGAACGACAACAATGTGTGTCTGTCCCGTCACGAGCCCTTCGACCCCCGCCCCTATCACTTTCATGAAAACAGCAGAATATTCGTCATCAGCTGGTCCTCTCTTTTTTTGCTCTTTTCGTTCCCGTACATTTAACTGCACTTTGCTGACGAGAGAGAGCGAGAGCTAGAGCAGATATTTATTCAGAAGTTAACAAAATTTTGTTCCTGCCACGCGACATTAGTCTCTGCCCGATATTGCATCTAATATAGTTCACATTTAATATTGGGTCAATTGACTGACCACCAATTAAGTGACGAATCACTCAGAGAAAAGAATCCCCAGTTGTTCACAGGTGCTACGCCTGCCACACACCTTAAATATGCAACCCATTCAAATTTAAGTGAAAAAAAACAGCCAAGTATGTGTGGGAGTTGGAATTCAAGGACACAGCAGTTGAGGGCAACAAGTGTTTGCTAATTGATTGCCATTGATTATTCGCAGAGCTCTGCCACACACGAAACCATCAGTAAAAAATCATCCAAATCAAGCGAAAACCAAGATTTAGAGCCAGCAGAGCCACTGGCAAAAGACGTCGCCATGGAATCCGCGGACGCACTCGTCGAGGAGCAGAAGCTCATGGCCGAGGCCAAGTACCGCACTTATATGACCAATATAGACAAGGCGCTGCGCAATTTCGAGTACTCCAGCGAATGGGCGGATTTGATATCGGCACTAGGCAAACTCAGCAAGGTACAGCTCCCTTTGTGGCAATCTGAAAAAAAGCCTGGGGCAACTGACTCATAGTAGTTTCCGGGGACTACATTGATCCCAAACTCTTATCTCGAAATTTTTTTTTGATTTAATTTCCCCTCCCTTCTCGACAGGCGATATCGAGCAATACGCAGTACCAGGTCATACCCCGGCGACTGAAGATAGCCAAGCGACTGGCCCAATGCATGCATCCCGCCTTGCCTTCCGGGGTGCATCTGAAGGCCCTCGAGACCTATTCGGTGATATTCAGCAAAACAGGGCCGGAGCGCCTGGCCACGGAGTTTATATACAGGTCAGTGGGCCAGATAACCCAAATTGTTGTTTAACTTATGTGCTATTTTCTTCCCGCAGTGCTGGGCTATTCCCGCTCCTTGGTTACGCGGCCATGAATGTGCGTCCAGCCTTGCTAGCGATCTATGAAACCCATTTCGTACCCCTGGGTGACAAACTGCGGCCCGCTCTTAGTGGTTTCCTAAATGGCGTCCTACCTGGCTACGACTGTGGTCTGGATCACTTCGAGCGTATTAGCGCTCTTCTGAAACAAGTGTGCAATGCAGTCAATCCAATGCACTTTTACACAGTGCTTTGGGAGTCGGTGGCTAACAATGCGGCTATTCGACTGCCAGCCATCACCTACCTGCTTGAGCACTTTAACAAGCGATTGGATATGCAGGAGCAAATCTATATTATGGGGCACAATAGGGAGATCATGATGTCGGCCCTGTGTGTCTGCCTCAACGATTCGTTGATCCTGGTGCAGCGAAATACACTGGAATTCCTTCTGCTCGGCTTTCCCATGCACACGGCTCTGCTATCCGAGGATGACTTAGTTAAACTTGTCACTAATGGCCTCAATACCATACTCCGCAGAGACATGTCGTTGAATAGGAGATTGTTCAGCTGGCTATTGGGCAGCGAAGTGGCCAAAAACTCGCCAACATATGACACCCTATCGTTGGACACCTCAAACGCTCCTTTGGATGAGGAACCAGAACCATATTTCGTTCAACACTCGCGACATATTCTAATCAAAGCTTTAATCACCACTTTACGATTGAGTTTGGAGTGTGCTCCCATGGACCTAAAGCCCTACAGGATAATGCTATCCCTTCTCGACAAGGTGGAAATTGGAAGTGCAGTACTGGATTACGTTCTCCATGACATTATTCGAGCTATGTACATTTCGAGTGGCAATGCGGAGGCTTTAAAATCAGCCAACCTGCTATTTGCCACCTTCGATCCAGCTTATATTTGGAGCTACATGACCAACATGTTTGACAGAGCCTGTCAGCAGGAGAACTCCAAGCAGGAGAAGAAACAAGCTGCGGATACCTCTGGGAAATACGCATGCGAGGTGGGATCCGGAGATCCCTGTGTTCTTGAGATTTGTGTTCTGACAGAATTCCTTTTGGAAACCGTTTCTCTTGAGATGTACACAGAAACCACAAGGGTGTATCTTCCCAAGGTATTCCTGGCCATAACTCAGCTTCTTTCCCTACACATGGATCACATTAGTAGCAACGAGATAACTTCGTCATTGAAACTCTGCATGAAGATCGTCTCGAGGGTGCAGCCCATGATAACGTAAGCGAAAAACAAAAAACAAAGAAGTATCAGGCGATCCTTTATTAACCTTATCTCTTTGTTAATTTCACAGAAGTCCCATAAAACTGAATAAGCTGATAGAGCAAAGCGGTGGCTCGTCGTCGGATGAAAAGATTACGGTAAACTCAGCGAGTGAGACCGGAAAGGTAGAGCCTGGAGCTCAGGGTAGTTCCCTAGAGAAGAGCAAGTCTGATTCTCGGCTTAATCAATTTGCGGAGAACGCGCTGCACAGCAAGGATCCCAACGATGAAGAGCTTATCCGGCGCTCAGCCTCCAATCAGAGCGTGGGTCGTCAAAGTCCCAGCAAAAAGAAGGCCAAGTCAATTTCTCGACTTTCAGAGTTGGATAAGGACGTGAGTTACTTTAATAGAAAATGGAGAATTTGTATTAATCAAGTCTTGAATACAGATCAGCGCCTCGGACACAGGTCAGCAATCATCTTCCGACCTTGATACCCCGCGGAGCATTAAGAAACTCAAAGCCAAGGCTAAGGTCCCATTTATCCGAAGCCCCAAAAAGCAGCGACCCAAGGACATTGTTCTGATACAATCCAATGATTCGGCAGAAATGGGAGATGGACCTAGCTCAGAAGAACCGAAGAGTGCTCCACCTAATCAGTCGCCTCAGTTTCAGTTGGATGAGGAAAGCCGAGCCACTCAACAGCGCGGATTCTCTATTTTGGAGAAGTGCATCCGTCAGTACGAAATCTTCTTTGAGGTTTACTTGGCCCGTAAACTGCTTAATATTGAATCGGATCCAAATGAATGCGCAGTGAAAGTTCAGCTACAGCGAACCACGAGCACCATCCAATCATCCAACCTTTTTATGGCAGAGCAGGTGTTGGAACATGAGTGTCCCGTGAGGGAGTCACAAATCGAGCGTTTGTTTAACTTGCTGCGCGTGGACATTGTGCCGCGTTCCAAGCAGCTGCAGGGGTTACTCAACCGATCCCTGCCGCTGCCCGCTAGTGCTAGTGAGCTTAGCAGTGACAGTGAAGCGCAGGAAGAAAAGCAACCTAGCCTGCTTATCGATGAACAAACCCAGCGAAGTGTACAGCAGCTAGCCGAGCTCCAGTTGAGCCTTCCTCTCCGTGGAGCTGTTAAGCTGGCGGCCACACTTCTGGTGGAGATGTCGACCTTCCCCAACTGCAATAAAAACGTTATTCTTGATAAAAACGGTGAGTAAACCAAAACGTCTAAAAGGAAAACGTTATTCATGGTTACTTTCTTTATTACATTTAGAGCCTGAGTTGCCCAACTGGTTGAAGGTTCTTTGCTTGGTTGCCTGCTTTGCCCAGAGCGATAAGGAGCTACAGGTAGCCTCCATTACCACACTTTTTGATTTGATAAGGTGAGTGGAAATCAAATATTATTTCTAAGAAACGTTTAACTTTACATTGTCTTTCAGTCTACTACGATCGCAAATCGAGCATACGACTAGTCCAGGAGTAACCTTCGTTGTAATGCTGCCGCTTCTCAAGTTTGGTCATGTAAGCTACATGGAGCAGCACACGCGCGTCTTCCAATTGGTGAGCTCCATTTTGTGGGATTACCTAGGAGCAACAGGCATAGATCCTGCCCAAATTGCAGCGCTACTTCATCAGCTGCACAGTTGCCTGGAAAGTGGTTTGGTGGAAACCGTCATTGGAAATAGAATGCAGGCGCAACATTTGCTTCAAATACAGCCACAATCTCGTACAGAATTGGGAAAAACTGCTTTACGCAACTTCCAAATGGAACGCTTGTCGGATGCCCAGCTTCTCTGTCCCACGGAGTCCACTGAACGATTAAGAGAAAGTCAGGCCCGGAGCTTCAAGAAGTTCGAGCTACTGTGGCACCTCGGCAGAGATAAACAGACTACAAGAGGATTTGAGAAAACGCTACTTAAAGTGCTGGACACCCTCGCATTACCACATTACATGTCCGAGCGTACTTTTGTGACCAACTGGCTGCAGGCGTCTCTGCTTCGAGGAGATCTTGCTCGCCTGACAAAGCCTCTCTACAAGATTCTACTCTCAGCCAGCTCCAAGCGGGTAGGAATCGTCCACATGCAGCAGTTGTACAGAGAAGCTGATACCGAGGCTACACCTGCCTTTGAGCGGGATGTGTATGCCATCAGTTCGGAGCAGGGCAACGTAAAATACCACCACATGGAGACATCTAGTGGTGGTAAAAAAAAGAGTCCAATCAGAAACTTTCCAAAAAAGATCTTTGGAGTTACATTGAGTGGCGGAAAAGCCAACAAAGTGTCAAATTTTGTGAGCGACAAATCTACTGTAGCTGCTTGTACTGAGGCAACGCAGGATGTGAACACCATCGGCCTAATAATCAATCCATTAGAAAATGCTAACGATTTTGACGACGAAACGGATCTGGAAGAGCCGAGGATTGAGATCCCGCATAAGGAGACGCCCCTGGAGCAGAAACTAGCCAGTGCAATGGACGAGAGCGAACAAACTTCACAGGAGCATCCAACCCATCAGCCTGATCAAAGCCTCCAATATGACCAGGATATTACAGACCATTCTGACAGCAGCGACTTTGAGTCGGATTCTGAACTTCGCGAAACGAGCTTGGAAAAGGAAGACAGTCTCACGGTTAGTTCTAGTGCTGGAGTCAGTGATGATGTCAAGCGCTTTGTGGGTGACTGCGAAAGTGTTACCGAAGCGTTGACTCAGCACGAAAAGATCAAGAGCCGCAAGTTCTATCGATTGACCAGAGAGAAAACACCAGGAGAAACCAGTCTTAACTCTCTAGAACAGAAGGATCATGATAGCATTCCTGATCTGCAGGCAGATGCGCTTCCAGCGGATGAATATTTTAAAGAAGACAAGAAGCTGGGCAAGCGAAAGAAGCTGTTGACAGCTGGCGACAAAAAACGTCTCAGTTGCATTTCGAAGACTTCCACGGACAGCAACATTAGTGGTTCCCATGCAGAACAACCAGAGCAGGAGGAAGAAACGGAACCAGCAACCGAATCCACCATCAATGTGGAGGACAAACGACGTAATCTCAGTTTGGAGACGAGCAAACTGCAGCCTGATATGCAGAAAACTCTTGAGAAGGGGAAACAAAATGTGGAGATACTGAGGCAGAATAATGCAGCTGCTGCTGCGGCAGCCGCAGCGGCGACGGCAGAAGAGCAGACCAGTCTGCGGAGCTCTGTAAAGAGCACCGTTTCCCTAACGGATGCGGCACACCTGTACCACAATCACCTCCTGATTTACCTTGCAATTTACGATACCCGACAGACCTTGTATGCCTTGCAGACGCTTCGAAACATTATCTGCAGCGATCGTCGAACCTTCCTTTGCCTCTCAATAACCACATCCTTTTCAAGTGCAAGTCTGAAACAGCTGCTCGTGAGGCATCGCAAGAGTATATCTGGCAAAGGTTTTGATGGTGGAGTGGGCAGCTCTGAGTATGCTCAAGGGTATCGGGGTTGCATGCAACTGGAGCTGCTGGTCACGATCTGTTTGTTCTACGCACGCGGTTACTTCCAGAAAGAATCTTTGGATGCCCAGCGACAGCCGCCAACGCTCCAGGACATTGTAAACAATAGAAGGATCCAGCTTGAGAGCATTGAACTGCTGACCCTGATCTGCTCGGAACTTATAGAAATCGTCAAGGGCATGGGCAAAGGACTAGCCAACTATATCGCCGATTTGTTGGCACGCGCCAAGCTGCAGAAGGTGATGCTCCACTGCCTGAATAGCTCCGTGTGCAGTTATGGTCGTAGAGCCAACTCTAACAGCGGAAGTTATGCGGAGCAGGTGCTCAGCTTCAATGATCCTCAGGATGATCAGTTGCATGCGGACTGCTTCCAGCTTCAGCTGCTGCGTTTGCTCTTGGCTGTAATTCGACTGGAGCATGAGGTTCACCAATTGCGCCAGGACACACCGCCCGCTGCTGGCGAGGACTCGGCGGGGAATGCGTCGCCCACTCGCTTAGCAGATGGTGCGACTACAAATGTAAAGTATCTTCCTAACTGTCTAATAAGTCAGCAACCCATGTTCCTGGCCGCTGTGTTGGGTGCACTGCAGCAGGAAAGATTGCGGCATTTGCACCGCAACTGGACGGATTTGGTGACCTCCTCGCTCAATTGTTTTTCCTTTGGCTCACTCACGAACATTGTGATCAGCGTAGTGCATCAATTATGCAGTAATCTGGACCGCCTCTCCAAGCTGGGTTTACCTCAGCAGCGACACTTCCCCCCGGATTACGTAGTATCCCAACTGGAGGCACTTACCATCTTGTGCCACTACTGCTTACTAGACAATACGCAGCAAACTGCGCTCTCACACCTGTTTAATCAAGCTTACCCGCAGACCAGTTCATCGGCTCAGAGCTCTAGCACTGGTCAGTTGCTCAACAGTATCGTGCATTCCTTCCTGTCGGCCAGCGAATCCTCCACTTCAGCGCCGGCTCCAAGGAATCCACAACTGCAGGCTGCTCGCAATGCCGTTCTCTCTCATCTTCCTAGGATCATGAGCAGCGTGGCTGCCATATGGGATAGCGAGCTAGGACAATTGCGCCCTGTTCGCCAGCAGCTTCTTGAGTTCCTATCGCCAGTGTCACTACATCATGGCTGCAACTTCCTGGCTGCCGTGGCCGTCACCTGGCAGCAGCGCGGAATCGCATCAAACATGAGCGGACTGAGCATCGCGGAGCAGTTTCAGAGAAACTCCAGCTTACAAGCGTGTCCCGCTCAGCTGTCGCTAGTTTCACTAGTGTCTAGCATCCGTGTAATGCCCATGGACTCCTTCGTGATGACACTACACCACGTAGTACGATCTCCTCCACCAATCCATCGACCACCTGCACAGCTCAGCATTGAGGTGAGTTCTCTGGAGCTCTTCTACTTCTATATGAGATCTGCTCCAGCACCTCAGTTAGCGGATGCCTGGAGCTCTCTGCTGGCTCTCATCCGGGATGGTTTGAATCTGACACCACCGGCCCAGTTTGCTTTACTGATGCTCTTGAACGAGTTTGTCCAGCGCTGCCCGCAGATGCCATTCCAGGATAAGAAAGAGGTGCGAGAACTGCACGATGTGACCTCTCGATTGGTGGACTCTCTTTCCAGCGTGGCTGGATCTTGTCTAGAGCAAACTACCTGGCTGCGTCGTAACCTGGCTGTAAAGGAAGACACCGATGGGTTGGCCAAAGATAACAGCGTTGGAGGTGGAGGTCTCCAGCAATATTCTCTGCAGGCCCAGAGCGTTCTGGCGGCTATACTCTCAAATCTTCTGGACGTGGCATACGGTTCCCAGGAGAAGGACAAGGTGGTCAACATAGTGACACCGCTGCTATATAATATCACACCGTATTTAAAGAACCACACTGCAAGGAATGTTCCCTTTTTCTATGCCTGCTCCGCTCTACTGGCCAGCTTGAGTGGCTACCAGTACACTAGAAAAGCGTGGCGAAAAGATATGCTAGACCTTTTGCTGGACAACGCCTTCTTCCAAATGCATCTCTCGTGCCTGCCCTTCTGGCGCATGATTATGGACAGCCTTATGACCTACGACAATACCACGTTCCGGGAGCTGATGACCCGAGTCTCACTCTCGCAGGCGGGCAGTCTGAACATCTTTACATCGCGTGACCAGGAGTATGAGCAACGGGCTATGCTACTAAAGCGGCTCGCATTCGTCATATACTGTAGCGAGTTCGACCAACACAACAAGTACATGCCGGACATTCAGGGTATGTTGAAAAGGGTCAATATTTGGGTATTTTTTATTTGAAAGAAAGTTTTTCTTTTGAATGGGACTTAATTGAGTCAGCAAATAAAAGCTTAATTGTTAGTTATTGCTGAGTGGGTGTACTTATGAAATTAATTGTCGTAAACAAAAACTTTTTTATATTCCCTTAGAGCAACTGGCTAACAGTCTTCGACTGGTTCCCATGGGCCCTTCAGTGCAGGCCGCCGTTTTCCTGTGCTTCCGAGTGCTGCTCCTTCGCATGTCACCTGACCACGTTACATCGCTGTGGCCTATAATCATTGCTGAAATGGTGCAAGTGTTTCTGCAAATGGAACAGGAACTCAAATCGGAAAGCGAAGAGAGAAAGTAAGTAAAGCCACCCAATTAAGCATACCATCTAGTTAATTAAACCATTTTTTACATTCATTTTTCAGCGTACAAATGCGTATGCCTTCAGGGATTGATGTATCCTGGTCATCTGCTGCTGGAGCTAGCAATGGCTACAACTCTCAAACTCCCATGCAGCATTGGCGTTCTGTGCAGCTAGAGGCCTGCAAGCTCCTGGAATTGGGCTGTGTGCTTCCAGCCACTAAGCTACCACATTTTCAGATGTATCGTTGGGCCTTTGTGGGCACTGAGTTCGATGTACATGAGGAGGAGGTGCGCCTGCCAAATGGAAGTTCAGAGAATCTGGCAACCTTGCCCAGCGCTCTGTATGTGCCGCATGTGAGGCGCGTGGCTAGGCTGATGGACATGAAATACACCAGCCAGTCGCCGGTAAGTTGTTATCACTACTTGCTCTATCTCTACCCCCCTAACCAATGTTTGGATCACTTTCAGATACTTCAACGTCCTAGTAATAGGCATCTAATGTTGCATTTCCAGCAACTGCAATCGCTTCAGGAATTGTACGCCTTTTTCACTACGCTGGGAATCAGTTGCCCTCAGCCCCGTAACTTCGCCGACACGGAAAATGATGTAGCTAACTGCCTGCAGGAGATCGAGGAGGTGCTAGCCAACGATTTTCTGGAGAAGCTGCCCAGCATAACCACGCCGAGATGAAAACCAGCCGTTGCCCACCGGCAGACACAATCGCAGATCCAAGCAAATGGGTCACAGTTCGAGCTCAAGTTGAATCTGAATCTGGGTATGGAGTCTGCCATGGAGCCGGGCAGCAGTGGCCAAGCTGCCCGCATCCTGGCCGCCGTGCAGGCCAAGCTAACCAGCCAAAATGCCGAGACGAGCTTTACGCATACCCAAAACATCAATAACAGCAGCAACAATAAGAAGACCAACTTTCCATTTTATGTTTAAGTAAGAAGATGAACGAGAAGGTGATGCCGAGTATGATAGCTAGCTATATAGATAGAAAACTGGGTCGAGTATATAATTGTCCGTAGTGATCGATCGTTTTAAATGTTGAGTGTTTAAAAAATGCGGTAGCCCAATAGCTAATAGCACCCAATATGTATATGTAACCAATGTATTTAACTGTTGATAGTTGCTCCCCGAGTCGATGTGAATAAGAGATGTGTTTAACGACAAACTGCAATCAAAAAAAAAAATCGCCTTTTATTGCAAACGCTAAGCTGAGAAGAGTTCGGGATTTCGCCGATAAATAATCTAGATTCAACGGACTAAACCACATTCAGGGCACGGGGTGGTTTGCTGGCTTCGTTGTTCTTCAACTGGAGATAGAAGGAGTAAACAATTCGTGCGCTGAAGGCGATAATTACTGAAAGGATATACATAGAAGAATTTGTTATATCTCTAGACATTATGCATTCCATATGCTTACAGAATGTTATGATGTAAATGAGAAGGGCACCGAAAATGTTATTCATTCCAGTTGCCTCCCTGTATCCTCCATAATGAAAGATAACTCCAAGTACGGCAAACGGAAAGTTAATGGCTTCGATGACAGCAAAAATCAGCCACACGATGACTAGAACTCGCTTTTCCTGGAATTGATAAGAAAAAGTCGTGATGGATTTTTCTTAAAAGTTCACTAATGTCCTTTATTTACCTTAAGGGTTCCTATCAACAAACAAATATTGGTGACCACAACGATTGCAAATCCCACAAAGTTGAGAACTGCAAGATAAAATATTTTATTGGCTTCAGTGTTTGCTACAATAATAGGGAAAGCTTAAAAATGAGTCAATTACAAAAAAAAATGTAAAAACTAAATTGTTTGGAGTATCACTTTTATATAAATAAATTTATATTTAATATAGAATAAATATCTCTTATCAGCAATAAAAGCCGGCATACATATATGTACATAAAAGTTTATTGCGCCAGATTTCCGGCCTAAAATAAATTCTGTTCACAACTATCTTTGTATTTATTTTTTAATTTTTTTTTTTTACATTTAAAGGCTTTCTTATTTCAAGCCCTGAAGCAGAATTATTAATTGAATATATTCTACAATTTTAAATTGCTTTTAAATTAAAAAGCATTTTTTCACTTGCCGTGTAAAACGCAATTTCTCAAGTTTTAAGGCAAAAGTTTATACGAAAATAAAAATTTAATTATTATATTATTTAGTTTAAAAGACAATGGAAATTTTGCTTTTAGAATAAAACGCTAGCTTGTATTTGTCACCGATGTCGTCATCGATGGAAGGTGATGTATCCAAAATGTTTGTGAATTGGAACGCGTTTGTCTCGAATGGATTAGCTCATTCTTTTATTTTGTATGCTATGTATGTACATATGTATGTATATTTTATTATGGTAATAGCGCCAGTATGGGTATTCGGCTTCTGGAAATAAACAAATGCCACGCCTCGAACTTCTCGTACCGTTCGGAGCGACTAAAACGCTGAAAGTCATGCTAATTAGCCAGTAGATCGCGATTCCCAGGCACCAACTCCGCAGCTCGGTATTGCAGGGGCCATTTTCCACGGTCAGGTCGATTTTCATTTTGAGATTTTATAAGTTTAATTGAAAATTTCCAAATAAAACAATATTATGGCACAGAAACCGGTTTGGGATCACTAATAGCTCGGAAACACTACCGCACTGGGCAAGAATCGAGTAACAACTGACTGGAGAACTTAGTTGTTCTCCGTTGTCGCTGAGATGCAACAGTTGGGTGAAAACTGTACAACATAAATGTATTTTCTTTCGTTTTATAAAAACCCTTAGACTGGAATAATTTTGTCTATGTTTCGTTTTATATTAAATATTAAATATTTATCAAGAAATAAGAAAAATGTTATTTTTTATTTGATAATGTCCATATGTTGACGTAATATTTGATGCTTGTAAAGAGGGTTGAACCGGTAGATACATACATGGTTTGGAAGATGATTTGAAAACAGCCAAAATTGTGATTACCTAATATGCTTTTCAAAATTATGTTTAATTTATGTTTGTTCAGGTGATCTTCAGAATCAAAAATATATTAAAATAAGATTATAATTAAATTTTTATTTTGTTTTGTAAGGTACATATATAAGTCATCAGAAAATGTGTCACCTGTTGTCTAGTGTAGATGAATAAATACAGTACCGGGCCAATAACAAAGTGACTGCGCCTACACTTAAGATCTCGATCTAAGCATGCAATTTGCAGCCCTGGGTGCAAAAACAACATTATTAAATTTTGATGAAATAAAAGATATATATTGTAAATTTTCATATATTTAGTAAGCCGATTAATTTATAAAAAAAATTTAAATATAAATATAAATAAATATAAAATTTCAGTTGAGCCAAATTATTTACGCCAATCTGGCTACCACTTTCCTGAAAGCTGTTGTTTGCCAGACAATTTTGAATTAACATTTTGAATTTTTGCTATGCCAGTAAAACAAAAATGTTAACCACCATATTTTCCAATTTGGCCATTATTGCAGGAGATTGTAAAATCGGTTCACATGACTTTTATATATTTATAAATTGATAATAATGATTCGAAAGAATTTCACTTTTAAGCTTAGCTTAGTGTATAAGTAAATGTTACCCTTCAATACTAAGTAAAAATTGGATTGGAAACTCACATTTAATGTTAGTGAAGAAGTCACCGTTTATCTGTGCTCATTATTTTCAACGATATGGCAACGCTGTTCGTGAAAGCTTTCGCTTGTCAGACAATTGCGACTTAATAATAATTGCATCGCCGGTGAATTAAAGAGCTTTAGTTTTATTCTGCAATCGGAAAGTAAAGTACCAATTCCAGCAAATATGTTGACCTCCGTGTTTTGCATGCGCCTGAACACCTATGGCGTTGTCATTGGCTGGCTGGGCGTAATTTTCTCATTTTTGGCCACGATCCTTTTGTCCGTGGCCTTGGGATTCGTTGATGAAATTGCGCAGGAGATCGTCAAATCGGCCCAAAAGACCGACCTGACTGTTAGCGAAGTGCGCACCGGTAGGTGTTAACCACATGGTGGACCCACCCACCCACAAGGCAATAAAGTTACCCGTTTTTTTGTTTCTATTTTGCAGGTCTCATCGTTCTTCTCAGTGTTTACCTGGCGCTGAAGGTGATTAATCTTTTGGCATCGGCCATGTTGGTCGTGGGTACCGTTAAGGTAAGTTCTGGTCTCCAAATTTAGTAAATAAGCAGTTAAGCTTAAGTAATTACACCTTTACTTTAAGTATGTATTTGCATATGAAATTTGTATAATTCAAGTAAATTTGTAGTAAATGGAAAGACACGTTTTCTTCCTTCAGGAACGTCATCTCCTTCTGCTTCCTTGGCTGATCAACAACGGAGTAATCCTGGTTTTCGCAATTATCACCCATATTGGCGTTTGGGCACAGGTCATCGGATCCCAAATGCCCTTCTTAAGCGCAGTTCCAATTATCTTAATCTCGGTGGGAATTCTTGGTAAGTGACTCATCCACTTGCACATCGTATACACAAGTTTTTCTTGTATGTATATGCACGTACATAGTATGTACATTAGCGTTGTATCTGGAAATGGGTATATACAGCCTTTGTTGTGAAATTGTGGTTCCCCAATGCGCTTATCGCTTGTTGCTCTGCGATCGTTTTGTAATTGGACTCAGACATGATGTTAATTTTTTTCTATTTGTTCGTTTCAGTGCTCACATGGTATCTGTACTACGGCATCTACTCGCTCTTCAAGCAGATCCAGGCATCCAGTGAGCTCCAGCGTCCACTGATTCCGCCGGCAACCCAGCAGACTAACTCCTATCCCAGCTACACCAAGATATAGAGCCGGTATTGGTCCTATTTAAGAGTCATCTTATTGTAACACTATTTTCCCGCATATTTTTCGAATGTTTTTTAGTGGAGCTCTCCTAAATAAATGGATGTTAGCCCATCTTATTAATCTTCCCTAGCTAGTAACACCAAAATTAGGCCTTACCCCACATATATTTTCGATAAACATACATATATCTACGAGACTGTGTTGTCAACAATTTGAAAATTGTCAAATTATATTTTCCTATTGGCTTTAAAAATACATATTTTATACACATCAAGCTGAAAGAACGCCTGACTAAGAAATGAAATCAATGAGAATTTCTTAATTAAATTAAATTTCATATTTCACACATATAAACTTAAGTTTAAAATTATTTCCCCCGACAGAAAGAGGGAGTATTTCCCATCGAGTGGTGTGAACAAAGATTTTGTGGCTTTCAGAAGAAAAGTACAGCACATTGAATACATTTGAATACATTTACTGATAGGTCCGGTTCTGAGCAGTCTTGATGAGCATTATTGTTGGTGCTATCCCCCACGCCAAAAAAACTAATTAAGCTAGTCTCTTACACATTAAAATACATTATTTAGATGTATTTTTATACTCGTAGAGTAAAAGGGCATACTACATTCATTGAAAAATATGTAACAGGTAGAAGGAAGCGTTTCCGACCCTATAAAGTACAGTGATGGAAAAAATAATAGAAACGAATATTACTATTTAACTTAAAGTCTTTTTTTATACCCGTTACTCGTAGAGTAAAAGGGTATACTAGATTCGTTGAAAAGTATGTAACAGATAGAAGGAAGCTTTTGCGGCCCTATAAAGTATATATATTCTTGATCAGGATCAATAGCGAAGTCGATTGAGCCATGTCCGTCTGTCCGTCCGTCCGTCCGTCCGTCCGTCCGTCCGTCCGTATGAACGCTGAGATCTCAGGAACTATAGCAGATACAAAGCTGAGATTAAGCATGAAGATTCTTGAGGTCCCGGGACAGCGCAAGTTTATTACAGCATCCTGCCACGCCCACTCTAACGCCCACAAATCGCAAAAAACTAAAATTGCTGAAATCTCAGGAACTATTGCAGATAGAAAGTTGAAATTCAGAAAGTATAGTCTTTAGATGACAGCGCATCTTATAGTGGTACTACTATCCGGCCACACCCACCCATACGCCCACAAGGCTCAATAGACGGTTTTCCGATTTTCTAGAAAAGCTGATATCTCGGTAACTATAAGAGATAGAAAGTTCGGATCAAGCATGTATGTTTCTATGATGCTCCCAATGCGAATTGTTTTTTTCCGATCACGCCACGCCCACTCTAACGCCCACAAAACCCGAAAAACCAAAAATGCAAAAATCTCAAAAACTATAAAAGCTACACAATTTTGCTTAGGAACACGTATTTAGGAGATGCCTCTGCAACTTGCCACGAAGTTGCATCCGGCCACACCCACTCTAACGCCCACAAACCGCGGAAAACTGTGGAGTCTATAATATTATTATGAATGCCTTCGTTTGACCTTGTGTAACTTATTTCTGTTAATATCTATCGATTTACAAAAGATTTTTCAAATCGGAACATTATTTCGCTATTTATGAAGAAATTAAGGTTATAAGGCTCCACATGGGCAGTGACGTCACTATAAGCATACTCAACATACTTCCTCTGACAATAGGTGGCGCCTTGTGAATTTCCACTAGCAAAATTAATATTTTAAAATTGTGTAAAACAGTAACGGGTATCTTATAGTCGCAGCACTCGACTATAGCGTTTCCTCTTGTTTAAGTTTTAGATTTAGGAATATTTATGAAAACCACTGGGTTGTTAACATTGTAAACGGTACTTTATCACGATCTTCTCGATAGGCGACTCTGCTTTGTTAAAATCCAAGAGACCCGACAGAACTGGGAAAATGTCCTTTGGTCCGAAGAGACGAAGATATATTTGTTAGGATCTGATGGCAGACCCCATGTTAGGCGCCCAAAAAACACAGTATTCGATCCTAAATACACCAAAAAGACGATTAAACAAGGAGGTGGAAATATAATGCTATGGGGATGTTTCTCGGCTTCAGGTGCTGGTGCACTTCATTGGATACAAAGCGATATGCGTGCTACAGACTATTTATACATAATGAAGGACGTTATGTTACCATATGCCGAAGATGAAATGCCTTTGCAGTGGGAATTTATGCAGGATAACGATCCCAAACACACATCCAAGCTTGTGAAAAAATGGTTCCAGCACAATAAAGTCGACGTTATAGATTGGCCAGCTCAGTCACCCGATTTAAACCCTATTGAGCATTTGTGGGGCATTCTTAAAAAACGTTTAAGTGGTTTTCTGGCAAAAAATAAGGAGCATTTGTGGGAGAAAGTCCAGGAGGAGTGGTACTCCATTGAGCCAGCAATATGCTCCAATCTGGATTGATCAGGATCAATAGCGGAGTATGAACGCTGAGATCTCAGGAACTATAAGAGATACAAAGTTGAGATTAGGCATGAAGTTTCTTGAGGTCCATACGCAGCGCAAGGTTTTTTCATTTTATCAGCATCCTGCCACGCCCACTCTAACGCCCACAAATCGCAAATAACTAAAATAGCTGAAATCTCAGGAACTATTAGAGCTAGAAAGTTGAAATTTATTATGTATAATCCTTAGATACCAGCACATCTTATAGTGTTACCACTATTCGGACACACCCATACGCCCATCAAGCTCAAAAGACGGTTTTCGCATGTTGCAGAAAAACTAATATCTCGCTAACTATAGAGAAGATAGGATTAAGCATGTAGGTTTTTATGATGCCCCCAATGCGAATAGTTTTTTTTCGAGCAACCCACGCCCACTTTAACGCCCACAAAACCCGAAAAACCAAAATTACGAAAATCTCGAAAACTATAAGAGCTAGAAAGGTGTGCTTAAGAATGCGTATTTAAAAGATGCCACTGCAACTTGTCCTTAGTTTTTATCAGGTACTTAACATGCTTTCTCCGACAATAGATGGCGCTTTGGGAATTCCACCAGCAAAATTAATATTTTAAAATTGTGTAACACAGTAACGGGTATCTTATAGTCGCGGCACTCGACTATAGCGTTTCCTCTTGTTTGCTTTGTAATTGTTTCTACTCGAATAGACTATAGCATTTAGATTGTGTTTTCCAAAACCGAGCTAGCAGCGTCAATTTAACTACTTCTATATTTTTGGCTAACATTGGCACAACTGTAGTAAGATTTATTATTAAAATTAAATTAAATAAATTAAATTAAATTATAATTCATTAATTTCGTCATCTTAATCGTCATTTATATATTTTTTTTTTTTTTTTTTAAAGCATGATGTATTTTTCTTGCAAGGTATACGTATGGCATTCTTTTCCAGACCTGCGCAATCCATATCTGAGAAATTAAGTATAAGTATTTCACAACTCCAAAATATTGGTGGTAAAACTTCAGCCAACACATCGATCTTCGATGAAACTATCGATTAGAAATAAATTCACGATCATATAAAATGCACATAACCATCGGCAAAATAAACGAACAAGCCCTGGTATTTTCATGCCATAAAAAATATTTTTCTTACAAACAAACCGCCGATATCGCAAATATATTTAAAGCTAGAATATGCTAGATGAGTTTTAAAATAAGATATAATTCAAGCTATTAAACATTTTTTACAAATGTTCGACTTTCAAACTAGCTTATAATAAGCTAAACTGGCAACACTGTCCGGTCGTGATTCTGCTGCTGGGCGGAAAAATAATATATGATTATATAAGTACATTTTGTATACATTTGGGCGCATAAGACATGTAGTCATTAAATAGTGTGTTGTATATAAACATAAGGCAAATTTCTGGTGTCATTTGAAGATAACTTTTTGGACATAAAATTACCTTTATATCTAGTGTAAGGATATTAACATAGCACATACATATGTACATACAATATATGTATGTAACACTTTGGTGATATCAACCTCAGTTACAAAAATTATACCAATGGAAATACAAACGTTTTTCATAGACTTACAAATATTGTGATCAGGTCTTTAGTTTTTCAAGCGCGATTCTTTGAAAGGTCAATCCGAGTCTATGATTTAAAAACTTTTGTTTAGCATACGAAATGGAGGAGATGTGGCTGGTCAAATATTCAAAAACTATTTCAGTAATACGTCATCGGCGCACTAGGAAGGTTGCTTAACACTCCGTATCCGAAACTAGAAAAATGTTGTCCTCAGTGTGTTGCATGAGCCTTAAAACTTACGGAGTGGTTATCAGTTATTTAAGCCTTATTTTATCCGCTTTAGCCACGCTAATTTTATCGTCTTTCATAAAAAAAAATATTTTAATCTTCCATGAAGTGCTTTCTGATGTTCCATTTCGCGAATTTAGTAAGATTTAAAAAAAAAAAGATTTTATAAAGCCAGTCAATTTAAAATTTCGTACTTTTTAGTAATGTTTATTCTCGAGTGCATTTGCTACTTTTTAGTAGTGGTTAATATTGTGTCATCCATAACCATGTGTGTGGGAATTGCGAAGGTAAGTCCTGTACTGTGTAAGGGAGGTGGTACATTTAAAAAATTTTAGAGCTCTGCATAAAGCAACAGAATGATTCCATCATGATTCGATATTGGAAAAAATTTGGTAATTATCAAAAACTTTGGCGGGCTGAGTTACATTGAAATATAAATATGTATTATAGGTAGAGAACATATATTATTTTTAGAAAAAACATCTGCTCATGCTGCCGTGGCTGATGAACTTCGGGTTGCTCCTATTGGTCTTGAATGTCTACTTCGTTATATTGGGGATTAACTATATTTTATATCCGCACCCGCTTAGCTTCATCCTGAAATTCTTTATAATCGTCGCAGGCATTCTTGGTGAGTCAAACTAAATTGACTTGGACAAAACTACTACTAGCACTCTTTTTTCAGCGCTCGGATGGTTTTTGTTGTACGGAATCTATTCGCTGTTCAAGAACATCCAGACATACAGGGAGACACCAGTGACTGCAGAATTTCAAACAACATTTGGAACAACATTATGTCACTAAAGCGACGGAAGTCAAATTGAATCTGTCTGGAATTGCCACAAGTCGATTTATCCTCATAAAAAATTTATGTATACTTATCAATTTCTGTACAACTCAAAATTCCCATTTTTAGTTTGCTTCGCTGGGCATTCAAATATATTTTCTACACACACAGAGGTCATAGATTATTCCTTGACTCGGTCCGACACGTTAGCCCTGAGTAATCTGGCGGCATGGGCGGTTTCAGACTCTACCAGTTGCGATTGCTCGGAAAGTATTTATATTATTGATCAGTATCAAAAGCGAAGTCGATTAAGCCATGTCCGTCTGTCCGCCCGTCCGTTTGTCCGTCCGTACGGCCGTCTGTCCAGCTGTCAGTATGAACGCTGAGAACTGTAAGAGATACAACTATTAGAGCTACAAAGTTGAAGTTGAGTATATATAATCTTTAGATACCAGCGCATCTTATACCGTTATCAGGCCACACCCACTCTTACGCCCACCAAACGTGGGTGATTTTATAAGTGATGAAACTGCGAACCATCTAGCCACGCTCAACCTAATGCCCACAAAAACAGGAAAACAAAAAAGGGAAAAAATTGGGAACTATAAAAGCTAAAAAGGTCTTAGGTCTTAAAAATACGTATTTAGGAGATGCCTCTGCAACTTGCCACGAGTTTTAATCTGGCCACGCCCACTATGCCGACCAAAAACCGTGAAAAAATGTCGAGGGCACACATCGGAAAGAATCCGGCGTGTCCGGATTCCGGATACCTAATAAGAAATAAAAAAACCTAGTAAATTTTTAATCTAATTGAATATTGTAAGTCAAACTAAAAAAGAAGTATTTTTAAGATCCTTCCATACCTCAGTTAAGTTATAAATAGTATTTCTTTTTAAATCATTAAAACTCAAGTCAAGTCATTTTGATGAGCTTTGTTCGGAGTGCCTAAAAGTATGACATTTTTATGATGAGTGCCTAAAATTATGTCTCCAGTTTACCTTCGTTGGATTTTAGTTAGTTTTTACACAGAAAAATACGACCATATATATATATTTTCGAAAATTATAATATTTAAAAAATTTTTATAGCATACTTTTTGCTGTCAATAACATTTCCTTTTAGTAATTAAATTCAGCAAGTCGGCAAGCGTAACATTTACACTAAGGCTTACGATCGACATCGTCTTAAATTTTAACGGTTAACCATGGGACACCCACATCACGGCAATCGCTAAGTGCGACCGCAAACTTAAGAAGTAAAAGTCTCCAGCTTTCGACAAAGGTTCTGATAATAAATGCAATTAACCTGGACGTATGCGATACAAGTTTGGGGCACCGCGTCTAAGCACCAGCTAAACAGGCTGAGGGTAGTTCAGGCACGAGCTGCTAGACGGGCTTCCGGGCTTCCGTGGTACGTAACCAACCAGCCCCCCAAAAAAACATCTCGGGTCTTTCGCGGGGGGCCCCCAAAAAAAAAAAAAAAACCGGGAAAGGAGAGGAGACTAGGTCACCCAAATCCTCTGGCTAAACGTTTAGAAGACTTAGTAGATTCCACCCCAGCGACTTGCATCATTTCTTAAACTTGTAATATTTTGTAAATAGTTTTATTTTATTTTTGTAAATATTTATACATATACTTAAAAATTTTAATTATGTTCAAATGCCTGAACTTCCGGCGAAATAAAAATGTAAATATGTAAAAAAAAAAAAAAAAAAAAAAAAAAGTAATTAAAATTCTACCCGTCCGGTAGAGTTCAACTGGCATTGAACGATTCCGGCGATATCAATAAATGAAAAAAAAAAAAAAAAAAAAAAAAAAGTAATTAAAAAAATTCATAATTTAAGTATATATGTATTTCGAAATTGATTGTTTAAATTATTTGGGCTTTCCCAAAATATGTTGTTGTCTCCTAAAATTTGTATCATTTAAGAAGGTATCTAAACAAAATTCAACTTTTTGATGCCAATTGGAAAGGACTTACAGAACTAACTATTTTGGCCTACAAAGTACCTTTATATCTTGTTTAAAGATCGTTACATTTAAAACATTTTAAATATCAAGTTTAGTTATGAAAAATAAAAACAGTGAAACAGTTTTACGGAGCTTTTTTCCACTCCGTGGAGTAAGTCACTTTTTTTTCATAACCAACAAAATTGTGCTCAGTGAATAATTTTTTTAAGCGTGGTTGTTTGTTAAATTTATCGCGTACTTTGACTGAGACATTTTTGGCCGCATAAGAATATCGAGAGGGATATGTGTATTTGCTATATTTTTTAAAAATTATAATCAGTACGTCGTCGACGCCTCAGAAGGAAGGTTGTCTCTCATTGATCACCCGAAACTAGTAAAATGTTGTCCTCAGTGTGTTGCATAAGGCTTAATACTTACGGAGTGGTTATCAGTTATTTGAGCCTTATTGTATCAACCTTAGCCACGGGAGTTTTATTCCTATTTTCTGCAAATGTTACATATAGCATATTGACGGACGGTAAGATTTAAATGAAATTAAATTATAAATCTGGTCAAATTAAAATTCCTTGCTTTTTAGTACTGTATTTTATTTTGTGCGCCTGCTGCTTTCTAGTACTGGTTAACATTGTGACATTCACCACCATGGCTGTTGGTATTGTGCAGGTAGGACATGCACTGTGAAAGGGAGGTGCCAGATATTTAAAGCTAATTCATAACTCATACGAATAACAAAAACATTTGCGACATACTGTAACTTTACGAGTTACTAAGAGGAATATCCCAAAACGGTTGACTCATGAAAGAAGCTTTTGTAAATTAATATAGAAATATTGATATCAGTTTCGGTTTCTAGAAAAAGCATCAGTTCATGCTTCCGTGGCTGATGAACTGCGGGCTGCTCCTGGTGGTCTTGACTATCGACAGCGTGCTATTATGGATTAACCTTATTTTATACCAGGACTCGCTTAATATCATCCTGATTATCTTCATTATCAACGCAGGCATTCTTGGTGAGTCAAACCAAATTGACTTGGACGCAGCTAACACTGTAATCTATTTTCCAGGGTTTGGATGGTATGTGTACTACGGAATCTATTCGCTATTCAAGAACATCCAGACATACAGGGAGACACCAGAGGCTGTCTAATTTTAAAGAGTCTAAGCCAGAATTAAGGTTAGGTATAACCCTGTCCTGTGTGTAATCAACACAAGTGCATTCCCATTCTGTAAAACTTAAAAGTCCCGTATTTCTTTTTGCTTTGATAGGCATTCAAATATATTTTCTACACACACAGAGGTCATAGTTTAAACCTTTTCTCGGGGCGGCATTCGTTGCAGCTACTTAGGTACCTATTGATGGTTTTTGGCTTAAAATTCGGCGTTTCCGGCTGATTCACTGTCATTTTCCCAGACCCAACCACATGTAGCTGGGATCTATGAACTGAGAGCCGCGATAACCCTGTGGATTGCGCGACACCAGCGATCGGATTTTCTGGGAGGGTCTGTAGCTGCGTAGGGCATGCAGGAGCTTCGATGTCTTCCGGTCGTGCTCCTGCTGCTGAGCATTATCATCCGGGGCGTCAGGCGGCATCGGCGGAAGGTGCAGGGGATGTGGATGCTTACCCTCAAGCATTCGTGTTTCCGACTCTCCCAGTTGCGATTGCTCGGCGAAACGCAGGTTCGCCTCGAGCTGATTGAAGAAGCCGCCCAGATTGGTCATGGCTCCTAGAAGAAGCAACAAATGTCACTAACAACGGTGTTATTCAAACCAATACCTCGACATTCCTCATTAACTTTCCTTTCCTACGATGTTTTTTTCATATATAAATTCATAGTAAGATTTTTGTAAATCAACCATAAAATTTTCATGGATTTTTCCGTTTCTTCTTTATGAATCTTTATCAATACAAATACAGATGCCCACTGAACCCCACCTCATACTCACCAGCACTGATCGAGGGCATATATCTCAGAGAATCCTGCTTGTCCTTTCGCTTCCAGGGCAAGTTGTACACGTAATTGAACGGAGGCAGCTCGTCGTCCTCTGGTGGCCACTTTAGGGGCGCCCTTTTGCCCTTGACCTCCGCCACTGGCGGAGATTGCCACTTGTGCTGCACCTGCAGCTGCTTAAGGCGCTGAAGATGCCATTGGCGACCAAACAACTCCGGATACGGGGTGAAATAGTTATCTCCGTATTGGTTGTCCATTTCCGCTTTACTCGATTTCGCCTGGGGATTTCCGTTATCAACTTGGTAAAGGTCGTCAAAGACTCGTGACGTAGGCGTCGGGACCGAGTCCCTATCCCAGTTCCCGTTCCCGTTGAAATCCCAGTCCGGTTCCAACTCCCAAGCCCGTTGCCACTCCGGCGGAATTTGGCGGTCACGGCCAGTTGTTGTTGATGTTCCTATCGCCACCTGTGCGCCGCCGAAAGGTGCGTTTCGCAGTGGAGCTGTCAGTGGAAATACATATCGGCAGAAGGGCCCATTAATTGTGTGCTCCCGGAGGATTTCGGGTTGGTCACAAAAGTACAAATAGGGTTGGCTTCGCCAAAAAGGGCATGACATCCAATTTCCGCTCCCACTCTACAGATTTTAATTAGTGATAGGCGCAATGACTGCTTATAAAAGGTCAACTTTCAATTTAAAGCAAGTACCAAGAAATGAAATATGAGCGAAAATGTGAGATAGTTTTCCATGAAGGTAATGGTTCTAAAAATAGTATCCACAGAAAGGGATTGGTATAGGCTTCTTAAAGGTGTTAATGCCTGATTAAAAATAATTAATGAGTGTAACTCAACTGAGGATTATCCTTCTCTTGGTATTAATTTTTAATGTTTTCAAAAAAAAAAATAGAAAAGAAATGTTTTTAAACAAAAGCTAAGGGATTCTGTGGTCTTTTTATTTTGCCAAACTAACAAAGTTATTTTCGTTTATTAAATTAGAAATTCTTGTAGTCGAACTCATTGAAATTTTGTTGAAATTTGTAAATAATATCAATTCATAACTAAAAATGTTGGTTCTTCAATTATATTCTAGTTTAAATTAGTTTTCATGGGTTGATGTTTTTGAATATATATATTACTTTATATGAGATTATTCAAAAATTCAAAAACATTTTTAAGTAAAGTATGTAAACTAGCTTGTTACTTAAGTCCTCCCGTATATAAGGGTAACTACTGTCACAGTTTTAAATGTTCATGGAAGTTAAAATAATATCATTTAAAACGAAATATATAATTAAGACCACGAGGAAACAAACTTTTGTTTTGTTTTTAAGGTTTAAAGAATGAATCTGCGACCTAAAAAAGTACAAGGCCTTGCCTTTTTCGTGACGAGGATTTTCTTAAACTTAATATACTAAAATATTTTTAGATTTTCAATTTGATGGCTTTAGTTGTTCTTTAACGTAATAAATAAAATCCTTGCTCCTCCCTTAGTAGACCTTAAAAGTTGGTAACATCCTGGTGCCGCTTGGGACTTTTAGTTGACCAAACTTACCTGCAAAGAGCAAGACCATCAGCAGAATCCGTTGCCTCATCAGCAGGTGCGACATAATGTGGCTGTTTTTCAAGGGTCGTCTTCGGAGTGCTGTTACATTTTACGGATACACCAACGCTAAATAGTTTGCAAACACATCTCAACCGAAAGTGCCGGAACTTTAAAGAAGATAGCTGCTCCCACGGCGGAGATCGAATTCCACGCCGGAGGGCTGACGACTAACGGCCAAGTCGCTCGCACCGTGCGCTTTTATAGCTCCTCGCGGGCAGCGAACCAAACCCAACTCCACGGGAATCCTTTCGGCCACCACCACCCCGACCATGCTCCAGCGAGCAGCGAGCACCTGTTGCCCGATGCCAAAGCAGGACGAGGCGGAACGGGATAGGAGGACATGAACAATGAAGGACGCTGGGGACATGCGCACCAGCCGGATGGACGTGTCACCTTTGCTTGGTTTTTGAAGTGCGACTTGAGCTTCGGCAATTTTCTAATATGCACAGAAATGTCGAATAGCATTGGCAATTGGGAGTCGAGTGTCCAAGTGCCGCTTTGGATTCCGCTGCACGATATACCAAGTCGACGGGGTCCCAATAAGGCTCAGGTGTGCCAAAGGACCCTTTTTATGCAATTATCCTGTCATATTGCGCAATTTACCCAGCAACCGATATTGCTCCAGGTGTAAGCCTGGTCTTGCCTCATCCTTTATTCCCTCGCATCCCAGACATCCATCCGACTTTCCTGACATGACGTCAAAGGCTTTGCTTTTGAGTTTGGCCACCGTATTAGCATAATTGGGTCAGTGGCTGGCTCTGGCCACATTGACTTCCACCGGCCATTGTGAGCCATGCATCCATTTATCCATCCATCCAGGAGCTGCACCACCTTCGGTCCTTGGACGCTTCTCGCTCCTAATTGGATTTGCATGCAGCTTCTTTGTGGCACGCTGGGCGTCCTAATGGTCTGGAGGTTTCGTTTGGTTTGGCTGGCCCCCATCCTCCAGTGCTCCATGGGCCATCGAAGCGACAAGTTTGCCTCCACAGCGTTTAAAAAACTTTCGAGCACAAACTGTTTGTTAATTAAGCTTCAATTACAAGTTACTTTAAGTCAACTCACGGCGCATCTACATTTGTTTGCATTATTTACAAATAGGTAAAGTTTTTAGTTTTAAATCAATTTGTAAGTCATTTTTAAAAATGACCAATAAATTGGTTAGTTTTTGAGTTAAGATTATTTTAAAATTTTGAAGCTTTTATTTATTTTATAAATTTTTAACTAAATTTTCGAACTAATCAAAAAGCTTTTAGCTTCTGATATTATAAAATTGTACTTAAGAAATCATAAAAAGTGTCATTAAATCATAATGAGTGAAATTCTATAATTCCATTTTAGTTAGTACGTAATTTAAATTTAACGCAAAAGAAACCCTTAAAGTTTAAGTACAGAAAATGTGTGTCTAAAGACTTGTTATGTTTTTGAAAATAAAAAATTTATACCATTTTATAGCTAATATAGCTCTGATAATCAGATTCGATTTATATATATTATTTTATTAAATTAAACAATTTTTTGTATATTCAAGAAATTACAAATTTCTGCATTTCCAAGCTTTGAAGTGTAGAGCGTTAAAAAGTCGTCAGGAACGACGAACTTTTCAGGTGTTCCGAAACCCAAACGTTCCACTCCAAGAAAAGCTTTGGGGTTTTGGATTTTGGATCCCACTAAATTTTTGCTCAGTCGCTCTTGAGCTTTCGTGCCGCGAAGTTGCCGTTAGCACAGCACAGTTATTGCTGCCGTTGCGACCAAATAATTGGATTTACAGCAGTTAAAATTCGTAGTGAACAGTGAAAAAGGACTCACCAAAGAACCACCAAAGACTTAAGTGCAATTAACAGGATAAAACTGCTGACGAGAAAGGAATATTCAAGGAATAAAATCCAGAACCATTTTTGGGTAAAAGGTGCGGCGACTATTCTTTTTCGACTTCATACCAACCTCCTCCCAGGCTGTGCACATGCCGTTGCATCTTATTAACTCCCTTTGGGAGTTTTTCACAAGCCAGTGCGCCGGCGCCATGGTGAAAACGGCTGTTTTTCACATTTCCCGCGCTGGCAGCAGGTTGACGACCCGGCCCAAACCTTAACCATCCCAAATGCCGGCTTCCACACTCACTTTCGTTCTGTGCGTTTCCCAGCCCTTATCGCATTTTCCACATTTCCTCGTTCCGTTTTCCCATTTTCCCCTATTTTTATTTGTAACATCTGGATTACCAAATAGACCAATCTGTCGGCTTACGCCGCGTATACTTAACGATGACTGCCCATTGCTGGCTCTCGCTGCTTGTTTACTTGGCCCACATCCAGCTGTAGCCCTCAGCCATATTCGGAGGTGGGAATCTTTTTACCAAGCACGCACTGGCACTTGATTTTCGATTTTGGGCGCGGGCGTCTTCAAGAGGCTCGTGTTCTTTTCGATTAAACTAAACAAAAAAGTGCTAAACATTTTTTGGATTCTTAAGAAGTGGTCAACGAATCTTTGGTTTTCTATTGATGGAAATATATATGTGTGTGTTATGTTTTATAGTTACAAAATATTTATAAACATTTACTTAAGTCTAGAAAAAAGTAATAGAAACTTTTAATTGGGTTTTAATATTTAAGATCAGAACTTCACTTACTTTTAAAAGTAATAATAAAACTTGACTTAACATAAGTTCGTATAAGATTCATAAGTTCGGAAGAAGTAGCCTAACAGCTAAATCTGTTGACTTTGTTTTCAAATCTCAAAAGATTTCTGGGAGAGTCCAAAAATTCTGGGAAATATTTATGAAACTGTCAGAAAAACAAACAGCAAAGTACCCATTTCAAGCATCGGCTTCATCAAACTGGCAATCAGTTGGAATTAATATCCCCTTTTGCTACCCGTAAGTCAGCGGCTATAATTTGCATCTTATTCACTGATTTTTAGCTGTAACTAACGCTGAGTGTGTCGCTCGATTTCCGCTCGATTGCCAAAGCAGTTAGCCTTGAAGGGGCGAAGAATATTGCATTGCAGCAGCGGCAACAATACCGACTTAATCATCAATGAAGCGTGCAAGAAGCATGCTTAAGGCCTTCGGATTTTGCATGATTGTGAATTGTGATTTCAGCTGGCCAAGTCACGTGGAGGTGGAGCATAGTTAGAGCCCCATAGGTGGCCAACAACAAATGGGCGAGTGTTTGGGGCAAAAAAAAACTACAACCGGTTCAATGTTTGCACAATTTTCGGTGTAGCTTCGTGTGTTTTGGGTTCTGTTATATGTATTTAGTTTGCTTTTTTTCTGCTGTTCTGCTCTGTCGCCAAAAGCATTAAATATTACTGAATGACTGCGGTTCTCGTCGTTGGTTTACCCACATTTCGGGCTCTACGTGCGGAGCATGCTGGCTTGTTAATTTGAATTTCACACTCGAAACACTCGACTCGACCGCCAGATGTTGCTAGGGAACAGCTTCCCGCTCTCTCCCTCTCTTACTCGCTCTTTCCCCAAATATCTTCTTTGATAATCATATTTTTAGTAAAGTTTGTTTTTTACATATATATAATGCCACCCCCTGTATGTTGAGTCAGCTCATCACCCACCTGAAGGTCAGCGAGAGTTACACCTTTGCTAAAACCCGCTTCCTGCTCCACCTTTCCCACTTCCGGTTCCTGAACTTTCGCCCCCTTCTCCCCTTTCAGTGGCATTGCGTGTGTGTAAAACATGATTGCCCCTTTAAGAACACTGAAGAAAGTTTTGATATTTCCTTATTAATTTTGAAAATAAAACTCATAAAATACGTTTTTACTCAAAACAAAAAGTAATTTGAATATTATTTAAATACAAAATGAGGAAAAAAACAATAAATTTGAATTAAAAAAGGTGTTAAATGTGTTGCATTTTTTATTTTTGTAAGAATTAAAAAAAAAATCCAAAGATATCTTAAATGCAATACATTTTTCGTATTATATTTTTTTTTCTTTTTTTAAATAAGATTAACATTAACAGAACCATTATTATTTCTGTGATTTTTCATTGTGAATTTTTTTATATTTTTGAAGATCTGAAAATGACATAACATGTTAACTTTAAGCATAACCCTGCGAATATCTCTCATCTTGTTTAAAGGTACTTTTTATTTACAAACTATTTTATATTACAACACTATTTTATATTTTCAACTTTTCGCCTTTGTGCATAAATGAGCTAAATAAAATTGTGAATAAAGTTCACATTTAGCATAATTTTATTGTTTTTTTGTTGGCCACAAGCAACCGTTAGACGTGTTAGCTTAGTTACTGAGACAACCGCACCGCATTCTGACCCTGGTTGGGTACCTTTAATTACTCATACGCCAAGTGTGACGAAGAGTGCTGACCCCGCCCAAAATAAAAAAACAAGAACAACAAATGTGAACGGAGGAAAAGGGGAAACTGGCTGCAGAATGCGCATCGAATTGAGGGCTGTCCCACGATGGCAAGTGGCCTGCTTTTGATTTGGCAGGGCAGTAAACATTTAGCCTAATGGGGCTTCTTTGCCAAAGAGGGGGGAGGCCCCCTTTTTAGGGGCGTTTCAGGGGGTGCTGTGGGGCTGAACAGCCCGCGGACATTGCCCTCCAGCACCATTGCGCCCTCAAGCATGGCAAGCCGCCTCACTGGCTGTTGCTCAGCTAAAACTAAAAACTAAACTTAAAAAAATACAAACTGAAATTGTCGTTAATTCGTTTTGTGCTCAAAGTGAAATTTTGTATGTTTTAAGCGGTTGTTGGCTGTTAATGCTGCTGCTGCTGCTTTTTCGTTGGCTTGTTTTGTTAATGCAGCGATAAAAAATCGTGACGTTAAATTCACAAACATGTGCCGCAGACACGTTTTGTTGACCCCAAAGAGAACTTTCCAAGCGTGATACGAACGCTCTCTCTCATCACTTTGTAAAATGGGGTTTTCTTTATAAATAGGGGGAATAGCAATAAATGGTATATTAAATAATAATAGAGATAAAACTTGTGATCTTTTCTATCTAATAAAGAACACTCTACAAATTAAGCATTTAATAACAGAAATATTTAATCTTAAGCCATAGGCTCTACATTAACACAAAAAGTAGGTTTTAGAATGACAGTGACTGTTTTCGTATCCATGTATTCTGAATTTTTATCAAGGTCGGTGAACGCCTTAAGTATCTGATGTCAACAAGATCCCAAAAAAAAAAAAAAAATACAAATATTTACAGGTATTCTTATGTTTTGCAATTGTCACATTAATATTAATAATTTTGTAAAATCTTATATATCATCTTATCTTATTTAGCAGCAAATTTAGGTTTTTTCTTGTGTACACAAATCTTTTTTGCTTTTTTGTTGGCCAGTAAAATTGTTGGCAAAATGCGCAAGTTGCATGCGACAAGCCATTTGGCGAGGCTACATCCTGCCCCATTTCCTGGGTCCTTCAAATGCTCCCACTCTTATCCACTCCACATCCTGACATCAACAATGCTTGGCTGCCGCCAAAGAACAATGGTTAAAGCGCAGTGAAGGAGGCACTTAACCCAGTTTTTAGTTTCATTTAGATGCTTCCTTCGCTTTGATATGCCAAAAAAGACCGAATGATATCATGTCAAGCCAACCATTCCCTCTATCCGTGTGACCCAAATTCGAGGCTATTCCATTCTATTCCATGCGGGTGGCCACAACAATTGTACCAGATATTGATTTTTGCTCCCCTCCATTTCAGCTTGAAGTTTGGAGCTGAACTGCCAATAAAAAGACTGAACCGAACTGAAGACATCAACTAAGGACCAAAACAAGGAAATGTTTTAGGAGAACACAAGCAGCTGCAGCATTGCGATAAGGACTAAGCCCCCACCATTAACATAAACATCGGCCAGACGAATTCGCAATGTTTTTGCCCGTGAAATCAAATCAGTAAGTACACAGGGAAAAACAAAGTCAAAATGTTTAAGTTTTTAACTGAAAAGTTGCATATTTTAATGTTTATAATTTAAATGTCAAGAAAGTAAAAATAGAAATTGATAAAAAGTAGATTTACACATCGTTTACTATAGATACAAAGAGTTCATGACTTGTTTGCATTTATAATATTATTTTTCGAAAAACTTTCTTTGCATCAAAACCCTGTAAACTTTGAGTGGCGACTTGATACCCGCGTTTGCTCCATTCAACCCCCAAAATAAGAGCCCCTCGACATAGCATAAACATGAACATCCAGCATAAACAACCCCCGGCACTCAAAGCAGAGGGAGGAGTTCCTGTTTCTGTTTTTGCCGACACGTTGTCGCCACCATTATCATTATGTTTACAAGACAAGATTTTTGTGTGGAGGCGAGGATTTTCACGAGCTCATCAAATTCTCGTTGCAGTTCTGGGGAGGCAAGTGGCAACAACGAGGATGTCACTACAACCAGTAACAATTCCACACAAACGCCCAGCGATCTGAGCCCACCAGGACCCAATGAAGAGGTTCTACCCCAGGCGCACCACCAGAACCCAGGCCACTGCATCGCCTCTTTTGCGGCCATAAATCAGATGAGGAACAATGCACAGGTGAGGGATGTCTTAGATTAAAAGTTACTTTGAAATATCATGTTTAAGGGAAAAAATCTCAGTTTCCATGCAGAGTATATAGTTCTGAATAATCATGGTCATGGTCAGATCAATTGCTTTCTCTTAAATCATTCCATATCATAGCCGATATCTTCTGGCAAATTTTCCATTAATTGACAGATCTTGATATTGCCGTACTAATTGCATTAGGCGTGAACATAATTAAAATATTTATTTAGAATGGACGCGTGATTGAGGTCGTCGCAAGTCCGAGTTGACGCTTGCCCACATGGCGCATACATAATGTCTTTCGTTCGTTTCTGTTTTATTTGGGCAGTCGCCGAACATTAATTGAGCCTGAAAACACCCCCTCCTCACAAGGTTCAGCTGGGTGAGGCTATTAGAGCAAATTGCCATTTTAGTCGCCCAGCGGGTGTACAGAATGGATGGTTGAATGAGTTGGTATTAACCAGAAGCGAGCCATGATGTAAGCGACACTTTGCTATTAAAAAGTGCCCTTTCATCGGGGTCATTGACTGCGACCAACCTGTCAAAAGTTATTGATGGAGGGCCCTTCTAAGGATTCAAGTAGCGGGGTAGAGTTCGGGATTTGGAGTGCAAATTGACCACGTAGCTCGGTATTAATCCGATTTGTAAAGCGACACTCTGTCTGCGCCATCAGGAACCCCATGTCTCAACACCCATCTCTATCTATTCACATTTTCCTTGCCCATTTCAGCTCTGCGATGTTCGCCTGGAGGTTGGCGGCGACACCATCAACGCCCATCGAGTGGTCCTGGCCTCTGTTTCGCCCTATTTCTATGCGATGTTCAACGGTGAGTGCACTTTAGCAAACAAGGAAGCAATTTTTCCTTGGTATGCTAGGCTTTACAAAGTTGGTCTATGAATTCCTGTTACTTATGACATAGTAAACTGATATAATATTTACTGATCCCACATACCAGACGACATGCTGGAGCGCACTCAGGGATTGGTACGCCTGCACGACGTGGACAGCTCGGCACTGCGGCAACTGATCGATTACACCTACACCGGCGAGATTACGATCACCGAGCAGAACGTTCAAGTGCTACTGCCCGCGTCCGGATTACTGCAGATGCACTCGGTGCGGGATGCTTGCTGTAAGTTCCTACTGCGCCAGCTACATCCATCAAACTGCCTGGGTATCCGCAGCTTTGCGGACGCCCATTCCTGCAAAGAGCTTCATACGCGCTCCCACAAATACGCCCTGCAGAACTTCCAGCAAGTGGTGGGCACCGAGGAGTTCCTGCTCCTCCCCTTTGAGGAGGTTCGTGAGCTTATCTCCAACAGCCAGCTGAATATCAGCTCCGAGGAAAGAGTCTTCGCCGCCGTTATTAATTGGGTGAAACATGATCTACCCTCCCGAAGACTTCACATTGCCGAGCTGATGTCCAACGTCAGACTTCCATTGGTCAGCAGGGACTTCCTTATGAGTTGTGTGGAAACGGAGACTCTCATGCGCGATGACTCGGAGTGCAAAGAGCTGCTCCTGGAGGCCATGAAATATCATTTGCTGCCGGAGCAGCGCAGCATAATGGGTAGCCAGAGGACGCAAGAGCGTCGTCCGGAAGGCATGAAACCATATGTTTTTGCTGTAGGCGGTGGCAGTCTCTTCGCTATCCACAATGAGTGCGAAGTGTACAATCCGCGTTCCAACTCCTGGAGTCCAGTGGCTCCCATGCTGTGGCGACGATCCCGATCCGGAGTAACTGCCCTGCACAAGCAGCTATATGTGGTCGGAGGGTACGATGGTGTCAGTGATCTGGCGACGGCCGAGAGCTATAATCCGTTGACCAACAAGTGGAGCAATATCACCCCAATGGGTACGAAACGCAGCTGCCTGGGCATCTGTTCCTACGATGCGCTTATTTATGTTTGCGGAGGTTATGACGGCGCCTCCTGTCTGAGCAGCATGGAGCGTTATGATCCCCTTACCGGGATTTGGAGCTCTTGTCCTGCAATGAGCACAAGGAGAAGATACTGCCGGTTGGCTGTGCTGGAGAACTGCATATATAGCCTTGGTGGCTTTGACTCCACTAACTACCAGTCTAGCGTGGAGCGGTTTGATCCGCGAGTGGGTCGCTGGCAGCCGGTGCCTAGCATGACAGCCCGCAGAAGCAGTTGTGGAGTTGCCTCAACCGATGGGCATCTTTATTGCATAGGTGGTAATGATGGCACCATGTGCATGTCCAGTGGAGAGCGATTCAACCTGCGTAGGAACAGCTGGGAACCCATTGCAGCCATGCACTCGCGAAGGTGAGGATTTTGAAATCAGTAATTTCCTTTCAGTTTAATAATTAATCTTATTCATTATTTCAGATCCACCCATGAAGTGGTTGAGGTGGAGGGTGCCCTGTTCGCCCTGGGTGGAAACGACGGCAGCTCCTCGCTAAACTCTGTGGAGCGGTACGATCCACGACTAAACAAGTGGAGTGTGGTCAACGCAATGGTGGCCCGTCGTAGCTCTGTTGGCGCTGCTGTCTTGGAGTGCTTCCATCTCGAGCGCGGACTGGTGCAGACGACGAATTTATGACCCTTGGCCAGCATAACCGAGTCCTTCGCCGCAGCTGCAGTGAGCGGCGCTAGCAATGGCAACGGTACCATCAATGGAATTGGATCTGGAGGAGCAGTACCCCCACCATCAACGGGAGCAGGTGGAACGCTGACTGTACCAAGTCGAGCAGAGGCGGCTGCCTTTACCGCTAACATTGCGTTGAGTAGTTCTGCTCCCTCGGCTAGTTCCACACTACGTCGCCATCGGCGAGACACTCCTGGGCTGGCCGAAAGCCGTAGGGCCAATAGCAATGCCAGCAGCAGTGGCAGTGAGAGTGGAAGCAGCAGCGGAGCCAGCGGATCCGGAGGAGGAAAGCCACCTGCGACAGCCTGATCCTGGTCTATGTCGCGTCGCTTTTAAGCCACCTTACAAATTAACACTTACATACAAAGCTAACCCACGCGCCTAATGCAGGAATTTGATTGTTCGAGTTCGTTATGGATAGATATAGGAATATTTATATGACTAGGAGGAGGCCCCGGGCGGTGGTTCGATTGCTCAACCAAGGATGAACATCGGAATGGATGCAACCCCATAAAACACACACGTTTCTAGTCAAGATCTCTTACACACTTAATGGGAATGCCGCGGGCTGGGACTCAACTCCTGGAGAAGCAACCTAATCTGCCTACAATTTACATACATAAACCTCTATACACTTAAATTATATACTATATACACTCTAATGTACTATTCTTATGTATTTTATACACGCATTAAAACGATAAGTATGTGTTTCGTAGTCGTATGCGACGTAGTCGGCGTTCTGTTCTGTGCGCTTTGTACTAGGATCTTGATAGAAAGCCCCGTTTAGGAGTAAGTTACATCATCCGCTCGGCCAAGCTGCTCGCCACATTGCCGACGTTCTTATCCTTTTCCGCTGGCTGCGCAACCTTCGAGGCCATTTTCCGGGCATCCAACCAGTCCTTGGGCAGACCTGTGCCAACTGTAAAGACGGGGGATTGGGATTAGTGGAGGGATTGCTGCTCGGGGACTCCGCTTGGTTTTATACGAAAGTGTGCCCGGGCAGATGTCAGCTAAAATCAAATTTTTGATTAAAGGACACAACGATCGTCTTACAGTTCTCAGTACGCATTTATTTTCAGTTTCCGTTTCACGTGACTCTCGATGATGGGACATGGAAAGTTAAATGCTGGTGCGGCCATCTGCCCGCATTGGTATCATTAGTGCACAATGAGTCGTGCCGTGTTCCGATCCTTGTCACCGGGTGAACGGATGTGGGATGAAACTGCCTCCGGGTGGCAAGATCTTCACACTTGGCAGACAGTTTGTGAAAAATGAAGCCGATGCGCCGCTTGGGAGTGGTTAAAACTAAACGGTACTTAGGCTCTAGCTCGAAGGAATTGAAATACGAATTAATTAACAACGAATGTGGATCGCCTCCTAGTCCAAGTCGTCGGCTACTTTGTTGCGCGATTAGGAGAAACATTAACAGAACGAAATTTCATAGCAAAAGGGAAGAGAGATGGAGTACGGAGAACGCGTTAGAAATTACTCAGTTATAAAGGCTATGTCTAAGTTTTGGCCAATGTGGTTGAAACCAAAAGCACAAGTGTTTTCAACTTAAAAGTAAACTCTTTTTGTTAATCAAAACGAGAGCTATTTACTTTTGTAAACCTTCTCAGTCATGTCATCAAAGCCAGAGTCCTGGATGTTCAGCATCAAGCTATCCGCCGACAGGTAGACCTTGTTCTGTGAGCTGGCGATCTGTGGAAAGAAAAGTGTTTAATTCATCTGAATTGGAATTAGGAGTTGTATAGACCTACCGTGCGGGCAATGCTTTGAGCGGCACGCAGCTTACGCAGTTTCAGGTAGGCTGGGTTCTGCTTCACGGCCAGACCTAAGTAAACATATCGGTTAAGGAAAACCATTTGTTGGCAAAAGAATTAGAAAAGTTAAGCTCCCTTTTACAATAGACTAAAAAATTACTAAATATCTGGTAAACTTAGAAGACCATATTAGTTCCTCTAGCTTACTAGGCACAAATAACTTTTTAGTTATATATGTAATGGGTTCTAAGATAATAGTTTGATTTTTGTAAAAGGATATCATTTTTGCTGCCTCGGCTTCTCCCTCGGCCTGGACAATCTTCTGCTGCTTCTCCTGCTTGGCACGCTCCACAAAGAAGACGGCTCTCTGGGCTTCCTGTTGGGCCACCTGTTTGGCTTCAATAGCGGCAGTGTATTCCTTGCCAAAGCTCAGCTCGGTAAGGGACACATCATCCAGGATAATGTTGAAGTCGCGGGCACGCTCAACCAGCTCCTTGCGGATGAGCAGGGAGACCTATTCATAGAGCAATCAAGCTTTTAGATAACTAAATTAAAACTGGCATTTAAAAGATATCTACCTGCTGACGCTGGGTAATCAGCTGGGAGGCATTGAACTTGGCAATCACGCTCTTCAGCACCTCATTGCAGATGGAGGGCAGAACCTTCTCGTCGTAGTCCACGCCTAGCTGCTTGTGCAGAAAAGGCAGGTTTAGGGAATCGGGACGGGAGAGCACACGCAAGGAGATATTGATCATCTGCAGATCCTTGGAGCCAGTGGGCGATGAGATTTTGCGGGGACGCGAACGAATGTCATAGATGATGGGGTACTGGAACCAGGGGATGCGCACGTGCAGGCCCTCGGAGTAAATGTCGCTCTGGATACCGCCAAGACGGCTGAAGATGATGGCACGGTGACCACCCTCAACTGTGAAAAGAAATACAATTTTCAATTATTTATCCGTTTTGTTGGGTAACATTATTAATATGGAGAGAAATGAAATTTAATTTAACATTTAAATTGCAGTGCAATCAAGACAAATTTTAATATATTTAAAAAAATGGTATTTAAATAGATATATAATAATTTCTGTAATTGGACTTAAGCCCCTTAAGTAAACATTTAATAAATACAAATGGAGTTTGTTATGCAATCATAGAAAAATGAAATGAAAGATTAAATAATAATAATAAGTAAGATGAATTCAGATATCTGATAAATGAATATACCCAGATTTTATATAAACATTATTTACTCCAATAAGAATATTGCAAATCCAATTGTTAGTTATGAAATCCGGGAAACAGCAGAAACATTCACTCACACATACACCACTGTGTATGCAACCAATTGAGGTTATGTGCACATGCCTCTAATGCAGTCATGTTTATGCTGTTCACCGGAGAAATTAATGGCTTATCCGTTCGGCTATATCCTTACCGGTGTACAAGGACTGGCTAACACCATAGGCAGCAGCTCCAACGGCTGCCAGGACCTTCAGTCCAATTCCCAATCCCGGTGGGCCACCTTTGCCCAGCTTGCCGGCAAGGTCGTTCAATTTGCTTTGTGCCATTTTGATTTTGTGTTCTACAGCAAAGAAAATAACAAAATATAATAATAATCTTCAAAAGCAGAGCACACTCTAAAATTTGATAATAAAAGTATGATTTTTACTTGAACAAAGTTGGGAAACTCTCACGCACGTTCTGTCAATGTTACCAGATGATAAGTTGACCAAAACACCGTGTTGTAATGTTTCTGGACATTTATTGGCTAATCAAGTTTTCTTTGGTACTGATATGTTAGAGACAATTCTCTTTTTTGATACTATAATTATTGTAAATAGAAGACGTTATAATTGACTGTAATCGAGTAGTTTTTTTGTATCAAACTTTGAAATAAATAAAATAAAATTTTAAAAATTTAATGGTTTTTGTCTTTACTCACTCTGGAAAACAGGTGTGTGTCTTGGCAAAGGTGGAATGTTGAGAATGGAATTTGGCGGGAGTTTTTAAAATACATTTTTTGAGCATTTTGTTTTGCATTTTGTGAGCATTATATAACATTATGAATATTTATATGCATAAGTAGCAAGAAGTAAAACATATATTTCTGGCTATTAAAGAGTATGGAAAATTTGTGTATCCGGTTATTACATAGGAGGACATATTTTATTAAGGAACATTTAACTTAATTTTAAATTTATATTATAATTAAAGATTATAAAACAAAAGATATGTTCATGTTCTGTTGCTGTCAAGTATTTAGTAAACTAACTTTTTATTTACTAGCAACTATATAATATTTTGCATAAAACATGGGCTAAAACATTTTAGGAATAGTATTTTTAAATGAATAATTAAAAGAGCTTTAAACTAAAATTCTACTATACAACCAAAACTTTTCGAAATAATATGCAAATGAAATTCAAATGAAAAATGTAGTTCACGATAACTACTTTGAATTACTTTGAATTCTAGCCAAAAGTTAAAAATAGCAAACAAAAGCAAATGATGAAACTTGTATGGGATTTTTTTTTATTATATTGTTAGCAGCACTTAAGCACACTTGTTGTGAGTTTTTTGTAAAAATGTGACAATTACAATTTTGACCGCATAGCTCCAGTGTGCTGGAGCGGAAAGGAATTTGAATCGGGCGGTGAAATTATTTATAGCCCTTATCGAAACAGTGAGAGGGGCAACAATATTTTGGCCGTGGTTTTTGTTTTGACAATCTGATTTCAGGATTTACCCTCTGCGCAGTTTTTTATTGGTATATTATTTAGTATTTATGGCTTAGCCCTCCTGATACGGAAGTGGCCGATTAAACTGTATTGCTTTATGGCGCTTGTCGCAAATTGCTAACTGATGGATTTGTAATTAATTTCTACCAGCATCGATTAGATAAGGGATGAGAAAGACTATGTTTTTATTATTTTCTTTTGCTTTCAAGTGGCGCGGAAAATTCCCTGAATTAACTGCGCTAAAAGCTAAAGTTTGGATGGCTAGCTGACGCACCTGCCACCTCTTTTTTGATCATATCACGCTGAGATGTTAACAAGTGCCCCCATAATGGCAGCTTTATCTCGTTCTGACGCTGTCGGTTTCTTGAACGACGAGCCTAAGACAACGTAGACCCAATTTCGAACGGATTAATTTCGAATTCGCAATGCAAAATTTATAAAAAATACGAGAGAGTGATGAGAGTGACGTTCGTGTTTGCAATTTCCGAGAAATCCCCAAGGAAATCTACATATCGAGCTTCCCCACACAGAAAAATATTTTAAAAGATCAAGAAGAAAACTCAATTTGATTTTTGTTTGAGATGTAGTTTGGTTCTTTCTAGTTTCTCTTAATTTAAAGCAGATTTAAGCGGTTAATATAAATTAGGACCATCTTGCAAACTAACGACTTAATAAATTAATGAATCAATAAAGTTTATGAGTAAAAGTGAGTTCAAAATCATTCATGCATTCTGTAGGATATAACTTTGGTAAAACCCAGAAGACAAGTGATGAAAATTATATATAAAAATAAATGAGTGAGCATTGTCATTATAATTAATGATATACATTGTTGGTATTGTTCAATTTTTTAAAGGTATAAATACAAGTATGGTTCCTCATTTTCCGACATTTTTTGTAAATTTCTGTTATTAAAATATTAATTTTTCTCCATGTACTAAATACCTGATGAGTTCAGTTGAAAGACCGCAAAAACTCACTATCTGAATACCCAAGTTCTAGGGGGGCTGAATATGTACGCATGTGGAAGTGGGTGGAAGTACCAAATCAATGTCATCTGAACGCGTTAATCGCTAGCCAAAATCGGCTATCAGGAGGCAATTAACATGCGCAACGGGCCGCTCCAAAAAGCCAACTCAACTATGAATGTACGCGTTGTATGGCCAACATCGGATCGGTCGTACTTAGCTTAGTTATTGGCGGGGCCAACAGAGCTTGCCAATTTAGCGGGAGTTCGTTCGACTTCCATTGAGTGGCAGACACTTGAACTTGAATTTTCCATGTGACACTGTGAGGGGGTGTAAACATACTATATATATACTGTATACTATATACTACCTATAGTTTAGTATTGAGGAACTAAACGCCGACTTGTCTGTGGCCAAGTTCAAATTAAACAGCACGTTTTGCATATTAAGAACTTGAGAATCACTCATCGCAGATTGGGGCCAGCTTATGCAATCCGCATTCTGCAATATGGACTGAAAGTCAATATACTATATAGGCCGAATCTGTAATCCATTATTAGAACAACTGCTCGTTTCGTTGAGCTGTAAAAAATGTGTAACGGAATGTAATTGGTTGAACACCAGACCGATAAAATCCAACGGAGGATGTGTAATTGCATTGACTGGCAATTATTTCTAACCAATTCTCCGCCCCTTTTACCACCTGACATGTGAAAAGCGAAAAATCTAAAAACAAAAAACACATATATTATTCGGATTTTGCCAGTGGAGCATAGCGTGATCACTTGCTTTGTGGGTGGTGGGTGATTGTCGGCGGGAGGTCGGAAAATGCTGCATCATTCGCTAGCGGAAGAGCTGCTCTGCGGCGAACCTTTCTAATTTACATAGACCAATAATCGATTTGCATTAGACAGAGAGTTTTTTAGTTACTGATTGATCTATTAACAGATATCTTTTTTTGGGCATTGTGGGGAACCTTTTGTGCCTAGCACGATGGAGGGGAATCGAAATCAACATTCGGCTATCGAAACACAATTAATTCGGTACCGCCACCGGGGATTTTAATAATTTATAAGCCTGGCTAAAGTTTATGTTTGTGGTGAAAATAAAACTATTATTACGAAATTAGTTAATGACCAAGTTGGGGGTTTTAGTCTTAAAAATCTTTAAACTTATATAGAAAGCAATGCACTATTTCATCGATTTACTCTTTTATAGGTTCACCAATTTGCGTAATTTCTTAAGTAATTATTAATCTTAAAGATTTTAAAAGAAAATCAAGTTCAAAAATGTGTTCTAAGAGATACATTAGCAACTTAAAGCCTCAAATGGAAATGTATCTGGGACTAGACAAGCACTTTTTCACCTTTTTAGCTCTAAATCAGTGTATTGTATAATCTTTAACTTATACAAGATAACCACGTCTCTAGTGATTTAAGATCAATAAAAAATTATACTTCAGTGCTAATGTTACACAATCCACTATTTTTAAACCGAGAATCGCAACAAAATATACGATTGATAAGGCATCTTTAGACGTCTTAATAAGTGATTTAAAGCCACTTCTTAAACACTCTTGCTTACTTTGAAATCTCCATAAAAGTGGTAACTGGAAAACTAGGGAAAAATAAAGGAAAATTGGAGGTAGGGCAATAGATTTAATTTATATCTACCCAAAAAGTCTGCGAAGACCTAACCCATCGATTCGTGACTCTGCCATCAATATGATCCCGAGTTATTTTCGCTCTCAATTGACTCGCAACTCGTTTGATGAGATCGTAAATCAAATGGCGGCATCATGACAGGTGTATTAGGAGTAGCTACAACCCCCCGCCTGGCACCGATATATATATAAAAGATTTGATACTCGAGAGGATTTAAGATCGTTTAGCACAACCATTCTGTAGCACGCGTTCGACTGTTTTCGTACGATGCTCGACACCGTTAGTTAGCGTCTAAAGATAATCAGTTTGTTTTCATTTCAACCCGGAGACATGGGCATGGGACATGAGACGAACGTGTGCCCAAGTATCTGGCGGATACTTCGCCTCAACTGTCGCCGAGCTATCTAAAGTACTTGTTTGCTCTGCTGACGCACCATTAGATCGAACTTTCATTCGCAGAGGCCGTAAATTTGTTTTGGCAATGTGCGATTTAGGGCAAAGTCAGAGATTCAAAGCAATAAGATATCTGTATCTATGTGGCGGGTTACTTGGCAATAAGAAATTCCAATTGTTGTCTATAAAAAACAAACAAAGCAATGCAAAAAAGAAAACAATCGTTTGAGAGATACAAGAGAGAGAGGTGGTTGAGATGCGAAACGAATTCCATTGGGGCAGCCAGGCATGAACTATGCATAACTAAGAATTTTAATCAACACACTTTTGCTATGTCGTAACCGAGAACATTTCTAATTGGGCCCCTTCGGCTGGGCAAAAGTGAAAGTGCCCTAATGTCAAGGGGACTGCACTCTCTTCACAGTCACTGCCAGGAATTTCCAAAGACCACTAGAGATACCTACTTAGATAGATAGATCGTTAAGCTTGAAGTTCCGTGGCATCCACGAGTACGACAAGTGATCGCTTAACCAGTTTTCAAGCTACGCCACTCTACGCCGTTTTTTTTTTTTTTTGTCAGTTTCTGTTTGGGTCGGGGTTTCCCTTGTCGACCAATAATTCAATCTCTGTTTACCAAAAAAAAAAAAAAAAAAACAGAAAAAAGTTGTATTCATTTGATGAGGTGAAGACCCCCAGCTAGCCATAAATTTTCCATTGGCCCATTTCGGTGCGTTCGGGGTGCATGCCATTCGCATCGCCCTCGGGATTGATACCAAAGAATATATCATTATGTCAAGATCATCAAATGAGCCTCCTTTGATTGGGTGCGAGGTCCGTCCACTTGAGCGTGCCTTACACAGAACACAAACGGCGTCCCTGACAAGCCCGTCGGGTTGGGTAATCTAAAGATGAGTTCGATAAGATTCGATTTCACGGATATCTCTGGCAGTACGACGACGCCCACCACCCCACGGGCTGTCCACGAACCGGGCAAGTGGCCTGGGGAATTTCTCCGTACGCCGGAATCGAATTCATCGAGAGTGGTATTCGTGGTGGAGTGGTTAGCTAGCTGGCTGGCTAGCCTGGCTAACTGGCTACCTAGCTTCATATGCTCGAATCTCGATTCGCCGGTGACGTATTTCGGAGCGTGTTTGAGTGGCGATCGATCGAGCAGCGTATAAATGGAGTCCCCAGCGCCGACTCAGCGTTCAGTCGGTCTGAATACGCAGCGGCGGCGAGAGCGGTACTTAAGTACTATATATATATATCAACCAAACTGAAATCGGGCAGTAACGAAAGCAATTGAAACAGTTGTGAATATGGTGACATTTGTAAATATTTAATTACCACGCCGCATTAAGAACGGCCCAGCCGTAATAGTGATAGAACGTTGCATACAACCTACAACCTCACCTCAAATACAGCCTCCACTGCCAACTCTCAGCGAAGAGTGTTTGTCTCAAAATAAATAAATTATTTATTTATTTAAAAAGTATTACCTAAAAATCAGTCATCATGAAGCTGGTGTGTTGCGGTGGCAATAATGGATCCATTGACATGGACGGCAAAAATTCCACAAAAGAAGATGAAGCCGTGGGCAAACGTAAGTGGAGCGGTTCGATAATAATGGTTAGATAACCCCAATAAGTCGGGCCTTAAGTCAGAAAATGACACTTACTTGAGAGCCTCATAAATCTAAAAGGGGAGGTAGTAAAAAAAATGATCATGCATGTTGAAAAAAGAAATTTTATAAGTGGGTTACGACATGGGAGGTGTCAGGAAAAAATCATCTTTAATTGGTTAAATACTACGCCTTTTGGAACTAGTTATAGCAGGGGTTTCCCTTTAGGTTTAATAATAAGTTTTAAGTTTTTGAAAACTATTCAGAGTAAATACGATACAAAGACAAGGAAGGATTATCACGTGAAGAGTGAAGTACAGTGATTTGCAAAAATAATACCAATCGATCGTAATAGATCGAAAATAATACATTGTTACCGAAAAGTTTTCCGAAACCTGAAGTGCTGTTTGATTACTTCGGCAATTAATGTTCAAGTGCAAGCAGGCTGCTAATTTCAGTAAATGTGATTAAATCTTAAGTGGCAGTGACGGTTAATTTTTTGTTAATCATTTTATTTTTGTGAATGCAACAAGTGTTTTCTTGGTGCCAAAATGTGGTTTCGCCTGGATGCGGTTTAGTCACCGAACCGGGTTTTAGGCTAATTATAATGGACCAAACAGGGTCTGGCCATTAAATATGAATTAGTTTAGATAAGAGGAGGAAAGGGGCCTGGCCAGAGAATGGATATATGTGTATCGGAGAGACAGACAGACAGACAGACAGGAAGCGAGCCCACAAATATATAGATATACATATATTAATCATCAAAGTTCGTATGCAAATCCCGACCCAGGGCAAAAGTAAACCCCGCGATTCATTTCATTTTTATTATTGTTTGGGTAGCAGCCAACTGGGCGTATGTGGAATACGAAAACGAATACGAATACTAACTAAAAATCAGATAAACAAAAACACCAAGATCACAAAGAATGCTCCAATACTCGACAGGCTGTCTGAGGCGAATCCAGTTTAGTACCGGCGGCTAATGAGCAACTATTGCGAAAAATAAATACTGCTACTAAACAACAGCAAACATCGGCTAGGGGGGGGACTCAGATTCAGATTGAGAGATACGATTCTTTGAACAATTAGAGTCAGTGGCGTATATGGCGAAAACATAAATCTCGCATATTTCCTATTATGTTCCTGCTTTGACTAAACGGAACGACAACCACCCGGCTGCCGAGGGGGAAATGGATTGGTTATTTAGATATTTCAATATTTGGTTATCTGGTTCTGCCTTTAGGGACAAGGCACCTTGCTAATTATAAATGCATATTCGAATTTATTACTGGATATATTGAGAGCTGCGTGCAATTATCGGGCCGACATGTAAATTCATTAGCACTTGACAAAATGCGGGAAATTCTTCCGTCAGAGCATAAATTACAAAAGTGCGCTTAAAAATAAGCTCAGCCAAGTTTGGATTACTTGTAATTGTATATTTAAATAATTTCACTAAATATTCAAATTGGCAAGGCAGGCGCCATGGCGCCCGATAAATAATGCACAAATAAAACACAATTCGAGACGAGGCTGACACCGCAAGTCGGGTCACAAATCACATGTAGAACGGAAGGTTATGAACCTGATAGGCCACCAGCTACACAGAGAGAAATATCTATCTCAATCTAAACGAAACTAATTTGTTTACAAATCTCTCTCTTGATTGCTATAAATTCAGTATTGACTTTTAAGTTAATGGGCATTTTCAACGAATTTTTTGCATTTTATTTTAAAACGCATTTTAATAGCCAGCCCGTCCGGCTGACGTCAAGCCATTAGAAATTTGTTAATATATTTTTAATACCCATTAATTAAAATAACATTCTTTATAAACCAGATTTTTGTAAAAAATGAATTTAATCTTATACTAATATCAGCTTTTTCCCTGTGTTGTGGGTGGGCATATCGCTTAGTAAAACCAGCTCTGCCAGTTTTCTGTGCGTTTAGCTGATACCGGTAAAGCAAAAAACCCAAACTCGGCCAAAATGCTGGCTTATCAGCCGTCCATCCATCCAACTGAATAGCATTGGGTGGCCAAATGACTGGGCCTTGTCTGCGGCATGTTGTGACAAGTGTACATATTTCGGATTCATCAGCCACTTGACGGCCATCGTCCCCTGGACACCATCAGCAGAAGCAGCACCAGCACCACCCTCCTATCAAACCCTATCAAAACTGTCATCGAGTGGCGCTCGCTATCTGCTCAATGTGAAACTGAAGTGCCTGGACATTTGAAAGTCGTTGGTCTTAACGTCTTCGTTGTGGAGTTTCCACCTGCCAAATTGCCATATCCTTATCAGACATGATAGCACCAATAATGCCTTTAAGCTCTGATGAATTTACTTCAGAAGTGTGTCGACTTTTCTGAGACTGAACTTCATTCATCGATGTGGGAAAAATAACTTAATTCAAATTTATAATTCCATTATGTGCCAGCTGGTAATTACATATCTAATTGCGTGACTTGTGGTTAGCTGGAGCTTTCAAGTTTGGATCTAGTTCTTTATAGAGACCGTCTACCGTAGTAAACAATAATATTGCAGCTTTTGGGGGTTAGCTTTTCAGTGCTTTTCAGCTGAATGAAAAGCTTCTGGTATATAGAATACGATCCAATTTCCACCTGCTTTCAAGTTCAAAGCTAACGGAAAATAATTTGAAAACCAGTAGGTAGGCTATAAATCTCAGATAATTTTGGATCAGTGATTGGAGCCTACTATTAGCACGCATTGGCCTTGTGATCAACGGCGCACATTGCCTGAATTGGTTACATCAAAATCTAGAGATAACCAACACCCCAAGGGGTCGAAAAAAGGGGTGGCTAGGCGGGGGCTGCAACTGAGGGAGCGGGCAACTGCCACGCGCTTTTATACAGCCAACAAATCACAGCGACAGCTAACGTCACAGGTCCAGACACAGATACAGATACGCCTCGAGCTATAGCTATAGCTATAGCTATGTCTATAGCTTCACATACTTACGATTACCCATATACCCATGCACATTAACTGGGCGATGCTGGTTAGGTGATCTGACTATTTGCGTAAAGCACCTGCGGATGCTCTGCCAAGAAGCCATCAGTTAGTGAACAGGCTCCAAGCCGAACGGTAGTGCCTGGCTGTGAGATCCGACAAACAATCTGATTCAGAGCTAATTATTATTACGATTAAAACTATGGTTACCACTGTGAAGAATCGTCGTTTTGAGGATGAAGGTGGGTCCTGTCTTAAGGTGTTTTATCAAGAATATTTGTAGAGCCGAAAAAAGTTAAATATTTTATGCTTAAGAAAACTCTTGAAAAATTAGAAGCAATTTAGTGCTCAAAAAGTTGAAAATTTCAGTTTTTAAAACCAAGTTTCCTTGTTACTGAAGAAGAAAAGGCCAAATTTATGATTATTTTAAATATGTGAGTTGGAACAGATCAGTTTTTCTAAAGTAAAATATTTTAGAAAATATATATCTTTTTAATATATAGTCTGAGTTAACCTCTAGATATTCCCAGCTTCACCGCAGCTTCTTCCCAAGATCGGGCAAGGTCAAAACCTACCAAACATAGATCTCTCGTGACTGTCAAGAAATTGCGTAGAAGTTCTTATCAGCGATGATAAGAGAATATCCATAAAAGACGAGCCCCCATTTTCAGTTAGAATAGCAGAAAAAAGGGGTGTGCCTCAGGACTTAACGGGTGCAGTTAAGCCCCTAGTGTAAAGCCGTTGTAACTGGATTATTATGGCCCACTCGTAGTCAGTTAATCTCTGTCAGTAGACGCGAGATTAAACAAACACCGAACATTAGCCCAGTACATACAGAGATATAGTTTCATATCTAACTAAAGGGGTTAATTGCGGGAGGTGGGATATGCAGATGGGTGGGTGGTTCATGGCCCCAGACATGGGACGCTGAAGTGTGGCCGACAATTCGGCGCCATATCTATGAATGGAATTTTTTTCGTAATCCAGAAACCAGAAACAGAAGCTGCCCCCCAAATGCAAATAGAAAGCCAACTAATTGTGTCTCCAGCGCTTGTCTGGCTGATAAGGGATGATAAATTTATGCGAAAATTACGGCTAAAACGGGAGTAAGAAGAGCCAGGGGTATACTCTGTACACTGTCAGTCATAAATCTATTTCGCTGGGGGCTGGTTATCGGCTCTTTGGTGTCTGAAAACAAAGCAAGAAGGAAAATCCGAATCTTGGCCACAAGCGACCTACAGGAGTCCTTCAGACAGAGTCCCCTACTTCTATTACATTTATAAATATGCCTCTGATAGTGCGCCTGATAGCTGATAAGCGCAGCTAATCGATTTGGCTGACTGCCCATTGATTGGGCTGAAGATCAGCACGGGAGTCTGATTACCCAACCTTACCTAATCGATTCTGTTCTGATTGCTTTTTTAGATTCCGGCTTGGGAGTGCGTCACCTCCAGGTCTTCCTGCTCTTCTTCGCCCTTACTGTGGCCTATGCCCTGCGAGTGAACCTCTCCGTGGCCGTGGTGGCCATGACCGATGCTGCCTCCGTGAATCCAGATTTCCCTGTAAGTGTATAGGACTCACTCCTTAAAAGACTATAAATAATTAATGATTTTTTATATTTTAATATTAATTATTTTAAATTTCATTGATTTTTCAGGAGTACGATTGGTCGGAGAAGACGAAATCCCTGCTGCTGAGTAGTTTCTTCTGGGGCTACGTGGTCACCCAAGTGCCAGCTGGTCAGTTGGCCCGCAAATATGGTGGCAAAGTGATGATCCTTACTGGTCTGTCCATCTGCTCGATCCTGAATGTCCTGACACCCATTTGCGCCAGGATTGGAGGATGGCAGCTGGTTTGCGCCCTGCGAGTTGTAGAGGGTCTGTGCCAGGGAGTCGTTTTTCCCTCAACCCACACGATCCTGTCCCAATGGGCGCCGCCCAAGGAGAGAGCCACTTTGGGAACATGTGCCTACTCGGGTAACCAGTTCGGAACGATTCTCATGTTGGCCACCAGTGGAGTTATTGCAGCCTCGCCAATCGGATGGCCCAGCATCTTCTACATCTCCGGAGGAATCGGTTGTGTCTGGTCGGTGGTGTACTTCTTCTTCGGAGCAGGATCTCCATCTGAATGCAAGAGCATCTCGGCAGAAGAAAAGAAACTGATTGAGATGTCGCAGGCCAGCGAAGTTAGTGGTGCCCAGGAACTGCCCAAGGAACAGCTGTCCACGCCCTGGATGAGCTTCTTCACCTCGCCCGCCTTCCTTGTCCTGATCGTGGCTCACTCGGTCCACAACTGGGGTTTCTGGACTCTGCTTACCGAGATTCCCAGCTACATGAAGAACGTCCTGGGCAAGGACATCAAGTCAAATGCCCTGCTCTCCTCGCTCCCCTACGTCTGCATGTTCGTCATGTCCTTTGTGTTCTCAACGATATCCGCCCAGTTGAACAACCGAAACTGCATCTCCACAGTAACCAGCAGGAAGCTCTTCAACTCCATTGGTCTCTGGATTCCCATGATCACGTTGATTTGCTTAGGTTACGTGGACACGGATGAGTCGCAGCTGGCCGTAGTGCTGCTCTGCTTTACCGTGGGTATGAATGGAGCCACCTATCTGGGTTACAACATGAACCACATCGATCTGTCGCCGAACTTCGCTGGAATTCTCATGGGCATCACCAACGGAGTGGCCAACATCATGAGCATCATTGCCCCACTGATCGTCGGATTCATTGTCACAGATGAGGTGAGTTTTGAACTTGAGTGTAGTTTTGGGTTCTTTCAAAGTTTGAGCCATTTAAGTGTTGTAGACCAATTTGAATTATATCATTACTAATTTCGTATTTCGTCTTCAATTTTCCAGCACGATCCCGAGCAGTGGCGCATTGTGTTCTTCATTGCCGCCGGCTTCTATCTGGTGGGCAACAGTCTCTTCGTGATCTTCGGCAAGGCCAATGTGCAGCCCTGGAACGATCCCCCGGCAAAGCCTCGTCGCAACTCCACTCCCCAGGTGGAGTCGCAGCACTAGACGGACGCGGGGGGCTTGAGTTTAGTGAAAATGGGTACAGAAACCGCTAGTCAGCAAGTTCCGTTCTCCTCCGAAATAAACCCAAAAACTATCAATCCTAAATGCAACCAGGTGCAATGCATTCTCGCATTGGCCGTGTGTATATTTGTAAATTGTATTTGTTAAATGTGACTACATTGTATTTGCATTCCACTCGTGTTAAGTTCTAGTTAGTAAAGCCTAATTGATAAGATCAAACATGCGAAAAAAAGTAAACAATAAAAAATGCATGTAAAACATGTGCAAGGAAAACCGCAGCCAATTTTTAATCCCACATGTGGTGGGACTTTAATGTGGGTGGGAACTGCTTCTCTTTTGAAGGTCACTTGAATCAAAAATGCTTTAAAGTGCCTAATTATTTCTGGGAAAAGCACTCAAGATTTGGCCATTATGTTACTCAACTTTAAGAAGGACAATCAATGTCAGGACTTGAGATTAAAAATCTCGATTAAGATAATGAATAAGTGGTCATATAGAATGTTGAAGGTGTTGAACCTTCTGATTTAACTTAAGATATATACATAAGCGTCTTAGTTAGTGAGTTGCCATTCCGTGCGATTTAGATTGCCGAAATTTCGTCATATACCATGGTGTTTACTGCTTTTCTTTGTAAATATTTATAATTATTATAAAGTTCACTGACCTACATTTTGTCAATGAAGAACGTAGCTAGAAGGTTTTGTGAATAAAAGATTTATCAATGAAATTTTTTATTTACTAAATACCCCGAGAAGTATGCTTTAAAAACGAGAGAAATTCATGTGTAAAATAAGCTTCATCCTGATGTAGATGATATGAAGACGACATGTAGATGTCATATAGGTGGAGTGAGACATAAACAAATTGCCTCATGTAACTCATTATCTGGAAAACCGTGGAGATGGATCTTTGGATATGAGATACCAATCTTATGGCCTTGGCTAAGATCTTTGTCAACCACAAAAAAACGTGTTAAGATAAAATTCTCCCATTAAGGTCTGCTGACGCAGCAAGTAAAGTGACCAAAAAACTTAACACTAGACTCCGTTGCCATCAGATAAAGTTGGATCACAAAACTAAGTCAAGCTGGCAAATCAATTTGGCAATCATTTAATCCCCATTTTGAGCGTATCTCTCACATGCTACCAAGAGTGCCGTGCACATTTTATAGCTTCGAACTCGGCGGGCAAATGGAAACTAAGGAATATGGCGGCTGGTGGGGATCGGGGGCTCGGAGCTCATGGCAGTGGCGGGGCGAACTTGTTGATAAGCGGAATTTGAATAAATGTTTTTTTTTTCCACTTTCAAGCACGCGATATGAACAAAGGCAGTATTATATATGCATATATATGTATATATGTTGACAGGGCGATATATATAACAAGCACATATGTATTTTTAGCTGAGTGACGGGAATACGAGAGTTTTTGAGTCAACCTAATTTAAATTCGATTCCCACTAAAACTAGCATTTCGAATCAGATCTCGTGCTGGGTAAGTTCCGAGTTCTGTCAGTTTCAGCAATTTTCATTCCCCAGCCACATGCTCAGGAATCTCGAGCTCCTAAGCAACCGTATGATAAGGGAATCCATTAAATGCCCATTTAAAGGGGGTTATTTTTATGAAATCTGAAGAGATCTTATCGAGTCAGAATAAAACCGTAAAATTGAACTGTGGCCACTTGTCCTATCGGCCAGGCAATTTCCTACACAGTGGAAAAGTGTAAGAAAATGTTGGTCAATTCTGAAAAAGATTTCAATTGATGTTTTGAACTATTATACAAAAAACTTAAACAGATTACCCCAGATTATTATTTTACAATCTAGTACGGAGTCAGCCCATGAACCATAGTTTTTAGTCTAAGAACTTTTCTTTAAAGACTTCAAATATCAAGACAAAGGACTTCGAAGAAAAGGCAATAACACTTTATTGCCTTAATTGAACATTATAAAGTGATTTAGTAATAGCTGTACTTAAGAACCACAAACAGTAAGAGAAAGGGGATTTTATGTGTTAGCCAAAATAATACGTATTTTATGATGGCAAGAAGTGTTTTTCACAGTATAATTTTTGATATGATACTTCTACAAAGTGCTCAATCAACATTTAATTAAAGGCTCCAAATATATATAACCACAGATATATATGTATTACTGTTTACTTTTTATCGCAACCTATAAGTAATTAAATTCCAAAAATTTAAAGATCAGACTGTATTTAGTTATTAATTAAAAAGACATTCTGTAGACATCAGAGGGTTAATCTATTTTTCCGGTGTATAGCTTCGTTTGGGTTTTTGGCCATCATCTGGTCATAAACTGGTTGGTTGGCGACTCGGTGCGGGGGATCCAAAATAAAGTGTGCAAATCTCGACCAGAATGAAGGAATGAGAAATGCGTGATAGTCGGCCGACTCGGCGTGAATCGGCAGTTTCTCGAGTGTCTCTCTCTTTCTCTCTGGTGGTGAAATCACGGGTAGCACACCCATGGGGCCCCAACTTCCCTCGCCTCCTGGCCCCCGCCCCCATTTTAAAAATGGCAAACTCATTTTGTGACTCGCTTTCGACATAATAAAAAAATATAAAGAGAGAAAGACAGAAAGAGAGAGAGAGAGAGAGAGCCAACAGCACATGGTTATCACGTGAACCAGGCGCCGAGCAGTGGAATCGGGTGGCTTCGTCGTGTGCGGGAAACGTGATCAAAGATCGGCCGAGAGAGCACTTGTGTGGATGTATTGGTGAATCGGATTGGGGCCTGCAAAATGGCAAAAACAATTAGCACAGTGCGGCGCCCCATACTCTCGCTCTCCTTCTCCGCTGCTCTCTCCGATCGTATTCTTTGTCCCCCTCCTCTTTCTATCTCCCTCTCTTTAAGGTTATCGCTTAATCATTTTTGCACTGTTAACGCAAATACTGAATGTTGTTTGTTGTTTTCTTTTTGCAACAAATTGTATTCGTATTTATATACTGAAGCGAGTATTCAGCTGTCCCCTCGGCTATAATGAATCGTTAATTTCCATTTCACAACCAACTCGATGCTCATTTCAGCCATTTTTCGGGTCTATATTTGCCAAGTCATCATCTCAAGTGATCTGTGGATGGTTTTGTTGTTTTTGGGTTATTTCAGTTTTAGCCCTACGCCAGCTAGATAATAGCTTTGGGCCCCGTGATGTCACGCAGCTGGTGATAAATCAGCGCTACTGTTACCCTGCAAGCGATAAAGCTTACACAATAAAATGTTAAATACGCCTTTCTTTATGGCCCCTCGAAATCTTCCGTAAGATTAGATTCTTGATTCTAGATTCTGCAGTCGCAGTGCGTCCTCAAGAGATTTGTCGAGTGACTCAAGGCAATCTTTTTCTGTCCACCTTCACCGGAAATAACTGCTCCGAAGTGATCTATTTATACGGGATAGTGACAGCAATTAAATTGAATAAAATTTTGAATAAGTTTTTCCGCAAATAGGCGTCTTTGAGTGTTTGCCAACTGGCTGACCCACAGACATCATATTATTCCTTACCCCCTCTGACAGGGTGCTAATAGAAAGCCACGCCCCCACCTGCCACACCCACAACACGAAGACTGATCAGTATCTGAATTCCAACATATATATCTGATAAAAGTTTCCAACGCCAGTGGACCCACGCTAATTGGAATTGGCGGGTGGCACTGTGGACAATGGCTGGACAATTGGATTGATTGGACGCAATTCAATTACGACGCCGCCAGTCGGTAACTCATATATACCTTAGGAATTCACACCATCCCAATCGATTTGATCCCCCGCTGTAATGAGCCATTTGCCCAAACATTTAGATGCCTCAAAAATATAAATTCCAATATTGTGATCGATTTAACCCGCCTTGTTTGCATGCAAAGCCATCTAAATGTGTACGAAAGTCAAACGATCGACTCGGGAATACTCTTTTCAATTTGTTTCACTTTACTGACTGGCCAACGGTAAATGATATTGATCGAAATTAATTACTGCTATCTTTGGGAATGGAAAAGTTTCTGCTATTTAAAGCTGTTAGGTAACCTTGATTGCTTTTATGAGAGCTTCACGACTTTTTAGGCAAGTCACTCGGTAGCTAATTAATACACAAATTTAGTATGTTAAGAGTGTACAATTATAATCCTATTGTCTGAACTTTTTTGTCTAAGATAGGATCTTTGTTTAAGTGTAAGAAATCAATATATACTTCTTGATATTTGATAAAGAAACAACCAAAAACTCCCCAACTCAACAAGTTTTCATTAGGTTTTTTAATAATTTTAACATTGATAGACACACAGTTATGTGTTCCAGGACGCATTAAGTTTAGTAATTTATACGAAAATCAGTACAAGAATGATCACTGTCAAAATACATCTCATAGCTCGATATACCCTCCGCATAGAGCAACAGATGACTAACAAATTTGCATAGGCCAACATTTGCGAAGGGCATTAAAATGCTGTTGGCGCCAACGCCTCCAAACAATGTCCATGTGTCCCGGGGACATCGTGATTAGCAGTGGAAAAAAACTTCCCAACGAGCATTGGAAAGGAGCCAGAACCATCGATATAGATATAGTACACAACACAATCGGCTCGCAATTAGTCCGTTTAGAGGGTTTTTGTTTGGTTACACCTGGCGTATACGTAATGCAGCGTAAATAATTTTTCCGCTGCGAGATCGATATTTGTACAATTCGTGTAAGAGAAAAGCTGCATATTAATTAGCCTAGAACAGGGCTCACCGGCAAGGGTGTGCCATATGGTAGGTGGTTCCAACCCACCCCCTGATCTAGCGATTCTATATCCCTCCTTTAACCCTCAACAACTGACGTCAAGCTGACTGACTGTTTACCATTCGTCAGGCGATAAGCTCTCTGGTGCTGTAACAATCACATCCATCAGTGCCTGCCTTTTGAAGTGGGCGTGTCACTCGATTAGATTGGAATCGCAGGAATTTCTCGACATTCTCTAAATTTAGCCTGCCATAAATCTGTATTTCGCTCATATCACTTACTAAAAATGTCCCATTAGAGGCGATGGCCAATTCTTTAGCCGCAGATCCGGTGCTGATAACAGGGTTATGGATTGGGCCACCAAGGGGCCCGGCTAATCGAATGCCCTCCCAGAAAATGGGAAGCCGATAACGTACCTTGGTCTCGAGATTCGCAATTCAGGGAGCTAGCAAAATGAACGTGCCTTAAAACGTGTCTGTCATGTGCCAGAAATTGATTTGCCATCAGCGAAATGCACGGGAAACAAATAAATACCATATATCATATGAGTAAGGGTGTCAGCACTGAGAATAATTTTATTGTTAGTTGTTAAAATAATATTAATTAATTGATTAAAATATAGAATATGGAAAAAAGAATGAAAGCCTTTTAATTACAATTTGTAAATATATGCAATGGAATAATGGTAAGCAATCTTTTTTTTAATATTTAAAAGTTGTTTTTTTATGAAATTTTATATTTAATTTTATATCTAGGACTAGGTCTAGGAATAAAGGCCTCAGGGTAAAACTATAAGAGGATTTTTCTTTGAAGAAAAAGAAACTAAAGGTTTCTTAAGAATAGCAGTAAAATATTTTATAATTACATAACATTTTTGCTCTCTGTAAGAACGGGAATGGGAGTGGAGCCTTATCAACCAGCAGCTGTCGTCATTGGCCTCTGACTCCTGCTGCTGTCCCTCCTCCAGGCCGTCTTCCCTTAAGTGTTTGTCAGAATCAGAATGAATTTGCAGAGCGTTTCCTGGGGGATTGATGGGGTGAAGTGGGCCGGGGACTAAGACTCATTTACTTAGTCAAAAATCGAGAATCAAAGTCTGAAGTGTCGGGCGCTGATAAGCATAAATAATTTGTTTAAAACATTTCATTTTCAGCAATTATATTTTGATAAGAAGAGCGTAAGTGTGTGAGGGGGGGAAACGATGAAAACAATAAAGAAGGCAACCAATAAACAAGTCAAGTAATTAAAAGTGAGGGAAATGAAGTGGAGGAAAATCGTGTCATCTTGAAATGAAAATTGCATTGATCAAAGGGTCTGCGACTTACGCAAGCGAGTGAATCAAGGGTGTACATCGATCAACCAAAACGATGTTATGGATCGTCTCGAGGCTAGGTTATGTCATTAGCTAGAGTCCATAAAGAGATCTGAGAAGATGGAATGGGACTAAGATGATTTTGTTTCAGGCTTATCAGGGAAACACAATGACCTCGCCTGAGGTTTTCGAGGCACATCGTTATCTCGTTGTATGGTTTAGCGGGGTAAGCTGTTTACCTAGGAATCCACAGGATGCATTTCATTCATGCCTAAGGTCAGAATTAGTATCTGGAAGATACCGGATTGTCCGCAGAGAGACACCGCGTGAAAGAGAGAGAGAATTTAATTTGTGAAGAGAGACAGAGCGATCTGTGACTAATGTTACAGCCTGTTGCAGCCACAATACCAAGAAATCGATGGTCGGTGTAGCAGGGAAGAGGGATAGGGGAACGGTAACCACTTGGCCCGAACTGATAACCATGTGCTGGTCTTGGTGTTGTTTACTTACTCCCGTTCGCCGGTTCACCCAGAGAGAAATCCACTACAGCTACAACTACAACGACAACGCAACACAAAGAGTATCCGTGAGTGCCAGCGTGTTCGGTTTGACTGATAGCGGAATTCACGCGATACACATGCTCTCTTCGGCGCGATTTATGTGTGTGTTGGTGCTGGTGTTGGTGAGAGCGGTTGGACGAGCGGTCGGGCGGGCCGAGTTCGATCATATTTATAAAAGAATCGACCGCCGCCAGTTACTCAAGCAGTCGCAGTCGTTCGCCAGAACGTTCAAAACCCGCTCGTCGCCGAACTGAAAAATCGCTTTTGAAAAGTCCTACGCCCAGAATCTCTGGATCCCGTAATCGTTTCCAAACTGAAACAGAAAAACACGCGTATAGAAAGTCGACCAAACACATGTGCTGTAATTTTATGCCGGAACCGGAAAAAGCTTCGCGAAATAACCGAAAAATTCCAGTGACCAAAACGTGAACGTTAACGTTTTTCGAAAAAATCTATAAAAAAATATATAAACTCAACCCGCGCCGCACACATGACAACTAAATTGACCATGGTGAAAACGGGTGGTAAATACGCCAACGGTAAGTACCTAGTACACACCCCCACTGAAGATCGCACTGTGCTGCTGTTCCGATATCTCTCTCCAAGCCGTTCGTAATCTTGGACAACTGTCCAAAGCACGTGTCTTATGTAAGCGTCGCGATCGTTCGACTTGATCCGAGCTTGTGTTGCCGGAAACCGCTTAATTGGTTCTCTAACAGCACTCCCATATTTCTATCTCGATGTCTGGCTCAGTCGCAATGTTAGCTCCATTTCTAGAATAACTATTTTTCTTGTTGTTCTTTGAACTTATTTAGCCGTTCAGCTGGAAGCGATGCTTCAGCGGTTCACAAATATCAGAAATAATTATGCATCTGTACTGCATTATAGACGACCTCCACTGCATGCCAGAACTGCATCCTCCGAGATACAATTTAAATTTTCCTCAATTTATTTACGTGCGTTGTTTTTTTTTCGTCTCCGTGATTTTTAGTTACGCTGACAAACAAAATAAAATCACATTTTAGCACTTTCGAGTGATAAAAATAAACAAAACGAAGAAAAGCGAGAATCGAGAGGTGGCAGTGTTTCTGCGCCAATGAAATAAAGAACTTTAAATAGATCCCGCAGACGTCCGGTTGAGGTTGAGAAGCAGGAGCAGCCAGCTTGGTCAGCTGATAAGCCGTAAATCCCAAAGACAAATTCACAGTTGTAAAATAGTCCGCCATCTATGTATGTATGTACAGATGTACACTTACACGTTCCAAATGCATGTGAGTGTTTTGCCCTCACTAATTTGAACTGTAAACATAATGCCTCCCATCACAGTTGGGTGGGTGGTATAACGGTAAAAGCGACGCTGTAACCAGCGGTTATCTTATCAACACAAAAACAATGGGGACCTCCGTTCGCGCCTGGAAAGCTGGTCGTCGGCGTTCCAGTTTTATCGGGGCCCGCGAGCTATCGGTTATCAATACGGCTCATACTTGACTCACTTAGTGCTGTGTGTCCTTCGATTGTCCCACTAACGGACAAAAGTGCGGTGACTGTACACCCGGACCGGCAATCAATCAAAATATACGCGAATATACTATAAATGGCAACCAATAAACACTCCAAGCTGTGGAGCTCTGACTTTATGGAGGCTCATAAATGTTGATTGATTTGGCTCGGCCTATATGTATATTTCACAGAAAATTAGTTTACAATCGTTATTTTCGTCCGAGGTTTGGGTGTACGGGGATATCTGATTCTTTTCTGGCACTCTCCGTCTCGAGACAAAAAGTTCTATATCTTGGCCATAAATTTGCTCAGCGTTACGCCTAAGGGGAAGACATTGCGCAAATAAATTTAAAAACGTGTCAGATAAAGCGTTCTCACACGACCACGAGTCATCGCGTTCAACACGATAAACCCAGGCAAAAGAGACGACGCAACCAGGGGGGATAGAGAGTGGTCGAGCTACAGAGAGAGATAGAAGGAGCGCCACTCGACAAGAGGAAATGGAAATGGAAGTGGAAGTGGGAGAGAGAGCTCAAAGTTCGGACGACAGTTTCGGTTTCGGACGGCAATTCAAATGTGAAATTACTGGAAACACAGTACAACTTGTATAGCTTGATTCACCATCTATGGCATGATAAACGGAAAAAATATAATTAATTTATATGGAAGTTAGGTTCGTTGCTAAAATTGTTGTGGTAATGTTGGACTTTTTTATCAAGAGTAGTTTTTATCAAATAAGAAAAACAATATGTGGAATTTTATAATTAAAATTAATAATCACTTTAACATTTTATTTTCTCTGTAATTTAAAATAATATTAAAGCAATTATTTTCTAATATTATATTATTTAAAACAAATAAGATTTGGGGAAGTTGAAACAACAGAAGCTTCGGACTGTAGGCATAATAATTAATGGTTTGGAATCATACTCAAGCTTGGGGTTCAATAGACCCCAGTGCCTTGTAAGGCCGCGTTGCAAGGTTGCCAACGGTGAAGCGGTGTTGCAATATGCACCAATCTACCACCTCCCACCGCCCACTGACCACCTGCCACCCAGCCCACTCCTATTTATAAAGTCTAAGCCATTTATGGCGATCCAAAGTCGGGTTTAAAAATAGCCAAATGCACGAAAACAAATCCGCGTAAGGCCGAGACCAGATAACTACATATTGGTGTAACCATTGGTCGAGAGAGATCGTCACGTGAGGATCGGCCCGGTCGGCCGATTGCCTCGAACAGGTAGTGTGGACCACATGCGACCGTACCCTATACTTTATTTATTATAGTATAGTACAGCACCGTCTGTGCACCGTCGTCGTTGCATTTTCACAACAATAATAACAAAGACGTCGGCGGCAGGTCGGTCTCTCAATGCTCAATGCTCAATTCTCAATATTCGCAGCCAACTTTGGTCGAGTGGGTGTCTCTGTATATGTGATGTTTCCACCCATCTCTTTCTGGCCCGATGGCATGTGCGTGCGTGAACAAGATTTTGACATAGTCAAAGTGTTTTATAAATAAACGCGCCCCACATACTTACATGGCTACCAGTTTGGGCTTAGTGAGTAGCCAACATACAGAGAGAGAGACTGATAGAGAGAAAGATATTTAGAGAGAACGGGATCCGAGAGTTGATAAGGGGCTAAGAGCGATGGAGAAAAAACGCCACATGTGTTGTCCCCCCTCCAGCATTCCACACTTTCAATTCCCCATGCTAACCCTCTGTACCGATCTCTCATCTTTCAGAGAAATTCATCGGGGTGAGGCATGTGCAATGTCTCCTGTGCTTCTTCTGCCTGGCGATGAGCTACGCCTGGCGGGTGAACATCAGTGTGGCCCTGGTGGCCATGACTGACAATAGCACCAACCTGGCCAAGAACGTCACCGATCCTAGTAACACCGAATTCGATCTTTTTAATTCCGAGGTAAGTTTAATTCCTTTTTTAAACTGCTCCAATGGATCAGAAACGTTGTATTTTGATAAGCTCTCTTTTCGATTACAGAACTAAAATAACTTTCTTTTTTAACATAACTATCTTATGTTAATTCTGAGGTTTAAAGTGATCTGAAATTGAAGCTTGCACTCAAAATACATAATATTTCCAGCTTTTTAAACACTATCTAACCATTTCTATCCTTTTCAGCGCTACTACAACTTTACACAGACGCAGAAGGCAAGCATGCAAGGAAGCTTTTTCTGGGGCTACATAGTGACCCAGGTGCCAGGTGGCTACTTCGCACAGCGCTACGGGGCAAAGACCATGCTACTGTACGGGTTGGGCATTGCCGCTATGATCACGATTCTGTCACCAGCGTCCCTGCAATTCGGATGGATCGCCTTTGATGCCATGCGATTCGTCATGGGTCTGAGCCAGGGTGCAGTCCATCCGGCAACGCATGCGCTGTTGTCTAAGTGGTCACCCGCCGAAGAACGAGGAATGTTAGGAACGCTTTGCTATTCTGGTGCTCAGTTCGGAACAGTGGTGATGTTGGCTACGAGTGGTTATATTGCGGACTCCTTCTTGGGCTGGCCAAGTATCTTTTATTTGGGTGGAGCTGCTGGAGTCGTGTGGATGGTGATGTGGTACCTCTTCTCGGCGAGCACGCCCGAAGAGCACCGCCTTATTTCTCCCGGAGAACTCAAGTACATCATGGATTCACGTAGCGATGGCAAGATTCAATCCGCTGAAAAACTAGCACCCACGCCCTGGAGGGCCATCTTCAGTTCGCCACCGTTTTTATCCCTCCTGGTGGTACACTGCACCCATTTGTTCGGTTATTGGCTACTGCTCACCCAGATACCCACCTACATGAAGAAGATCTATAACGTGGATATTAAGCAGAGTGCGCTGCTCTCTTCGCTTCCCTACATGGCAATGCTCCTGATGAGCTTTTTCTTTGTCTGGCTGTCGAAGGTGTTGCAGAAGAAGGAAGGTCTCTCGTTGTCCCTCAACAGGAAAATCTTCAACTCCATTGGCCACTGGGTACCCATGATCTCTCTGATCGCCCTGGGCTATGTGCCCGCAGACAATGCTCCCTTGGCGGTTACGTTGCTCACATTGGCCGTTGGAATTACTGGAGCCACCTTCTTGGGCTTCCAGGTGAACCACATCGATTTGTCTCCGAATTACGCTGGCACCCTGATGGGTCTTACGAATGGAGCGGCAAATGTGATGAGTGGAATTGCACCAATGATCGTTGGATTCATTGTCATTGATGATGTAAGTTTTTTAAAGTACATTTTATTTAGTTATCCCTACTAATTTTAAAATCTTCTTTTTATAGTCAAACGTTGATGAGTGGCGATGGGTTTTCCTATTGGTCGCCGCCTTCTACTTCTTTGGCAATCTTATGTTCGTTATCTTCGGACGCACTGAGGTCCAGTGGTGGGACTCACCACGGGACAGTAAGCAGGATGTGGAGCAGGGCACTCCCCTCGCACCAAATGGCCAGGTCAAATAAAAACCTTGCATGGGTTGGCATACCCACACCGCATCCAGAATCATCCGGGCTGTTGTTTCTTAGTTTCGTAGTTAGTTAGTTAGTTAGTTAGAGATCAGACGAGCTGAAAGTTAACTTTAGTGACAATCGCGTGCTTCCATTAGCGATATTATACGGTAATTGCTTAGTCCTAAGGCAGCGTAAATTATTATTGTTTGCAGTATTTTCCATTATGTACATAAACAAAAGAAAAACGAATGAAAACAAACAACAAAACAATTAAATTTGCAACTTTAGAAAACGTTCAGTGTAAATAGGGACAAAGCCCGCGACGAGTGTACTCGCTGCTGCAATATCAAGTCTAGTAATTGTTATGTTTTAGTCTTAAGTTAGGAATTAACAAAAACCAAACTTGTGATGAAAAGAGTAAACTTAAAAAAGTGGTTTGCAAAAAAAGAATGATAAAGACAATACTAGCCATGAATAAAACAGCTCAACTTGCAGCTGCAAAAGAATTAAACTATAATCATTTGTGTTTTATTTGAACAGAGATTTGAATTTGATAGACAGTTGCCTGTTAAATATCGATTGATATCGCACTCTAATGGAACTATCGGATAGTGTGGGTAAATAATCAACTGTTTACACCAGACTTAGGTGTTGATGAAATCCAATTGACCCAGAAACAAACATTTTTTGTTATTATTAATATAAAAAAAAATCATAAAAAAATGAATTTTAAAATCTCTAAATGTTTTAAATTTTCTAACAATTTGTAAATTGTACAAATAATTCTTCAGTCATGTTTCCATCTCAAACTATCGTCGCACTTGTTAGAGCGATAATTTCAATAGTGCCGTCCCCACTTCGATAGCCAGCAGATGGCAATTGTTGTTCTTACCAGCTGTGTTATGTTTGGACGCTTTTCCGAGGCGTACTTCACCCCACTCCCGCACGCGCCACCAAATCAATCCAAAGCACGATCTAAGTTGGCTACGTGGAAGAGATTGCACCTGCAATATGGTGCTTGGATGCCTACCCTGTTGCGGTCGTAATGGCTATCAGCAAATCGGTAATACGGGTGAGTTCTTACATTACCTCCTGTCCCTTGTTCAGTATTCGCAATTGCGTTTGAGCTAATTGCGCACTATTTCAGGTCCTCGGTTCGGAGTGCGTCATCTGCAATGCATCCTGGTGTTCTTCGGACTGGCCGTGGCCTATTCCCTGAGGGTGAATCTCTCCGTGGCCATTGTAGCCATGACAGATCGCAATGCCAGCAATCCGGATTTTCCTGTATGTATGTAGATTAGAACCCTGCATGAATCAACACATTTTGATTCATTCAATAACAAGCTTGACGATAACAGAATTTAATTGAGTATTAAATTAAATCGTTTAATTCTGAGTTCTAATGCATATAAACCTTTTGGAGCTGAAATAAAAAGACTTTACTTTTTGCAGGAGTTCGACTGGAACGAAAGCACAAAGTCTTACCTACTTAGTAGCTTCTTTTGGGGCTATGTGGTCACCCAGATTCCAGGCGGCTATATGTCGTCAATTTACGGCGCGAAGTACATGCTGTTCTACGGCGTGCTCATCTGTTCCTTTTTGGCCTTACTAACACCGTTTTGTGCTGTAAACGGTGGCTGGGAACTTGTAGTGGTGCTTCGGGCGGTTCAAGGACTTTGCCAGGGCGTCATCTTCCCCTCCACGCACACGTTTCTATCAAAGTGGGCACCGGCGGAGGAGCGTGGCCGTTTGGTGGGCTACAGCTACTCGGGCTCACAGTTTGGAACCGTTGTGATGCTTTCCGTTAGTGGATATATTGCCTCGTCCTCGCTGGGCTGGCCCAGCACTTTCTACATACCCGGATGCGTGGGTATTGTTTGGGCATTCGTGTGGCTCTACTATTGTTCCAGCACTCCAGCGCAACATTCCACGATAACGCCAAATGAGCGAAGGTATATTGAATCCTCTGGACAGACAAGGAGACCTTCGGATGCTGGACGCGAGGAACAACAACTTCCGCCGACTCCCTGGCGGAGTATCCTTACCTCGGGGCCCTTTTTGGTGCTCATCCTTGCCCATTGTGCTAACAACTGGGGCTTCTGGACGCTACTTACGGAGATTCCCACCTTCATGAAAAATGTTCTGGGCATGGACATAAAGAATAATGGACCACTGTCAGCGCTTCCCTACTTCGCCATGATCCTGCTGACCTGTGTCTTCATCTGGCTCTCAGATGTACTGAAGCAGAGAGGAACCGTAATCCCATTGGGATTTTCAAGGAAGTTCTTCAACACGCTAGGAATGTGGCTCCCAATGCTGTCATTAGTTGGATTAGGTTACATCACCGAAGGTGAAGCCAATGTCCGTCTGGCCATTGGATTGCTCACCGCAGCAGTGGCCACCAATTCAGCTACCTATCTGGGCTTCCATGTTAACCACATTGATTTGTCTCCCAACTATGCGGGTACACTGATGGGCATTACAAATTGTGCGGCTAACTTTATGAGCATACTGGCTCCTCTAATCGTGGGACTGATAGTGTGGGATGAGGTAACATAATGGAAGATTATGACATATTGGGATTTTAATGTGATTTTTTTTATCTTTAGAAAAATCCTGCTCAATGGCGAATAGTTTTCTTCTTCACCGCTTTTGTTTACTTTATTGGTAATCTTCTGTTCATGCTTTTCGGACGCACAAGGGTTCAACCCTGGAACACTCCCCTTCCAATGAGGTCGGCGTCTCCAGGAGGAGGAGTAGAGCCGACTGACGCTACCGAGGATCGAGCACCTCTCATAGACGCATAAAATATAATTTAACGCAAGACGTAAGACGCCTGAGGATTGGTTGTAATTGTGAAACTTTTGTACCTTGAAGGCGAAGCATTCCATGGAATTGATAAATCGCAATTAGTATCGTATTACTAGCTATATACGTTTACCTATTTATGTCTACAGATATATACCGAATATATATACTATTTATGTATGAAGCATCAAAATCCTTTTTTTGTAAATTTTTCGTTTCGTTTTTATTGGTATTTGTATTTGCATTCGCATTGTTAGTACACAACGATGTACATATGGTACAGGACTTATATGCTGGCTATGTGGTATTCTGTCGTAATGCTAACTCTAAAATCTATCAACTAATTGATCTAAATGGAAATATCAAGGGTGTATGAAAGGCAGGTCAATGCGGGGAAAAATTCTTATAAGACATTTCTTACGGAGTAACATTTATAGATTATTTCTTATCTTATTTGAAAGTCTCCCTTAAAAATTCCTGGAATTACTTCGTCATATCTAAGAACTTTAAGACCCTTCGATCTTGCATTTATCCTTCCAATTGCTTATCCTTAATATATTTGTAGTTAAAGCTAGGTAATTACAAGTGGATACGGTTTTGTATTTTGGGCAAACGAAGCTGGAAAAGCTTCGACCCTTGGACCCCATCCGTATCCCCTCTGCCCCTATGTACATGATGAATCTCTTCGCCTTCCGCTGCCGGAGGTTTGTGCTCAGTGCAGTTTGTGGTTGGCAGGCAGATCTTCGGACCGGATGCAGCGTCCGCGATAACAGATTTCCGTTTCGGAGGTGACTTTGGTCGATGTAGAAGTAGCGTATACCACATGCTCCATCAGATCCTTGTGGAAGCTGTCCTTTTTGCTCTCCGCAATGGTGGCTTCCGTGGTGGTGGCCTCATCCGCTGGCGGTAAAGTTGTTTTTTCCGAGGGCGTGGCAGGACTGGTGCGCCGGATGCTTGTGTACTCCTGGCGACGCTTTCCCACGGCTTCCAGAGCAGCGGTGACAGCATCGTCTTCGCTTTCCTCGATGGCAAAAAGATCGTGAAGTTGCTTCTTCACCTCGGAGAAGATGCTGGGCTGGACTTCCAAATCGTCCACATCCGCTGCCGTGTCCATGCGGCGCGTCGCGCTCTCTTCGCTTACAGGAATAGTGGAGGTTATAGTGGCCTCATCCACATCATGGGCGGTGGTGACCTCGTACTCTTCAGGCGTTGTTGGGGAAGCCACAGTGGTGGTCAAAGCTAATGTTTCTGTTTGGGCCTCTGTGGACGGAGTTAGTGGAGTGGTGGTCTTGGCCAGCTCCTCTTTTTCGCTAACTGCTTGAAGTGCGTTGTAGAGCTGAGGTCCCAGATTTTGGGATTCGGCCGTCTCGAAGTTCTCGGAGTTATCCGAGCTACCAGACAAACGGTTCTTCTTTTGCCACTTGCCACGTCTGCTCAGGCGACTAAAGGTAGTGCTGGTTGTTTCAGTGGTTGACTCTCCAGGCGCCTTGCCCATAACTTCTTCCAACAACTCGGCAAAGGATTTCTCTGGCCTGCAATAAATGGGTTAGTATCGAGCTCCTTAAGATAATCCTTATAATCTTACTTCAGATTGGGTGCCATGATAGTGGTACGCTGAACTGCTGAACCTCCAAGATCGGCGGCGACATTGATCTCGTAGGTCTCGGGTTCATTGGTTGGTCCAGCGGTCACAATCTCCGGCTCACTCTCGAAGTTATGTGTCTCTGTTTTGAACTTGGGACTGAGTGGCTTGAAACTGTTTGAGTTGGTGTTGCTGTTGGCTGTTTCCGATGATGGCGACCACTGGGATTCCTGGCCCTCCAACTGGAAGGGTTGCTTGTAACGACGGCGCTGGGTGAAAGACGACTGTACAAGATGTTAGTATGAATCTTAAAATGTTTCAGTTTAAAAATTACCACTGCGGCTTCTTTTTCCTTTGGCTCTTGGTTATTGAAGCGACTCAGTTTACGCAGGTTTGGCTTCTGGGTGATGGGTTCGGATTCCTCCTCAGGCGCCACTGTTGAAGATGAGGCAGGATGCGTGGGGCGACGTTGACGCTGACGTACCTTCACCACTCGACGGGGTGGCAGACGAGAGCGGATCTTAGGGAATAAAATATTAGGTTAGGATTGAGTTGGAACTTTAAACTAAGAAATCTTACCGATGGCCTCTCTTCCGAGGGAGTGGTGGAAGTCACTGGTGCCTCTGTCGTTGTGGTTGTCCGCAATCTCGGATAGTTTCTCCTCACGAAAGGCGAGCGACGTGTAGTCGTTGTGGTGGTCAACGGAGCCTCAGTAGTTGTAGTTGTCGTGGTCGTGGTGGTGGATGGTGTTGTGGTGGCCAACGTGGTATAGATCGGGCTCACTTCGTTCCGCACGATGGCTTCCGTTGGACTAAGATCCTCCTGGTTGGGGAAGTATCCTGGACCGTAGTTGTCTTTCGAAAACTCTTGATAGTGCTGGGCAATCTGCATGGGTTCCAGAAGATTGGCAGGGAAAACGCTTTGCTCATTGCCACCATCAATACTGTTGCTAGGTGTCACCGTGTAAACCTGCTGGGACTCCGAGGCGGGTCCTTCGGTAGTGCCCTGAACATCGTAGGAGCTGGGGATGGCAGTGGGGCTAGTGGGTCGCCTGGACGGAGCCTTGAACACCGGATAGTTCTGTTTCAGCACATCGCGCTGGTAGTCAATGTCCTGATCTTCACTTGGCTTGCCGTTCTTCGAACCCTTCCTGGGCTTCGTCTTCAGGGTCTGGCGTTCTTCGGTTGTGGGCCTATAACGGATGCGATTGGGGTTACGGATGAGTGGGTTCCTGGCACTGGTGGGACGGCGAGTGGGGGTCACTGCGGATTCCTCTCCACCATCTCCGTTGCCAGATACATCTGGTGCTGTGGTTCCTCGGCTGCTGTATGGCCTCCTAATTCGGTGAACCGGGAGTTTGCCATTCGACTCGGACTCCGAGTAGGAAACAGAGGTGGTAACCTTGGTAACTGCAGGCTTGCGAGTGCGCAGCACAGGTCTCCTGGTGGGCCTCGTTTCAGGTTCAGCTTCGGCCAAAGGAGTGGTTGGGATTGGTGGCTGCAGCTTGTCCTTCTCTTGCAGATTGTTAACCAGTCCGGGAATATCAGGAGTCAGAGGCGGAAGTTCCGAGGGCACATGATAGGGATTTGGTTCGTACTCAACATTGCTGTTATCCAGAATCTCGTTTTGAACTTGATTATAGATAGGACGATGGTTCAATGGACCCTGCTGCTCTACATTGTTATAGCCCACATCCGAGGTGGTCACCGGTACGGCAGCGGGAGTATACAGGTTAACCCTATGCTTGGTCTTGATCCTCTGAGTGGTAGTAGTTGTGGGCAGAGGAGCCTCGTAATCTGCGGAGCTTTGGGTATATTCAAATGGAGGGCTTGTGGTATGAGGACGCTGGCGGAAGGCATCCTGCTGGCGGAAGTATTGCTTCATGCGGTGCTCCTCCTCAGCAGTTGAGGCGGTTGGAGGTCGGGTGGTCAATCGCGGAAGTTGCTCCTGTACAGGTTCCTGCACATACTGAGGATATAATTGACCACTGGAGCCTGGGAATTCAATCTGTGGTCGGGTGCTATAGGTAAATAGAGATTGTGGAGCAGCCGTAGTAGAAGTGGTGGATGTCGTGGTCGTTGTAGAGGTGCTTGAAGTAGAGCTGGTGGTTGGTTTGCTTCCCAGAGTCTTAAAGAAGTCATCTCCTCCAATCTGGTTGAGGGTATCAAAGGGATTTTGACTTTGAGCTTTGGTTGGCGATGGACGATAGCTGGGCTGCTGCTGCACTTGGACATTCTGTGGTCGCTTCTTCTTGTGCCTTTCCTGCTTGGCTGGAATCTTGGGCGAGCTCACCTCCTGGATGCCATCCTGCACATAGTAGTAGCTGAATTTGTTACCCCGCTCGGGCACCTGACCCTGAGCCTGGATCTGTGATTGGGTGGTGCTCTCAAAGGGATTACGGGTACTACTGACTGTAGCATAAGGACGCTGGGGTCGCACAGCAGGTGATAATTGCTGGCTAGAGCCGATATCCTTAGCCCTGTTAATCACAATGGAACCGACATGGGGTTCGGGAAGCAGAATCTTATTGAAACCGTTGGGCGTGCGGTAACTCAGAGGTGCCACGAAGAAGGAGACGTCATTCAGATCGCGATTGGAGGTCAGTTGCGAGAGGTAAGGTAGATCGAACTTCACATATCCATCGGGAATGGGCATGCCAGCTGGTCCGACGAAGATCTCTGGAGTCTGCTTAGTGGGTGAATCAATTACAGAGATACTATGGGCATTCCTCAGGGCAGTAACCACATCGGTTTGGGAGGGACGAGAACTGGATCGCAGCAGGAACATGGCCAGTGGTGGCTGATGGGCCTTTGGCTTGGGTTTAGCTGTGGTAAATTGAGGCTGTGGTTGTCCAAAGCTCTGGAAGATGCTCTGAGGCTGACTGGTGGTGGTAGTGGGTCTTGCAGTAGTTCCTGAGCTGAAGAAATCACTACCTACGCTGGGATCCTGGGTGTAGAACTGGTTTATTTGATAGGGATTCACAGCAGGCAGTCCTGGATTCACATTGAACTTGTTCACCTCGAAGTTGGAGTTTGATCCTGATCCTGGTTGCTGACGCTGCTGGTTGTACAGGGTGTCGTAGGGAACATATAGCAACTGGACTTCCTGATCCCGGGAGGAAGATGGAGCAGACGATGGGGCTACCTTGTTCGATCCGAAAAGAGTATCTGGTTCAGGATCCACGGGAAAAACTTGTGGAGTCACACTCTGCAGTGAAGCCTGTGTGGGCAGGGGCTTTCCTAGGGTCTTTGGGGGCAGAATGTCCTGGACGTAATTCTGTTGATGGAGTGGCTTATTCAAGGCCTGAGCCAAGGGCTTCTGGGATCCCAAAGAATGGTAGTCAGAGCCAAAAGTTTGTCCTTGCTGTTGTCCGAAGAGAGATGGAGGACTGAAAAGCGATGAGGGAGCTGGGAATCCAGCAGCTCCTGCTCCAAAAGTATGTTGAATTTGGTACCCCGTTTGAAGGGTGGGTGGTGCCTGAGCTTGCCCTTCACTATTACTGTGGAACGGCATTTCGAACTTGAAGAAGGACTGCGAAGTGGGCTCCTGACCCACTCCAGAGGCCTTCAGCGTGGAAGGAGGTGGCGGTGGTGCTTGGCGAAGAGGCAGCGCCTGACCCGCTCCATTGGGATAGCGCTGGAACTGGAAGGGATACTCGAACTGTGATCCCGTCTTAGTCAGATCACCAAAGCGGGCGCTGGGTGGGAAGGTCTGCGAGTACGTTAAAACACGTCCATTTCCCGTACGATCCTTGCTGCCATCCAGAGGTTGTGCCAAGGGTACCCAGTCTAGCGAGTCAGTATCGGATGTGGCCACATTCTCCAATTGCCGTGACCATTTGGAGGTTGATTCCTGGTTTTGGGCCAGACTAGCCGTGGCTAATAAGCACAGCCAGGCGGCGGTTAGTTGCATGCCTTGCTTCATAGCTAAAGTGCCTGTAAGTAAGGATAATAAATGGTGGTTTAAAGTAATTTTCTAATATTTGGTTTTAAGTTATTTATAATTCCTAAATCAAACTTTCAATGCTTAAACTCTACTTACTCTAACACTAAAGAAGCCCATAGTTGGGTAATAGATTATGACACGCGATGCTCGACAATTTCAAATACCAATTTTCATTTCAAACCAAGTGACCTGTTGTCATCGGTATCTATTCCAACTTGAAATGAAATAATTCGGATGAAAATACCAAGCAATCGGGCACCCACAATTATTAAAATTTCACAATGCAAATACAGAAAACGTTAATGAAATACAGTTTGTTTTTAGGCCGATCGAACTACTCCTATGAAAGGTCACAAAGAGTGGGTTGATTGCCGAAAATGCCAAGAACTATAATGCCAAAAGCTCGAAACCGGAACACCGAACCGGTAACTAATTGTTCCTTCCCTTGTAATTATACAGGTCCAAATGCAAATTTGCAGAGCTATGCATTTGAATTCCAAATGAGATCTTTTCCCAGACTATAGCCATTCGATTGCCCAACCTGTTGCCAAGGTCGCTGGGCGTTGGATGCAGCTGGTTATAGTACGATCGATTCTGGGCAAGTTTTTGCATTTTTCACGATCGTTTGTGACTGGGGGGTTCAAGTGAAAGGTTTCTCCCCGTTTCGCTGGCTAGCTAGCTGGCTAGCTGGCTAGCTGGCTGGGTTGTAAATCAAGAGATAATTGCCGGGGTCTTGGTCTTCGGTACGGCATCTGGATTGGTTTGCTGGTGTGGCAAGTGTAACTGTCGAAGCAACTGGACGGCGAGCGGTCTGTGGCCATAACTGCTCCAGCCAAGTGGCCATAATTGTGCGCTTGTTTTCATTTGGCCAATGCGAGAAATTGCAATACTTAAGGCGAAATGGTAGTTGCTGGGGCTGTGGCTTTTGGTTGCTTTGGTAATGCGCCATTGAGTAGCCATGATCCATGAACTGCGATCAATGATCGGCGACAGATTTCCTCATTGCAAAACGGTTTTGCATACCGCTGGGATGCTAATTGCATCATCATCAGCCAGCGTAATCATTGGGCCTTAACTTTTTTTATTTATTATTTTTTTCTTGTTGATATATGAGCCCGCGAGAAGATTCGCCATATGCATATGAAAACGAAAGTGGCAGCCTCACTGACCAAACCTGATAACTGACCACTGACCACTGGCCAAGTGAGCAAACATCCATACATACGTACAAACATACAACTGCAGATCTGCGATCGTCGAGCACTTTCGTTTTCACTTTTCCACTGAATTAATCGCACACATGCCCCCCAACGAACGGATGCCGCATTAAATGGGTTAAACGAAAGCAAAAGTCCGCAAAAATACAACAGAAAAAAAACCAACGAAAACTGTAAAAATAATGCGAAATATCGTAACAGCGAAAAACGGAACTTGCAGCGGTGCAGCATGTCGGGAGAGCACTGTCTACAGGTGGCACAGTGAAAGAAGAAAGTTCATTTGGCGGCCAGACCGTTCAGTGTGCTATTAAATCGCTAAAGGCAGAGCGGGATGGCAGGAAAATAATAGAAATTAGACTTACTTGCGGTCAATATTTCGGACCGCCGCTCAACAAAAAAAAAACAAACAGTCAAAGGAAAACCAGTTATCAAAAGGTTCAACAAAGCAAACATCGTCACACCTCAGTGGGTTCGTTTTTTTGTAATGTTTTTTTCTGAGAGGCGTACTGCACTTGAAATCTCCGACGATCATCGAAAGTGAAATGTGACAATGCCCTCGGAAGGCGGCTTGTCTGGGCTCCAGGTGACTTGAAATTTCCCTTTCATTTCTGAGCATACATCTGGCGGACTGGAAGCGGACTTTCCTCGCTGGCGGGGGCGTGTCTTTACGACGTCTTTCGGATTAATTGCACGACAGGCTGAAATGGATTGAACTGACCGAAAAGCCATTGAGCCGGATGTAAACAGCCACAAGACCTAAGCCGCTTAGCTGTGATCTATGATTTCATGAAGGGATTATGATACTAGCATGCCCTCTGGCATTGACATTGTTTCATCGCTTTGCTGATCATTTGGGTGTGATTTAATTGGATTACCCGTGTGCCCATGTCCACACCCCGGCACTCACGCACCACACCCTCTAATCCGCGCAGTGGAGGCGGCAAGGTCACTCCATTGTAGACTTACCATAAACAGCGGCAGCAGTCGACAGCTAACTAACTTGGCCGAAGATCGTCGAGGTACTGGTATGTAAGTGTTACTGCAAAGGCAAACCAAAACAATGCGGCATTAGTTGGCGAGTAATTAAAAGGGATGCAAATAATGATGGGGATTACAAGACCTGCCCAGAGCTCTATTCAAAGATGTGGCAATGCCACCTCTAGATACACATTAGTATCTCGGTTTCTAGAGCTCTTTGGTTTTTAATTGCATCTGGAGGCTGCAGTGGCCACGCTTAGCTGGCCACACACACCTACTCTCCGTTCACTCGGGGGTATTTTTGTTGTGTTTCTAGTTTTTTTGGAAACGCCTGCGGATCTGCAGCTGGGTTATTAGAGCGCAGAAACCCAAGAATGTGCGTGACCCAAGTGACTCACTATTGCCAAACCACTCGAAACTATGCCAAACTGGCGTGACACACCACATAGGAGTACTGGCCGCCAGTTACTTGCCCAATTCGCACATTAAAATTATTGGTTGATTGTATCTTTGTGGTGCCGAAATCCAAATTCGGAGATCTTTCAGTTACAGTTACAGCCAATTAGCGTGACTGGCAAACGACGGGCCCGTCGTCGGGATTGATGGCCACCTTATGTAGATTGTTTTATGCTGCTACTGCTGGGCTACCAAACGCATAAATTATGCAGAGCCAATGAACTCGTCACCAAACAAAAAACTAAAGAGAAAAAATCGAAAACGAAAGCGACAATGAAATGCACTTTTCAGTCTGATGGCTGCCATTCAGGGGGCGTTGCTAGCCAGGCCTGCCGGAAAGAGCCTCAATACCAGAAGGAAAACAGACGGAAAAGCACTGATTTCTTGTTCGACTAATTCTTCAAATTTTATGCCACAGCGACCCCGAAGAAATGTTTGAAATTATTAAACGAAATGTAAATTTCACGCAACGCAGAAAAAAAAAAAACTTTCATTTCTCACTGCTTTCCAAATGAGGTAAGTGGTTGTTGGTTGGTCGGATGGATGGATGGGTTGGTGGAGGTGGTTTTGGATTTGTTTTTGGTTTGGTTATTGGTGGCACCTGCTCAGCAAACCAAAACATGCCGCGGGCATTTAGCTTGCGTAATCCCAAGAATTTATGCTCAAGCATTTGAAAGCGAAAGTATTTCTCCTCGTCGACATTTTTGGCATGCGGGGGAGCGGAGGTTGCGCAATCCGTAATAAAAGCCGGTTAACCGGATACGATGGGCCGTTTCGTTGAGCGGAATTTGCTGTTTTCTTTAAATGGCTTAAACGCTTATCACTCGGCTCATCGCAAATCGAATGGCGCAAGTGATGGGCCAAGCTAATTACAAAACTCTTGCCACAGGCCGCCGTCGCCACTGAGCCGCAGATAACTGGCCCAAAACAATGTGACAATTGCAACAGAGAAATACTTAGGGTAAGCCACTCCATATACGAGTGTATATATGAAAAACCATAAAGCAAGAGCTAACAAAACAAAGCAGTAGCAGCCAACTGGAGCAGCTGAAGAAAGCAAGAGTGACTTGAAAAAACATATAGCCACAAGTACTAGTTGCCCATGTCTCAAGTGTGGGGCTCATTCTGGCCCAGACCAGACTTGTGCAACTTTGGCAAGGGGTATCCACATAAACCGCCAGCTTTATATATATATATATAGCCCAGATGAACATTAGCAATCAATCCACATCCGTGACCAAGACACGGAGTGTGAGAAAAAATTCAGTAGGCCAAGACACTTCAACTTGTCGGGGTCTAGAAGGAAAACACACAAAGACAAAACGGAGCAAAAAGCCCCAAATGGTTGCCTTGTTTCACCAGCCGGGTGCTGTCTAATCAACTGTGTGGGCTTTCCGGGGGTGCCGGAGGGGTATTTGTTGGCCGTACATGCAACTGCAAATCACGACTTGGATCCAACGGACCAAGCCAGCAATAAATGCCCGGCCTGGAAGCCATTTGAATTGAATTTGTTGTCTTTTTTGCAGCCTCAGGTTAAATGCACTTTGAATCTGATATTGCTGAATGCATGGCAATTACTCACATTTAGAATTCAGTGCGTGTCACAAGTGCTGGATAATTATAGCTTTGAAAGACCGCTGAGCATAATCGATATTAATCATTCAGATTTCGATCGAAATCAAATTGTTTGGCTTAGGAAACTACTTAATTCGTTTACTAATTTTATGTTGAATATTTAAGTTAAGATTTACATTATGAGTCACGATAACATTTTAGCTTTTATTTATTGAAAAAGACAATAATACAGAACTGAAATCACATCAAAGAGCTTAACTTATTGTAAGAATGACAATGATGTCGGTATTTATTAATGATATTCCTTTGATATGATGATCCATTTCTAAAGACATTATAAGGTGAATACAAAATTTGTCTATTTTAAATGACATTGGGCTCCATAGGCCATCCCATATTATTCAATTTCTAGCTATTGTATAACCGATAACGTTTAGATAAACAATCGATTATATTTAATTTTAGCAAATTATAATATTACCGAACCTAGCAGATACCATAACTGACCTAGCCGTATTAATTTCTCAATTCAACAGTTAATTAAAGACCGGGAGGCACCAAAAGGCAACCAGCGACCAGAGACCATTAGGTTCTGCAACACACACATTCCAGCTAACAAAGCCAAGCTAATGAGTCAAGTTTGGGTCTTAAGTCTTTTGTTTGGCCCGCTGAAAGAAAGTCATAATCCCGAGCTCAACGCTTGACAAATTGAATATTTTGTGGTTGAGTAATTGAAAGCCTCGAAAGACGAAGACCACACGGGTAGGATCGATGGGCACGTGCTGAGCGGGCTGATGGAAGCTTCTGCAGCTACGCAAAGTCATTCGCACGTTTCACTTTCATTGGCCGAGGAGGGGTGTGGAGGAGGAGGAGTGTAGTGGCAAATAAACACATCAGGCGCCACATTAAGACATGACAATAAAGAAAAAGTGAGTCTGAGCGGTATTATATTTTCTTGACACTTTCGCAAGTTTTGTTTTGTGCCCTCTCTCTAACTCACCCCGTTTTCCCTCTTGCTTATATATATATACATATATATGTATATCGGCTGGCATTGGCCGATGCGGCGGCTACGTGATTTAAGTCCGCTGCCAAAGGCTATGTTGTGGACTTTGCTGGACGTGTGGGACAGGCAATTGGCCGGCCGGCGGCCATCGCCTGCGTTTATTGTAATTAGAAAGTATTTAATTTCGAAAACGCTGTCAGCTCGCATATAAAAATAAAAATGCTCGCATAAAAATAAATACGAAAACACATCAAACAACAAAGACATTTTCGTGGTTATTTATTTCTTTCCTCTTCTGTTTGCCCTCAAGTTGAAATGACAAACAACCCAACGAATAAGTGCAGACATTAGTTCCGTTAAGATCGGTTGCCAGATCGGAGGGAGATTAGGGCAACGAAATGTCTGACACTGGGCAGAGGAGCTCTGTATGTAAATTGGCCCGATAAACAAGATTTTTCATGTCCGAAACTAAAAGTTTCTCCAGGTGAAAATTGGGTTAATGAAGAAGCTGGATGGAGATGGAAAATTCAAACGAACCCAAAGAATACTGATGGACCAGTTTCTTTTTTCTGTGTGGTCAGGGGTCTGGCCACCTTATCTTTTAATGAGGAAGTCTGCCCATAAAGCTTGACTCAACTTGACTCTCTAGAGGATGGATGGCTATTTGGTTAGATGGACGGACCATCAGTCTTTGGGCAAACAAATTGCATGCCAGTTAACGAGTGTCGGTGGGCAAAAACAAAATGAAATTTCCAAATAATTAGAGCATGAAAAAATAAACAGCAAAATTGCCAAGACAGCCAAATGCGTTGAGTGTGTGGTCTGTGTTGAGTGGAGAGCTAAAATTTCTATTCGCCTTTTTTGGCAAAATATAAGAAAAAAAAAAACTTAAAATAAAAAACTTACCGCTCTCCCCGGCTGCCTCTTCGTCGCCTTCCTGGACAGCGGCTGATGTTTCTCTTTCACTTGGCTTAATTCAATTAAGATCCTAATTTGCCCAACTCGCCAAATTAGCAGCAATTCAGGCGATTTACTTATATTTTTATTTTATTTTTTTTTTGGATTTTTTAAATTTAAATTTAATTTTCACTTTGACTTTAATCCACTTGAAACGGAAGGAAGCTCACGCACTTTCGGCAAAAGACAAAAATGAAAATGTCGCTGGTACCACTGTGCGTATACTCGATACGTATGAGTGTTACACTTACAGATCAAGTTGCTAATATAGAGTATAGCTTGTATTAACAGTTAGCCGGAGCTGGTTTTTAGCCGCGTCTGCATCGTTGGCGTGCCGTTAACAGACTGAAGAAATGAAAAGCGTCGCGGGCCAAAGTAAGTAAGAGTGGTTCGCTCGTGGTTTTCATCCAACTGCCTCCGTTGCCGTCGACGTTGGCAGAGCCGTTAGCAGAGCCGTCGCAGTTGCAGTCGACGTTGACTAGCCGCATAGCCGCAACCAAAGCGGCTTTTTACAGCTTTTGTGGGCAACAAAAGACTTGGCCAAAACTGGCAGGCATACCTCCTGGCAGAAAAGATCCTCAAATGATTTGTAGTGGTAAATTGAAATTAACTGATGAGGTGAGTTATGGGGGGATTACAGGGTGTGTGGGGGGTCAGTGTCCACAAGAATGCACTAAATGCAAATCAACTTGGGCATAAATGCTAACATGTTTTAGCATTAGTTGCGGCGATGCTGTTCCAGTTTTGCAATCGTTGCTGGCGACAAGTTTTTTCCTCTGCTGGGAAAATCGATCCGAGTCTCAGTGTGTGTGGGTCCCATGAATCGTGTTACACCCCTCGCTGATATATATCTACTATGACCATATACTATATAGCCAGACATAATACAAAAACAATTCCATAATTCTGACTCAGTGCCATGTGGTTTTTTCTTCGAGCCGTGCATCTAGCTTTTAATTGGCTTTTTAGGCTTTGCTCTGCAGCCAAGGTCGTTTTGTTGTTACACAAATTCCATTATGAGTTTAATTGAATTGTTTGTTTTGGTTTCATTTTTTATATTTTGGTATGCGTTTCCTCGTGTTTTTTATTTGGTTTGTTAAGAAACGCTTAAACCGATTGCTATTTACCAATTAAAATGCGTACAAACCATTTTTCTCCACTGACCTTTGCCGCCTTTTCATTACTTACAAATTAGTTACAAACTCAAACTCAATAAAAACTATAATTAGAAAGAGTGCCAAATGTTGGATGATAGGCTTAAATATAGGGTTTGGGCATTACCATTAAAATAGATATATAGAGCGTAGGGGAAAAGATAACCTGATATTAACTTGAACATATTATATTAGCTTTAATTCCTAGAAAGTTGGTTGAGTTCTTATTAATATTATCATGTTAATATTTTACATTTATTTTAATGATTATTCTTCATTATCTACCAGTACATTTTTCTTAGTGTGTGCCAAGTTTGTTGCCAAATATTTCTTAGCCCGCTAGAATTGGCCTTAAAAAGAGGTCGTTTTCAGCTTCTTTGAGGGGCAATTAAGATATTCTCATACCGGCAGCCGCACAGTTTCCGCTAAGCAAACAATTGTCTAAGTGAGACGTTTATGGATCGTGGAAATTGAGTTAATTAGCATATTATCCAGCGTCCGCCATTATCCATTATGCATTGGGTAACCCAAACCAGATGGTAGCTTTTCTTTCGCATTTTTCTTGTTGATTTAGTTTTTTTATATTTTCAATTTTCCATTGGCAATTGCGAGTGCATGAGGGGCATTGACAGGAGCAGCAGCAGCTTCAGTCGCCTAGCCACAAATCCAATCAGTCAACTTGTCATAACGCCTGCCCACCTGTCCCACCTGCCGCCCCGGGTGGGCGTGAGTTATGCGCGGACTGATGACGTACGAGGAAGGTTTCCACCTCGCGGCCTGAGTTATGTGAGGTTGGAGATCTTTTGGCGATCATTCAACCGCGACCGTCTCGCACTTCCGCCGACTGGTATTTCCACTAGAACAAAGCACTTTCACCTGTTTCGATCAGACCGAGAATCAATCGAATTCAATTGGTGGGCTGATGGTTGAGGAGGGCAATTAGCGTTGACCTTTTCACAGGTGTCTCACTGGAGTGGCTCACACGCCCAAGGTGGCTCTGCGAAATGGCAAAGGTAAAACAGATCGCGACCTTCAGCCCTGCTAATGAATGGCTTTTCCCAAGCTCTCTGAGCATTTTCCAACGACGTATGCGGAAAAGATTAACGATATTTGCATAAAATTCGAGTAACATTTCCCACAGTAACCCGCAGATAGATAGATCAACTTAATTGGATATGTTTTTTGGCATAATTCAACTTAATTAGTTGTAGAATCTTTTCGGGGGCCAGGAGGCGATAAGCTAGGAGGGATGGCGAGGAGCAAAACTGGCAAGACTGATGCAACACTGACAAGAAGACATAAATATCACTTATGCAATGCGAAATGCACTCGCAGAAGGAGAGAGAGAGCTGGGATGTCGATGCGTCGACGCATCGAGAGCCAAAATGCATTTAAGCTCACGAAAGTAAGACAACTTTTTGCTCCAGCAGCCTCTGTTGGTGCCCCTCGGGTGATGCCCAAAATGCTGTCCATTTGGTGCTTTTGGCCATAAAACGCTTCCTGCTCCCGCTGCAGCAGCACTGTGCTTTGGTCAAAATGTGTTCGAAATCTAAACTGGATTGCCAGCGGAGAGCCTCTCGAGCCGAAGACTTTAGCTTGGAGCGCCTCACTAGTTTCCTTCCTTGTGTGTGGATTTGGGTTAGCCAAACATTTATCTGCCGCTCGAGCTGTTGGTTTTTATGTTGATGTAGCTGATGTCTGAGATTGGGGGATCAGAAAAGGAGGGGAGTGTATCAGTGGGTGAAAACAGCAGGAGATTTGGCCGAACAATGGGTTTTTAATCAGCTAATTTGGAATATGTTTTTCAAGATTTTCCTGGTTTTTAGTTCACCGCGAAGTGAAACTAATTGCTATTGGGAATGTATATAAATTTTTAAGTGTTGTGCTTAACTGCTAAATGAAAATATTGAAAGCTAGTAAATATATTTTATATTTTTATCGTTCAATTTGTACTAAAATGTTTCCCATGCAATTCGAAGAGCATCCACTCACCGCATTTCACCTTTCCCAACGATTTTTTATTTTGGTTCACTCTGCCGACTGCAATTAAAATTTTGTAATATGGTGACCAAAATAAAAAAGCGAAATGAAATGATGGAAAATATATACCGAGCACCAACAACATCGCGGTGAAAAATTACGACAAACGAAAAAAAGAAACATTCGCTTTAAACGGTCGCATGGAATGTGTGTTTTGTCGGGGCAGCGAATAATTTTACCACTTTCAAAAATGATTTTCAATTTCACTAAACTATAGGCCAGGGTGTCGGCAATTGGAGACTAACTGAGCCGATATATACTCGTACGTATACATAATAATTATGCATGCGGCGTATTAAAAAGCGCGAACCTTAGAAACGATTCAAAAACCGAATGAAATCGAAAACGAATTGAATCGAATTGAATTTGTTGGACCGGGGAAAGCAACTGCGGGGGGGATGATAATTTCACTTTCCTTTCCCAAAAACTCGCTGCAGTGACTCCAACTGCATTTCAATTTTCCGCATTGGGCGTGTGTGTGTGTGTGTGTTTTCAGCTTTAGTTTTTCATTTTCATATCGTTTTGGAGTGGTCTCTTCAGTTGGCATGTTAATGTAGGTCCGAAAGTCTGAACAAGATCGAGAGCGATTTGTAAGCAGTGGAGAGGGAAAGCCCAGTCTGAAAAAGTCTAGTACAGGGAAACAATTAAATCCCCATGAAAGTGATTATCGAACGCAATTTCACTGCCAAAATTTCTGGCTTAATGTAATTTCAATTACGTGCTGGCCGGAAACGAAATCGAAGACAGCCTGCCACTGCCCCTGTTACTGCCCCTGCCACTGGCACTGCCTGAAAAATGTCAGTAGTCGTTCACGATGTCACATCCAGTGGTTGGCAAATTGTAATGTGTTCCTCGGTGAGTCACGGATCTACGCGGTGGCATGCAGATTACTTTGACTTGTCTCATTTGTCAAATTGCGTGCAGTGTTCAGAGAGTTCAGGGCGGGTCAAGTCAGTAGATTCAGGGAGTGCAGTACGATTTGCTGATATAATATTAATTCAGTCTGATAGTAGCAGTCACTAAGCAAGCATATTTAGTATTTAAAAATTAGAAAAGCCATAAAAAAATTAAGAGAATTTGAAATTACTTCCTTTCTTACTTACCAACAAACTACATTTGAAATGTATTCCTGAAATTCGGGTTAGCACCTTTTTCGTATAAATAGATCGTTTTTGGGCTTTGGCTTTAATTAGAGAAATGCGGTTAAAAACTTCAAAAAAGTAATACATTATGTGTTTATTTTTACTTGTTATGATTTTAATAAATAAATTGGACAACAACTAACTTATCTTTTTCCATATCCCAATATAATAATTATTTATTATACATTTTTCCTTGGCCAAAAAGATACTTCTGAATTTCTGCAATGCACTGTAATGTTCGCTAATAATGCAATGTTTGCAGGCAAATAAATTTCAATCCCAACTTGAACTATTCGAGCCGCATTCAAGTGCACTGAGCTTTTGTGGGTGCGTTGTTGACTATGAGTGAAATTTCGTTGTCTGCCAGTGTTTGACATGGAAATTAGTAGCGTACAGCGGTACGAACGCGGTAGAGAAATGTTATAATGTCTGCCTAATGAGCTTGGCACACCGCTGCGTATACTTGATGTACATACGCACAAGAGTGGGTACAAATGCCATGAACATGAACATTTTCCAAAGCCAAGCCCAAACAGTTCAACTTCAAGCTCGTAGTTTTTGCGCTTTAATGCTTCACTTCGCTTGTGGCTTCTTTGGCGCCTTTGGCTTTTGAGTTTTTATTTTTTGTTTTTGTTTTTTTGGACTTGTAAATTGTAAATTGTTTCAAAGAGACGCGCTCTCACCTGTTGTTGCTTTTGTTGTTACTGCGGCCCATATTCGTGTTAATCATTCGCTGAATTGCACTTTATGCCGTTAGATAAGGGTCTTGGCGGTTTATTTTGACAATTGACAACCGAATTATGTAAGCCAACGCTGCCGGGCAGCTGATGTCCCCCATTTGATGTGATTTTTGCGCCATTGTCGCGATCTCGATTCGCTCCACTCCCCAAATTGAAATGCACTTAAGCGATCGTCGTACGTTGGCGGATGCTGCAGACGCTCTGACACAGATAAATCACTAAAAAGTCATCACTGGCAGTCTGAACAGAGACTAATGAGATCGAATATATATCCGTGATATGGCTGTTTACTGGTTCTCTTGGGTTAAGTTAAGTTTTAAGAGTGTTGCATGCATCAACTCTTTTAAAACCTTTATGTAGGTTAAGACATGTTTAAAATATATGAAGAAAATCAATAGAAAAAGCATATATATATGTTCTACATACTAAAAACTACTTTTAAGGAATGTTAATCACTAGACATAAGACAAATATGATTCTTCTAAAGATTCTCCCTTCTGTTTCTGTATGTAGATAAACAATAATATACCTAAAGCAAATGAATTTTTTTTGATATTTTGTCATACATTTAGGTACTCCCCTAGTTTTCTTTTGATAAAACATAACGATATTAACGCTGACGCAGGCGCTGACAGCGAAGTCCGGATTGCGTAAGATCCAGGCCACGACAGGCGGGCCGTAAATTGGACGAGATTTTGCGAAACGCAACTCGAGCGGTTGCAATTTCATGCATGTCGATTTTTATGCGAGCAACAACATTAAAACAACTACAGCAACAGCATCGAACCTTATGACCATTGTACAATTTGGGTGAAAAATCCGACATCTCCTTCAATTGAGGTTCGGAAAGCAGTGATAAAAATAGCACAAGAAAGCAAAATCGCGAAACATCAAATTGTTTATTTTGGGATCAAGTATTGGCAATGCTCTAGCGCAAGAAAGGTGCAAAAAGAAAAAGCCTTAAAGAGGTTGGTGGTGGGAAAACGCACTCCAAATACTCTTCATAATTTGAAACTTACACGAGGTATCATAAAAATCTCATAATCATAAGCTGAAAGTGTATGCGTTATAATTAATTTTAAAGCCTATTAGGACGTTATTTTATTTGGCTGCGATAAATGTTACAGTTTATTAGTCTTATAAAGTTTGTTAGAAAAAGCCAAAATCGTATACGAGGTGTGTTCAAAAAGTAAGGTGACTCTTCAAATTTCGCGAATTTCAAATTTTTCGATTATCGATTTTTTTGTTTTGTTATATTGGTACACTCTTCCCTAACATCTGTACCAAGTTTCAATGGAACATCCTCTTTTGTTTGGTTGTGAGAGGCGTAAAGTTACAAGTTGTTTTGCGAGCTCGGCGATTTTTTGCTATCGAAAAATATGGATCAAAGGATTTGGATTTTTTGGCCAAAAACAACACCACAATAATGCCTCAGCCACCATATTCACCGGATTTGGCCCCATGTGACTTTTTCTTGTTCCCAAAACTGAAGATAATCGAAAAATTTGAAAAATTTGAAATTTGAAAAGTCACCTTACTTTTTGAACACACCTCGTATAACTTCTAAAAGGTTTCGATAATCGAAAAATTTGAAATTCGCGAAATTTGAAGAGCCACCTTACTTTTTGAACACACCTCGTATGTTAATATACATATTCTATGGCTATGGCATGTAATAATACTACTAAAACACACCTTTCGTAGTATTTAAAAATATTGTTGTTTATTAAAAGTCGAATATACCCCTCAACTTAGAGTAAAATGAAACATCAGTTTGGAAACTGCGCGTGCGAATTTAGTTATGCACGATATTTCACGCAATGGTGGCGATTTGTAAGTTGTCATTCATTCATTTAAGCATTCACAGCAAAAGTCGATGAACCAACGAAAAGTTCAATGGGGAAATGGAATTAAATTAATTAAATTCCTAGCCAAAATCTAAAGCTATTTTCTATAAGTGAACAACCAAATTGAAATCGAACCATCAGCGTGAAAGCTTACAGTTTTAGAGCCTCTGGTCTTGGCACTCGACAACAAGCTGACACACCCACATTTTCTAGACCTCCCCACACACAGCGCACACAGCGCAGGCCCCCGAAACTCTGAAGGTCAGGGAAAGTAAATGAAATCGAAAGTTTTTTGTTCAAGCTGATAATGGAAACTACGGCACGTGTCGTTCAATTAGAACATAAATCAAAAAGCCATTGGAAAGACAAGAGCAGCGAAAGCTTTTGCCGGCGTCACTGGAATACGCAGCGTACATATGTGCTAGCCAAATGGTGGAGCAAAAGAGAGGGAGAAGAGCCGTAAAGAACTTGTTTTGATCTGGTAGGGTTGTCGGGTCTTTACAAAATTATATATAAGAAGAAGCCATAAAACTTCAGATTGCATTTAAAAGATATTGCTTTTTACACAGAATTTGACTTTAAAACGAAGATATGAAAATTTATATTATATATATTTAATCATATATTTAATAGTTCAATGAGAAAACTCGACAACTCTTTTGTAGGCGCTGGAATGAAGTGAAATTACGTGACTAGCCAGCCACTGGGAGCAGTGTGCTTCTGACAGCGGTCCGATCGCGTAGAACTTTCGCAGTTTTTAGCCATATTCCCCTAGAATTCTAGATCAACAGGTGGGTGAGACTTTGTGGCTAAGTTGCCTATCCGTGATTACATAACATAATATTGTATTTTTTGCAGCCATGTCTCTCCGTGTAATGTCCCCCGCTATGCTGAATGCCTGGAGCCAGACCCTCGTCAGGGCCATGTCCACCCAGGGCGGCAGCAAGAACATTGGTTTCGTAGGTCTGGGTAACATGGGCGCCAACATGGCCAGCAACCTGATCAAGGCTGGACACAAACTGCATGTGTACGATATCTCCAAGCCTGCTTGCGATGGTCTGGCCGCCAAGGGAGCCACTGTGTACTCCAAGACCTCGGAGTTGGCCAAAAACTCGGACTTTGTGATCACCATGCTGCCCAATAACGCCATTGTGGAGGCTTCCTACGAGGAGATGTCTGCCGATGGCGTCAACAAGGACACCATCTTCATTGACTCCTCGACGATCTCACCGGAGCTCGTCAAGTCGCTGCAAAAGAAGATAAGTGGAAAGGGAGCCCGGTTCATCGATGCCCCCGTTTCTGGAGGTGTTCCCGGAGCCGAGCAGGCCACCCTCACCTTCATGGTGGGCGGCACCGAGGCGGAGTACAATGCCGTCAAGGCTGTTCTGGAGTGCATGGGCAAGAGGATCACCCACTGTGGCGTCTATGGAATGGGTCAGGCCGCCAAGCTGTGCAACAACATGATGCTGGCCATCTCGATGATCGGTGTTTCGGAGGCCATGAATCTGGCCGTGCGCCAGGGACTCGATGCCAATGTATTCGCCGAGATCATCAACTCCTCCACCGGTCGTTGCTGGGCTTCGGAGATCTACAATCCGGTGCCCGGCGTCTGCCCCACTGCCCCTGCCAACCGAGACTACGCCGGCGGTTTCTCCACAGCTCTGATCACCAAGGATCTGGGTCTCGCCTCCGGTGTGGCCAGCACCTCCAACTCACCCATCCCCCTGGGATCTCTGGCTCACAAGGTTTACCAGTCGCTGTGCGAGAAGGGTCTGGGCAACAAGGACTTCTCCGTGGTGTATGACCTCATGAAGAAGGAGAAGTTCAGCGTTTAGGTTACTTACACTGAGATAATGGTGGCCACAACCGAGTCCGATCCACACCAGTCCTGCATTTATATATAGCACTAAGTTTGAAGGGGTCTCCCTGTTTTGCAATTTCGACTGTGCAATTACCATATGTTCTATGCAAAATCTGTGCGTAAATTAAAGACGTATTCGTTTATCGTAGCTAGTGAAGAGAAAGAAAAAGTTCCATGCTGTTGCGTAATCGTGGGCTGGTCTGATTTGGTCTGGGAATCGTCTGACAACGAGTGGAACTCCAAGAGCTGATAAGCGTCTTCAAACATCTGTGAGGGGCTTTTTTGTTTTATTGCCACTTTTGAGACCCCAGCAAATACAATTAGTGATTACTGCTTATCTCCTGAACTCGTGGCATTAGAACTGGATTCCACATGGCGATCGTTTTTAATTCATAAAGCTCGCCAGGTAAACAGAGAACTCAAGTGAGCAAAACAAACAACAATGGGAAATCAGAATGGAAAATATGGCGTGGTTATTAAAAGCTCACCGATTGAGAGGCGCCAATGGAATATTTTGCTAAATTACTTTCAGTGCGTAGCATATAAAGCTCACAGTTTGAGAAGCTCTGGGTCAGCATAAATAGGGCTTGTAGATAGATTACTTTACTTCACTGGTAAATATATGATTTTACGTTGCGTTTCTTTAGTCAATTTTAATTAGAGCTTACTCTAGAATTAGCAACTAGGTGATGATATTTTAGAAGGTATATTAATAAGTCCGCGTCTTTAAAAAGTGTCAATCGAAATGGCTTAACTATCGGAGTCTAGTTTTGGGAATTCTAGAGGTTCGTCTTTTCTCAGTTTAAATATACGATTTTAATTTAACTTTTCTATTGCAGATCTCCATAAATTTGCAACAGTTAAATCTAAATTTAGCCATGTCATTCCATCTCTTTGCCCGGAAGAAACTCATGATTCACAGGAACGCCAGCCACATTGGCTTTATTGGACTCGGGAATATGGTTGGTCACATGGCCAGTAATCTAATAAAGTCAGGACATAACCTACATGTACACGATATATCAAAAACGGCTTGCGATGAACTTAAGGCAAAGGGAGCTACAGTTTACTCAAGAACACCCGATCTTGCCAACAACTCGGAGGTCATAATTAACATGCTGCCAAATAACGCCATTGTTGATGCCTCTTATGATAAAAGGATTTCCGATGATATCAACAAGGGTACCATTTTCATAGACTTCTTCACGATTTCCTCGAAATTGGACAACTCATTGCAAGAGAGAATAAGTTTCTAAGGAGGTACATTCTTAGATGCTCCAGTTTCTGCGGTGTTTTTTGAGCAGAGCAGGCCACACTAACTTTAAGGTGGGTGGTAGTGAAAGAGACTTCCAAGCGGCTAAGGATTTACTTCGGTGTATGGCAAAACGTATCATTTATTGCGGATCTCATGGAATGGCCCAAGCTGCTAAGCTGTGCAATAATATGATGCTGGCCATCGTCAAGGTCTGAACCCGAAGATCTTCGCAGAGATTCTCAACTCTTCAACTAGGCGCTGCTGGACTTCAGAGTTATACAATCCAGTGCCAGGAATTACTGACTCTACGGAAGCCAACAAGGTACCCATAGCATTGATCAACAAGGACCTGAAATTGGTTGCTGAAGTAGCCATGTCTTTGAGTCCCCCTGTTTCCATGGGTTTGCTGACCCATAAGATCTACAGTTCTTTAATTTCTCAGGGACTAGGCTCAAAGGGACTTTCTCAAATGTTTACGATCTAATGAAGAGGAATAAATTTTATTATTAGCACAGTTTTTTGTACTTTCAAAGATTGCTTATATGTTTAAAAATAAAAATATTTGTTTATCGCATCGTATGGAAAGATTGGCGTTCATTGCATAATAATTTAGAAAGAGAAAAGTAGCAATCGTCTGATAAGCATAGCGTGCACCTCAACACCCCCACACTTTGGTTTATCTAAACCCATTTTCCAGTACTTGAAAGCTTAATTGACAAGTAAACAGATGGCTGAGCAAAACAAACAAAGATAAAAATAGTTAAACAAAAAATACAAATCATAAAAGCCAAAAAGCTTATAAATTAAGCTTCTAAAACCTAATAAGATAAGTTTTTGAAGGACTGCACAGTTTTTGAAGCATTGCCATCAATGGTGGAAAAAGTTTTAGAAGCATTTTGATATTTTGAGCGAAATCCAAAAATATGTTTTATTATTTTTGCCATCATATATATTGAAAAATAACAAACTTAGCTTAGGTGCTAATTAATTGAGTTTGGTATGTATATAAAAACTTTGTTGTTGCTTCTTTTGTGGGGTATAAAATAGTTTAACTATCTAAAATGTATCAACTCGATCAATCGGAGTGGGTTACAGTAGCAATTAATTAATATATTTGTTTGTATTTTGATGGCTGGGCCGCGGGCCTTTACGAGCTGATTATCCTAGACATAGTTAATAAATATAAATTTTAGAAAATGTTTTGAACAATTTTTTCGAATCAAATAATTACAATTACAATAAATTTGGTTAGGTTTAGGCTTATATAGGTAGGTATGTATGTATATATGTAAAGGTATATAATGAAGAAGCTTCCTTAAACGAGTCGAGTGCAATCGAATGGTAAATTGTAAATGGAGTTCGGGGGAAACTTCGGTGCAGTACGGAGCTTCCGTGGGTTAAGTCACATAAGTAGTAAGCCTAGTTGCAAAATTCTTTGAAAATATCACAAATTGAAATACACAATAAATAATTAATCGCATTTGGATTCGCGCAAAAAGGAATCTGGTAGTTAGCAATTTGAGTTTTGGTAAATATTCGAATAGATCTTTGAGAGAGGTTACCTTAGGTACATGCAATGTTTCAATAGACTCCTAATAATATCTGCTATCTTCGTGTATATACAGAAACGGTTTCGTCGTGTAAATAGTTGAAATTTAGCGCACATTTACATTCATCATCTTTTTCTTTCTGTGTATATATATATATATTTATATAGTTCTAGGAAAATAAGTAAAGCAAACTTTGTGCTGCATAATTGAGTCAAGTTTAATTGATGTTGCCGTCTATGGGTGGAACTAGTTGACTTGGTGTGTCGCTCTCATACTTCCTCGATTCTTAACTAGCTAACTAACTTTGGTGTCTAATTGAATTCGCTATGGCTCAGACTGAGGCTCTTGGCCTGGCCAAACTTCTGCTTCAGCTGGTTGGTGTTGGCCCGGAAGCGCTGCATAAGCTGCTGCTGCTTTCCGCCGGATCCTGAACCGGATCCTCCTGCTCCTCCTCCTCCTCCCAGTGCGCTGGACTGCAGCGGCGAAAGGGACGCCATTGCCGCATCAGCGCTGGTTATGGACTATGAACCCTTCAGCTTCTTCTTCGGATTGCTCCGGGTCTGATCGGCGGGTGCCGATGGAGGCAGCTCTCTATATTGATTCTACAAAAAGTAAATGACATATATGTATATATATATACGAGCATACATTTCCATTTTCACTCACAATCTCCTCGTTATCTGGCACTCGTGAAAGAAAGTCCAGCAGCTCGTTGTTGGGAATGGTATTGGGTCTCAGTAAGCGTCTGGAGAACTTCATCAGGCCCCAGAAGAGGAGCAGCCAGCGGAGTGGGACAAAATGTAGGACCAATATGGCCCCCAACAGGAGAACCACAGCCAGCCAGGTCAATTCGGGGACGGAAAAGTTGAATGTGCTAGGGATAACAAGAAATCCATATAGTTTATAATAAATTTTCAAAAACAGAACTCTCACTTGATAGTGCTTTCGCCTAAAGAAGCCAAATAACCTATGGTATTCTGCACGGTTTGGGAGACTTCTTGGATGGCCTGTAATCTTTCCTTTATGGATTTCTTTTCCTCCTTTTCCTTGTCATCGTCGTCATCTTCATCGTACTCGTAGTCATAGTGAGCAGCTGCGTCTGTGGTACCTGTGATAAGGCGAACGAGCCATTTTCTAAAGGAGAAAAAGATTATTACATATTATATTCAAAATAATAAACCATATTACTTACTTTAGTATAATAAGTAGCAGAACGAGGGGCACTGTCTCAAGATCGCCATAAACGCAGGCCACAATCCACAAGACGAAAGCTATGCTGGATCGCACAGGAGACTCCCACTCAAAGCAGCTCCTTTAAATAGAAAATTTTGGGTATAGGAATTCGTTGGTTAAAAGTAGATCCACAAAACTCACTGGACATAACGCGCTGCCTCTAGGATATCCATTATAATCTCCTTGAGTCTATTGACATTGCGCAGGAAGAGCTGTCGCTTGAATTTGGCTTCCTGCTGGATGAGCTTCTCCTCCTTGGGCTGCAAAGCTCGACAAACAGCACGGATCTCACTCCAAACTACAGTCAATTCCAGCTGGATTTGCGGCGAGTTTCCCTTGGCCCGGACACATAGGTTCTTGTCCTTTAGTGTATACCATCTCTTGACTCCACTCTTGATCCTCAGAAGAGGAATGACTAGTTTGCCTAGGAACTCGACACGATGATCGCGGTCCTCATCAAAGACGGTGATTTCCAGAACCTGTGTGATGTCCTTGACGTTGCTGGAATAAACAGAAAATAAAGTAGTTAGTTGCCCATCTTTAGAGATAAAAATCTTTACTTACAAAGTAAATATCTTATTCCAATTGGGAGTGAGGGTTTTATACTCCGTTTGAGTTTGCAGTCGGGCATTTCCCAGTTCCAGAACACAAAAGGGATCGGACTTTCCTCCAATATCCGCTGCAGCCAGTCCGGTTGCTCCAAAAACCTTCACAGTGAGGTGACCCACATCGCGAAGATTTTGAAGGCATCTTAGGAATCGATATCGATCCCTTAGCAATTGAGACTCTCGAGGATCCTCCTTGAAGGCTTTCAAATCGCTAATCGTCTCCAGAGCTGTTGTTCCACTAATGGTGAGCATTAGGTGGACCTCACCAGGACAATCTTCGAAAGGTTTCCAGATGCCATGCGTGTTCTCGCGTTGGAAAACGCTCAGGTCAATAATGGCCTTGCCATAAAGGGTGTTTCTATTCCAAAGAGCCAGTTCCAGGTTCTGATCTTCATCGAAGAGGTGAAGATCGAACTGCTCCAACCAGCGTTCCGTCCACGAAGACTTGCTCTTGTACTTCTCATTGCCTAATCTGTATTGGAAAACATAAATTACCAAGTAATGTTACAGTAACAACTTCAGCAATTGGTAAACATAATAATCAATAATCGTTATTACGATTGTGAATTACTCGTTTCACAATGATATGCCACTTTTTTGAGCCCCCAACTCACCTGAATTTAAAGTGGGTGTCATTCAGCTTGCTGCCATCTTCAGCTAATGGTAAATCCTTGGCTTTAACTAGCAAAATGGTAACTACTGAGCTCCAGATCTGCGACTTCAATCGCTTCGATGACTCGGCCAGTTTGGAGTTGCGCTGGAAGTGCTGCAATATTTCCGGAAAATGAGTCTCGGCCACCTCCATGAGTTCATCGCATCCCTGCTCCAGTTGCTCCCGCAACTCCTCGTGCTGCCGCCTCACATGTTTGAGCACCATGCGAGGAGCCCGCTTGCAACCGGGCCAATTGTTGCCCAACATGATCGAGTGATCGAGAGACCGAAATCAAAGCGGACAGTAAATAGCGCAGACAGTCCCAAAAACAAAAACCGCCGCACTTCGCTTTCGACGCTCGAAGAGTGACTAAAGTCATTTTGAGCAGGGGTCTTGCGATTGCGAGAAAAATACACCAATTACAGAGTGAGCAGGTATGCCGGACTAGACGAAATGCACATGCACATATGTGTATGTTATGGGATTTCCAAAGGCAGATGATTCATCTTACACCTACTTGTTAATTTTGTTTATTACTTGGTTATATAAACTAGCTGCAGTATATCAGTGTTGTACTTTGACCTCTCATGACAATAAACCTTCAACCATTTTATATTTTATGTTTTAAATTTGGTAGAGTATAAAATGGGTGTTAGTAGCACTTTAGTAAATAAGCGTCTTAAAATTTGAAAAGAATTCATTTCGAACTTCTTTTAATATGCAGCTTTGTATTTATTATTCTATGTTATTATGAACCAAGCTAAGCAAAAACATAATATTCATCTAAGTCAGTCTATAGGACTGTAAACTCTTTCATTTCCGGACAATATTTACTTAGGGTATCCCCAATTCGACTTCCCCTTATCCCACCTTAACCACAATATTCCGCCGTTTGTCAATTGCTTGCTTTGGAGCGCCTTCGTTGAGCGATAACATGCAATGCCACTGACAGCCCAAGCTTTTTTTTGTTGAGCCATAGCGATCGTTGCTCTCACCACATGAAAGCTATGTAGTCATGATGAGTTTGCCATAGCTGAAAAACAGCTCAATTGTTCGGCTTTAGTTCGAGTTAGTTGCGGGCACTGGATCAAAGCTAAAGCTTCGTGGGTGTCTATCCAAAAATAAAAGCACCAAGCACCAAGCTGTGTCTAACCGATTCAGCTGAGCCATAAATAAAGTTAGTGGGTAACCAAACGCTTATAAATAAAAGGTGGGTCAAAGTTTGAGGGGGAGTGTGGTGGTGGTAGGAGCTTGTCGAGTGGCAATTAAGAATGCCAGACAAAAGGTAGCGAGACAATCGCTTAGCTCACCGTGGAAAACTGCTGGGTGAAGGGCTGATTGATGGCCCAGACGAGCTGCTTCCGACTTTCGCAAGAAAGAACCCCCACCCGCACTAAAAGTCCCCGAACAATAGAGTGAATGGATTTATGAATGCCACTCACCATTTCCTTGTCCTCCTGGCTGCGCGGCCACAGCGTCAAATTGATGAGTATCTCGCCCATGCCGCTTCCACCATTTCCGCCGGAGTCGCACAGCTGCAGGTGGATGTCCTCGGCCTTGCCCAATTCCAATTGGGTTAAGTCCAGCTTGGCCGAGCCCATAAAGTCGTCCTGGAGTCCCCAATCGTAGTCGAAAACCTAACAGTGAAAAGGGGCAGCAAGGGAAGCAAAACGGAAATTCATTTCGATTAGATTTTGATAGGTGCTGTTGGGAATTCAATTCGATTTGTGCCGTCGTTTCCAAAACCAATGTGGTTTCATACACACAAAAAACAGGGCATATTCTGGCTGTAGATTAAATTATATAATGGAAAAAAGTTATCTCTGTGGCAGCGGTGGGATTCGAACCCACGCCTCCGAGGAGACTGGTGCCTTAAACCAGCGCCTTAGACCGCTCGGCCACGCTACCATGTTGATGGCCCGCGGACATTTTCTTATCGCATATCGCTGTCCTTATCTAATGGAAACTATTTGTGGCACAGCAACTAAGCATTAAAAACCTCACTTATGACTTTATGATTTTTGAAAAGGGACAAAAAGTTTTTATATCATTTTGGACACTGTAAGATTCGCAAGGAACTTAATCAATAAATTAAAGTAATGTTTAGTAAAATTACTTTTTAAACTAAAGAAAAAACAATGATATAATTTAATGAAATAAATACATAAAATATGTGTGTTATAAGAGAAATCTTAAAAAATACGATTATCAAAAGTTATGCATCTTTGCAGAAGGTTTAATTAATATTTTCGGAAATTATCGATATAACTTTTAATTTAAAAGTTCTTCCAGCTGTTTTATAAACTGTGTTTATATATTATACCTAAAAATTAAACCGCTTAACACAAGAGAACAAATAATAATTGAATACTTTGTGGAAAACTTTCTCTTTGTGTAACACGAAGCCCAACTTTTCTGGAGTACCTGACATGCCGTCCACCCTCCGAACTTTCTCCGCACTCACCTTGACTATAATCGGCTGGAAGGGGTCCTCAATGGGCACGATGAAGACCTCGTCCCACACGGGATTCAGGTCCCGGTGAATGGTGCGCGATTTGTGAAGGAGGCGGCCGCCGACCTTGAACTTGACATAAGGATCACTCAGTCCTGCGGCAGGGACGAAAGACAAAAGAAATTTCTCGCTGCAGTGGCTGAGTGCATTGTGTCCAGTGCTTGATTAAGCACAAAGGTGTGTGTGGGTGGGGAGGCTAATGGTAATAAGGAAGGAGGTAGGAGGACGGGCAAGGGACTTTGGGATGTGGATTTCTGGGCCTGCTCACCATTCTTGTCCATGGCCACCAGGTCGCTGCCGGATTTGAGATGGACGCGCAGCTGAAAGAAGACGAATTGACGTAATTGGGCTTCGCGTTTGCGACGCAGCTCGTCGGCCTGATCGATTGCAGTTGCAGTTTTCATTTTCATTTTTCAGTTTTCAATTAGTTAGAGTTGTGCAGCACAGCAAGTCGTTGGAAAAGCGTAAATCGGAAATTTCAGAAATTCCAGGAAATTTCAGTTAGTGCCATTGAGTAAAAGAAAAGGCGTAAAAATCAAAGAAAGCCAATTGATAATAAAAGCGAGGCAAAGGAAAAACCAGCCAGTAGAAGCCACAAACTAACCTGCAGGGCCTCCAATTGCTGTTGAGTTGTCAGTTCCGGTGGCGGATTGCAGCCGGCTGAACCATTCTCCGGATGCTCATCTATTCTGCCCTCCATGGAGCCACCAAATCGCTGGATAACCTGTGCCATCTTTGCAGTAGCTCGGAATTCCCTTGCCAGTGGAGAACCACCAATGGTGGTACTGCGATGTCGTGGACTCTGCGTCACGGAACTACTTTCGGAACTGTAATCCGCAGCATAATCCGTACTTTCTTCGAGGAAATCGCTAGGTGACTTGCGACCTAGGCGATCTTTGCTCTTGGCACGACTCCAACGATGTCGGAGATTATTGAAAAATCCGTGAGTTTTCTGGAGCACACCCACACCGCTGGCCACGCCCCCCGATCCGCCTCCGGCCAACTGCTGCGCTATGGCACTCTTGGCCCTCTTGGGTGATATGTGCGGTGACTCACTGAGATGGCAATCGTGACCATTCAGCTCCGAGGCGGATTTGCTGAGATGTTTGCCCAGGCGTTGGGACTGCTGTAACTTTGGGGAGCCATGTGGCGAAATCCGTAGAGGCGGTGTGGATCCGCTGACGGTGAAGCTACTGCCAGGCTGCTGGAGCTGGTGCTGGTGTTGGGGATCCACCTCCTCCTCCTGATCCACCTGGTCAACGTAGTGGATGCGTGCTGAAAGTAGGCGAAAAGTGGCCATGGGTTAAGTGTTATTTCAGCTGGCACGCAACTCCCACAATCGATTTAACAAAAATCCAGCAAACGATTGATAAGCCAGTTACTAAAATACAACATTCACATGGACTATATACTATATACTATATATTATATATGCAGTATTTACGGAACATTGAGTGCTTTCAGCCGATTCAATTGCCACCCATGACATCACTGCTCATTGGCGATTGTCTTAATTTCTTATAATTACAATGAGCAATAAGAAACTAGAATGATTCTTGCCATTTGCCGATGCGGTCATCAAAAGTTGAGAACAAGCATGTGGAAAATATGGATTTTTTAAAAGTACTTTTACATTATATATCACCCCTTTTGCACATAAACAAAATTTACAATCGGGAATCGTATGACATTTGAGTTTACATAAATGTCAGCCATTAGCTTTTACATTCTCAATGTAATTCCCATTAAATTTAAGAAGCATCGTAAAGACTTTAAAGACCAAATTGCTGAAATGTATTTTAGAATATATTTTCCACATTACACCATCAGGTGATAACCTACTATAATAAAATCTAATTTGACAAGGAGAAAATGTGTGACATTTAAATATGTCATTTATCACATAAACTTGTAAGAATATTTTTGCCTAATTGCCCATCACATCGCATGAACATTTAAAGAGTAAGAATGTTTTTTTGTGGAATTGAAAAGTTTCATAAATTCGTGATAAGTGGTTGTTTATTTTGCTTTCATTTCCCAGTTTTCACAAGCATTTATCTTTGGTTTTCCGCAGAAAAGTGACAGCCAGTTGGATTATATCAAGCTGTACGTATTATAAATGAAAGATTTTACTGAGCTCTTTATATTTATCTTCCTGCATGCCCTCGGGCTTTCACTCTTTACCTGTGACTGGGAATATCTTATTAATTCTGTGGCACAACACCGAGGCTTGTGGCTTCTTCGAGTTTTCCGAGGACTTGAATGAGTTCCGGAGATGCAGCGGTTGCATGACATGGCCAATACTCGCGAGCACGTTCAAATTGAAATAAATAAATGATTACAGCACTTCTTTGATTGCTTTGGCTCGTGTGTTAAATTGCTATATTGGTTTATTAGAACATTTCCACACACGACACAAATATGTGGCGTAAATATATTTTAGATTTTTTGCAGAACTTTGATTTATGTATGGAATGGCACAGTTTCTATTTTTTCACCGATTTTCCAACGCGGAGCTTGGCGAACTGCACGCTGGCAGTGCCCCTAGAAGACTGCTTCGGATTCGGATTCGCTGTCTGCCGTTATGGTTTCATCCCCCAACCCTTACCAGCCACCACCCACCGCCCCCTTTTCGGCAACCGTAACTTTTGCTCTCCTTTGGCATTTGTTATTGTTAACGAAGGGGCACATACTGTTACAGTTTATGCCACGAATTCGTGTGGGTGTATGTGTGGCATTGAGTTGAACGGTGGGTGAGTGGGTGTTCGGTTGCGGGTGCTCTTCAACGGCTTTTGTGGGTGGCTGACTGTCCGACATTACCCTCTTGTATTATTAATGCCAGGCGATGCTGCAGCTGGTTTTATTTCTCTCCGATGCCGCGAAAATTGGAAAAGCGTCCAACGATGGCGTCACTAAATGCAAATGTGAGCGTAAGCCTGTTTGCTGGGATCAGCGACAAAGCTTTACGCATCCCGAGAATAAAAAGCTTTGCATATTCGGTATTTTCTCGGACTTTTTGTTATTTTATTTTAATGAATGAAATGTAAGCCAAGTCAGAGAGACAGATAGATAGCGGGGGAGGCGGTAGGCAATTCATTTGGGGGTTTAACCCTGCCAAGGACACTGGTGTTGCAATACGACTCTTGTGCAACCGAATCCCATTGCATGTAATTTCAATTAATTTAATGCAAGGAAAATGCAGATTTCCCAACGCCCACATTCAGGCGCGGCCTTTACCCCCCACCCCTTAGCCACACCCAAGTAATTCCGAATATTTGTGGCAAACTATTCCCGGAGGAGCACTTTGCGGCTTGTGTATGCCTGCCATTAATTTTCCTTACACCAGACATATGTTTCAACTGTTTTTTATGCTGTTTGCCACACAAAAACACATATTCGGTCGGGACTATAATTTGGACGGCAGTGTTTGGGTCATAAAAGTGTTGCATACTTTTCGGCATTCAAGTGTTTTTACTGCTTGGAAAATAAATTTACTTGAACCTTGACTGAGCTCTGCAATTAGCTAACTTTTGGGAAAAGTTTTTTAGGAAGTATAACCTTGAGTGGAAGAGAAAGTTCTTTCAAATTATCGCACATACGCCATGTGGCCAAATGCCATTTAATACCATTAACAATGCCGAGTGGCATTTCGTTAGCCTAATGATCACATCTGAAGCACGTGCTTACCGATAGGCATAAAAACCGAATGTTTTACCGTCCTTTTTATGCCCGAAAAATAATGAAATTGTATATATATGTAGGTAGTATATCCTTTTCACTGCAGGAGGTTCATAAACGCAGCGTCATTAATGTTTTTGTTTTTCGGCCATATCATGCTCGTTTCAATATCGGAAATTGGCCTGCGTAATCGGGCAATATAAAGGCAACATCGGACATCAATTATGGATTTGACATGGTGCACGGACTGGTTTCTATCAGAACTTTAGTCAATAAATCAAGCTCGAGGTCGGTCATCAATTATTAAGACATGGGTCAGCAAGTGTCATATGGCACTACTAATATGCCTGTCTCCCTTGCACCTTCACGTCCGTCTCTTTCTTCATGCTCACCTGTTGACTTTTACTGACATTTTAGCGGTTCTATTTCCGTACGAGTGCACTGAGAAAAAATGCTTTTTAAATAGTGCCTTCTTTATAATCGGTTATACTATTCATTTCTGAGTTCAAATGGAATATGACAGACATTTTGATAAGTAAGCTGGAGTAAATTAAAAACAAAATTTAATAACTTTTTTAAGGTTAAAGGACATTTTTTGCTAGTGTAGCAAAAGTTTTTTTTTCCACACAAGCTCTTTTGTACCCCGTGTTTTCTGCATTGTTGTCCTCAAGTCTTTTTCTGCCCTTTGGCTTATTGGCCCTATATAGTACGGGAATGACGTCACTGCCGGCTAGCACAAAATCCCCCTTGCCATTCATGGGAAATTGGCGACATAGAGCTGTCTGGATGTCCCGCTGCTTTTGACTTTGCCGGCTCCTGTCGCTGTTAGCATTGTTTGACTGTAGCCCACAGTGAGCGGGATTGTTGTGGCTCTGATTATTATGTTTACCGGGCACGCAACGAACCGAAACACAACTTATCACAGGCCTAGAGCTTAATCGCTTGTCGAGGCGTTACTTTTCTGGGTCCCCAGGTGGGCGACCAGGCGAAAATGATTAAATATCTTTATGCGTTTCTTTGGAACTTTTGGGCCAGACAGCAGAATCGTTCATCATGAAAAGGCCATATGGATCAGATATTCATAATTAGCACATTCTGATGCTGTCAGAAAGCCAAACAAAACAAAGTCAAGCATCTGCCTCGAGTTACTCTAATTTCGATCAGAAATTCCGCAACTTTTATTTGCATTTTCCCATCGCCGCTGCATAGCCGAGAAAGGGGCTCTCATCGTTCGTTGGTCTTGGATAAATGATTTTCCCTCAATTTGTTTGCGACTTTGAATTATTCATGGAATTTCTTCTTTTTACCGTACATACAATATTTTCTTGGTCACCACTCCTACGGCTTTTTTCTTGTATATATTTTTTGCCTTTCGGCTCGAGTACTGAATTATGCATACTGAATTTATGCGAATTGTGCCCTTATTTGAAGTCCACACTCTTTAAAATGCACACCAATCGCAGGACCACTAAACGAGGTCCTTAGGCCGGGATGGTATTCTATATGAATATTGCGTATACGCAGTGTGAGTCCATCTGATGTCCAGCTCGTTTGGCAGCTCATAAATGCAACACATCTTCGGATGGACTGTTGCTTAATTAACTGTCAGGATAATGGCGAAATTAAACGGGATTATGCCAGCCTTTTTGATGACCCGGCTTACACTGATGCCTCATAAGAGTCTCTAAAAGCAGGGATTACCCAATGTCTGTACGTGTATATATATACGTATATATGTCTGCCCTTGGGGATGAAATCCGGGAGTTACGTGGCTGTTGGGGAGCCACAATATGCGCTGGCCCGAAGCTTTCATTTTAATTAACTGGGTTACCTTTGTGGGCCAGCCATTTCGGAGCCAAGTAATTACAACTCACCGGCAAACAAAACAGCGAGGCGGGCAAGATCCAGAGAGAAAAACCAAAACCAAATTGGTCATTATGATGCTTGATTTTGTGTCTTTGGAATGAGTTTAAGATGGGTTTTGAAACGTACGGAACCCTAATCTGAATTGGAATATTCATTCCCATTATGCTTATGTATAAATCGTAATATTATGTTTACAAATTATTAGCAACAGCTTAAAGTTAATCATACAAGTTGAAATTAAGGTAATTTTATTAATTACTTTAATATTTATTAATTCTGAATTAGATAGATTAATAATCTATGAATGTATAGTTTTATATAAGATTTTTAATAAACATTTAAAACATTTATAATGAGTTATATAAAAAAGACTTTGATTGCAAAACCAATATTTATTTGCCTCTCTGTAAGAGAATGAGAGCATGAGATGAATGCAGTAGAAAAACTTGTCTCTGCGTGCTAAAATGTTTTTTCTTTCCCAGCTTTTCCCCCTTGATATGTGAGTGCTACTTGCAGGGAAGACAACTTTTGAAACTCCATCCTGACTCCATTCCCATCTGCTTCTCAGTCATTTCCAACAACCAATTTATGCGTTTGTGCTCGAATTTCTATGTTCAATTTAAGGTTTGGCAATTTGCAGATGGCGGCTGCAATTCCAATCAAGGAATCTATATGTAGCTTTATAGCCTTAAACAGCGGTAGATAGAGACGGAAGAGAGGAATCGCAGGGTTGAGAAAAGGGCAGACACCTCGAGGCCACCAGTGGCGACAGTTTTCCTACTCATTCCCCCTTAGTTTTTACGCTCTTGGATGTTAGATTGTTGATTTGTCAAATGGTCACATAAACGGGAACAAATTAATGGCAAAGTGGGAAAGAGAAGAGCTGAGAAATGAGCGCCGAGCGATAATTAAAAACTATATCAGGCAAATAGCACGCGACATCTAGACAGACCATAGAACACCATATAAACCGAACAGCGAGCAGCAAAGCTCTCTGCTTTGGCCACTTATTTTCATTTAGCCATGCCAACTGCCATCGATGTGCTTGCGTGTCTATCTGTATCTGTGTGTGTGTAAGTATTCAAGGGTGTGTGAGTGTGTGTGTGTGGACCGGAAGCGCAGCGGCATGCAAAGACGCCATAACTGCCATGACGAACAGCAGCTAAAAGCGGGGGAATAAGGAATGGCCGCGCCAACGTCCGCGGAACCTGTGCGTTTCAGAGGTTATCGGTCCTAACCCCTTGCTGACATGGCGGCAAAATCAAGGCGAGGGGTGCTTGATAAGTACCACGATGGGAAGAGATCTTGGGAAATGATTTAAGATACTGATTAGGCAAAAAAATATGTTCATAGATTTATAGCCTTTCGAATGTTTTCAAATACATTTTCACCATTTTCACATTCTTAAAAGATTTATTAGGAAACCGAAGATATATATAGACCATAATGATTGTTATAATAAGTGAAGGCAATTGTTATATAAAAACAATTATTGCTGAGTCATATTTTATCATCCATGTTGATCTTATAAAACTGACTTTTTCAATTTTCTTTCATATTTGAACAGGTGTTATTTTTTGTATGTAGGTTGAACAAATATCTGGTAAAAACCGTGCATATCAGAACACCTACCTACATATTAGGAATGTCCATGATTTATTTATGAGTCTATGAATGTCAGTGTTTGTTTGTTTTTTATGAATGCCTGTATTTGTTTTGTTTTTTAGTAAATGCCCTATTTGCTAGCTTTGTTGTTTCAGAAACGTCTTAAGCACCCCGTAACTGTGGTAAAATTTATGCGCAAACTAATTTAGCCAAAGCCGCACTCAACCCGCATAAAAATAGCTGGCCAAATTGTGCGGCGCTGGCTTTTGAGAAGGACTCAGCTGCTCAAGTGGCAGCATTCAGCTGTGCTATATACTGGCAGCTATGTACCAGCATCAAAGGGAGTCGGGCGGGCCCAAAAGGATAAGGGATAACGGATTACGTGAGGGCTGTTTCAAAATATATATATAACAACACGAGAGTAGCTGTCACAGGTAGAAACTCGCTTTTAGCCAGGTGTGTACGGTGGCTTATCAATGGCAATCGTGGGAGCCAAACATTTTTATTTCGCCAAAACACTTACACATCCTGACAGCTCTTTGAGTGTGTGCTGGTGTGCTGTGGTGTGTCTATGTGAGGTCACCAAGACAAGTGCATTTAAATTCCGCGACTACATCCTCCTTCCTTCCACCTCGCTTTTCCGTGCTGTGCTCCTTGTGTACGGCTGCTGGCTGGTACTCCTCGTGATTTTTCTATTCTCCCATTTAGAACTTGCACCGCCGTTTTTTGCATTTGCAGTTGGCCAAATAATTTTTCACAACACACTGCACACGGTTAAACTTTTTCCTTCTTTTATTTTAGCAGCACACACACGCGAGATGAATGGCTTTTCGGCGGGGCTAGAAAAATATGGGACAGGGTGGCGGTAGTCCTGGAGTCCTTCCAGAACTTCGCGTGGGGCAAAAAGGGGAGAGCGGGATATGCCACTGGCTTTACACAGAAACCCGCGTTTCGAGTGAGCGATAGGGCGAAACGCTCCGCACTGTCGTCCGCTACCGAGGAGAGTTTTTGCGCAACTGAACGTCCGCCGAAAGCTTTTCCGCATTTGCTGGGCTCCGAAAGCTTTTCCCGCCGAGCGTAAATGGAAATTGAGTGCAATCCGGTCGAGTGGCTGCTCAAAAGTGCCGAAGGTACGAAGGGTCCTTCAAACGGGATAAACAAAACAGGTAAACACGATTGACATTGGCGACATGGCTTTAAAACCAATAAAGGGAAGCTTTTACTCTCTGATCCCTTATTTATGGCATATATCGTTTTTGGTCAATATTCCCACGGCTAAGATGTTAAGGTTAACTTATTAAAATGAGTTAATAAATAACTGGATTGTATAGTAATAAGAATCTGTGTGGAATAAATTAAATTTTAGGTATATATATAGTAAACAATTTTGAACAATTGGATTACTTTCTCATCATTGTTTATAAAGCAAATCGTAGAGATGTACCTGTATTAGCTTATAGTGCTAGCAATAATAGTTTATTTAAAATCTTTTGAATTAGATAAGTTAAGTAAAGGTATTTTCAGTATTATTTCTTTTCACTTTTTAATGAAAACTGTTAATGTTCTTTATTTATTTATTTAGGAGAATAGCCGAAGCAGCTGGGGCTTTCAGCTTGAACAAAAATACTTATTCACCTTAAAGTATACATTTTGATCCTTAAACCTAAAAGTAATTATTATACTACCTTTTATCTATGTTAATATCAAAATTAAAGCTAAAAAGTTCTGGTTAAAGTTATAGCAGAACTCTGAATAATATTGCCCAACGTTCAGTCTTAATCAAAATAAGACCCTAATCAAGCTTTGTAGATCTAAAAGATATAAGAAAGTCCCCCAACTTTACCACTCAAACTTCCTATAAACAATGTCTTGAGAGATTGCAACCAAAAGAGAGCTGCCGAGAGAGATTGCCAAGAACAGAAGAGATAACGCTTTTGACAGATGACACGTTCGGCTTTTTCAAGAGCCGAAGCAAGCCGAGTCCCGGGCTCAAGGCGAAAGTGGTTCGAGAACTTATAGTTCCCGAACCGCTGATCAGTCAGTCGGGAGTTCTGCAGCCGGAAGCTTGGAACCGGAGATCGTTGGTTCAGAAGTTAAAGGCGGATTTGGAATAGTGTTTTTAATTATCCAAAATAAAACCTTTTTGCTAACTGAAAACTATAAATTTCAAAAACTAGCGGCTGGTTCAAAAGTTTTGAATACCAAAAAAAAAGAAAACCCCAAAAGAAGCGCCAAAAAGAAAATCGAAAAAAAGACCGGTAAGTGGTCATGCTTTAGTCGGTGTCTGCGTCTTCTCCGCAGCTTCTCGATCGCCATTATTGCAGGAAAGCGAAACTACCGTTATCTGTTCGATGCCAAGTGCCTTGCACTTTACACTTTCCCTCTGCTCCTTCTCTTTCTCACCCCCTTTCACATCGTCTTTCTGCACTCGCCAAGAACTTCTGCACTCTCGTTACACTGGTTAACAGGGTTTCGCCTCGATGCCCATCGAAATTCCACTGCGCCATGTGTTTCTGTGTGTTGGTTTTTGAGTTTTGCATTTTATGGGAGAAGATACACTTTGATCCCGAGAACAAATTTTGTGATAATTTTATTATTTTTGTTATTTTATTGAGAATTCGCGTATTTTCTGGGCGATGCAATAAGCGCTATAAATATAAAATAAAATCATTGTTATGCTTGTGTAACTATATAATATATATACCAGATTTCTTTCATGGCGGCAAGAATAAGAATGGATGCCTATCAACAAAAATAAGTACAATTTAAAAAGTAATTTATGTGAATAAAAAAGTACGAATGAAAGTGGAGGGACTAGCCTAGCTAGATTAATTTCAAATCACCAATAACCTAACTAATAACCTCACCCACACAATGATTATACCGAGACGGAGATCTCCCGTAATCACCGGAATGGAACTATTCCTCGAGTGTTTCCATTCCCTCCAGGCGGAATCGTACAAAGTTCAAAACTGTCTAATTCTAAAATACTTAATTTGTTTTGATTTTTGTTGCTGCCGCCGCTTAGCTTAGGTCTTCTTAATTTTTCCTGACATTAGGTTAGTCATTGTCGGCGGATCGGCATTAGTGTGCTATATAGGCGACTATAAGTTTTGCCAGACGGCAGCAACAAAAAACAAAAGCGATTCTCAATCTCAAAACTCAAACAAGTGCGAAGTTCCGATCCGCTTCGATAAGCGATCCACTTTCGGTTCCTCTGGCAGACGACCTCGCATTGTCAGGTTTATTAATACTGTATTACCGTATTCTCCGGTTGTTCAGCCTCTAATCACGCGGCAATCCCGAATTCTACGGATACCTTAATGGCTCACGTAGTAATTGCCGAGAATGAAATTGCCATCAAACGGAATATATGCTTAATAATGGACGATCTTCCAAGATTAGGGACTATGATTTTTGACTTGTAAAAAAGTATGAATTGAAGTAAAAATGCTTTAGTCTATCTTTAGTTTTTATTTTCAGTCATTAAATTTTAATTTCTCACAGCTTTTAAGACATCAACTCAAAGTTGAAGTCTGCTAAAAAATATTAAAATAATAACCATGATTAGGCGGTAAGGTAGTGAGTGAGAGTGGCATAATTATCTCTTTTAAATAAAAACCAATAAAATGCGTATTTTTATCAGCAAAGATGGCACAAGAGACGGATACGGTGGCGGCAGCCAAGAATCAGCACCCGCGGGACCATATCGATGAGGATGAAGTCAGCGAACTGCACAAGTCGCGCAACTTCTACGATCGGGTTCGGGAGCAGGCAGAGCGATTTGCCAGCACCGAAATTGGCCAATTCGTGATCGAAAGGGCTGATAGGGCTCTGGTGATGATCGAGGATACGGCCAAGTGGAGTCTGCCAGTTGGTGAGGTCTTTTCCCTGTATAAGCTCAAGCTATATTTTAAGACCTTTTTCCTCTTGAAAATAGAAAAATCTTCTGCTCCTTTGGAACGTCCTTTGCCATGGGCACCCTTTCTCATGCTCATCATCCTGCTGCGACTCACTCGTATTTGGTTATCGGTGGGGGCCTTAATGATCGGCAATGGTCCTATATCCCCCTCCGACATGGTCTACTTCATACAGACCAGACGACGCAAATTGCGCGCCATCCGAGTTCATGGCCTGAAGGTTATGAGGCATCGTCAGCAAGAATCTTCCTACGGCAGTGGCAAGGGTCTCACAAAGAAGCTCACCCAGTGGTTTTCGCGAGCCATGTGCCGTCCAGGAGTTCAGCAGGATAGCAGCAGTCGACGGGTGTTTGTACGTCACTCAGAGCAGGTGAGTTTCTGGAACTACAAAAGGTTTCCAATAACAAGTCTAACCTCTTTAATACAGGGTCTCAGCAGCTCCGTAGTTAAGCGTCCACGGGAGGAAGACTGCAATATCGATGCCGATCACAACTTAACCATCGATCAGATGCTAGCCAAGTATGCCAATGCAAACTCCGAAGACGACTCCGACTTCGTGCCTAATGAAGAAGAGGATAAGAGCAGCAGCAGCAGCAGCAGCGGGGATAGTGATTCCGAATCTGGCTCCAGCGAGGGCATAAGCAGCGGTGAGACGGAAGACCTTATCGACCAGGTGAGCATATATCCCAAGTCCAAAACTTGGAATTTCATTTAAATAAGATTTCTCATAAGGTCAAGCCAAAACCAGCTGGAACTGTTGTGGAGAATGGAGTGCACAAGGCTGAGGAGAAGGAGAAGGAGAAGGAAAATGATAAGGGAAAACTGAACATAAAGACAACCAGCAATGGCAACAACGACAAGGAGCAGGCGGAAGTTGGTAATGGACATTGAACTTGAACATTATTAAGACTCTCGTGCGTAGCCCCCTAAGTCTAGGTTTAACTCCAAGTATCGATTATCGATTTAAGCGTAGATGAAAAACTGAACTTAAAACGTTGTCATGAAATACAATACAATACCGATACACCAATATATAGAGAGAATTCAGTCATTTCCGTAGATCCATCCATCCATCCATTTGCAGGCCCACCAAGCCTTTTGTGAGTTTGGCCCCTCGTTTCATTTCCTTCCCGATGCCCTGACCTCGAATCTCTCTCTGTTTCTCCCCCATTCCCACCCGAATGATAATGATAGCTGTTGCTGCTACTGCTGCCCAGCAGAATGAGGATTGGAAATCATCGCCGGGACACATTAACGCCGCCATGACGAATTCTCGACTTTACAACAATACCGCCGCTGCAGGTAACTAACGCGAGAACCGCTCCTCGTGGTCCCAATTAACATTTTAACGTTAGTATTCTGTCTCTGTTTCTGTTACTCCGTGCATGTGTTCAAACACAACAGCCAGCACTGATCCTGAACCAGAGCCTGAACCTGAACCTGAACCAGAACCTGAAACCCCATCCGAACCTCCATCCCAATCCCAAGCCGAAAACGATGAATCCGACGACGATGAGGAAGATAGTTGCAGTACCAGTGGCAGTAGTCAAACCGGGAGCACTGTCTACCAACGGGATGTCCAGACCATTGAGACCCAGCCAGATACCCAAGCCGAACAGATCCTTGAGGTCGCCGCCACACTAACTGCTTTACAACTATCCAATTATCCCACAGTCGACACCCTAACTCCTGCAACCTCCTCCGAAGATATATTCTATAGCCCTATCGGTCTGTTCCTCACTCCTAGTCCTTAATGCATGTTGCTTAATTCTATGGATTATAGAATCATAAAGAATTATCTCAAATATAATGTACTTATTTTCTCATTAGGTTCACCCACTTGCTTCAATACTAGCCTAGGTACCCAGGCTCAACATAAGAAGGCCAGCATCCAAACCGTCCTGGGCAAGTAATAACATTTCTTTTACCTATTTCAAAACTGTCTAATATCACTGTGATCCTCAGCCCACTCCACGCCCACTTTGGTGCCAAAAGATCAAGCCACTGAAGAGGTTGCCCAAATACCTGAACCCGAGAAACCTCAGCCTCAGCCTCAAATTCCGAAAGAGATCCATCAGCAAAACCAGCAACAACGTCAGCGCAATCATTCCCACCAACAACGCTATCGTGGACGCAATCGTCGCTAGTCTTTGGATCTATATCTATATCTATCTATTATATACTTCGATTTTCCTCCTAGCTAGCTACTTTTTTCTATTTTTTTACATTCCCATATTGTTAGTGAATACTGCGAGTAAATCTCTGAACTTAATTGGATGTCTGTACTTCAGCTTAGGTTACATATCACATTGAACCACCGACTGGTTCTAGTTTGAAGCGAATATCCCCGCAGGGTGCCAGGATAATGGTGCTCTCATATTGCATTGGAGTCTCGGGCAGCCAGCTGGTTTTGTAGTTTCGAAGAAGTCGCACTAAAAGCGTCTCAATCTCCAGTTCCGCGATCCTCTTGCCAATGCAGGTGCGTGGTCCAAAGCCAAAGGGAAGGTATACAAAGGGGTTACGAGACCGGGCAGCTGGACATGCTTGGATATCAGGAGCTAGGTCGGTCTTTAGCCATCTCTCAGGCATGAAGTCAGCACTCTGGGCAAAGTACTTATCACTATTAGATAGTTCTAGTACACCCATCAGTACTCCAGTGCCACGAGGAACCTGATAACCCGAGAGCACTAGATCCTTAGTCGTAATCCGGAAATTTCCAGGTGTTATAGATGTGATTCGCAGACCTTCCTTTATGCAGGCCCTCAAATAGGGCATGTTTTTGGTATTCACATCCGTCAAGGAGTCCTTTGGGCTGGGCAATATACGAAGTAGTTCCCGACGCAGCTTATCTTGCTTTGAGGAATTACGAGCCAGGTGGTAGAGGATCGTAAGACAAGCAGAAGAAGTCTGAAAGATGAGTTTAGGAATAAAATCATTGTACCATCAAATGGTAGTTATTCTTCATACCGTATCGATTCCAGCCATTAGCATATCCATAACCATGGCTACAGCCACTTTTTTGTTAAGTTCCAGCAGCTGCTCCAAAACGCATTTAGTCTTACGCTCTTCATTTGTCCGGAACCTTTTCATAGCTGTCTCTATATAGTTAGACGTTATATCGGTGATATCATCATATGTTTTCAGGAACTTTTTAAAGCCAGGTGTCTTATAGAAAGGCCAAATAGAGGGCTGTACATCGTACTTAAAGCTGTAGTTGAAGAAGTCCCCCATATGCTTAGCCAGACGATCGGCATTAGGATCAGGATTATCACTTAGCAGACCCATGCGTGTATTTATGGCCACAAAGCTGATGGACTCGAAAGCCCACATCTTGAGTTCGTTGTGAAAATCATTACTTATAGTATGGGTCTCTGGATCTCGTTGTGTTTCCAATCTGAAAAGGAAAAAAGTTAACTTTAAAAATGTTTAATTTAATTGGCTGTTACTTGTCTATAAACTCCTTTGATATCTGGTCCAATTGCGGTAGATTCTGGCGAACATTCTGCACTTTCATAAGAACTGGATTCACCTTGTTGCGAATATCAGCCCAGGCCTGACCCTGACTAAGAAGGTTTTGTATTACGAATGTAATATTTTAGATTAAACGACTAATAACTTACTCAGATACCAGACCACCAACGCCTTTAAAAATATCTGGTCTATGAATCTTGCGATAGTAATTAAAGCTTTCTAGGCCTATTCTGATAGGCCAAACACCTTCGTTGCGATAGGTCACCTCAAAGTCCTCTGGATTGTAGGTAAAGACTACATTGGGTTTTCCCATCATTCCAGGGATACAGTAGATGTCGCCATACATCTCTCTCATGCGGCGATTCATCTGAATCAAATTGGTATTCCGAAGGGCTCCTTTAAGTTTAAGGAATTAAAAAAGATTATCATAAGACATCTTAAAAAGAAAACCATGACCATACCTCCCGGCATAAAATAAGACAACATTCGCAAGGCACTGGGACCCGGCATCTCACCGTAGGGTCTGGCCTGTTCCCATTTTGAAGTTTCCACCAATTCCAACTGGGTCTGTGAAAAAGAATATAAACTCATTGTTTGTAAACAAAGTTTCGCTCTTTGAAAGCTTTTTGCTCTTTTTGCTAATTTCTCACCTGCTGATTGAGTGTTCCACCCACTGAAATTTTCCGTGTAAAACACAGCTGATTGCCTGAAGTGTGTCGTATAATCTTAGTAGAAATTTTCCACATTTTATATAGTCTGAAACCGATAACTGGTTTAAATTAGTATATATTATTTATATACTATAAAAGCAATTATAATTAGAAACGAATTAAAAACTGCCGGGGTATGGCCGAGCAGCAACCGGTGGCGAGAAATTGCCAACAGCAACTGAATCGAGGAAGAATAGTTTCGAGCTTTTTTCTCTTTAACATTAACAATAAAAGCTTTTTTACCCTCCAAATTTGTTAGGTTTAAAATATATTAATAATTTATAAAAAAATATTTTGGGCTCCAAAAATTGCGTAAAACGGAAAGTTAGGCTAATCTGAATCCATTTTTTCCCTGCTTTTATGAGAAATTTTACTGCCATTCAGACTAAATTGTAATATTAAATATCTTTAATGTTATTTAAAGTTTCATTATGTTTTTAGTAATTTACCGCAAGTTACTTGACATAGCCAGCCCATTGTGGATTTTAACAGAGGTTTGTGTCCAAACTAAAAAGCTTTTTAGCCAAAGCTCAATTTTGAAAATTGTTAAGACATTAATATTATTAATTATTATTATTAGTTATTTGTGATGACAGACTCTTATCGACAATAAAATAAAACACCTTTGCAGATTTTCCGTTTTTCGAATTACATTTATTTATTGCATGCGTAAAATTTTCCATAGCATAAAATGTTGATTCTTCTTGGTTTTCTTACAATTTGTTGAATTTCTATACGAATTTTCTTCGTTATTAGTTAATTTTTGTTCTTTTAATCAATTTTTGGAATACTTTTTGTATGTATGTACATTGAAAGTTTGAATAAATTGCAAGAGTTGAGTTTTTCATTAGAGATTAAGTTAAAGTTAAAGTTAAAGAAATAGAGAGTTGACTTTTAAGGTACATTATAGTTGTTGAGTTTTGCACGTTCAATTTAAGTAGACAATACATCAATAATATCAATATATCAATATCAATGGAGGATCTAGAGTTGAGTTAAACTTTTGATATGTATTTTGTATGTAATTGGCGTAGTTCAAGTTAGAGGACAAAATGTGACTACAAATTGCTCTTTGAGTATATATATTAATATATCATTTCGCATTACTTTAATATATTTATGTATATTTATTTTTGAAAACGGAAATTGGTTCCATTTTGGTTTTTCCTTCCTGGGCTTCGGTTAAATGTTCTTATCGCTTCTGTATAAAAATATAAACAAATTAGAAATGTTCGTTGTCTTTGCTACTATATTTTTTTTTTGATTGGTTTACAGAACTTTTAACTAAAGTTAGTGAGTGTCTACCAAAAAAATGAAATGAGAATAAAATATTCTGCGGAGGACCTTCAGTCTTGCTTTAAATTTATATATTGCTTGGTTAGTTTCTTTCCATTCGTGGTTCCTTTGTCGTTGAGAGATCAGCATAGGATGTATGTATATAAGGAGATACACTGTAAAAAACAACATAGTCTATTTTCGGTACTTTTGTTTGCTAGTATTCTGTGTGCTGAAGATCCCTATAAACTGGTACACGAACCAAAGGGGGCGGTATGTATATAAATATATCCATATAAACCGAAATTGGATGGATCGTCACCGAAAGTGTTAGCCTAAGTTGAGTTTTACACATTGAGTTTGATATGCATACGAAATGTTTAAACTTTAGCTAAATAGCTGATAAGTGTATAATATATATATATATTTAGTTTATCTATAGGTAGAGTGGCCGTAATTGATATGGTTTTTGGTTTCTTCTTTTAGGAATATAAAATAATCTGTCTTAAAAATGCATTAAAAAACTATCTTTGATAAACTTATCACTAAGTGGGTGCAGTATAATTATCTAAACAGACATAACTATTCTTTTTGGTTTAGGCAGTGCGTTATTAACCTAGGATATAGCTCTATATATATTAACTAGAAGTTTGTCTATGACGATTCCGTGACACATCGCGCACTACAAACTAGGTCAAAATCAAAGTCATTTACAACAAATTTGATGCTCGACTTATGTTCTACGGTACGTTTGTATATAATATATATATATATATACTTTATTTTCTTGTATATTTTGCCGACGATTGCAGCTGATATGTTTCGATTTCATGGTTGGTTTAGCTTTCGATATGTAACATAACGTACGAATTGCATTAGTTCAATCATATTCAGTATTCAAGTTGCTTGAGGACTTCGAGTACCCCTGATATGTATGTATGGTTGTGTGTATATAAGTGTGTATATACTACACTATACTATATACTATACTAGGCTAAAGTGATATGTTTAGTTTTGTTCATGTTTCTGTACGCACACATTTAATTCAGCCGACTGTTAGTCTAAATACACTTTTAATTGCCACTTCACTCCCCCGTCGATTACTCTCTCCCTCTCCGTGTACCCACCCACAACCACACACCGCAATCATTTTCAATTTGTCCTATGCTTACATGCTATAAAATCACATTTAGTTGCTTAATTAATTTTTATGCTCTCAGACACTCCAGCTCACACACGCACAAACGGAGAGAGAGAATAAATATGTAGAACACAAACAGACGTAGAAAACGTGTAACCTTCGAACATCATGTAGATATTGCTTTTCATTTCGCCAGATATATATATATATATATATTGGTTATATATATATATACGATATGTATGCCCCATTCATGCACACACATACATTTTCATGGCTTGCTGCACACCAAAATGCGTGCAGTTTATTTTTTTTATATGCTGCTCCTTGTTCTTTCGACTGTTCTTCGCTGGTGTAAAGGCAAATTTGCATGTGGTAGTGCTGGTAATGGTGGTAGTGGTAAGTGGGCGGTTGGGCTGGCCTCGGAAAATAGGAATGCAATTTTTCAATACGCGCACATAATTGAACTGTCAGAGCTGCTCGACTCGGCCAGGCAGAAATACTGCGAACCGCCCCTTCGCAAAAATATGCAATGGAAAATGCCAACAGAAAGTCCACGCTTTGCCTTTTTTTCCCTTCTGCCTTTTCTATGGGCTGCTTGCTTCTCCTCCTTGTAATTAAATTGGCTGCACAGCTAGCCAAAACGATTGACCAACGGCAGATTTATTGGCAGACCAACCGCCCAGCCACCGACTTTTCATTTGCCCTCCAATTTCCTAGTTTCAAATTTATTCCTCCGGCCAGCCCAGATCCTCGCCCACCAGCTCATAGAACCGTTGATTGTACTCAGCAAAGAACTTTCGCAATCTGGAGACCACCACGGGGTCCACATGCGGATGCTTCCTGCCCTTCGTTTCTCTTAAGCAGCGATCTCCGTTGTCGTAGCGCAGGCAGTAGAACCCCTTCGTCTCGTTGAAGTAAAAGTGCTCGCTATTCACCCGATGCTCGATGCCTGGAATTAAAAAATAATATAATATTATATTTGCAATAATCTCAAACTATTTGCTATTATAAACTATTAGCAATGTAAAAATGTAAGCCTACATAACAACAACATGATATTAAGTCCAATTTAACAGAATTCTTTACAGCATTAAAGACTGTTAGGAAGTACCTAAAAGTATGCTAAGATATATATATATTTTAAGTACTTCATTCATTTAAATTTATAAGAAAAGTTTAAAAATTCTGTTTTAACTGCAAACAATGGAAATACTAAAGCTTTAAACGTTCTTTTAACTTAATACAATTTTATTAATACTCTTCCAAAAAAAGGGAATTTCTTAAAATCAAAAATATTACCTAAAACAACCTGCAAAACCAACTTACCCAAGAAAGCCTCGATGCGTTTCAGCTGAGAAACCGGATCCTCGATGAGGCGATCCCCATTGACTACCAGGAGTTGCTCGCGCGGAAAGACCTCCAGCCAGCGATGGAGGTGGACATGGTACATGGAGATGCTGAGCGGTCGATAAGCCTCGTTAACGGTGCCATTGGGAAATATGGCCAGCTCCTCAAAGGACCTGCGAACGGGTGAGCGAGATGAGGGTTTTAAATCTTTCCTTTTCGACAAGGACGGCAAATTGAATTGCCAACAGCTGCAAATGAGCAGCGCCCTACTCCTTCCCTTACTCCTCGACCCTGTTAAACAGAGTCCTTGGCTCCGTTTGCTCCTCATTCCTTGCTCTTCACTCCCTCTGTCAACAAGTGTGGCCGCAACAAGAAAGTTTCCCCATCAGCAGAACAGAGACAGAGAGACTGAGAGACAAAGAGGGAACGAGAGCGAGAGCCAAGGACAAGAGTCGCATTTTGGGCAACTTTCATTTGCAGTTTGCATTTCATTTGCATGTCAAGCAGTAGCCAAAAGGGAGGAGTCGAGGAGTCGAACGAGGAGCACGGGGAAATGCCTCAGTTCACTTCACTTACTTGGCTGCCATTTGGGCGGCGCTTGCCATTGGCGACAATGTTGTCGTGGTCATCCCAGCTCCACCTCCTCCTCCTCCGCCGCCAACCACCACCTGCCTTCTGACCGAAGAAGAAGATCCCGTTTTGCTTTTGGTTTCCTTGGCACCCGCCCCACTGCCACCCACCAGGGCATTGTCATAGCCACGGGCCGACTGCAGTTTGGCATATAGCACCGATTGTAACGGCATCTTGGCAGCTGCGGTTGCCCCCCCGCCAGAACTCTCCCTGGGACTGGGTGGATCCTTCTCGGCCAGCGGCAGAATGGCGGTGGCCGCATGGCTACGCAGCTGCGTGTAGTCCGAAATGGCTCGGGTCACCGGTTCCCGGACAATCAGCAGCAGCTTGATACTGGCGTTCATGGCTCGCACTCGTTCAGGAACCTGAGAATTAACGAAAAGATGAAAATTTATTTTCGGTTTTATAAATCATCTTAAGAAAGAAAACAATACTTTTTCCTGCAAAAAGGGGATGTTTGCTATTATAAATTATTAAAATATCTCCTGTGAAGTTGGTGTATAAAGTAAATTAAGCTAAATTAGATTTTAAATAGTCCTTTTAGTTTTAAAACCAATCGCCTTTAAAGGGCCTTTAAATAGCCAAAACACCTTTTTTGCCAGCCTGTTTGTCAAGTTTGAAACTACAAAAAAATAATTTATTTCATAAAAGATAGGGAATATTTTTATTTATTTTCGTTTACCGGCAAAACTAATAGTTTTTTCATCATGATTGTATGCAAATAATAAATAAACTCCGAATTTTTTCATTAAAACATAACAATAACGAAAAACTCATCTGCTCTGCAGCGAATTTAATTACTTTTCTAGCTTGAACAGCAGAAAATTGCGTAAACTATAAACTATAAAAAACTAAAGAAATGAAATGATTAATTTTATTCTATGCAGAACTTTTCCTCTTTTTTTCTCAAGGTGAAGTCCGTGTAAGCCGAGCTTCTGATGCTGGGGCCTCGGTCTTTCCAATTAATGAATTTATGCCGGGTTCCAACAATCGATAATAATTGCAAACTCTGGCTGAAACACTTTCAGTGAGGCTTGGTCGCCCCTTTTGTTGGCTTTAATTTTCTGGCTTTGTATAGCAGCCCCGCCCCCTTTTCCATGCCGTCCTTCTTTAAGGCCCCCCCGCTGTTGCACTTCCGCAGCAAGTGTGCTGTGAACAATTTAATTAAGCCGGAAAATATTGCCGTACAATGTTGGCAGAGCCCGGACTCGACTCCGCCGGGGTCCTTGAATTTGCCACGTTGTATAAATAGCCTCGCAAATGGGCGAAACGAGCCGAGTAAATAAACTTAATCAATTTCAATAAGAGCCACCAGGCCGTGCAACAAGTTCATAACTTTTTTGTTTCATAATTCTTATTTTTTTTAATTTTTATTTCACTCCCCAGTGTACTCAAGCGTTTCAGAATTATTCACGTTGATGAACCATTTACAGTCCAACGTTTTCCCCCTTGGGAATATGCATTTCGCGTGAATCTTTAATGCAGCCAAAATGCATTTGACATATCAGAGTTCACGAACCCCGCGGGGAGAGCAGATCGAGGGCTTTAGTTTGAGGCCAAAGTACGCCGTTGGGATATACATTATTTATGTTGCTTCGCTGGATAATTTGACATTTTCCGCGCTGAGTGAGATCCGCTTGGATGGGATTAGTTGGCCCTACGTTGCATCCCAATAAATATTAATAACAGCATTAATGAAGATTTATCTACATCAAAGTGAGAGAACCCGAGCAGGAGCTACAGTCAAGTCCAAGCCCATCCAAGTAGCCAGACAAATTGAAATGATGCATCAACTGCAGTTGAGCGACGAACAAGGCAGTTAAAATTGAAATGAAACTGGATAAAATATTGCCCTGTCAGAGGGAGGCGTCCAGGATGCTAGCCGAAACGCCCACTTGGCCCACATTTTCAATGTGACACATGCAACATCCGGCTCGCAGCGAAATTGCATCAGGCCAAAAACCCAATTTTGTGACACTCTGCGGGCAACAAAAACAAGGCGACCGGAAAAGAAACAATAATAAAACCTGGCCCCGAAAAGCGATTCTGTTGGGTGTTAGACGTTGCCGTTTGCCAAATGAATTTGCAAACATTTCCGCTCCGGGTCCGACATGGGCACGGAAATTGGCTGGGATGGCATGGCCAGCGTTTCACTTTAATTTGATAGATGGACATCAAGCCATGCCAAGCAACCATGCCGGCAGACAGTTAATTAATAATCATGGGCTGACCTGGCCAGAGAAAGCCAATTCTAATTGCCAATTAGAGATCAAAGCTAGACCAGAAAAACCGGAGTGTCCACAAGAAAGAAAGAGAGTTAGAAGCCACTCACCTCTGGTGACACAAAGTAGCTCGGGCTCTTCTCGATGGTTATCTGGCCCCGGAACGAGTGCGGCATCTTCTTGCGATACCATTCCAGGCCCTTCAGGTAGTTCTCGTCCCGATCGAAGAAGTGCACCTCGCCACCAGCCTTCTGGATCCTTGGATGTAGGTAGAGCATCTCCAGCAGAGCCCGCGTTCCACACTTTCGCACGCCAATGATGAGTGCCTGGTGAGTGCCGGAAATCAAGCAAAAATGCAAAATGCAGCAATTAGTAAGGGGCCTAGACGGACTACAGTCCTTACTCTTATACAGTAACACTTGCATATATAAGAACTATATCTTACAAGCTCTGAAAACATCAACAAGAATACTTTGCTGGGTTTTCCTAGCTACAAACAATGTCAGCTAAAGATAACTATTTTAAACTTATTTTAAATAAATAATTTATGATCCTCAAATATAGACAACCTTTTGAAAGATCAGTTAAAGGATAAATGATGTTATGAAGTCTACTCTTTCTTTATTTTGATGTATATTTATAGTTACTTAGAAAACCATTCATTTTCAGGAATAGAAATTGAATTTTACGTTCAGATATAAAACATTTGAAAACCATTTATCAAAACACCTAAACTTTGTTATTTTCTACGATTTGAGAATGCGATTTAGAGCTCCCGGTAAAACTAGTTCCATTAATTAGATTTTCTAGGCAATTCCAAAGACAAACTGTTTCAGAATTTATCGCTTGTTGTGGCACCTTACCTGTGGCAGCCGTCGACTGGTTTTGGGAAAGTGCACACGACTGGAGGGAAAGACCATGGGATGGCTTAGCTGGTTGGAACTGGGCACGGGCTTCACAAATACCGGCAGATGATTGGATGAGGCAGCACCAGAGAATGATGGGGAGGAGAAGCTGGAGCCGGAACTGGACGATGAGGAGGATGCCTGGGCCGAAGCGGAGGCGGCCAAAGAGAGTCGATGCCTTTCGTGGACCGCCTGGGCAGCTTGGATATTGTACACGGCGCTATCGTAGAGGACGTGGAAGGTGAGGAACAGTGAGATCAGCATGACCGTTAGGAAGACGACGGCCAATTTTGGACGGGACACGCCCACCACCAGGATGCAGTCGGTGGGCGAGGCATCAGGACCCGCGGGTCGCATCGCCGATTTCGGTAGCCATCTGAAAAAGAAAAACGGAGAAGAAAAATAAAAGGCATCGATTAGGATTTGGTTTTGGTTTCGATTGTTCTCCACTTCCGCTTCAGCTAATTAGATTGCCTTTCCAACTGCACTGAGTAATTAACTTCGGCGGTTTCCCTGCACTTTCCCGCTTTCCCCCATTTTCCGGCTGCCTTTAGCTAAATTAGCAAGACGACACTCTGGACGTCGCTCTCTATTTTCAGCTAGCTCAACCAGCTCCACCACCTGCTCATCCACGTCCGGCGGCGCTTAAGCGAATTCCATTATAAACGTTTCCGCTTAGACCGCAACAAACACTGCCAGCATTATTATGAGCACCACATTGCAGTACACTAGGCGTATACGTAACGTGGCCTAATGGATGACTTCATTTGCAGCATGCCGCAGCTGGGCGACTAAAATGAGAGGGAGGAGGAAGGAGGGCGGAGTGGAGGCATTAGCAGGTGACAGAAGGAGCTGCTGCCAGTCTGCGGCTAAGTGCATTTTCATATACAAGGCAAAGGGAGAGGCACGGGAGAGGGGCACAGAGGATGGCAAAGTAGTAGTAGTTGTACTAGTGGGGCAGGACACGGCTGGAAATGTATGGCAACTGGTGGCTTCCCCCCTGAAGTTGCCCTAGCCAGGGCCTCATCCACTTTCGCGAGCTTCGCATGCGACACCTCGTTAAAAGTAACGACACACTGGGCTGCAGACCCGCAAGGAGTCGAGGCACTTCACTCGACGGCGCCGTTTGTGGTGGCACGGTGCAACCTCAGAGCAAGACCGACCGACTTCCTGCCATTTCCCATATCCTCAATCTCTCTCTATACCCTTCTGCCCTCCCTTCTTTTTCCCTGCCAGTTGTCGACACGCTTTAAGTTCTTTTTATATTCCCAGCTGTTGTTTTTTTCTTAGCCCGTTTTAAGCCCGCAGCTGCAGTAACAGCACTGGGAAAAAGGGGTTAGAAAGGGATTCTAATAAATATGAAATTATAACTTTAGGTGAAAGTAAATAAAGGCCAATATTAAATATGTTAATTTATGAATAATTGCAATGCCAAATGGTATTTCCTGGTTTTAAATAGGTTTACATAGGGATAAGCAATAAGCCAATAAAATTCAGCTTAAAAAGTTTAAGCCCGGTTAAGAAACTACATTTAAAATCATTTTAATTTGATATTTTTAATATAACTCAGATAACTTTTGTGGTAACCTTTCTGCCAGTGTCTTGGCCCGGCTGCGACTGGCCTCGTTTCAGGACCCACAAGGCGGCCCGCCACTTGACTGCGATCTGCATAAACGCAGCCCCACCTCCTGTAAACCCCCAACCACCCAGAACAGCAACTCCCCTCCTCCTTCTTTCTTGTCCTGCTGTTGTCACACACTTTCTGGGTCGGAATGGCAGCCTTTAAGCCAAAATCCCCGCCGAACGCAAAGCTTTAAAGACAGGCTCAGGCCCCCTAATCCTGACAAAACTGGAATAAGTTTCTTTTCGCCGCGCAAAGCATTTGAGGCGCTTCATTTGTCCCAGTCTCTGTGTGAATCCTCTCCTTGCCTCTTCTACCAACTCTCCTGCCCCTCGAGTAAATATTTATAATTCTCTGATTCATTTTGGCTGAGTTGGCTTTTAGTGTGCAGCGGCGGGGAAAATCGAATCGAGCAAATGTTTTGCCGTTAAAGTTAATGCAATTTTCATTCGCGTTGTTAAAATGTAAATTTTATTAAACCAACCAGACGTGCGGCTATCTATGCTCCCGATTCCCCAGGAGAGATGGGCTTGACCTTTTTACGGGCCCGACTGGTGGCCTTCTTATCGGCTACGTGCAAAGGCGAAACTTGAACCCAAAATGATTTGTTGGCCGTACTCACAGGATATCCAGCGGCAATTTGACAGAGCAATCGCGCAATGTCGCCTGATGTTGCTGCTGTCTCTGGTGGTATTGCTGTGGGTTGCTGCCGTTACTGTTGCCGCTGTTGCTGCCGTTGCTGTGGCTGTTGCTGCTGTAGTGTTGCTGGTAGTGATGGTGCGGGTGCTGCAGCAATTGTTGGTACTCGTTTGGCTGGGCCTGCTGATGTTGCTGCTGCTGCTGTTGCAGATGTTGCTGCAGGGACTGCTGTTCGTTGCCATTACTACTGCTACTGCTGCTGCTGCTGCTGCTGCTGTTGCTGCTGCCCGCACGTCTTTTGGCGGCAGTCATCAGAGAGGCAGCTGTGCTCGGCTGGAGTACGCGTTCAATGGAGCCCAAACGATTGCCGCTCTCGGCTGTTGCAGCAGCTAATTGGCCAGTGGACGTGGGCCAGCTCGATTGCAACAACGTGCAGCATGGGTTGGGTGTAGGGTGTTGGTGGGCGGTTAGATTTATGGGCCACCCCTACGCCACACCCTCTACACCCGGGCAACTGCTCTTTTGTTTCGACCCTTCTCGCGGACTTCGGTTCGTGTTTTTTGCACTTTAATTAAATTCCAGGCAATCGCGAGGTTCGGATTCCTTCAGCTCTATTCGCTCGAGGTCACTATTCACAGAGTTGGAAAGGTAACCAGTGACTGGACGACATATTGCGTCTCATTTCCGCTCGGGCAAACAAAACGGAAGTTTCCTAACATCATCATCATCATCATCATCAGCGGCACCAGGGCCTGACCTTATTGTTGTTTTGTAATTAGATTTGTTGCTGCTGCCGATGTTGTTGCTGTTATTGTTGCTCCTATTCTGGGATTAAAGCTGTAATGGCCTCGCCTGATTTGGCTGCTGCTGGTGCTGATGTTGCTGACGTGGCCCAGCGCCATTGTCTATTGTAGGCCGAAAATGCTTTAAGCCCCTGAAAGGATAAGCAAAACAAAGAAGTTGGTCAGAGAAGTCAAGGCTACGATGAGCAGATCGAACATTATCGATGGAACTATCATATAATTTAATGCATATATTAATATAGTCTCTTTTAGTAAACTTCTTTTGCTATTCATCATGTAATTTAATACATACACTGATGATTACTTTTTATTACATTGAGTTTTCAATCTATCTTGAATCTATGTTGGAGTTTGTTGCGAATTTACTGTAATAAAATAATCTTTTGTATATTTTTGTAAGGCTAAGCCTGCAATGTATAAATTGCATATCAAATTTCAGATAACGACAAGCCGTATTCCATAACTACTTTAGTAGACCTCGAAAAATACGTTAGCTAACAATATACATTGGGAACAAATTAAAATTTTTCCAGAAGTATAAATAGTTTTCCTCTTTCTTCCACATCTACCAAGTAAATGGTTTTGTTCTTCATTTATTTATTTTAAATTATTTATTATTTGTTCATAGGATATCAATTAGCCACCTCAACTGAATGCAAACTTCATTTTACAAACATAAGCTTAGAGCTTGCATAAGCTTTTACATTGTTGCCTCAACTTGCTCCTGCACTTTCTTATATTTGATTAACAAACATTGGTTTGAATGCTCGGAGACCTTTGCAGTTGACCCCGTCAGAGCTAGAGCCGTGCTAGTCGCGAGGGGGAATTAAAATTTCGAAATTAGAAATTCAAATCTGCACGGCTATTGGCCAGGGCGTTGAGCTGCAGGCAGAGCATAGTGTATGCAAAAGCATACCTAATCAGGTGTCATCGGCGTGCGACCAAGTGGGGCAGCCTGTGCTCGGACTCTGAATACATTGTGGCAAGTGCATTCGTATAAAAAGGTGGCGAATGGCATACGTGCTCCTCAGTAGTAATCCACTGAGTCACCATGAACTCCACACTATTCGATATGTTCCAGGGATTGCCGGCGGGTGAGCTTTATAGTTGCAATTTATTACATAAAACTATTAGCAAATCTTTATAGATCCGGTGAAGCTGCCTTTGTTTGGCAGTCCCATACCATCGATTTTGATTATTTTGGGTTATCTGCTGCTGGTTTTCAAGGTGGGACCCGATTTTATGGAGGCCCGAAAGCCCTACAATGTTCGCAGTGCCATGTTGATCTATAACTTCTGTCAGATCATAATGAATTCTGTTTTTTTTATAATGGCAAGTACTGCATTGCTTTGATATTTCGATTTGTTGTTCACAGAAGTTTTTATGATATCAGGGAACTCATTATCTTTTCGTGAAAAAGACTTATAATTTTCGCTGCATGGCTATGCTGCCGTCGGATCATGAGGACAAAAATGCAGATCGATTGTTCACCTACTTCTACTTCCTCAACAAGGTGACCGACCTTCTGGACACCCTATTTTTTGTGCTGCGAAAGAGCTCCAAGCAGATCACCGTACTCCATGTTTACCATCATGCACTGATGGTCTTGGGAACGTCAAGTACCTACTACTTTTACGGACCCGGAGGACAATATAACCTGATGGGTTACCTCAACTCGTTCGTGCACGCGGTCATGTACTCTTACTACTTCATATCTGCTTGGTATCCACAAATCAAAAACAAGTTGTGGTGGAAAGAGTACATCACCAAGCTGCAGTTTCTCCAGTTTGTGATCCTTTTTGCCCAGGCTATCCTAACAATGTGGTTGAATCCAGGATGCTCATTCCCCCGTGCCCTGCAGTACGTCCAGATAGCAGTTTCCACTTCCATGATGGTCATGTTTGGCAACTTTTACTATCAAACATACGTGAAAGCCAAGAGCAAACAGCAATGAGTAATAAAAGTACATTGTGGTTCTCCTTTGAGTCATTCTCTTGAGAGTGTAAGCGGATCGAGCGTTTTATTCTGGGTCTCTCTCTCTCTCAATTCGAAAATGTGGGACAGACATCGCAGTTCAAGTATTTGAATAATACATTTTTTGATTTAATTTGGTTAATTTCGATAAAACAGCCTGGAATGCCTTAAGGCATATGAAACAGTCTGCAGCGGTCCCTCAAACAACAAACAACCATCCAGAATGCTCCGATACTTGCGAATTCCTCAGGCTGGTAAGCTTGCCTAGTCGCAGATTATTAACTCAATTTAAATACTTAACCAAACAACACTCTCTAGATCCTAACCCCATTCCTCTGGCTGGTTCACCATGGCCTATTATTCTCATTTTGATGGCTTATCTGCTGTTTGTCTTGAAGCTGGGCAAGGTCTTTATGAGGAATCGGAAACCTTATGATTTGAGAACTGTCTTGAGGGTCTATAATATATTTCAGGTTCTCTACAATGGCGTATACTTTGGAATGGTAAGTTAAGTTCAGTTAAGAAGGCTGCCCGTTAACTAACAGTGGTGTTTTCCTTTCTGAAAGGTCTTCTACTACGTTTTCCTCAAGGCCGTTTGCAACATACACTGCATTGAGAGTTTTCCTCAAGACCATGAATACAAACAGCCAGAACGACTGTTGCATACCGCTTACCTTTTGAACAAGGTGCTCGACCTGATGGATACTGTGTTTTTTGTGCTAAGAAAGAGCTATAAGCAAATCACGTTCCTGCATATATATCACCACGTGTTCATGTCGCTCGGAAGTTACCTTCTCACCAGATATTATGGAACTGGAGGTCACTTTATTGCCGTTGGATTACTTAACTCCCTGGTGCACACCATCATGTATTTCTACTACTTTATATCTGCGGAATATCCCCAACTAAGGCACAACATCTGGTGGAAGAAGTACCTAACCCTGACACAGATCAGCCAGTTTTTCGTTCTGATGAGTTACGCCTTTTACGTGCGTTTCCTCTCACCGAACTGCGGGGTTCCCCATGGCATCCTCCATCTGAATATGCTGCAAGGTGCGGGCTTTATCTATATGTTTGGAAAGTTCTATGTCCGGAATTATCTGAGTCCAGCGAAGGCAAAGCCCTCGTAGACTTCATATAGAATTTACCCTGTCCCTTGGACCCATCGAACAGATATGCATATTTGCATTCAATTAGTCCATTTATGCACTTGTGTAAGCCAGCACTCACTCCTCGCCGAAGCTATATCTTTACTTAATCAGATAATAAAGTGGTATTGTCTTGAACTTTTGAATTTTTCAATGGGTTTCTAGATAAGCAGACTTTTCTACTTTATTTTGCTTATGTTGGTAGTTAGATTTAGACCAGAATGCTATGCTTTGCCATGACATTGAGCTTTATTTCTGCTTGTAAAACATTTACCGTGAAGGACTCAAAGCCGAAACCTAGCATGACATTCAGAAAGCGGACTTAAGTGGTCTTCACTCAGTCTTGCTTCACATATCAGCTTTCTTTTTATTTTGGTTCCGCATTTGTAAAATAGTTCAAGCACCTGTAAAATGTGCCAAGCTAACATTTTAATCAAACGTTTTTTATGTAAGCCTTATTGCAACCTCAAGCTATCAAAGGCAGAAAACTGCAAAGGCGCAACAAGGAAATCGAATTATCTAACACATCTAGTTCTGGGAGTTACAGGAATCTTCCCCAGAACGTGCTATTAACTCAAATGACAGTGGAAAATTTAGTTTTACTTTTCTATCATTATACCCGTTACTCGTAGAGTAAAAGGGTATACTAGATTCGTTGAAAAGTATGTAACAGATAGAAGGAAGCTTTTGCGACCCTATAAAGTATATATATTCTTGATCAGGATCAATAGCGAAGTCGATTGAGCCATGTCCGTCTGTCCGTCCGTCCGTCCGTCCGTCCGTCCGTATGAACGCTGAGATCTCAGGAACTATAGCAGATACAAAGTTGAGATTAAGCATGAAGATTCTTGAGGTCCCGGGACAGCGCAAGTTTATTACAGCATCCTGCCACGCCAACTCTAACGCCCACAAATCGCAAAAAACTAAAATTGCTGAAATCTCAGGAACTATTGCAGTTAGAAAGTTGAAATTCAGAAAGTATAATCTATAGATGACAACGCATCTTATAGTAGTACTACTATCCGGCCTCACCCACCCATACGCCCACAAGGCTCAAAAGACGGTTTTCGGATTTTCTAAAAAAGCTGATATCTCGGTAACTATTCGTAATAGAAAGTTCGGATTAAGCACGTAGGTTTCTATCATGCTCCCAATGCGAATTGTTTTTTTCCGATCAAGCCACGCCCACTATAACGCCCACAAAACCCGAAAAACCAAAAATGCAAAAATCTCAAAAACTATAAGAGCTACACAATTTTGTTAGATGTAGATGCCTCTGCAACTTGCCACGAAGTTGCATTTGGCCACGCCCACACTAACGCCTACAAACCGCGGAAAACTGTGGCGTCTATAATATTATTATGAATGCCTTTGTTTGACCTTGTATAACTTATTTCTGTTAATATCTATCGATTCACCAAAGGTTTTTCAAATCGGAACATTATTTCGCTATTTATGAAGAAATTAAGGTTATAAGGCCTCACATGGGAAGTGACGTCACTATAAGCATACTCAACATACTTCCTCTGACAATAGGTGGCGCCTTGTGAATTTCCACTAGCAAAATTAATATTTTAAAATTGTGTAAAACAGTAACGGGTATCTTATAGTCGCGGCGCTCGACTATAGCGTTTCCTCTTGTTTTTGACTTAAGACACGCCTGGAAATTCCTAGTGAATCGAAAACAACTTAAGGGGAAAAGTACTGAATGGGCTTTGGAAAAATACTCAAAGACACGAAAGTTTCATAATATTCCACTATAGCGATGTAGACCATTACATAAACAAAGTAACAAATGATATTCAGCGGCTAATCATATGCTCCATTTATTGTTCAAGGTTTGTTTATTGCTAAGTTTTACATTTGCGAAAGCTTCCTGCAATCTTTTGGAAATGAAAGTAATTTCAAATCAAGCCAAAGAGAAAACAAATAATATATGCCAAAGAGAAATGTTAAAAACAAATCAAGAACGACCAAGAGCACCGCGATTCGTAGCTTTAAGCTTTATCCATATGGATGAGGCCGAGTAGGCGAATAGTCTTAGTAAACTTACAACGACTTACTACTTAAGTGGCATTGATTGGCAGGCAGCTGCCGGAGGAAAACCTTAAATCAGTGCTAGTAATTAAAGAATTGTATTCCAGGCAAGATAATCTTTGAGAAATCTTTCAATATCCCCAGTGCAGCTGGGAAAAGTGATCAAGTTATGCTAGCACAAAGACGAAAACATTTAACCGGTGATGGGTTAGTGAAGCCGTGCCATTCAGGCATCGACCGAGTGAAAACTGCATGCCGGAAAAACAACTCCGGGCAATCAACTGCTGCCCTGCCTCCCTCCGAAACTCTCCTTTGCTTTCCTCCAGCTTTTCCTGTTGTTTTTGCTCGTTTGTTAGCACGTTGGAAAAGCTTCGCTTGATAAGCATAAGAAATTGAGGAGCAGCAGCAGCGGCAGCGGCAGCAACCAAAGGAAACTAACAAGTGCGTGTTGGTGGATGTGTGTGTGTGTGTGTGTTTCCCAACGAACGACTGCACATAACAAGCTTCTATCCTATCCCATTCTATCCTAACCCATCCCATTTGTGCTGCACTCCCTGCCAGCTGATAGGACAAACCGGAGGCGCCATAACCGTAGCTAAAGTCTGCTGCACTAGTCAAAGTTAAGCCGGAAACTCACAGTAAGTACAGAGAAAAATATTCAAAAAGTCGAAAAGCAATGTGTTTCGGAGTAATCAGATTGAAACTATTTGAATACCATCTCAGTTTTATTTTTTTAAGGGATTTCTCAATCCCAAAAATGCTTTACAATGTCTGCTGTTTTTCTTAGACCTACACTTTGAGAATAAATCTACCTTAATCTACCTAATATAATCGACAAATATTTTGAACAGAATTTAAATTTATTTACTTAAGAACCAAAAGCCCATCCTGATTCTGAAAAAACAACTTTAGGTATGTTTATCCGCAGTTTTTCTCAGTGCACGTTGTACAGAGTACCATACAACATTCAGTTTCTGCAATTGTATTTACTGCTGGAGAAAACGAAAACAATTGGCGCAAATATGGCAAACGGCAAATGGCAATTGAAAAACAAAAGTCCCTGCTGAAACGAGACCAGAAATCCGTTCGCCTGCTGCTTTCACACTTTCCACACTTCCCACGCAGGACAAAAGGCCAAAACGGCAGCAGGGACATGAGTGAGTGTTGGCAAGAAAAAATGCCAAGGATGCAAGCTGGTAAGAACACAAAAAAAAAAACCGAAAAAGAAGAAATGCACAAAATTGGCTGTGAAATGAACGAGACGACGAGGCGACGAAGCGTCTTTTGTTGCCATTGAAGTAAGGGAAATGGCTATGACAGGAGCAGCGACTGAAACTGAGGTCAACACTTTGCCTTTGTGTGCTAGCTAAGCCAAGCTAAGGCAATAACAACGACAAAGACAAAGGCAAAGTCAAACGGAAATCTGCATAAGACCCTCCAGTTGCGATTGACAGTCCTTGAGATGTTTCCACTCGATTTCCCAAAGGCTAAGGCTTGCCTAGGACCCCTTGCCCCCTTGAATATCGAAACATCTGGCAATTAAAAAGCATTCCAGAACTCAGCATAAATTACTCAAATGCTAGTATGCAAATTGCCATTTGTTCGATTAACAATGCAAACTTCAAGACCACTGAGCACACTACGCACTAAGGCCACACATTAAAGATATCAGAAATTATATGGCAGAAGGCGTCAGGTAGGCAGGGGCACGGCCATTCGTATATGGTGGGATACCAAAGGGACCTGACCTGACTGCCTGCCTGGCTGGATGGCTGCCTGGCAAGTTTCCCATAATTTACACTTTATCGAACGATAACAAACAACCTGCATAATGTATGGCTCTCTCGGTTTGCTCTGGCTCCGTCTCTGGCTGTGGAATGGCAGCTCACCTGGTTTCTGGCATGGGGTGTGGGTGGATGGATGTGATGTTCTGGCATTGACTGGCGTTTGAGGTCACCAAAAGGGTGCTGCGTTAGATCCAACTAAACGGATTCTTGTATGCAAAATGCCCGTCAATCAGAAATGCCACAACTGCAACCCGTTGCCCCTTTAGGCCAAGTGTAGAGAACCTGTTAACCCACATTCGCCGGCGACGGCGACTGACTTTGCTAGACGAAAGACCATTTAAATTTGAAAACCATAAAAGATTCGAACGACTTTTGGGAATATGGTGTAATAAAATTTTAATTCGTTGCGATTGATGGTATCCACACATACTAAAAGGCAACACACATATACACCCCCCTGTGGGTGAGTTTACGTAGCCGAGGGATAGAGGGCCCAATACATTACATTTTATAACCCCAGCTAATTTGCATATATGCAGGCATACGTATGGTATATCCACAGATATATATCTATATATATATATATGTATATATATCTGCGTAACATTGATTGGATTTGTTTGACTTTCACACACTGGCTGATGGCATTCGCATCGAAGATGGGCGGTTTGGGCGTTTGGTTTTTAGGGCCTTCTGGTGGTTTTCAGGGGGTGTTGCGAGAGGCTAAGTGCCTGACATTTGCTAAATGGCAAAGGGCCTGGCTGAATGAATGCCTACCAAGGGTTTCACAGGCTTTTGCGGGTTATATTTTCCCCATTTGCCCAACCGAAAATTGCACTTGCCTCGTTAGTCGAAATGGCTGGGTAATTACGAGTCCTGGCAATTGCCCCCCGGCCAACTCATCACTTACTTTGCCGGCATATAACCTTCAAAGTTGCGACTTTGCCATTTCGGTTAACAGCGAAGAACCTCTAATGAGTTTCGCTGTTTTATTTTAAACAAAAACTTTCTGGTTTTTGGATTACAGTAATACAGGTTTTCAAAGTGTAGTGATAAGCATTTTGGAGGATAAAAGGAAATCTTCTTTCCCTGTCATAGACATTGGGAAATATTAAAAATATTAATATAAGTAATTTAATTTGGGGATATTAAGGCTATTCATGGCTTTATGATTAATAGTAAAATAAGTTCTTAATAGATTATTTGTATCCTTTTTTGGATTAAATCGCCTCAGAAGAACATCCCCCTCTTTGAAAATTCTCCAGTTTATAAAAATTTGTTCTAACTTTTAAGGTAAATCAAATAGTGAATGTCCTTGCTTAGTTTTGAATGATAGAAAGATAGACTTTGAAAATATTTTGGTGATAATATAAAATAAAAATTGTTGAAATCCCCTTTCCTGTCATCCTTCTTCAACTCCCCAAACAATGATACCTCATAATAGCAATAATAACTTGATTTCCGCTTCCACATTGGTTTATTCTCATTTATAAACCTTTATATGGCGATTACCAACATTCAAAAACCTCGTTCCCGCGGTAATCAAAATAAAATTGCCCCAACCGCAGATCAATCAGTAACTATATATGTTTAACCCTCGCCAGCTGCAAATTAGCTGCAGTTCATTTGGCCGTGTCAATTGTTTGCCCATACAAAATACGCGGATATAAGTATGCTTGCGGATATATATTCAGTATGTAAATATGTGCTGGCCATTAAATAAACCAGCTATCTGTAGGGAGGCAAATATGTAGTGGAATATAATTAAAAACGCAGGGGAGCTCCGGATTAAATCCCGTAAATGTCGATGATGAAGCTGAAGCCTTGGTTGCGTTGACTCTTCAAATGGATTTTGGCGAAAGTGCTCTGTGGTCCACCAGCTGTTAGATAGGCATAGCCGCCGTTTCCATCTCTGACCTGATCGGTGATCACTATTTGGGTTATGGTACGCGGGAATTTCTTAAAGAAAAATCTCATTGAATCACGGGAAATAACTATTTTAAGACACAACTAACATTTTGATTGAAAACATAATCCCTTGTCACTACGCGCAGAAACTTGGACTTCTCCGTGATGATCTCCCTTCGCAAGTGCATGTCCCTGTAGGTTCTGGCTCCCCAGGTAACACTGTGACTAGGGCCACGCCCAGCTGCCTCGCTAAGGGCGGACAGCGCTATTACAAGCAATATTACGGCAATTTTCATTTTTGGAAATGAGCTAAAACTGGCTTAATTCGAAGCTTTTATAGGTAAGCTTCACGGTAGAAAGGCTGCTCTATTCTTTAGACAAAGCTGTTGTTTAAAAACTTTTAAGTCTCTTGTTTTTAATAAACAATAAACAATACTTGTTGAAAGAAAGGGTATTCTCTTCCCCAAATAACTGCATGACTCAGATCAACTATAGTCATGGGAGTTACCCTTCAAATTAGTTACTAACTTTAAGCCACATTTATTGCCAATCGTCTGACTGTGAACAAGCAATCATTTATCATAAATTTAACCCTTTAAATTTGTATTGACTTTTAAAACAAAAGCAACGTATTTTTTACACAAACAACTCCCAATTTAACACCATAAATCCATATCATAGGTTTAGAAACTTCAACAAAAAGAACTCAACTAATAATTAAATTATTAATCGTTACATAAAACGCCAATATGGCAGCCATTAAGTATTCATTCCACTAATAAAAGCCATATAATCCTGGTCATTAATTTGGAAGGCTTGCTAACCTGGTATCTGGTTTAATTATGACCACAAAAATATTTTTTATTGGCCTGAAATAAACTCCGAAATTAAATAATGAGTAAAAGTTCCAGGAAGGGGGGGTCTTATGTATAAAACCATTGTAAATGGACAGCTGTCGTCGTTGAGCCCCAGATTCAGACTTCCATGGGGTTCTTGAATGAAACCCCTTCTGGGGCCTGGGGGAAATGATATGCCCCCGCGCGTCTCTTATTTTGCAAAGTGGAAATACTTTCGCAAAGATTTCTGAGACTTGAGACTTTTGTTTCGGGCCCGGTTTCTCGGTTTCTCTGTTTCTGTTTTTTGTGGTTGGCTGCTTTAAATACCGCTGTGTGTGGGTGTCTTGTTTCGGTTTTTGCAAAAAGCGGGCAGCAGCACCAGCGGCGGCGGGCTTTAAGGCAAATATTTATTTAATTTTAACATCCACCGCCCCCTCACGACCCGCTGCACAGATCCAATTTACTCAAGTACAAAGACCCTGTCGCGTATATTGTTGAAATTTTATTGTGCAAACATGGGAATGTCTGTGTGTGTTGGTATTTTATCGTTGCCACGTTGGTTTTTCTCATTTATGTACAGCAACAAACAGACAAACAAACAAACGCACAACAACAACAACAACAACAATTGGCAGTAACACAAACAAAATGGCCGAGGAACCGTTGTTAAGTGTCTCTTATAGCTGCGTTTGATATTGCCTGTGTGTGTGTTCGGGCCTAGATTGCGAGGGAGTACTATACGTTGTAGGTGTATTCGTGTGCATGTATTTACCGCAAAAACACAAACAAACAAAAAGCGATTCGTTGGCAAACAAATCAGCAAAACGGAATTTAGGTGGACAATAAAGTTCAGCTGCAGGGCAGCATGCAAAAAACGAGTCACAAACACTCACACACAACGGCAATAAATATTGTGTTGTCTTCTATTTGAGCATGAAATCGGATAAAAAGTATACAATATGTTTAGCACACACGTTGATGGCACCATTTAGTACCTGGTAAAAGTGATTTAAGGTTTATTACCAATGATTGTAAACACCTTCTGCCATTTTATAAACATATTCGATTAAAAACATATTTTAAAAGCTCAGATTAAGTAACAAAAATGTTACTGTGGATCATTCTAAAAGGCTGATGTCCTTGGAAAAAGATCTCATTCTCTCCTATACCTATCCTATCTTATTGATGATTGCGGGGTTGCATAATCCTATGGTATTCTGTTTATACAACTGTCTAATCAGGACGTTTGGGGAGGTATATTTAGTGTAGAATAGCCAGCAGCACTTGCTAAACGAATGAATCCTAGTTTGAATGTGCTCAAAGTCGACATGAAACGTGTGCAAAGGGAGTTCTGCTTTGTCCTAAGGGTGTTGCAGACCTTCCATGTTTCCCTATTTTCCGAATAAATGGAATGCAGCAATCAATTATTTTATGTTTTTTTCCCCTAAAATGTAACTTTGAATTTACATAGTTATCTACGCTAAATGATCCTTTTAACCTTCTCTGACATCTGAGGACTTCTGCAAAATAATTGGATTAAATTCCGACAGATAAAATGGAATCTGTGGGTTCATTTTCTAATTTTCCTTAAGGATTTATTAATTTCCAGATGCTTTAAGGTTCATTCACAAGATGTCGAAGATGATAGATCATTTTACTTTTTAAGAGTAACACAAATTTAGAAACAACGTTGAGCAATGATCAGACTTCTACTCGTCGGATCTGTCAATGATGCTGTCTCGAATGATTTGGTTATAAGAACTAAACTCATCTAAGAGCAACACAAATTTTATAACCCGTAACTCACTATGCAATATTTTTCGTTAAAGCCAACATTCTGGCGAGTGCAAAAAACTTAAATTCCGCATTTTTTGTCGCCATGTCGAAGCTCTTCAAGCTGAAAACGCTTTAAATAATTTTAATTAAAACAAATGGCACTCGAAATAAAACACGCACATCAAACAGGAGTGGGCGTGTACAAGGGGGAGGGGGGCTGTGGCGCCTGAATGGAACAGACATGCCGTGTAATTACGCTTGACGGAAAGGGAGAGGAGAGTTGTGGGTGGAACCAGGAAAGGAGGGAGGAGCTGGGGAAGCGCCAGGACGAACCTTGTTTGTGCATTGAATCAAGTGGTGTTGCTGCCGCTGCTGCTGATGTCCTTGGTTGCTGTTGACAATGCACGGCATCAACATCACAAGCCACACGAACAAAAAAGATGATCACTATTTAACTATGGCACCTTTTTTAAAGACTAAGCATCAAAAATAGAATAGGATTTTGTGTTATATTTCTGTATAAACTGAGAATTTTTATATCTAAAAGGATCGATAATTACTAAAAATTAGTGTTAATGGTGGTTTTTGATTTCCCGAAACTTTAAGCCAATAAAAAAAGAAACAAAACAAGAGGAAACGCTATAGTCGAGTGCCGCGACTATAAGATACCCGTTACTGTTTTACACAATTTTAAAATATTAATTTTGCTAGTGGAAATTCACAAGGCGCCACCTATTGTCAGAGGAAGTATGTTGAGTAACTGATAGTGACGTCACCGCCCCTGTGAGGCCTTATATCTTAATTTCTTTACACACAGCGAAATAATGTTCCGATTTGAAAAATCTTTAATAAATCGATAGATATTAACAGAAATAAGTTACACAAGGTCAAACGAAGGCATTCATAATAATATTATAGACTCCACAGTTTTCCTCGGTTTGTGGGCGTTAGAGTAGGCGTGGCCGGATGCAACTTCGTGGCAAGTTGCAGAGGCATCTCCTAAATACGCGTTCCTAAGCAAAATTGTGTAGCTTTTATAGTTTTCGAGATTTTTGCATTTTTGGTTTTTCGGATTTTGTGGGCGTTAGAGTGGGCGTGGCGTGATCGGAAAAAAACAATTCGCATTGGGAGCATCATAGAAACATACATGCTTGATCCGAACTTCCTATCTCTTATAGTTACCGAGATATCAGCTTTTCTACAAAATCCGAAAACCGTCTTTTGAGCCTTGTGGGCGTATGGGTGGGTGTGGCCGGATAGTAGTACCACTATAAGATGCGCTGTCATCTAAAGATTATACTTTCTGAATTTCAACTTTCTATCTGCAATAGTTCCTGAGATTTCAGCAATTTTAGTTTTTTGCGATTTGTGGGCGTTAGAGAGGGCGTGGCAGGATGCTGTAATAAACTTGCGCTGTCCCGGGACCTCAAGAATCTTCATGCTTAATCTCAGCTTTGTATCTGCTATAGTTCCTGAGATCTCAGCGTTCATACGGACGGACGGACGGACGGACGGACGGACGGACGGACGGACGGACGGACGGACAGACGGACATGGCTCAATCGACTTCGCTATTGATCCTGATCAAGAATATATATACTTTATAGGGTCGCAAAAGCTTCCTTCTATCTGTTACATACTTTTCAACGAATCTAGTATACCCTTTTACTCTACGAGTAACGGGTATAACTAGTAAGATCTTTTCTATCAATAGAAAAGTTCTCAGACTTAAAAGAACACGAAATATCTGCCAAATTTAGTTGCTCATTTTTCTCAGTGCTTACTTTTTTTAGGAAGAGTTCCTGGCCACGCTTTTGTTCGTGACAAGTTGAGACAGAGGGCAAACATGGCGAGCGACGCGACGAGCGGACAAACTCCCAAACAACTTCATTTTCGACGTTGTTGCTGTTGCCGAACAGTTGTTGGTGAAGTTCCCGCGGCACTTTTCACGCTTAAGGATGGGTCACAGAGCGCCCAGAAATTGGCCAACTCCTACGCATCCGCCACCTACACCCCGGCCTGCCTCACTCCATTCAGGGAAAACTCAGGAAAAAACAAACCCAATTGTAATTAGACTTGAGGGCTGGGACACCCGGGGGATGGGACCAACAGTGAGGGGCAATGGACTTCCTAAAATTACATTTAATCATTGTTATTTTAGGCTCTCCAATGCCTAAGTGCCACCACTGACCACGCCCCTTCCCCTACACATAGCTGCCACAAAAGCCAAACAAAAAGAAGTACGTGTATGGATGTAAGTGTATTTGAGAGGACACTGCGGACACTAAGGACATTTGATAAAAAGCCACTTAGTGTGCGGCAATGCGGCCTTAACTAAAGCCAGCGAAATCTGCCAACGAAAAACGCTGCACACTCCACAATCCATAACCCATTAAGGATTACCAACGAAGAGATTGTGCTTGAGTCCTCTGCAGCTGGTTAACACTTTGGGCGTGACACATTTTGACAATATCAAAAGTTGAGTGGCGTCACTGACAGTGTCGGCAAATTTCCTCCTTTTTGGCAGCCGCTTTTGGGCGCCAAATAAATAACGTTTAAAGCGTAAATATGGTAAGCGACGACGTTAACGGGCGCCTCAAGTGTCAGTTGTCGGCTGTCAAAGCCACAAGAGGCATTGGCCCTCTTAGCTTATATACACAGTTGGCGAAATGCCCAAGCCAAGCCATGGCAAATAATAATTATTAAGGCAACAATTTGTGCCACAATCTTTTTTTTATCAGTGCTGCCACGTCCTCAACGATTGACAATGAGATTGCGCATACGCCGGGTGGGCAAGCCAAAGATTTTCACTCCCAATTACGTTGCAGATTTTTTGCCCGGCCAAGTAGTAAAGCGACACTTGTTGAGGGTGGAAAATACGAAAATTTCAAATCCAGAGGATGTCAACTTGAATTTAAGTACGTTCCACCAGCTGCCAAAGGACATTTTCCTGGAATGCACAATTTTCAACCCCAAAAAAAAAAACTGTAAAAAAAGCCAATTCAGAGAGCTATAAAATTATTTCTTGGCATGCAAATTGCATTTGGTTGTGCTTTTTAGCCAACCATTTTCTTTGGCTGTCAGCAGCAAAATGCAGATAAGTCGAAAAACGAATGGATTTCCAGTATTTGCAGAGCAGTGCCAGAGCTAGTTTTCTACGTTTTCCTTGGCCAACAATGAAAATTACTTTTCATATTTAATTGCACAATGGCCTGCAGGATACGGGGAATATGTGGCCAAATACCAAAGCCAAAGTGCAAGCCAAATGCCACATTAAATTACATCAAAGTCAAAGAAAGGAACAAAGAAATTCCGCCAACTTGCAATTGAAATTTGTTTGCCAACTCAAACACGAACATGGGGTAGCTGGCCAACTAAGAATATAAGAAAACTTTGTCGAAATTAGACGTGGCAAGCAAGTAATGGAGACACCAAAAAGGAAATGCTTATTATTTGCATAAATTCCAAACACACTCACACACACTCACAAGGGAAAGCCGAAAGCTGAACAGGCGGCTGACAGGCTAAGGAGAAAGAAATGCAAATTGTGTTGGCAAATTTAAATGTCAGTCAACAATTCAGTTGTTAAACTCGCATTACCAACAAAGCCATCGACATTGCTGGCCATGCATACAAAAAAAAAAAGATAAAGAAAAACGACTAGAAAAAAAGATTTGGTTACTCATACGCCCCGTTGTCTATTTTCTTTGGATTCTGTCTTTAGCTCACTGCGCTTAATCGAAAATCGTGCGAGACTTTACGAGAAAAGTGAGGCGGGGATCTAGAGCAGGCTGGCTTATCATTTTATGGGGGGAGGGGTTTTCGGAAAAAGAAAACTTTCGACAACTTTTCACTTTTGTTAGGTATTGCCACAGCAGCTTTCGGTTTTGCCATTCGATGTCAATTTAAAGTTTCTCCTCTACTTCCCTTTCATCTCACTGGTTTTCTTTTCTCTTCTTATTTTTTGGTGCCGAAATAAAAGTTTTTGTATGGCAAAGTTCGAGCAATTGTGAGAGTTCTCCGTGCTGCTGCATCCGGCATAATCGATTCGCTTTTGCCTTTTTCATTTTAATAACTTTTTCAGCAGCAGCAGTGGCAGTGGCAGCGACGGCAGCAGCCGTGGCAAAATAACAAGCACTGCAACAATTACGTGCCGCAAGTGCAAGAGCAGCAAACAAGCGGCAAACAACGAAACAAACCAAAGGCAGCGGCAATCGACAACAATGGCAACAAAGGCGGCCACTAAAGCTGGATCAGGAGCTGTGCGCCAAACTGCGAACTGGGTTAAACACTTGGCCGGAGTTTCCACCTGGTCTCCCGTCTCCTCCTTCTCGCCTTCTCCAGCTCTAGCTTCTCCCTTGACATTTGGCTGGGGCAACTAAGTTGCCATTGCCGTTGCCGTTGCCGTTTTCGTTCCCGTTACTGTTGCTCCTCCGCTGGCACTGTGCGATGCATTCAAGTGGATGTTACCTTGGTCATAATTGAGGCACGCGCTAAGCGAAACAAATAACAAGGGGAGCCGCAGCGGCAGCTGAAGTGATTGCTGGCATTAAACCCTTTAATTTCAAGTTAGACACTTGCGGAAAATACGGGATGGAAAATGGGAAATTCAAGCCCAAGCTGAGGGTATCAAAAAGTTTTTATCAATAATATTTAACTTTATTTAATTTGTTATATTTTTCATTTTTTCCAATGAAAAGTGTCCCTCCTATGGATACAAATTCAAACTTAAATAAATTAATGAAAAACTCATGTTTGCCCAACTTTTTTTCTCCGTGTAAGGCCTGAATGGGTTGCGTACATGACGTAGAAATTCCAGCCATTTGCCCAGAACCACGTACTCGATTCATAAGCTGGCATAACACATTGCTGGCGAACTTATTCATGTAGTTTCTCTACTCACCGAAAGTTAATTTCCGCTTGGGCGACGCACCTGCAACGAAAATGGAATGAACGAAGTGTAGTTTATAATTAATATTAACGCATTTTCGATTCAATAATAAATGAGGCTAATTTATTTACAGCAACCACCGCAGGGCTTTCATTTTTTATAAACAGCGAAAGAGAGCAGCGCGAAGTAGATGCATTTCAAGGTAAAAAGTTTCATTTTGGCTGTCGCAGTCAACGCATTTTAATTCAATTGAAGTTGATTAAAAATTAATTTCAAATTAAATGTGAACTCAATGAAATTGTAGTTAAAAATAGTAGAGAGAGAGAGGGAGGAAAGAGACGTGGCATTTGACAAGCTGGGAAAAAAGTTGATTGGCTGGAAAATTGCGAAACTTAAACAGGGCCAGAAAATATATATAGGATGTGTATGGGTGGGTGTATTACCAATACATAGGCAGGCCTAGCGGAAACGGAAGTTGTTACAAAGTCCGTTGAAATCAATTTTAAAAGTAAACTTGTTAGGTGAAAAGCCGAGCCGAGTCGAGCCGAAACAAGAGAATGCCAACGGAAACCGAATGGACTGAGTTAGGTACCAGAAACAAGAAAGGGAAAACTAATTGCAGCGCTCATTTTTTGCTTGTTAATGGGCCAGCAAACGAGCTTCAAGTTTCCCTCCTTCTATCGATCCTTATACCCACACACACACACAGAAACATATCCCTGAATTTCCCACATACACACACATGCGTTCTGCTTGTGCCATCGAAAAAGTTTCTTTCCCCCAATTTATTTGCCTCATTTCGCTGCCATTGTTGCTGCTCGTTGAAAATCTGCGTGCGCAAGTAACAACATTTTACAGCTGCAATTAAAGTTAGTTACCCCACCACCCTCCTCCTAGCCCGTTTTCCCGCTGCACTTGCCACTTTCCACAACAAGCTAATGCACTGCACTTTAATTAACCCAACACCAGGAGAACGAAACTGGAAATTATACATCCCCCTTCGCTTTCCGTCCAGCTAATGGCAATTTATGTGCGATAATTTGCGGTATGAAAACTATAAAAGCAAGTGCGACCAGTCGTATAACAATCAACTAAATACCGAAACACTCTAAACACAACCGGAAACTTGTATTTTATTTTCTATTTCAATAAACATAAGTCAGGCCGTGCGCGGGTTTTATATGTATTAAATTGTTTGGCTTTAGACGGAATTTGAGTTTGGACTGGAAAACTGGAAAATACTACCATCAATAAAGTCCTTCTGCTTATGCTTTCTTCGAGATTATCCATAATTAATGAGCACTAACTGAGCTCTGTTTGCTTTTTGACCTTAAAATACTGGGAAAGTAGTTTGTTAAAGTAAAAATTAATGAAAAATGTAGCAAAAAATATTTGTAGTTCACTTTAAAGTTTAAACCTTTAGTTATATTAAAACCCGCCAAAGCTTCGCGCTGCTGAAAGCCTTCGAAAACAAAGGTTAAAAGGGCATTCATGTGCATTAGAGTCAATTACCGGGGATTGCAATGGCCACGCAGTCGAGCAGCCAGAGGCAATCAGCATTATCAAAGGCTTTTAATTGCCATAAATCTGCAAAGTTGTTAAAAACCCATTTAAAATTGTCACCGTAATGGTACACTCAGCCGGCTCAGTGGCATTTAACCAACTATCTTGCCTCCCTCTTCCCTTCCAACTATTCCTCTTTATTTTCTTGCCTCCCGTTTGCTTCTTTGGCCAACTTCAGTTGCAGCCTCTGCCGAGGGATGTTAATTAGAAAACTCTTGAAAATTATTAAAAACTTTCCAAAGCTGTCAGACAGATGAGAGCAGGAAGATACTACTAGTAATATAGTACTTCAAATAGTTTGCCGCTCACTGGAAAATGTTTTTAAGAAAATTTCATGGAAGCTTTTTGGTGGCTTTTCAAAATTCATAAATTTCACTTCGGTTAATAGCTTTTGAAAGATATAAGAAAAAGTTTATGACTGAAAAGGTTATCTTTAGAGGTCAGCATTTTATTAAATTAAATAAAATCAAGCTAGCTGGGAATCTTTTTAGATCAACTCAAAACGTATTTCACAATTTCAATCTACGTAGCCTGTTTTCATTCAAGATTATCACGTAGCTAGGTGGCTCCCCACCCCTTTACATATCTATATTATAGTCAATAAACACGATCCCTCTAATGGATCTCTATGTACAAAGTGCCTCTGTTTCTGATTTAAATACAGATTCTCTCTGTGACATCTGCATGCCACTTAGCACCTTTTATTAGTGCCAATTAAGACTGATTTCGTGATGCTGTTCTGATGATATTACAGCCCAGCCAGACTGCCCCAAACTAGATAATCAACCGCATAGAATCTGCGGCGTGGGCCTGACATTGAATCCGAGCATCTGAACATCTCAACAGCCGAGTAGTCTGGGCTTCCAAGTCTCAAGGCGTCTAAGTATCTCGATTGCGGTTAGTTAAACGCGCCACCTCAAAGTGCACAGTTCTCGGAATGGCGAAGCTAGAGATTTCCACCAAGACGGGAAAGTTAGAGAAGCCTGCCGAACAGTGGGGCAATGGCCTGGAGTTTCTCTTCTCCTGCATCTCGTTATCCGTGGGTTTGGGTAATATCTGGCGTTTTCCGTATATTGCCTTCCAGAATGGCGGCGGCACCTTTGTGATTCCGTATCTGATTGCCCTGCTGGTAATTGGACGTCCTGTCTACTATTTGGAGATTTCCCTTGGCCAGTTCACTGGTCGTGGCGTAGTCAAGGCTTTCGATATGGCTCCCCTGCTAAAGGGCGTGGCAATGGGCCAGGTTTTGGCCACAGCCGCCTCCATAACGTATTACTCCAGCATTATGGCCTTGACTCTGAGATTCCTGTTGGCCTCTTTCTCATATGAGTTGCCATGGAGTTGCTGTTGGCCAAAATGGGGCAGTGATTGCTATAATGGGAGTGACCAAAATAGAAGTGGGAAAATGTCACCAGCACAGCTTTACTTTGAGTAAGTATTTTCCGAAGGTTGGTAAATTCATTAAACTAATTAAGATAATCAATGGATTTTCAAGAAGAGGCAACTCTGATATTGAAAATCCTTACAAAATGGGTTCTGTGTATACTTAAACTGTGATAAATTTCCCTTAAGCTAGATGCTTGTTTGAAATTTAAGCTTAGAAAGGCTTTCAATTTCAATTCACCTATTTCCCTATGATCTCCCTATGCATTTTTATTCATTTTACAAGAACATACAGACCTTCTTGTCAAAGCTAATATTGATTTAAAAAGGAATTCTTTTTTATCTTTAACCCTTTTCGCTTCTATTTATAGACGGGAGGTCCTTCATGAAGTACCCAATATAGACAATGGCCTGGGTCTGCCCAATTGGGAGTTGGTTGCCTGTTTGGCTGTGTCTTGGCTAATCATCGGTGCAGTCCTGATTCGCGGCATTAAGAGTAGTGGCAAGGCAGCTTACTTCCTGGGGGTTTTTCCCTATGTGGTGCTGCTTATCTTACTGTTAAGAGCCGTGACCCTACCAGGAGCTATTGACGGGATTATTTACTTCTTTAAGCCTCAATGGAGGGAGCTACTGAACCCACTCGTGTGGTATGCAGCCGTCACGCAGGTCTTCTTCTCGCTTGCCATTTGCTTTGGCACGCTGATTACCTATGCCAGCTATAATAACTTTAATCGGAATGTCTACAAGTAAGTTAGCTTAACTTAACTCTTAAGAGCTTCTTCTCCTAAAGCTATCACCCGCCAAGCGAACCAACACTAACTTCCCCTTTCATAACTTCCCAAACTGTCCCCCAGTGACATTGTAATAATTACCACCATGGATTCCTGTTCCTCCATAATTGCTGGTTGCATTACCTTTGGGATTCTGGGCAATCTGGCCCGCGAGACCGGCAACTCGGATATTGGCAGCGTTGTGAAGGGCGGTGCCGGATTGGCCTTCATCTCGTATCCGGATGCCATTGCCAAGTTCGAGTATGTGCCACAGGTAAGGTATTGAGAATGGAGAGCGCCTCGAGCGCCCTAAAGCACAACTACCTAAAGATGTTCGCGGTCCTTTTCTTCCTCATGCTCTTTGTCCTAGGCATTGGCAGCACCGTGGGCATGGGTTCCTGCATCCTGCGCGTCATCCGGGATCAATTCGGGCAACGCTCGCCGCCCATTTGGAAACTGGCCAGTGGTCTGGCCATACTGGGTTTTTCTGTGAGCATCGTTTACATGACCCCAGGTGGTCAGTTTATCTTGAATTTAGTGGATTTCTATGGTGTGTCCTTCACCGCCTTGATCCTGGCCATTGGCGAATTGGTGGCAGTTGCTTGGATTTATGGTGGGTGGATTATGTAACTAAGATTAACAACTTTCCACTGTGGGAAACTATAACTTTAAAGCTTTTATTGCAAAATTTTATTTTCAACATTTTCTAGGAGTTAATCGCTTTTGCGAGGACATCAAATTCATGATGGCCATCGAGACCGGTTGGTATTGGCGCCTGTGCTGGCGTTTTATCACTCCTGGCTTGATGACCGCCGTGCTCATCTACATGCTGCTCGACATGTCCGCTCTGAAGTACAAAGGTGTTGGCTATCCCACCATGGCTCACGGTAAGGCCACAGAATCCTGTCCTAGGATTTTAATAAGAGGGTGATATCCTTGCTCTTTTCTCTGCAGTTTTTGGCTGCTTTTTGGCTACCTTGGGGCTGATTCAACTGCCCGGCTGGGCCTTCTATGCCGTCTATAAAAAGCGTCGCCAACCCGGCAGCTTCTGGCAGGTAAGTTGACCCCTTTTACTCCTAAGTTCACTCTCCCCCCCACAAATTTTTCACTGAAATCCTCTACCCCCTTTTTAGAGAGTACGTGCCGCCTGTAAGCCGTCGGACTCTTGGGGACCGGCCAACATTCAGCTAGATGCCAGTATCTAGAAAATTAGCTTAGTCCCCAACAACGCTGCGTATACGTAATGGCCTCAGTAGTCTAGGGCATTATTATTTGATATGGTCTAGATGAAAATGGCTAAAATAAAGTGAAATATATTAAGGTAGTGAGGCCAAGAGAACAAAAAAACAAAAGCTGGTTTATTCTGGCGGAACAGTTTAACTGCCCGAAGGAGTTGAGCCAGCGAAAAGGAGGAAGTTGGAGCTGCTGGAAGCACTTTTAATTACCCCAGGGCAGAGATCCAGTTGGGCGTGGCAGTTGCACTCCTTCGTTGTGTTTGTGTTAGTCCGCTTGGCATGTCAGACATGTCAGCAATGCGGAAATGCGCAAATACTAAATGAAAACAAGCAGCGATGGTTACTTTCGGAGACCAAGTCGTGGGATACTCTTTCAAATGGGAATATTTTCGTACTAAAGTTTCATAAATATATGTCATAAGAGGAATACATTACTAATAAAAATATTAAGTTTAATATTAACCCTATCATTTATTCTATGAAAAACCTTGATAGTTTCTAGAAAGGTTTCCAAAAATATTCTTTAATAAATGTCAAAGGAGAGCTTTTACTATTATTTAGCTTATTTATGAAACTTGGGACATAAAATTCCCTAAGACTGGCCACAAATCGTAATATCCCTTTGAAAGGATACAAAGTGCTGCAGCTCTGACATCCTCTGGATGAGGCAAAAAAAAACTACTACGGGAACTACAGCGCAGTAGGGCACTGTAAATAAAACATTTGGTTAGCTGCTGTTCGACACATACATTTTGGCGGGTGGATGAGAAGGAGGTCGCAAATCAGAATGTCTGTGGCATGTGACAAAGTTGAAAAGTAAATATGCAAAGGGGTGGGGCAAAAAGCAAAAAGGAGAGGAGCTGCGGGATGGTTGCTCCCCACTTTTCGCAGTCTGTTGCAATACCCCTACACATATGACAGCGCATTTATTTACTACATTTTTTTCTCTTCTCGGTTCAGCCGTTTGTTGTCAAAAAAAAGTGACAGTGTTAAATTTTTCGGCTCATCCTGCGCGGCAGATGAAATTGAAGTGTGTGTTGACTTTGACTGACGTGTCGTTAGTGCTGAAGAGCAGGGAGATTTCCGTTAGAAGCCCGCTTGCGTGTGGCACGCCCACCCCCACCCACACACATGCTCAGAGTCACACACTTCCATACATACTTTCCATCCGGCAAACAACTTTCTTTCATTCCATTCGTGCCTCCTTTTTAGGACTGCCTCACTCGCTGATGTTGTTGTTGTTCATTGCTTTAACGATGCGCGTAAATCTTGACATACTTTCACCGCCGACGAAGAAGAAGAAGAAGAAGAAGTGTGTCCGGAAGAGGAAGAGAAAGCGGAAGAGAGCCACTCTAACATCGCACGCCCATTATTAGTAATGGCCAAAAGCCCCGATTTGGCCCCTGTCAACATAGTTGGCTGAAAAGTAGACTACACTTTTTATGCAGCACATGCAACATGCAACAGTGTTGCTGAATTGTTACTCGACAGATAAAAATAGACAGGGACAAATTTGTATATCTGTTACGTGGAAAAATCTTTGAAAAGCTATTGGAAATGCATTGAAGGAGTATTTTGTTGCCTAGTTTTAGGCATAAATAAAAAGCCTCTAACCACAGGTTGTAGATTTTCAACAAAAGGAGTACATTGCTAAGAAAAATCGACTTAAGAATTCCTTTTTTAATATAAGTAAATTCTAGCTCTTAAGCTAAAGCCAGGTAAATTACTTCAGAAACTTAGATATTCACCAATAAGACACCCTAAACAACACTAACACAAACCACTCACAGAAGCCAAGACTTTTCTTGGTTGACTGACTCCAGCCGGACATGCAAAACTCCCTTGAGTGGAGAGCCAGAACGAACAAAATCCTCATCAGCCACGGGCAGCATCCCCATCATCAGGATAATGATCATCATGCGGTGCAGATGGAGCCGTACCTTTGAGCCACTTTCATGCTCCGAATTCAGCACACTTGAGTGACGGAAGCAGCTGCCAGCTGGTCTCTTGTCAAGATGCAGTACCTCCTGCTCTAAGGATGTGTTCCCCCCTCCTCCGCCCCTCCTTACATTCCCTACTCCTGATTATAAATATGAGCCTGGAAGATGAAAGAGAAGGCAGCGGAAAATCCTCTTCAACTTGCATGTCTAGCTGTCAGCTGCAACTAAGCGAATTTATAGCCATAGTTTATGTTCTTTTTTCGTATATATATTTACTCCGCAACAACTTGATTCGATGACTTAAAACGTTTATCGTGTATGTCTGGCGTATCTGTCGCAGTATTATATCCCGGCCAACATGCCGTATACTTAATGCACTGAACGTATGCCACAAGTTGTATAGATTCCCAGGCCACTCCTCTCGATTTCACTACCATACAGGGAATCATACCCCCTGTAAAGCTCACCCCTCTGAGGTTGTCACTTAAGTGAAATTTAATTGTGTTCAACATGAATTCAAGTCCAGGGAAAAAAGGTACTCAACCTGAAAACGGTTGGTTAGGTTTGCCCATTGATTTCGTTTCGAGTCGATTATTCCGAAGGGTCTCTCAGCAAACACATACATGAACATGGGTCGAGCGAGGCAATTACCTAATGAATCGAATCGATATTTTCACTTTCTTCCTTCCCGCTCCCGCATGTCTAGACAGCATGAGTTTTTCTTTATTTATTTATGATTTTTACGTGGTGGCGTTGGAAATTACTGATTCATCTTGAGGCATTGTCTTGGGTAATTTACGTCATTTACGAGCATTTGCCGCTTATCAAAGTCACAATAAATTAAAACCGAAATGATCTCGTGGCCCACTCGTTTCTCTTTGGCTGCTGTCAGGCAAAGCCAATTACGCTTATTACATAATTCAGCAGCTGCCCACGCATCCAACAGATGAGGAAAATATGAGGGAAAGCCAAGGGAAGGACGAGTAAGATGCGGTAGGCAGATAACCTGGCTGAATAAGCAGCCACAAAAGCGACGTCAGCGTAAAATATAAAAAGAAAAGAAAAACACGGAAAACCGCGATGCCCACAAGACTCTAAAGAGTGGAGAGAAGTGGAAAGGTGAAAAGTTGGGGGAGAAAGTCAAGTCAAACAATTAAGAAAACCTCCATGGATGGACTTCTACAAGCTCCTCTTTTCTTTTCCTTGGCCACTCCCTAACAGTTTTCCGCATTTTCCTTCGCCCACTTAAATAGGCACAGAAAATGTTTGTTGCCAAATTCGAGCTTCATTAGCAGTCGGAAAGGAGTTCGCTTCACGCCAACTGACAACCTAATGCGAATGTCGAAACAATATTTTCCATGTCTGCTAATGTGTCAGCATGTGTGTGTGTGTGTGTGTGTGGAAAGCAGGGAAATGGGGAAAATTCCGCAGAGCTAGGTGGCAAAAATCCAAACGGAAGCCAGGGGAGAAGCGAGGCAAAAAGTGAAAGCAGCGAGACAGTGAAATCCTATTAAGAAGTTTCTATCGCAAATTAAAATCTAAATACGCAAACAAAATGATGGTGACGTCTGCGCTACGGGGAATCCAGACAGCCGAAAACAAAAAGAACACTCAATACAGAGAGAGAAAAACAGAAGAAATAAAAACAAAATTCAAATAAAATTCAAATTTCAGCGCAGTTTTATTGACCTTTGCCATTTATAAATGGGCGTTTGCATATATCAAAAAATACAAGCCGGGATAAGAACAACAAACAACCAGCTGGCAAAAATATCCAAAATTCGTGGAAATTTGTGAATAAATTTCATGGAATTTACTTTTTTCTATTTCAGATTTTTATTCTGCTTAATAAAACATCCATTACGGTGGATTTCAAGCCAAAGTTATTGGAAATAAATTAAAGTCATAATAAATCAGAAAGAGAACAGTTTTTACTCCAATTTTGACACATGAAAATTAGAAGTATGGATTAAGTATTTTATTAATTGCTTTATTTAAGACTTTTAATCACATTTGAAAAGGAAGAACATCTTTTTTAAGTTAGTAAGATTACCGATTACCCACTTCTTTACTTCTTAAATATATTTTAATGACTTTATAAGACAAAATATAATATCATTGTGTTACCACAAATTCTCCTTTATCCCCATAACTCCTTGCCTGATATTCAAGACATTCTCTCTAAGTGCAGAGCAAAGACACCAACGAATAAGCATTAACCAGGACAAAGGTAACCGCTAGCCAGCAGACAAGCCACCAAACTCCCCGTTCCTACTTCTAGCCACGCCCCGTATTTCCCTTTTATTTGTGCTGTCTGCTTACAGTTTGAATTATAAGCTAGCGAAAATTTAATAAAGCTTTTCCCTCCCCGAGCGAACAAGAAAACTGGGCAAAGCAGGGGGGTGGGGAATTGAAGGCGACTTTGGGGCAGGACACGCTTGGCAAGGACATGAAACTCCGCCGCAGAAAAGGACAGACTATATGACAATGTCAAAGAGTTTCGCTGCACGCAATGTAGGCGTGGCAAACGGGACACAAGAGGGGAGGAAGGGCAGGCCAGGAGCACCTGAGCAACAACAAAAATACAACGATTGACGGTAAAGTTTTTGGCCTGGCAAATGGCAAATGTTTTGAGCTCTCCAACCGTTATCCCGCTTGAATATATATACTTATATTTTCTTTTATTTCACTTTTTTCCTGGTCTCGTTGCAAGGGCAGCAACTTTAAGCCTTTATTAAATTGTGTGTCCAAAGTCAACAGGGAAAGAAAAACCAAAAGCAAAAGCAGAAGCAGAAGCGACAGCGATGGGAATGACAGCAACAATTGACAGCAAAACAAACGATTGTCATTGCCAAGTGTGTGCGTCAACCTTTGAACCCGTCCCAGGGCTTCAGTTCTGTGTCACTCTACGCCCACTTTCCACGTTGCTGGAAAATAGATGTCAAGCGGTTTTCCCCCAGTCCGTTTAAATTGAATTGTTAATTCGGCCCAGAAACCTTTTCCCTTTTTGCCTTTTGTGTGTGCGTGTTTGCCATCAATGCGATTTTCGTTCTTTTTACTTTTGGCTCGTTCCGGGTGAAAATATTTATGTTGAACCCTTTTTGTGGCAGCTTTTGTTTTGGCCTTTGTTGCGTTATGCAAACATTCGACTGCCAGTGACAACAGGACAGGAAAAGCATCCCTACTTGCCCCATTTCCATGGACAAAATACCCCGCTACTCCCCTACACCAACATCACCATCTATTTGGTTATATCTGAGCCGGAGTCAATGGGGAATATAGTTAGATGGCCGGATAGCTTCACCTGCATTGGATGGCTATGGCGGTGTGGTCCTGGCAGCCGATTCTATTAACTTTTTTGCCCCATCCAACAACATTTGCATATCCCGACCGCAAGAGTCCAGTTTTCACAGTTTACAGCTCGGACTCCCGACAATCCGCCGTTTCCAAGCTCACAGCTCTCTCACATTGTTTGCCATTTGCAACTGTATACTCCCGCCCTTTTGAATGCTACCCCCGCCCACTGTTCACCCATTGCCCACCATGACTAAAGCATAAATCAAGCGCAAAGCACAAATATTTTTCAAGTGACAACAAATATATAATGACGACTCCCCGGACTTTGCCTCTTGGCCAGAAACCTGAATAGCAGAGTACCATAGTGGTACCTGAATGGACGCAGCCAGAAACCGGGTTTCCCGGTACCTCTCTGTTGACTCTGTTGTTTTTTGGCTGGAAAACCGTGCCACCCGCTCTCATGATTTCTGCAGAAGGTTACCCTAACTAGATGGGGCGTATTCCAAATGTAATATAAGCAAATTGGTAAGGGGATAACGTGGTCCTGATGCTTCAAACTTATTTTATTACAAATATATACAGTTTCCTCTGTTTCAAGAGGTAACTCAAAGGAGATGTGGAAGAATAAGGCAAAATATTTAGTTTTTGAGCGATTACATTGATACCCCTTTTGTTTTCTCTCTCTCTCTTCCCGCTCTTTCCCTAAATTTCCATTCCCCCAATTAAATTATTTTAATTTATCGCCGTTTACTCGTATCTACAGCGATTTTCATAATTCAGTTCGACATTTTTGTGACACTTTCAATATTAAATCCGTGATTTATTTTTCATAACATTCCTTTGTTGTAAAATATTAAATTTTTAATCTGATATCAACAAATGCCAGGGAATCAAATGCAGGGCATTAAAAGGCTTGATTTTCGTTTGGAATTTTCCCAGGCTTTTCCGGGCAAAGCTGTTCCACTTTCCGCTGCGACGCTGCGGCTTGCGCTTTGCTGATTTCGTTTTGATTACGGCAAATTGTTTTTAGTTGCCCTCGTCGTCCTGTTCCTTTCAGCGATTTGTTTCGTGGCCAAGTTTATATTGCGGCATTTGTGCAGTTTGTGCCCAGTTCGCCCAGTTTTCCCCAGTTCCGTTGATTTGCATTTATAGCCTGTATAGCGGTAATCACAGGTCAACTCGCAAATTACATTCAACTCCAATTCCTGACCTTAACTCCAGCTATAATATTGACAAAGTCCCAGCCAAATGAGAATTGCGTGCCATTCGCATTAAGTATTGATAAATGCTTCTATTTGTTGAGTAATTTTTGGCTGGCTTTGTGCATTACAAATTGCCTCGACTGAAAGTGACTTTATTTATAAAACTCTGTCTAGCTGATAGTTTTGGTAAATATCTGTAAGGCAAACAACTAATAACTAACCAGTTTGTTTGCTTTCACCCATTAAATATATTTATTTTTTGTGGGTCCTTTTTATGTTTAGCTTGCCGTTGGCGTCAATTAGCAAGTTTTTCGATGCACAACTTTTTAATGAAATTAACAAGCCCGCGGGACCCGATCCCTTTTTAGCCTTCGTGCAGCAAATGTTAAGTGCTACTTCAACTACAGACCGCTCCTAATGAGAGGGTAGACCGAATATATAGTACAGAGAAACTATGGCTAGACTGATGGCCATATAGATAATATGATATATCTAGGCACTGCCATTCTGTTTAGCTGATTAGTTTGTGGGCGCGACTTCAATGGCGATTCAGTTGCGATTACAGTTATAAGGCGTAACAGCTAGTTCCTGCACTTATGTCATATTTCAGGGCCAGTGACAGCCGGAGGTTAACACGCACACATGCCACGCCCCCAGATACTTTTCTCCCTCATATATACATATGTACATATATATATATATATTTTATATACATTTGGAGTCGTCCGCGTTTCGATTAAACAAACCTTCTCAAATATGCAATGACATTGAGGCAAAGGCAAGGGAAAGCTTAATGGGGCGGAATGGAGCGGAGAGAGTGGGTGCTACATACGTTGTAAGCCCCAGCAACAACATTTTGCAATCAGCGGGGGACATTGCGTATACGTTTTGCAAGCGCTGCTATTAAAAATTTATATTTTTTCTGTGACTAACGACATTTTGTTTAAGCTCCAAAGGATTGATGGATCTGTATTTGAATGGGAGTTTTCATTATATATTGTAGATATCGCAGATCAAATGTTTGTAAAACATCTGTGAAATAAGTGGAATTTGACAGGCATATAATGTTTTCCTCAATTCAGTTTGTGAATGGAGATTTTATGTGTTTAAAATTTGATTTCATTTACATTTCCTTTTAGTACAAGCTCTTTGAAATCGATTTTCATTTTTCTTTTTGCTTCCCAACAATTAAAGGATTTATTAGACCATGAAAACAGAAATTTGAGTTACTCAAAGTTTTTCACTAGCTGAACTATCAATAATGACTTTGCAAAATGCTAGTTAAATAATTTATTAAGCTTACTTGATAATGTAAGAATATGATTTTAAAGTTGGCATTGCTACCTACCTTTTTACTATATCTAAAAATGTTTTTGCAGAATACCATAGCAGTTTCTAAACACCTTTTGATTTTAGCCGATATCTCGCTCTGTTTTCCAATTTTTGTTAATTTTTTAGGATACTTTTTAGGTGAAATTAGACTTCCTAATAACTTAGCTTTTCTATCTGTGTAGTTACGATTGCATAACCTTGGCTCAGCTAATTAGGCAAAACAAAGAGAAGTAAGCGAAGCCGAAAAGAAAGCGAAAGGATTGCCAGTGATTGCATAATCCAGCTGAGACGTATTAAATATATATAACTGTTATACATATATATGGTATGACTTAGAGCTACGGAAAGGGAGCAGGAATTTAGTAGGAGTATGGAAAATAGGTGAAAATGTCAACGCGACAGCAACAACGCATGCAACATGCCCGGCGCCCAACTGACGCTCAAGGATACGCAAACACACACAGATGCACATTGAATGTTCGTGCTGGTGCTAGTATTAGTGTATCTGTGTTTGCAGTTGCTTGCGTAACGTAAAAATAGCCTTGAACTGCAGCCGTGCGCTTTCAATGGATTTGCATGCCGCCCACCATGCCACCCACACCCATCCACCCACTCAAGGTCACGCGATGCCTACCGCAAATGGAACAGTTGCGGGCCATAAAGGCTGACATGACGACCATTATATAAGCCCGGCGACCGCTGCAAATGTCGCCGAGACACCCTGCTAATTGCCACTCGAGCAGCAGCGGCACAAACAGCAACTAGAATTGCAATTACAAGTGCAACATGGCTGTGCAACTGCAACAAGGACACGCAATTGCATTTCTAGCCAGCAAATCTCATCGAAGTTGGTCCTTTCGAAGGAAAAAAACAAAACAAATGACGGTTGATGATCGAATTTTTTCTCCTCGGCGAAAGCTTAATGCCAGTTAATAACATTAATTCCAATTTTTGGTAAATTTGGTAAAGACTGAGGGACCGAAAAGAGCAAAATCTGAATGGGGACCCTAATGAATATTTATATGTATTTGTTTGGCTTAATATTTGGAGCTGCCCTCGCCGTCGCTGGCCATTAAATGTCCCTTTTCGCTGCCTTTTCTCTCACTTTGGTCTATTCTGGTTTATTCCCGCCATATCCTTTGCCATTTGCTTATGCTGGCAGCTCTTTCATTTTGTTTTTCGCTTTTTGCTCTGCTCTGCTCTGCTTCAGCGCCATCGTCGTGTGCAAGTTGGCCATAAAAATGGAGTAACATTTATGACCCACATCAGGCGCACACAAGCACACTAACACATGCAACAAACGCAGAAGGACTCTGGACGCAAGGACTACACTGAAGGGAAATATACACACAAATGGTGGAATAATGGGAAAATTTTATTATACTCAAAAATTATACTTTATTGGGATTTAAATTAATAATAAGATAATATTAAAATACCAATCAGACAAAAACTGATATCTTAAGATCAGATATTCTCACATGATACTAAGCTTGTAAAAAATTAAAGATATTAATAAAAAGAAATAAAACAGTTTATGGTGTTAGTTAATTAAATCTTGTAAATTAATATACATATTAATTCATCAAATAAGAAATAAGCTAATAAATAAAAGGGTTTCTAAATTAAAAAGATAAATTAAAAAGATTCTACAAAAATGTTCACTGTATGGATAAAACGAAAATGGTTTTGCGTGGGTGTGGATGAACATTAGGGAGTTTTTAGGGAGGCGGGTAAGGCCAGGAGCGGAAAGGGAATGACGCCTGCAAGCGCAAGATTCACAAGGATATTTTATTTTACTTTTATTCCATTTCCCACTTCTTGTTGCTGTTGCTTCTACTGCTGCTGTCCTTTTGTTATTGCTCCTTTCGGCATTTCGACATTTACTTTTCGACTCGCAGCGCGTATCCTTGAGCGGGTTGGAACCCCCTTTCCACTATATCTCCAACTTTTTTGTGAACCCCCTCGACACCCCTCTATTATAGGTTAAAGCTGTTTTCAAGGTTAAATATGCGTGGCATATCGGGTATAACAGGATTTTCGTGTGCTGAGTGACTTACCCTTTGCCCCATTAAGTATGCTACACATTTAACTGCAGCACATGCAACATTGTGGTCACTTTCCTGCTCCTTCTTGCCGCTTCTTCAGCCTTTTCCGCCTATCCTTCCTCCTCCACTGTCCTCCTTCTTTTCGCTTGCTGACCCAGTTCGCTTTGTTTTGCGTGTTTATCTTGCTCAGGTTGCTTTTGCGTTGGCGGCTGCTGTTGCCGCTTGTTTTTGTTGCATGTTTTTTATCTCTTTTTATTTCAGCCCTTCTATTTGGTTTATTGTTTTTGTTGTTGTCTCAACTATGACCGAGTTAAACACACATACATTCGTTTAAATAAGAAGAAGGGTAAGAAGAGGTAAGGAGTTTTAAGTATTTGGTGCCTAACGTTGTAAAGTGTGCTTTACATTTTTAGGCTACTTTTTAAAATCAACGTCTTTCCTTTCTCCCCTCTTCTTCTTATCCTTGTATTTTTTATGCTCTCTACTTTCACTCACAATTGTGCTGCTAATTCTGTTACTTTCACTTTGTTAGGCCCTCTGTAAGCATGTATGTATGTATGTGTGTGTGAGTGTGTTCTTGAGTGGATTCGTGTGTTTTGGCTTTTGGAGCACACGTGTGCGTTTATGTGTATCCGTGTGCGTCGATTAACGGCATTGATTTTTTCCGGAAAAACTACAAATAACTCCACTTGAAATTTACTGATTCGATTTGTTTTCGTTATTTAATTATGTTGTGCACCGTTTCACGTGGACTTTTAAACATTTTTCGCATTTCGCTTTGTTTTAATTTCGGCGATTTGCGCGCGCGCTGGGTGTACAGGTGTGCGTGTTTGGTTGTGTGTTTGTGTAAGTGTTCGTATTTGTGTGCTGGCCATGTGTTGGTAGAATATAGCTGCCCGAGAGCGAGATTTTCGCAGGAGCAGCAGCGCACGTCCGCTCTCCACGACGCTTCACACACTTCTAACGGATCCGAGCGTCACTCTCGACTTTTTATGCAAAACGCTCTCCCCCGCAAAAGCGCTCTCTTTCATTAGCATCAATATATGTTTCTCGAAATTGGGCACTCTCTCTTTCTCTCTCTATATTTTTCGGCGCCACAATGTCTACGCATAAATAATACGCACGTTGCAAGCTAAGCGTGTTAGTGCAAGAGGGAGAGAGCAGGTTGAACTCTCATTTCTATGCAAAATAATCTCCAGCAGGCAGGTGTAAAAAGTGAGAGGAGGAGGTGAGACCTATCATAGCTAGCAGATTCCCTTTTTGTTGTATAAATTTGTATTTTTAAAAACCTTTAAAAATATGTGCATATTAAAAAAAAGGCCCATTGTATGTACATATGTATATAAAATAATGTTGTTAAAGCATGTGATTTTCTATTCACGTAATTAACCAACAATATTTATAATTTTATTCAAATTTTTTATTATTTTAAACCACATTTTTAATATTACCTAAATTAAAATTCTTAAAATTTTTAAGTTGGATGAAATTTTCAAACGTGTTTAAATATTTTAGTATGCTCTGCATTCCCCTACACTAACGGCATACGTCATCATAACTGTAAACAAAATTTTGCTGAGAGAAATTCCCATACAGGCCACAAATTGCGTTGCCCTTCCTCTCGTTTCCTTGATCATGCGCTGTATGCTCCTCTCGCTTCCCCACACTATCTTCGCTCACTAAGCAGCCGCACAAGCGAGTAGCTATCTCCTTTTCACCCATTCCTGCCCTCGTCTTATGTCTCTCTCGACCCCTACTGTTATTGCATGCGAAGCACGTGAATTTTTGTGTTTACTTTTTAATTTTCTCCTAGCTCTCAGACTCAGTTGGCATTTGTTTTTATTGTTGCTCCCGCCGCCAGTTGTTGTTGTTGTGGTTGCTGCCACCTTTTGGGGCTTTTGTTTTTCTTTATCGCATGTGTGGGCCTTTGTTTTTCTTGTGGGCCTTGCTTTGTTTTGTTTTTGTTTGGTTCCATTCATACGGAGTTTCGTAGGTTTCGTTTTTGTTTTTGGGGAGAAACTATGCATACTGTTTTCCATTTACGATCGACAGTTGGCAGTGTGAGTCAGTGACTGTGTGTGTGTGTGAGTGTGTGGCTGTATATACCAGAGATTTGTATGGAAATTGGCGCAAAATATGCCCCAAAACCGAATTCAAGTCCCCAGTTAGTTATGTGCAGCAACTGGCTATTCTGCATTCACATTTTACGAACACAAAAGTGCATATGCTTTTTGGTGAAAATATACCATTCCTTTTTTCACATTCTCTCATTTTTGTAGTTTAAATGGAAATGATTTTATTTTTATTTTACTTAAGTTTTAATCTATAAATACTAAGAATTGTAGTATACTATGCATAAAAGTGTTCATAATTATTTTAACATATTAAAATATTTTTTTAAAAATTTAAATGCTAAATGTAAATTTCAGTTGCATTAAAGCATTTATATTATCTGATGGATGCAATTGTGAAATGACCATTAAAAGAATAGAAATATATATTAGTAATATATATTCATAGATTTGTGCGTAGTTCATTTCAGATTTTCGATTGATTTTTAGCGAAATTATGCGATGGAACAGCGTGCAAAATGTGTTATGGCATTTGGGATGTTTGTTTTGGGGAAATGTTAAGTCATGCATGCTGATTGTCCTGTGGCTTCGAGGATGCCATGAGCAGCAAGGATACAGACGTAGTATAACAGCACCATCAGCAGCATAAGCTTCACAATCGGCATCAGCCATATTCGAATTTCGTTTACATTTTGATCATTGTTTCGCATTGCTGGCATGTCCAGAAGTGACGAGAAAAGAGGAAAGCGAGCTGCATGCAAATTATGTTGCTAGCATTGATAGCTAGCATTTTTCCCCGATGTCTTCCTCAACCCTCTCAATTCCCCTCTAATGGCTCCCCTTTGCCCTGTGGAAAATCAACAGCAAACCATCCGCTGCAGCAACAGGAATTTTGATTTTGAGCAAACGGAGTGCAGAGTAAACAAATAAACAAAAGGCCCCAGAATTGGGGACGTATGGGGAGAAACTGTGTGCGGTCGTATCCACAGCAACGGAAATTCTAACCGTAACTCATGACTCCCCAACCCCTGCTATATTCCGAAACTATTTCCATGAGTAATTGCCGTTGTGCATGCGCCTCTTTCTGGAAAATGGCACTCCTCCTTTAGCCCCTCTATTTCCCCATCACTACCATCATCATCATTATCATCATCAGCTGTATTTGTTGTCAGTTTTGGTCGGGTTTTAAGCCATTTAGCCAGCCCAGACCTGTGGGCCATCAGCAGGAGCAACCAGCCAGCCAGGTAAACTGTTGATTCCATGTGGCGACGCGACTGTCGAGGATACCCTCCTTTCTATGTAGCCCATCTCCTACCACCCCCTTCACTTTGCCACGTGAGAACTTTGGTATCTGCCCACGTCGGGATATACATACAAATATATGTACAGTTGAACTTCTCTCTAACTCAATACCTAATCTGTCACATGGAAAAACCGAGTTGTGGAGAGTTTTGGATTGAAAAAACAAGTGTCGAAAGCATTTTGTTGTACATTATTTATTTGTACACATTATGTTGGCACGTATTTAAATATTATAAAATGGTTAGCAATCCGTTAGCTTGATGTATTAGGTTAACTTATTGAGCTTCCACTGTATATATGAATATGTTTGCCAGACTTTGCTTTCAACAGAATTACAGTAGTCATGGCATTAACCTTTATTAACATAGAGAAGTTCACAAAAAGATCTTTATCCATTCACGGCGAGAAGGATAACATTTCTTTTGTGTATGCCACTCAAATTGGGTTTATCTACCTTTTGACCTTTGCAAAGGAGTTTCTTTCAGTGGACCAATGGCTATTTTCCGATGTTGTACAGAAATAGCATTCATTTGCCAAAACAAACGAAACAATGAGGTGTATGTGAGAGTCCCAGAGTGAAGTATAAACCAGATCGTTTCCCCAGACGGCCATAAACTCTGACCGAGTGCACTCAATCACGTAAACATTTCGTAGCTAGGCAAATATAAAGCGATTCGCTGAAAAGTATGCTATAAAAATGCGAGTGACAGAAAACACACAAACACAAATTTGGTCATAAATTTCTGTCAGTTTTTGTTTATTTTTGTCAACAGCCGCTAACCTAATGTACCTAGATTCTCCACGAAAAACATCCCCAACATCAGCCCCCAAATAAACCCTTCTTAAATTCTAAATTTGGGCACAAAATGCTGATTATTAGACCATAAACGATTTCATTTCGTTTCAGTGCACAATTGGAATGCCAAAACTGTGGTCAGCAGTTTTGGCTGTTGTGTCTGCGGTTTGATTAGTTAGTTATTTTTGCAAAAACCACACATTGTTATAAACATACTGTTAAGGGTAAACTTTAATTGCATGAATGGAAAATTGCAAGATTCCCATTAAATCGCTGTGCACAATTCATGAATTCAACCACAAACTAATGCACAAACAAATCGCATTAAATAGAAAACATTTTCATTTTCCCAGTGCCTGAGATTCGATTAGGTGAGGAGGGGTGGAGAAATGTGAAAAATTTAAGAGGATGATGAGCAGATGAGCTCCTCTCGCTTGATTGTCACTTGAATATTCCAAGCGTGATCGATGCGCAGAGCTTCTGGTTCCCTCGATTTCGCCAGCGAATTGAATTCGGAAAAGCCCCACACGTAAGCAGTGCTCCATCTCCCTCTCGTCAGCTATACACCCTCTCTCTCTCGCACTGTAACGCTTGGTGTTTTCCTCTCGTGGGCAAAATTAATGTCAATTTTTATGCTTGATTTATGGCATCGCATTTATTCTTCTGGGGGCGTAGCCGCCTTTTTGGCCCGGCTTCATTTGAATTCAATTGCTGGCGAAGATGCCACAGCGCTGATTTTGTCGCAGCAAATGTCGAAGGAGCAGGTCGAGAGCGGCACGTGACCCGCTAACCCCGAAAGCGCAATATACACAGCATTCTGCCCTCCATTCCTGAGCAGCCAAACACATCTGCCAAAGGGCAATAAAAAATTGACAACGCAAACGCCAACAGACAGCAGCAAAAAACTGCGGCGGAGGAGGGTCCAAGTCTACGAGCTACATAGAAAGAAATACGGAATTTCTAAGAAATTCATATGAAAGAGGGGTAACTGGTAAACAAAATAAAACATCTAACTGACAAATAATTAAATTTTGTTATTATTTTTCTTATTAATAAAATTATTCTGAATTTGTATTAGACAACCTTTTACCTTTTTATTCAATTTATTTATATTTTTTATTTATTTTTATTATTTATTTTGTTCCGTGTATCTTCGTTTTCCCTCAATCATTTGCCAAAAGGCAGGGCTAGTGGCAAAATAAAGCTACGTCCGCCTATCAGTTGACACAGGCAGAAATGTACAAAGTGCTACAGTGCGGCAATATCTGGGGATTCTTTGCTGCAGCTGCACTGCCCGCTGAAGTTGCATCATTTGCATCACTTTCCCCCAGAATGCTTTTAACTCCCCTGGCACGCCCTTCATTTCAGTTGGAGAGAAAATGCCAACCCACAGGTAAACACCTGCGGCCGGCACTTTGGCGTTATTTAAGCGCTCCCCCAGCGGAGGAAGTCGAATCATCAGCCATTTTTGGCTAGCAGGCCGGAAGCACTTTGCGTGCAGATTTATGGCTCGTCCTGGTCCTCATCCTCGTCCTCGCCGCAAGCCAATCCTCCGTGGGAAATGCATCTGCATGCATACATTTATGTGCGAGCCATGCGTGTGCTTGGGTTTATGGGCACATATCCTTCGGTTTTCCACGCTCCCCTGCGTTTTTATATTTTCGAATGCATTTAAATTGCATTTGCTTTTGCGGCTGATAAAACTGTCGGCACTTGACAACCTTATCGCCGCACTTAAAGTTCGGGTCACAAAAACACAACAAAAAAACAATGAACCCATAAATTTTAAGGCGGATTTATTGGCGAAGAGTTTGTTCGACCATTTATGATTTACACGCCTTGCTAAATCAAGATTGTGGAAAGGTATTTTCTGAAAGATTTTATGAAATTTAAAACTCGCATTTTAAAGATCTTTTTTATTATTTAGAATTATGAGCAAATTTTCACGTGGCAGATTGCTTTTCATTCATTATTTAAATCAGAAGTTATATATTATTTGTTTACTTAATTAAACTGTTTTTCATTGATTTTTACTTATCATCAACCAATGGACAAATTAAATATTTTTAACCATGTTAAAATAACATCATATAAATTACTCAATGAAATACTCAAAAAGTAATTAATACATATACGTTGTGAAATATTTAACAAAAGTACACTTTTAAATTGATTTATTTCGCCTATGATTTCGAACTCTCTTACTCTTCCCTTTGTGCCCCATTTTTTACAGTCGAACGACTTTTAAGTGTCAGCTGAAAAGCTTAAAGTGAAATCAGCCAAGCCACTAGGGCTTTCCCACCCAGAATTTCCTTTTGCAAAAACCCACCCAACCTTTGACTTTGGCTTAAACTTGTATGTTATGGCATTCGACTTGTTTGCCTTTCATTTGCTGTCCACTCACGCAGCTTCACTTCAGTTGGCGCGGCCACTTGCCAGTAATCTCTGCCTCCAGCACCCCTCTCTCAAAAACACTTTCAACCTACCACCCACCTGCCAATGCCGTACACATAATCCGTTTAAAATGAGCACTGGCTGTGCTCCAGTTTCCGCTGCTCCTGCTTTTGAGTGCACTGAAATTAATTTAACGACTTGGCGCTCTTCAAACTGCACAAAACATATGAGTGGGATGGTTACGGGTAAGGTGGCAGCTTTCCCTGTTGCGCACGCAAGAGGAGGAGAGTGGCGTTAGGTATGGAAAAGCTGGGACAATGCCAACTTGACCTTGACACGTTCGACGCTTTACAGCGCCTTCGCGTCCTTCTTCCCACTTTTCAGCTAATTTTTTTTATATTTTTTTGCGACTTTCGCTCGGCTTACGTAAATTCAATTTTGCAGTTTCATGAAAGCAAAGTTCACGCTTCACACAAGTATGTGTGTGTGTCGCCGTGTGTTAGGACTACCTGAGAATCCTCCGCCTGCAGGTATGCAATGCTATTTGGGCACTGAGGAAAAGAAGATGTAAAATTCGGCACTGTTTAAAATATCTGAAAATTCGTCGTGCAAATTTTATAAAAACCCTTATTTTTGTAAAAATTCGAAATATTCAAATAATTTTATTTTTTTTCGAAGATTTCAAAGCACTTGAAGAGATTTTCCTTTATTTATATTAATCTCTAAAAAAAGTATTTGTTTTAGAATGCCCTTTAGGTAATCATACGGTACATGGTGTTACCTGCATGGGGTTTCAGCAAGTATTTATCACTTTTTGCAGTGCAGGGTTATATGAGGAGGAGGTGTCCTGTATTGGAGAGCGAGTGATTTGCACAATCTGCACACAACTCGAAATTAAATTCGGCCCCGGCAACAGCTCGAACTTTTTTGCGAAAGGTCAAAATGTTAATGTATTTGAAATGAGACGCCACAAAGGAACGAGAGCGAAAGGAACACAGATAAAATAGAGCGGGTATGAAGGCAAGGACGAAGGAACAGCATCCAGAAAAACGAGACTCAGATGCGAGATACAGCACAGAGAACTTTCTCCCCTCAGAAAGTGGCAAAAACTTGTCCATGTTCATTCAACTTGACACGGTCGCCAGCGGGCAGACAAACTCCCACCTACAAAAAGTTCAGAGAAATTGGGCCTAGTTTTGGTAACGAAACAAGAAATTCCTTAACTAACATCTAATCATCATTGTTTTTTAAATTCCTTCTTTAAAAAAGTAGTAAAATTTCTGACAGCTAAGATAGCATTTGCAAATTTTTTATTTACTCTTTTTATCCACAATTCGACATATCGTCGTCCAAAATGATCTTTATAATATAAATTAAATTATAATTATTTTTGATTTAAAATGGGTGATCAGTGCAAAATTTTTAAAAGTTCTTCAAAATATTGATTAAAATACAGACTGATAATTATCCAAAGTAATAAACTTCATAATACAATAAATATACCCTCTGCCAGGGTATCAGCCCAAATAAAAAAGATGTCTGCGAGTGTGTAGGCGTAGGGGGCGTGGAATGTTTAATGCGATTTGCCACACGTAACTCAGTCTGGGGAGACTGTTGAATTACTTAGGATACAGAAGCCCACATCGTGTTCTACTTTTGGACTTTATTGAAGAGGGATATATGAAGTTACTTGCCCTGATTTGGGTTCAAAATGCATAGCATTGTGAGGGGATCCGTCAAACAATCTGCAAAACGGTTAAGTAATTAAATAAATTTATTAAAAACTTCTTTTCGGTACCCACCGCAAGCCACTAATGAGCAGTATAGAGTTAAAATCAGTGTTAAATATATCAATAGTAGCTTCATGTTGTGGACGCTTTAAGAAAACCTTTTAAAATGAGGGAATCTTTATAAAAACAAATCAGTTTTTCCCTTATCAGTAAAAACACTGCCAGCGGGAACTTCCCAAGAAATAAGTCAAGATTAGAAGAGCGAACAGAGAGCAGTCTTATAACCAAATCTATTGGTTGAGATAAGAACAATGCGAATTCTCTCGAAATCAAAAATAAAGAAGAAAACTGACTAAGTTGTCTGCCGAAAATAGATAAATTAAAGACGTGAACTGTCATTTTTTTTGCTGTTTTAATGCCAACTAGAAAATAAAATTAAATAATACTTACATAAAAACAACTGATATTTTCCATGTAATATGTATTCACCCTGAATAATTAAAATAAATAAATTAACACAACCTTGTTCAGAATAACTTTCTGAGAATTAAAAACTTGAAACTTAAACGCTAATTACTCATTTAACAATCAAAGAAGTTTTTCAAATAAGCTGCTGTGATTAATCACCATTATATCTCCCACTTCATTTAATATTAACACATGGCCATATTAATATTATATTCATAAAAATATTTAATCTATTTTATTCCCGTAATTAATTTAACCTACTGTTTTTAAAACAGATTAAGCTGCGCACTTTGGTTATCGATAAAGCTATTATCCAATCAGCTGTTACTGTTTTCGCGCTTACCAACACTTTCAATATGTTTAAGAGTCCGATAGGCACACCCAAATAACAATTACTTCTCTTGTTATCGAAGAACGACAACAAAATAAAAAATTAGCTTTAGTTATTAACTAAAAGTAGCAAGGAAGCAAAATGGCTGAAACCAAAGTCAATCCTTTCGACATGGACAGCTCCAGCTTCGATTCCGAAAAGTATCTGGAAAGACTGTTAAAGGTAAGGCCAATTGCCTATGTTTTAGACTATAATTTATGTACCTTATGTTATTTTATCATATTAGGATTGTTCCTTAAGGCAAATTATGGATACAGAGGCTGCTGTGGTCAAGGACACCCAAACTTTACATTCGGATATGCAAACTTTGGTCTACGAGAACTACAATAAATTTATCTCCGCCACGGACACAATTCGCCGAATGAAAGACGACTTCAAGCAGATGGAAACGGATGTAAACCTGCTGATGACTAAGATGCAGTCTATTACCACCTTTAGTGAGCAGATCACTGGAACGCTGCAGGGCACCAGATCACAACTATGCCGACTATCCGAGAAACATTCGCTTCTCAAACGGCTGCAGTTCCTCTCCACACTCCCAGCCAAACTGAAATCCCTGATAGAGGAGCAAAATTACGCACAAGCTGTACAGGATTACCTACACGCCCAGAAGGTTTTCGCACAATATGGTAGACAGCCCTCATTCGATGGTATCCAACAAGATTGCGATGACATAATGGCGGATCTAAAGGAACAATTGCGAAAGGACTTTCAAAGAGCGGGAAATACGGCTCAATCGTTGACAGAAATCGGTGAACTACTCCTACAGCTGGATGAGAAAACCTCAGATCTGGCTAGCGAGATGCTGACTTGCGCCGGAAAGAGACTCCACGAGCAAATTGTTATGCTTCAGGATCAGACAGAGCGCGATATGCTGGAGTTCGTTGACATGGGTATCGATGGTTTACTCAACGATCTGGCGTTGGTTGTGACCTCCTATTTTGACATGTTCGTGGCCAAGCACTACGAGCAAGAGCGGTATGTTCAAAATGTTATTTATAATTTAAAATTTGTTTTAAAAAAATCTTTTTCAGTGACGATTTCCAGGAGAATGCTCTGCAGGAGCTAAATATCTTCCTCAATCAGAACATCAACAAGTATCTCACTCTCGTCCAGGATCGAGTTGAATCCGATATTGGGTATGGAGACACCCAAGTAATGCTGCGTGCTCTGGATCGCCTTCATCGGCGACTTCAAGCCATGCGGAACATATGCCGCGGCTTAGAGGTTCAACGCAACACAGTCTCCATCATTATATCTGCTGCCCACCAACTTTGCGATGCACACGCCAAGAACCTTAAGGATCACTTTGCTGATAGCTTGAGTGCAGTTCGATTGTCTCTGGTTTCCGCTAAGAGCGATGCAGCTGGTCTTAATCTTAGTGATCTCATCAGCAATCTGTATGTAGCTATGGTGGAGAAGATAAAGGGCGTACTTCAGGATCTACTTATATTTCTGCGTACTGACTGGTCGTTCAACATCAAAGCAGAGCACAAAGGTGCGTTGTGCGTTGAGGGTATTCGAGAGAACCTCCTGATCGGTTTCCTGCGTCACATCGCCAAGGTGATGTGCAGTTTTGGAGATGCTTCGAGCTCTAGTCCACCAAATCTGCTGCTAGTACTGTCTAAAACATGTCTAGAACTGGAGCAGCAGGGCGTCCATATACTGGTAAGCATTTTATAACTACAATTTTTAAGTCATCTACCCATCCCAATTTTCAGATTGCTTTGGTGGATGATCTGTACGAAATAGATTCTGAAAATAGTGCTACACTTACCCACGAAACTGAGATATGTGCGGAAATGCGAGAAACAGCACAGGCTCTTCTGGACTCCTATGTCCGGCTACAGGGCACAAATATTTCGCAAATGCTGCGTAAGAGCGTCGAGACCAGAGATTGGCTAAACTGTCTAGAACCGCGATCCGTACGAGCGGTGATGAAACGTGTGGTAGAGGAGCTGGGTACCATCGAGACGGTGGTTGCCAGTCTCTACGAGGCAACCACGAATACAACATCAGGATTCCGTACCACAGCTAGCAGTGATTCTAGCAGGAAAACGTACTTCAGTAATTTTGCTTCCACCTCCAAGCCACAATACCGATCCAATTGGTCAAACTATACGCCCTCGCAGTTGGAATCCAGTTATGTATCCAATATACATCGCTTGTTTTCAGAGCGAGTGGAAATTTTTACTTCGGTAGAGTTTACTAAGGCATCAATTGTGATGGGCATAATTAAAATTGGTCTTAAGGTGAGTGTAACATGATGTATGAAAGAGTGACATTTATGTACATTCCTTTTGTAGACCCTATTGGAATGCGTGAGAATGAGAACTTTCAGTAAATACGGACTGCAGCAGATTCAGGTAGACGCCCATTACCTTCAAATGAACCTCTGGCGGTTTGTTAGTGATGAAAAGTGAGTTTTGTACGAAATTTCTGAGATTAAAGTAGCGAAACATAATTGTTTTCCAGCCTGGTTAACTTCCTGCTGGACGAGATCCTTGGCTCAGCTGTCCAACGCTGCCTGGAGTCCGTTTTAATGGAGCCCAATGCTGTGGAAATTATTTGTGAACGGGGTTAGTATCTGGTTTCCAAAAGCTGAAAGCATCATTCCACTTAAAATCTCCGTATATTTTGTTAAACGCTGCTAGCCTAAGGATCTTAAGATAAACATTTATATTTTTAATGTATACATAATAAAATAATGTTTTGGCTAAGTTGAATTAAGAGAATTTCATTTTTCAAAATGATTTCTCGCAATTCGTATGCCGACAATTAGTTTTCTAACAAAGCTGCCATGCAACGACTTTTAACAGAAATATTCTCAAACTGTGGTATCGGGACTAAGACACAGGGTGAACTCGATGGTCTCGCCTTTGAGGTCCTCGTCACTGTTTTCGCCGCCGTCCTCGCCTGTTGAGATGGTCAGAATGCTGGGCACCTCCTCACCAATAGCTTTCCGTTTTTCAGATCGTGCCTTCCGCGCCTCCTCGAACTCTTTGGGATGACATTTTCTGCGATGTGTGTGTTGGTTTGCATTTGAGTTGAAGGTTTTCGGGCAGTGGGGACACTTGTAGAGCACCTCGCCTGTGTGCGTGGTCATGTGTTCCCTCAACGTGATTGCCTTTTTAAATGCCTTTCCACAAACGCCGCACTGGTGCTTTCTATCCGTGAGATGTACGTATCGCTGGTGACTCAACATAGCGCTGCGATTGGGTGAAACCTTTCCACATAGGTCGCAGGTAGCAGCAGTACCATTATGCCGCCGCACATGCTTCTTGAGACTGTGCTTATTCTTGTGCCACGACCCACAGATGTCGCACTGCACTTTAGGTTCTGTGACTCCAGCGTGCTCCAACTGGTGGCGTTGGAAGGCAGCTCGACCTCGAATGACCTGTGCGCAGATGTCGCACATAGTTCCATAGTTACTATGGGCCATCTTAACGTGCGTGCAGAGCAGGGATTGATTGGGAAATCTGTTCGAAATTAAAATGATTATTTAAGTCAAATGATCATTTGGTCAAAAAAGACTAACCTCCTTTCACAGAGATCACAAACCACATTTCGTTCCTTGTGGATAACACGATGCTGATCCAACAGATACTGCTTTGTGTACCGTTTCGGACACTGCTCGCACTTAAAGGTCTTTTCCTCCTCCGGATGATGTTTGAGTAGCTCGTGATTCCTCAGGCACTGTTTATCCGCGAAATGTTTATCGCACTGAGTGCATCTACAATAAAATATTATTTTAGTTCCAAGTTCTTTTTATATACATTTTTATGTCAGATTGGCTATCTCCACTTTACCACTCACTTAAACTTCTCGGGATTGGCATGTCGATCGATGTGATCGGTGAGGAAGGAGCGTTTGTAGAACTTCTTATTGCAGCAGATGGCATACCCCTTGCGATGATGCTCCTGCATCATGTGCTTGCAAAGTTGCAGAAAAGTCTCCTGGCCCTCATGGCAAACATCACAGGTGAGTCGCATGTGGGCAGAGATCTTAGCATCGATGTCCAGCATGCACTGTTTGTAGTCTGCATAGCGTTTGCTTTTCTGTGGGGATACTTCTGTTTTGCAGACGGTTTTCTTGGCTCTGGATTTGTTCACGACAAGCTTGCGTTTCACAGCAGGAGGAGGAGGAAGAGGTGGAGTGATTTCGGTTGCCTGATAGGATTTACTCTTGGTGGTGGACCTTGTTTCTCTTCGCTGTTCTGTACGTATGGTAGGTATTGCTTCGGGGTCTGGAACATGCTTTAGCTCCAATACTGGCTCGACCTCTGTGACATCGTTTAGCTCCGATACTGGTCTGAGCTGTTCGGGTGGCTTGGATTCGGGTTGCTCTTCCTGCTGCTCTATAACTTTGCTGAGGAATTGCTCATTGTTAAAGGAACTACTCTCGCAATCGCTAGCAGATAATCCCACCTCGTAGTCTTCAACATGCTCTTCAACCTCCTCTTCTTGAAGCTGCATGTCCTCAACCGGTTCTGCTTTTCCCTGATCCTGACCAGATTTCAGCGAAAACCTTTCCGTGAGCAAACGATGTGAACTCTCCACTGCCACATAAAACTGATGGAAACCGTTAACCTGATTCCAGCAGGGCAAACAAATCACCGTCGATATAGGATCATCGCTCTTCGGCTGCAATTAAGAAATATATATTTATAATTTCCAAAATATCAAACTCACAAAAGAACGGACTTCAAACCAAAAGTATTTGGACAGCACACTAGCCACGTTTAGAGAAAGGCCAACGTCTTCGAAAATCCGTATAGTATCCGAATCGTTGACACTGTTTAGGCACAAACGGCAAATCATGCTTAAGATAAAACATTAAAACCTTTAAAACGTTAAAATTATTTGTTTGTTGACTTTTTGTAAAGTGTGGCTGTTCATTTGTTCAACCAAAAATACCAAAAAGCAGCAATCGGATTCGATTAAATATCAAGTCGCTAACCGATATCGAATTTGTCCGCCAAATTTGAAAATGAAAATTGCTATGTAAGTTAAATTTATAATTTGAAATAATTATGGGACTCTCCAGTTTTCCCAGTTTAAAATGCATTAAATAAAAAAATTATTTGCTTATGTTTGGAGAATTGGTAATTTATTTAAGATAAAGTTGAATTATTTATTTATGTAATAATATAACTAATTGGTTTCAAGTTTGTAGTTTTTGTTTGTTTTTGTTTTGTTGTTGTTTACTTCTTCCATCCTTCGCTTTAAATTAATTAATTACATTTAAAATCACAGCAGTCTTTCATTAAAAAATAGATTTATCAATGTTGTGTTTACTCCGTAGAATATAACTCTAACCATAGATTGTGTGTATAATAACTGAACAAACTTTCACTACATTCATAAAAAAATGTTTAAAATTTAACGGAATCAAGAGCTTACCACTAATCGGAGCTACGAATCGCCACTGCAAACTAACTACAGATTTAGTAATCACCTATATATATTAATATTTAGTTGATCTATATCTCATGAAGATATAGATGTACGTATCGTCATTGAACTGAGTTGACAAAATAAACACTATTATCTCGTTTACGAATTGCACAAAAGTCGAAAATAACATTAGTCGATATATATATATATAGTATATAATGTAGTTTTTTAGTTTTTATCTAGAACAAACATTAGTTTCCTTTGTATGAAATTTCTACTGTTGGAATGTAATTTACTTGCTCCTGTTGCTGAAAAATCTTTCGCCTTCCAATTTGTATTACAAATTTTCTGAACTACCTAGGCATGTGCGTAATTCGTTTGCGAATATCTGAAATATTTCTACACGTACATATACACATTCCGTTTTGAATTAAACTAGCTAAGAATCGGTGTGATCGACGAACAATTGAAAAAAGTGTCTATAATTGATATTCAAAATTTTGATTATGCTACTGAACTCGAAAAACGGGAAAGGGATGCACTTTGTTAGGAAATTGGAAACTAACTCCTATCCAATTATTACTGTTTTTAAGATGGCTATATATCGTACATATCGGCTTTAATCACAGCTACGCAGAGTTTAGGCAAGGCGAGTAGTCATTTTGGGTAGCTAGCAGGGCGGGATTCCTTAATCTAGCCTGCCACCTGCTGCATGGTAATGGTGCTGATCAACTGCTGGCAGATCTTTCCGTACTCGAACTGATCCCCGGAAATGCGTCGCAACTTGATTCCCTTCCCAGCTCCATGGTGATCCCGGCTTCGTCCCTCGCACACCTGCAGCTCGATTTGCAGTCCGCCCGAGTACTCCAAACTGAGATTGGTGGTTGGCTCTCCATAACCAGAGTGTGATGCCAAAAGGGAAGCCGCTTCGCATGCTAAAGGATTCGAGCTGGATGCATTAGAGGCACTGCTGTGGCGCGACTCTGCTCCGCTATCCTCCGAGCTAATGCTTCCCTTATGCAGCACAAAGCCTTTCGGTGGCATTGTGGAGTCAATGGTCTGCTTCACCATTTCCAGAATACGGGTGGAGTCCAAATTGGAGCACTCATGCGGCAGCGGGACTTCGTAGCACATCTCATCCGACATGCGCCGCGAATCGCACATAGAATCTGGTGTTAAATGGCCACACTCGGTGTGATCACCCATCTCCGAGTGGGAATCCGACTTAAAACCAGAGCTGGCGGAAGGCTCTTGGCAGGGCGACAGGTTATTTGAGTCATTGCTTAGTGAATCGTCAGAGAAACCAAGCGATTTGTCACTGCCCCGTCGACATTGAGCTTCGGTTTGAGTCTGGGATTGTGATTGGGTGGCATGTGAAGAGCCACTGACCACTGGGCAATGACTTCCACCACTCGATTCGCAATCTAGACTGGCCTTACGTCCAATACCTCTGGTAATTGATGGCATATCGCTGCTTGGTTCCGTGATGATCAGGCCCTAGAAAATCATTAAGATAAAGGATTACGAACTGGGTTGAAATTAAAATATATATTCCCTCACCTGCAGTGACATAACCGGGGTGTGCTGTTCCAGGGAATCCTCGCTGTCGCGACTATTGTCCGAGGATAGGGCAACCAAAGTGATTTCACTGCCCTGGACATCTGTCAGGCATATCTGCGGCGTTATCCCACCAGTACAACCCGCATATGGAGTGCCCGTGCTGATAGTGTGACACATTTGGCCGTTACCATTCTCCTCCTGTATGATGCACAAGTTGGGTGAGGCTGGAGGCGTGGGCACCACCCTTACGGGTTGAGCTGGCGATAGATTAAGCGGTTTAAGGTCGTAGTACGAAGCCGTGGGCATGAACCAATTGGTGGCTGCATAGTCCGTGGGCTGCTGATCCATTCCCCCGCCACAAACATCCATTGAAAGGTCTAGAGGTTGATTCGCTGCAGCGGCTGCCGCTGCTCCTTCGCTAGCGGCTGAAGTGCCACGGGTGATAGATCCTCCAGCACAACCAGTACTCAAACCAGATATGCCCTTGGTGATCTGATGCAGCGGTGACGATCCACCGCCAGCGCAGGGCAGGTAAGGATTGGGTGAGCAACTACCACTGAAGCTGGTACTGTATACCGGCGATTGGCAGCCGCTGCTCGAATTCGAGTTGCTGGCTCCCAGGTTGATGCTACTGAACTGTCCCACCAGTTGCTGTGGTTGCAAGGCCAGTGTCATAGGTTGGTATTGGGTGTATCCACAGATAGGTTGCCCAAACATCTGTTTAGCGGAGGTCAATGAGGCATTCACAGCGCCACTCTGCGGCAGGCTAAGTGGCGAAACACTGAAGCTTAGCATGTGCTGTTGCTGCTGCTGCTGTTGGAGGTGCAACAAATGACTCTGATCGAGGTGTCCTCCACTAACCGCCGCCGTGCTAGAAGCATGCGCTGCCAGTCCCAAAAGTGGAGCCAAATCCATGGGTACCACATGCGTTGAGATTATCTTGTTAGCAATTTCAAAACTAACACGCTGCTCCTTGACCAGACGATCCAGGGCGGGCATCAGATTCTTGATGGCTTCCGGAGGAACTTCAATGTCATGTCCACGCCGCAGAGCCAGCTGCAAACCCATGCCAGGTTTGCCATGAATGGGTGAACCTAGATGAATTATTATCCGAATTATTTATTACAATTCTTAGAAAAGGTAAGCTTGTGTCGAAGCTTGTGGCGCTAATTTTGGGATCCTCATCTTACCTGGCAAACTGATCGAATTTTCTAAAAGCGGCGGACTGGGTGCAACCAAAAAGTTTCTCTGTGCAATACCTTTCTGCAGGGATTGGCATTCCTGCAGCGGTCCTTGGAACTGGCTTTTGGATCCCTCCGAGGCTCGACGCACTGGACTATAACGTCCTATTGTCGCTGAATGACAAGCAGCGTAGATTGAAGAAAAGAAAAAGGAAATAGAAGGAGTATGTTAACCAATTGATATCTAATTTTAGCCAATATAATATTTATAAATATATTTAACAAAATAATTTTTACAGATTCTAAAGTGAAGGTTAAAAGCAGAGAAAATTTTATGATTAGAGTTTTAAGTTATAGAACTGTTATTAACAAAATCAAACATGTTAAATATTTAAAAAAGTTATTTAAAAATAACATAATCGAAGTTATCTTAAAAAAAAATAAATTTAAATTAAATTAAATCTAGGCTTGACGATAAGCAATTTTGTTAAAAGGATTTAAACTATTTTTTTTATTTTAGATCTTTTCTTAGTCCAACAACCGGAAAACCCAACACATAAACTCAAGACTTACCACCCTCCTGAACGGTGGGTAACTTCGAGTGGACCACCCGTTGGAAGCGCCGATTGTTGGTCGCTACCAGGGGCACAGAACCACCGGCGGCTGCCACCAAGGGCAGGGAATGTGGCGGCGACATGCCCTTTGACATGCCCATGGGCACGCCCACCGGATATGTACCATTGGGCGGCGATTGGCTAAGAGATTTCAGGGTCGGAGGCAAATAGTCGCGGTTCATGCGAGACTCAACCTCGCGTATTAATTCGGGAGGAATCACTATCATTTAGGCGGTAGTTAGATGGAAGGGTTTTTAAGCAGCAAGACCAGGAGCGGTAGCGGTTGTCGTTGTTGTTGTTGTGCAGTAGCGGGCGATGCAAAATTATCAATTGCAAAAAACCAAAAATGTTTACATAAAAAGAAAGTTCAAAAAAGGCAAACCATCAAATTATTACAGTAATCAAATAATAAGTAAATTAATTTATAGGAAATAAATTAAAGAATGTAGCACTTAAATATACAATTTAAGCCTGACATGGAGTAGATATAAAGCCATGCAACTAATCATTGGATAGACTTTATATTTTATACAAGAATATTGAAAAACTAGTAATTTTTAAGTTGGATTTATATATTAATTTTAAAGTGATTCAAAGCAAAGTAAGCTATAATCAATATTTTAAACACAAATCTTAGATTGCTATTTTAACGCACCTGGCGGCCTTTCGGTGACAGTGAGCAGACCAGTTCGCCGCTGCCGCATATTAGAAGAGGTGGTTGGCGCCTGGGACTGTGATCCGGGTCCCGGACCATGTGTCACCGACAGATCCTCCGTGCAGCCCACTGTATGACGTTGAGTGCCTCCGCGTTTTTGCATGTAACTACAAAGAAAGCGTCATTAATCATCACATCGAAAAAGACAATAAGACCCAAGTCAACCTCTGTAGCTCCTCGCTGCATTCGCCGGTGGCATTCTCCTGGCAGCACTGCATCTGCGCCTGTTCGTTGAGCGGTGACAGCTCCTGCACAGCCATGGGATCAGTGCCACAATTGGGATTGATATAGTAACCGGCTGTGTCCATTTGCTGACCCTGAGCTGGAACCACAACGGCACCGGTGGCGGGATAATAGATGTGAAGATTCGCCCCGCCATCGGAGGCACGTCGTCCAAATGAGCCTATCAAATTAATATTTTCAGTATTTTAAAATCAAATAATATACAACCTATACTCACTGGCTCCCATAACAACGGGCGGCTTGAGCAGATGCTGATCCTTGATGGTGAGATTTTGCAGGGGTTGATTCTGCAGCATGGGCAGATTGACCGGATAGTAGGGTACCGGCTGTGTTGGATCGCTGTATTGCGGTGGACCTTTAAAGTTGATGGGCGGTACATGGGGATTGGCCAGCGCCTGTTCGTGAGCCACATCACCGGGTCCCACCGTATGGCGTCGAGTATTTGCCCCGTTGACGCCTCCACCAGCCTGGGCGCTCAAGTGTTGCCGATTAACAGGTGACTTGAAAAGTGAAAAGTTTAACTTTTAACAAAAAATTCTTAAAAAAATGATTAAAGATATGCTCCCACCTCATTGGATCGCGCCAGGCATTCGAGCTCAAAGTCACCAAACTTTTCCAGATCCACGGCGACATCGGACCAGCCAAAGCCCAAAGCTGAGCTAGAGGCAGTGGCATTGCTCAGCGGACTGAGCCGGTCCAGAGATTCCTGCTTGACGGGCTCCGAGCGATCCACCACGCCCGTCGTGATGCTCGTCTTGCGGGATCGGGAGTAGGCCAGGCTGGCATGGTGCTGCAGTCTTTGGTTTTCGCGTCGTCTTTGCTGCAACTTGTCCTGTAGCAGGTTGTAAATGGCGTAGATGTTGTCGAATCTCTGCTCATGGACCGACTGTGCGATCATGTCGGCTGTCAGTCCAGGCAATTGAAGCATGTGCGTCATCACCACGGAGTCCAGCTGCGGCGGTGAGTCCGCCACACTGCCCAGCGAGGATGTGGATGCCGATTTGGACACTGTTCCCGATCCGGGGGCAAAGGACATGGCTTCGAAACGCTCTTCCTCCTGCATCTCCGACTGCCACTCGCTCAGCCAGCGGTGCTTGATGATCTGTTTGATGGTGTATCTTCGGTCTGGCTCCACCACCAACATGTTCCGGATTAACTGCTCGCATTCTGAGTAATACAAAATTGTTAATTAGTTTATAACTCATTCAACTTTAACTTGATTGCAGGCTCACCTTGCGACATAAAGAAGGGAATGCGGAATTTGCCTAATACCACTCGACTCTTCAGCTCCAGAATGGTCTTTCCATCGAACGGTAATGCTCCGCAGACCAAGGCATACAGCACAACGCCCAAACTCCAGATATCCGACTTCGGTCCATCGTACTCCAAGCCTTGGAATACTTCTGGAGCAGCATAGGGCGGTGATCCACACCAGGTTCTAAGCGTGGCACCCTCTTCGTAGTGATTACTAAAGCCAAAGTCAGCCAGCTGCAGAAAATAAGAAAAACTGTTAGATAACCTATCTTTCACAATAATTCTTGACAAACCTACCTTGATGTTCATATCCTTGTCGAGCAAGACATTTTCGGCCTTGAGATCACGATGCACCACCCCGCGCAGATGACAATAGTGGACAGCTGAGACGAGTTGGGTGAAGACGCGTGCCGCCTCTGGTTCCTTCATCCTGCCATTGGCTACCAGGTGATCGAATATCTCCCCATTTGGCGCGTATTCTGTTACCAGGTAGATCATCGACTGTGACTCCATCACCTCGTACAATCTGGTGATGTGCGGATGCCGCAGAGATTTCAGAATGGATATCTCGCGGAACGTCTTGCTCAGGTACTCCTCGTTCAGACATGTTTTGTCTATGATCTTAATGGCCACCTGAAAAATATTTCGAGAGCAAACAGGGAAACGAATTTAGCCAAAAAGAATCCAAACATGTCATTCTCCTCAGCTCGATTGTTTGTCGTTGCTCTGGTTTGTTTGGCCTCAGGTGAACGAACGTTTGCAGTGGAGCAATAAAATGAGGAGAAATTAGTTTTTAAAAGGTGGGAGAAACAGAGAGAGAGAGAGCCCCGAAAATTCAAGCTGTGTGGGTTGGCCAAAATAATGCGAGTCTCGCTTGGCTACCAATACAGTGGATCAAAAGCTAATATTATTTTATTACCAAATTTAATGTTAAATATTAATTTCAAATATGGTTTTTAATGTCCCATTTGGTAGAATCACAGAAATATAAACTAAATCCTATGATCGTCTGTTGATTTGCAATTCCTAATAAATGCTTGTGGTCAATGGTTGAAATGTGTATATTTTATACATTAACATTAAATTCTTAACAATATTTAAAGTATTACTATAAAAATGTGTAAAAAGTTTAGTAGTTCTACTATCAATATAAGCCACTGTAGGCGTGACTGCTGTTGCCAGGGCTCAATGTGGGTGGTTTGGAGGCGCATAGTCTGCAGTAGCAGCAATAATAACAACAGCAACATCAACACCAATAGCAGCAGCATGAACGGCAGCAACGCACGATGACAGCGCCATACATGGTGCGCGTGTTCGGGTCTTGGGATCTCATCTCTACGGATATGTGAATATGCGATACGGGCAGATGATGATTTTTGGGGCGTAAGGGGAGCAGTAGACTGTAGGTGGCAAGGAGAGAGGGGTGTGGGGGCGATGGCGGTCAGGGAGGCAAGACAAAAACATTCTTTGCTCACGACTTCGACTTTCGTTCGCCGCCGCCGCCGCTGCTGACTGTTTATTTGCTTTTGTGTATTCACAAAACATTTAAAAAATTTAACACAATGTTAAATAATTAACAACACAAGTAAGCGCACACTCACTCAATAGCCCTGTCTCTCTCTACTCAACAGTAGCTCTCTCGCTCCCCCTCTCTCTATCGCTCAATGACAATGAGCTAAAGCATCATCATCATCATCGCCACCGGTTTCTTTAAACATTTTTGTTATTGTTTGTTCAACGTTTAAGCAAATTCGTTCTGCTTCCTGAGTAATTATATATATATTTTTTAAGTAAAGCTATTTAAAATATTCTGTTTTGCAAATCAAAGTTAAACATTCTTCGAAATCTTCAATCAAACGCCAGGCAATGTAATAAAATTCAATCACAATATAGATTAATTCCGTCGTGGGAGACTTTGAACTTGGGACAAGTATGCAATGCAAACTATTTGTTTATAATAAAAACGAACATTTTTTCACTGCCGCCGGGCAATGCGGCGAATGCGTAATGTCTGTTGAGCGAGAGAGATAGTGGCCCGCAAAAACAAAAACAAAAAGAAAACGAGATGAGTTTGACACTTTTACATAATTGCATGAAACAAAAGCTGATTCTGCACTGATATGACGCCCTAGAAATCGCCATTGCCACGTGAGCTAGCTGAGCTTCAGCTTACAACGGAATAAAAGAGAAAAATTGAACGGGCGAAGGGAGAGGGTTTGAGAGGTAGAAGAAAAATAAAAAGTAGAAATGCCATTGCCACGTGCCATTTGACCTTTCCTTTTGGTCGCCGGCGAATGCGATGAACCTCAAGCCCCACTGCTCGCAAATGAGACATTTCAAAATAATCGCAACCAGAAATACCAACAACTATAACAGTCAGAGCAAAAAATACCAGTGTGTCGCCTCCTTTTAGGAATCCTTCAGCCGAAGGCAAACCAAATCGTATCAAAAGGTCCTATTGATTTAAAAGGCAACCTCAAGGCAAGGTCTAAATGTTGTTGATTACGAGTGTTGGGGAGGCCAAAGCCAGGCCATTAAACAAGAGCCATGAAACAATTTCAAGAATTTCAGAAATATATTTCCCTGCAAATCGTATTTCATAGCTATTATCTAAATGTCGTTTTTGATGTAGAAAAAAATTTTGTTTTTTTTTATATTCTTGGCTCTCTTAAGAAATTACACAATTTCTTTTGAAGATATAAATCTATTACTTAAAACATATTTTAAAATTTAAATTACATTTTACAAATAATTTGGAAAAGATAAAGAAAACTCGAACTGAGTAGTAATTTGAATTGGAATCCCTAATTTGCGTTTCAAGGTATATATCATAATAACTTAAAAATCAAATATGAATATCTTCTTATCTTTTAACCTACATGATCTACATATTCTACATGCTACCCTTCCATAAGAGCTTATTCTCCCGCTCTAATTTCTCGTACTGCTTTTTCAATTCTTCAAGTTCCTTAGAGTTTTGTTCAGTCAAACGATACAATTGGGCATTAAGGTCAATGATTCTTTCCCTCAGAGCATTCACTGTATATTGGCTAAGACGTTCTGGCCGGAAGACATCCTCTTTTACGGTGGCCACAAAATGCCACATGTCCTGCAGTTCACCACGTTTGGCAGTGCGATATTGGAGTAGCTTTTCATTAAGTACTAGCTTTTCCTGTTCGATTTCGTTGATCTGGCTTATTAAGTCAGCGGTGGAGGAGCTATTGGGTCTAGTACTTTGGCTAGTTTCCAGCTTATCCACAGTTTTCTTCTCAGTTTCCACCTTTGGTTCAGGTTCAGTAGTATCCAATGAATCCTCATCATCTTGGATTATGAAATTATTTGGATTCAGCTTGACTTGATGACATTCAAGATACTTTTGCTGAGCTTTCAAACGCGTTAATTCACACAGTATGGCCGTGGGTGTTTGCTTTGGCGTCCGGGTTTTAGTTTGAATTTTCACTTGATTCCGCTTACGAAGGGGTTTCTCGGGTGCTTGGGTCTTTGGAGCCGGTGACTTTTGTTCAACGTCTTTTGGTTTTTCCATTGGGGCTTCTGGAACATGTGATTGTTGCACAACGAAGGAGTCCGACAAAAGAGTCCTTGCAACTTTCTGCAGTGTTCGTTCGTGTTGTTGTTATTTACACGCGGTAATCAAACGTGTTGCCAGCACCACCACCCACCTCCTTCCCTTTCCGCGTGTTTAATCGATATGCGACCTCCTTCGCTTACACCTTTTCCACACTCCTCACTCTTAATTTTTCCTGGCTGCTGCACCACCAGCTATTTTTCTTGTCTGCGGGGTCAGTAAACTTTATTTGGCTTGGCTGGATTTAAAAATTTTCCAACCGTTGGCGGCGGTAACTTTCATGGTGGAAATATAAAATCGATTACTACAATTACAGTTTTCGTGTCATGGCCTACTTAATTGCCCATGGAAATGGAGCAAACGGGGTCGCGGCGGAGGACCACTTTTGTGGGTAACTAATTTCTAATCAGTACGTTTCACAGACAGGGGAAATCCACTTGCTAACAAATACAAGTGCCGATCAAGAGTTTGGCGCGCTAATCAAGTTTCAATGGGCTACCGCAAATTTTCGTAAGGAAATACAGTGGAGATTCTTGAAGTAAAATCAAATTACATACGAAGAATTTTAAAAAATATTTAGTATAAGCATTTTATTGATATTTATCGTACCTATCTATACTTAGAGCATTTTAAAGGGAAACTAAATTTTAAACAACTTAATAGTCAAAAATAAAAGTATAGTTTTATAATTAGTTTAAAAATAATAAAAATTAAGTCAGATTTCCTAAGATTACGAAAAAAAATGTTGGAACTAAGAGTTAAAATAAATATAAGTTTAATATAATTTCTTCTTGTTGTTTCTTTATATTTACAAAAAAAATTACAATATTGAAGTCTCACTGTTAATGTGGAGGAAACACTTGAGTTTATGTTGATTTATTATTTGTTTTGCTATCGCCTGCAAAGTCAAATCAAAAACAAAACAATCGAAATCCCTGCGAGAGTGAGCAGTGAAGTATTGAGGGAGCATTGAATTGGCGCGTGCTGCTAAACTTTTGTCTCGCTTCCTCCACACACCCACTTTCACCCACCACCCACTCTATGGAGTGTGTAGATGAGTGAGAAAGAGAAGACAAACGCACGTGACTGCTTTGCAAATTGGCTTTTCTTGCGATGACAAAGAGTCGCTGAGGAAGAATCAGCAGAAGATTGTAGGTTCTTCATCATCATCACTTGATAACATTTTCGGTTATCACTGGAATGGAATGTCTATGTGTGTGTGCGTGTTGCCGCAGAAAGAGGAAGACAACCAACAGACATTCATTACTATCGCAGCCAAGCAAATAAGAACGTGAAAAGAAATTGTAGAATAGCAAAACGTCGACTCTAGATTTAGTGCGCATGATTTTTTGGGTTTTGTAAACACACAGGAAAAATTTTTATGATAAACCGCAGACAACAAAAAGCGAGCAGCAGCAAAAAGCCGCGAAATTGTTAATGAAAAGGTAAATAAAAATTGTTAAACGATTTCATCCACCCATCTCGCTCGCCCACTATCCCCGTCCCGATTCCACCAATCGGGTTTCGGTCTGACGCGTGTTAGATGTTCAAACATGTTTTCGGTCTGCTGGCCAAGAGGCAACGCTCAGACGGCAGCTTAAATATTTGCCCATAGCGAAAGATCAATCAACAAATGTGAGAGAAACGGCTATATAGGCCCAGAAAAAAACCAGAGACAGCATAGGGCTGCACAGAGAGAAATATTGTTTAGAATCAGACATCTATTGAGATTTCAAATCTATTCAAAATACATCAGAGTTCTAGACTTAGAATATGTAAAACCTACAATATATTTTGTAAAATCCCAGCGTTTCTTAATTTAGTAACATATCACAGATATTTAGATTGTGAAATCTCGTAAAAAAGGAGCCTAAGAATGTGTTTTGAAATGTTAGACAAGACTATAAACGTTTAAAACCGTCAAAGGTTTTTAGTATTGATATCAATCTGCAATGGGTGTAGATAGTTATAAAAATTAATCAATCTCAAACTAATTAATAATAAGAACATTCATATTTTAGAGCTCTAAAACACGATATCCTAAATCTCTTAATTTTATAACATTTAAAATAAACTGTTTTCTTTGTCAATTATTAAAATACAAAACACTAAATAAAATAATAAATATTTTTCTCGATGTAGAAAACACGAAAGTGATATAAAGTGACTACGCTGCATGGCTGGCTGCTGCTTAATTGCATCAATTGGAGCATTAAAAAACAGTTGCCAAGTTAACTGCGAAAAAATTTAATTAAACTAAAACTTGCCAATTGAGTGAAAACACATTCCGCAAACCAAATTTATAAAAACGAATAATAAACTAAAATTCAATTTTAAACGACATATGAAAGCGATCAAACGAACTAGAACTTTAAACAAAGAAAAAAACCAATTAATAGTATACACAAAGGATTAAACTATAAATAAATGTTAGCGTCTTCGATCCTAGATTTCCACAAGAGAAATCATCTAAACTAGGTTATGGTTCGTTTTTATGATATTTTGCTCTAAGTACATATCGTACATTTGCTTATCGATGGTTCTGCTGTTCCTTGGGTTTATATAAATACACATACATATTTCAAGTTATATACTTATGTACATATGTAAGTATGTATTTGATAAGTACCTAGATTTGTGTGTACAAGCGAACCTTTGCCATTTTCCATTGATAATAGTGAATTATTGGCAAATGCGCTCAAGGGAGATAAGCCAGGGGCTTTAAGGCTACACTCTTGTAAATATACATATATTCATAGGATCCAAACATACACATGCTTAACTAACATACAGATATAGCTATACTATACAGAGTAATATACTATGTATATGGGTAATGCAAAAATAAGATAAGTGAGCACCGTTGGACCTTGAAGTTGTCGAACAGCTGTGTTCTTATCAAGGAAACTTAATTTCGTTACAGTCAACAAACAATTCGACTGAACGAGGGAAGCTGATTCGCTTGGCTTATCTGGCTCTTAAGTGCTACTGACCAAAATTCTCACAAAAACTAGAGATTTTGGATTTGAAATGAGGTTATAATGTACTCGAAAGAAAACTTCTTCGTTAATATTTGGAATTTTAACTTTATGAGAGTAATTCAAATACAAGATGCTGGAGAATAATATTACCATATGCAAGTTATATTGAACCCATTAAATCTATATTTTATAAATTGAAACCACAAATTACATTTGAAATCTCCTATTTATCCTGCTATATTCGACGATAATTATTTAGATCGATTTCGACAGAGGCACGTGCTCATCACAGATTCCTCATCGCTGTCAATTATGCAAAAATTCGTTTTGATTGTTGATTTTAAAAATTTTCAATATTCTTCTTAAATACACTTTTCCCTCGTTTCAATCTTTCTCTATTTGTTCCTCCCTCGCTCTGCTACGTTAAATGATTAAAATTCTGTGTTTATTGCTGTTATTGTATTGTATCTTTCTGCCATGTGTGAGTATCTCTCTTGACAATCCCAATTATCAAGTGTCACAGCTGTTGCTGATGTGTTAGCACTTCATCGGACGTTCCCACCCACAGAAACTGATAAAAAACAAATAATATAAGTATGCAAGTGACTCAATCTGTTACACGCTCTAAGTAACTTCTATACTATTTAAGCAAGGAGAAAAGGCTCTTAATTGTAATTTACCCGACTCATCAACTTCAGTTGACTTTATAGCAGGAAATTCTCAGGAACATAAAAACTGATTTGCAAATGCAAATGTCATCAAAAAAAAAAAAAAACAAAAGGTGAATTACTTCCTCAAAAACGTTCACAAAAACACATATGCACATATGTACAGACTCGTATGCCGTAGTAAGGTAATCAATGAGGGAGATGGCATACAAAACTCACACTTTTAAAACTCTTTACAAATGCGATTCGATTAGCATCTGTCGATTTCCACCTCCGGATTCTCATTCAATTGAAGGCAAATAAAAAACCAAGCAACCGAAACCGAAACAGAAAGGCCGAGATGCCGAAATCGAAACGAAACTCCTCCAGATTGTCAATAAGTTGTGTAAATAATTATTGTTCACATATTTACGCGGCAATAAACAAAATCATTAAAGAACAACAACTAAAATCAATTTGATCAACTCAAATGCGCAAAAAATCGAGGTAGAACATGATTTGATTGGTTGAAAAACATTCAATTTACATATGTCTCTCAATATTTAAAAATCATTTGTTATAAAACTTTTGGTCTTCAAGGGTTTCCTGGATTGTAAGAATCTAGTTAAAGAAGCTTTGGATACGTCGATCAAACCATGTCTGTCTGTCCGTTCATCTGTTCGTATACACAAAAAAATTTCAAGTACATACTATAAAAACTAGACGGAAAATCCAAAAACTGCATATTCCCAAATCGTCTTCTTTAAAAGTTTATTAAACTAATACGAGACTTTAAAGTTCCTCAATTTCATACCCAACTGGGATCATAATTAATATTTCATAATTCTTAGACTCGTACTTGCACTTATACTGTATAATATAATCAATCTTTTAACCGTCTGCTGTCAATTGCCAAGACAACCACTCGATTAGTGAGGTATGACTAACTAGTTATCGTTTCGTTAATAGAGGGAATCGGGACTTGTTGAAGGGATTCATTTGGATGTGGGAACTCACCTTTGTCTTGGTCACGATATTGGTGGCCAGCTTGACAACGGCAAAGTTGCCCTTGCCGATAGTCTTCTCCAGCTCATAGTAGCCGACTCGCAGAAGCTTGTCCACGGATATCTTGCTGGTCGATGGCACCTTGTAGTTCTGTGGCGTGGAGGTTGGTTGAGGAGCTGCTGACCCAGCCGCTGGTGTGGTGGCCATTGCAGCTCAGTCAGATTTGTCTTGTTTTTCGTTATTTTTTTGCCGGAGGGTTTTTGGGGAAACTGGCACGGGATTTGGTTTTTTCCAGAGTGGTTGTATCAGATGCGTAATTGCCTTTTGCGCACAGGAAATTCACTTAAAATGCATTTTCTTTCTGTCGCGGAGTTCGAACGCGACCGCGAGTTCATTTGCTGGCGGCGAGACTAACAAACCGGAGAATGGTGAGCCGGAGAATTGTGAGAACTGGTGACGGGATGCGGGAGATTGATGATTGAAGATTGTAGACCGGAGACGGTGACGGTGACGGGAGAGCCGCCGCCAGCAACAGTGAGATGTATGTGTGTTTCTTGTGGATTCTAAAATATATTCACTTAATTCGATTAAGAGGTCAATGGCAGCTTCTCGTTCGGTCGTTCCAGCGGATTCTCGGCGGGCAGTGGGCCATGCCCACCTGGAAACTCCAATTCTCACTTTATTCTTCACCTTTTATTTATTTATTCAAATAACACTTCCTCGAAGTTTTTGTTTCTTGTCGATTTCTTTATTTATTTTTACGACGCCTTCAAGTCTCAATTTTATAGCTCTTTGTTCGAACGCAAATTACTTTTCACATTTCGATTTTGCACTTTTGTCACCGCCTTTTTGAGGGAAAAAGACGGAAAATTATTAAATAAGTATTTCACTTTGCTTAGCTTTTGACCTTGGTTTTGCTTTTCATTTTGCTTCTTCTCTGTTTTCATTATCTCGGGTGGGCGTGGCACGTGTGTGCGTGTGGTTTAATGAGTAAAACAAACACCAAAGATAGCAAAAAAAAAAAATAAAAAAAACACAAGCCAGTGTTATCTATTCGGGCAGAAATCTCAAAGAAAAGAGGCACATGAAATATTTTTCAGCCATAACCGCGGTTTCTGCCCTTTGTATTAACATTGTAAGAAAAAAATGCTTTTAACCAGTTTTTATTATATTTGTTTAATAAAGATGGAAATTTGCATTTTAAGGTTAAATGTTTGTTTGCTAAAATATTTTAATAATTCAGTTTTGTTTTCCAATCTTTAGTTGTAATAATAAGAAGAATTTCAAAGATAAATTACTTCTTTCGCATTAATTATGATAATTTTGAAAACTACCAAATTGTAATGAAGGTATGTATTAGGGCATCTGTTAATTTTTATTTAAAAATTCTAAAAAACTTTGTTAGTGACTTTCGTAATGGTACTCAAGGTGTTAATTTTTGGCGCCCAGTGTAAGAGTTAAGTAAGTAAAAGAAACGACGAGAGGTACGACCACTAAAAAGAAGAAGAGAACATGGCCCATGTCTGGTTTTTGTTTTTTCCCCTTTTTTGTAAGACGATCGCCCAGCGAAGGGGGCGCAAAAGAGATGGCAAGTATAGGGGTTCTCAATGGGTTAATGTACAGCATCAAGGTCGTATGAAAACCGGGCACTTGCACAGCCACATTCGCACATAATCGCCAAGCGAAAGAGATGGGAATACCGGTGGTAGGGGGTGTATGAGACAGAGAGGGGGAAAACCGTGAAAAAAGCTCATTGAAATCAATTTAGAGCAGAGTGTGTGCGAAGAAGAAGAAGCAGGCGGCGACGACGATGATCAAACATTAACCCAACACTCGCGTTCACATAATCCAAACAAATTGTTTTTACCCTCAACTTTCTCGTGATTTTTTGCGGGTGTGAAAAGAGCACCGGCAGCTGGACATCTCACCATCTCATTTCCACTAATTTTCTCACATTAAGTAAAGGTTTTCGATACGCTTTCCATTGTTTATTTGCATTAATCATTGGAAAGACACAAAACAGTTGTAGAATTTTGTTCTCTTTCAACAAGATAATGGAGATTTGGCAAGTGGGTGGCACAAACTAGACCGTAGACCGAAAAAAAACCCGGAGAACGAAGTGCACGGAGTCAAAAGTCAAAGCTGAATGAACTTCCAACATGGAAGAGTACTCCGGCTAACTGAAGCCGGAGAGGCTGCGACCTCGCTTCCAGTTCGCAACACACTTCCAGCGCAGAGCGAGAGGAAGCGATAACTAAAAGAGAGAGATAACAACAAAAGACGTGCTGGTGGGGATACAAAAGACGTCACCGGGTCAAAGGTTCGGCTTCCGTTGAAAATCCAGTGGGTGTCACATCATGCACCTAAGAGGAGTACCTTTTACACTCTAAATTTTCTTAACAAGCTTTAAAACTCTTTAAGATTGTTTAAATTTGAATGTTACTGGGTTAATATACATATGTGTAATATCATTAATAGCTAAAGAATTTCTTGAATATTGGAAATTTCAGCATATTTTAAATATATTAACCCCAATTCGATTAAAGTATTTGTGGGGTTTTTTTTTTAAAGAAATTTACATTAATATGGAATAATTCACTCCAGGGAGAATATCAGAATAACCTACATAGATGAGTAAAAAATAAATGGTTTTCCAAAATGTACATTGATTCACTAGAATTTTACTCTGAATCATAAGCCACAAAGACCTACTTACATATGTAAATCAATCTTAATATTAATCAATGAAACTTAAAATACATTTATTGCTTGCAGTTTTTTAGTTTTAGAAGTTCTTATTAAAATATTGAATTAAGCTTAATGGAGCTTCAAAATTATGTTTTAATATACAAACTCTTCTTAAACGTTTTATTTATAAATAAGAAAAGCGGATGGGATAATAGTAATACCTTGGAACAAGAAAATTTGTCAGAACTACTTTCGCGGCAGGAGTAGGGTATTCTACGTATCTGGCCAATTTTGCTGATAACTAGCAGTAGCGGCCTCAGTTGTTTTGCCTCTTTTTTTTACCAAATCAGAGAGGCGAAAATGATTAAAAAACATAAAAACAACGGCAAGCGAAAGGCCGAAAAGAAACGACAAGTAAAATAAATGAGGCAACAATCCGAACGCCAAAAGGGGAAGGCGAGAACCGAAAAAACCGAAAGCAGACACGAAAGACAACAACAAAATCAGCGGAGGCTAGAGAACTTGGACTTACACAGCAGCCAAAGCCAGACAGAAAAGCAGACGGAAAGAGTGGGGGCGAGTGGGAGTGGGAAGGGGCGAGTTGGGTAGTGAATAGTGGGGCAGAGGGAAATGGAACGGGAGATAGAGCAAAGCAAACATGCGAGGAGAGAGCCAGTCGCGAGTTCCCCATCGATTGTCAAAGGGTAGACGCAGAAGGCACTATCAACAGGGACCGCATTTGCATGTGTGTGTGTGCGTGAGCGGGGGCGCAGCAACAGTTTGTGTATGTGTGTGTGGGACTCCAAGGAGTAAAGGAATTCCACAGGAAAACTACATCTAACCACCCGAAAACTAAAATTACTAAGATATAAACATGAACAAAACTGGTTAATAAACTCGGATTTATCGAAAAATAATACAAAATAGTAGGCACAATATACAAAACTAAGTTTAAGCATTATTAAGTGAAAGATAAAAAATCCCTTTTTTGAAAAATAAAATAATGAGTGCTATGAGAATTTATTTGAAATGATATGTACATACATATGTATGACGGAGTTCCATCAGTAACACTATATTAGAAATTCTATACTATAAACTCTTTTACTTTGGTGAATATTAATATAAACACTCCTTATCATTAAGACAAATATTTCCTCTGTGTAATTGCATATGTGTGAAGACAAAAGAAAAAACTTGTCGAGGTCGCACGCACATACACGTACAATAGCAGTCGAGTTTACAGGAGAAAGCACCTGCAATTGATAACGGGTCGCCAAATGGTAAATAGTATAAACAAGTAATGCGCAAGGTGTCCAATTAGACCACTCAACGGCAATTGGCTTTTCGCTGCCCCTTATTTGCGTTTTACCGGAGTTGCCATGACGTACGCACGCACACACACACACGTACAAAAAGAGAATGAACTAGCGAAAAGAGAGCCCCCACCACAAACGCACAAACACACACACCGTTATGGATGGAAAAACGTCACGACTTCCAAAGTGGAAAATCGTACGCGCAGTTTTGTGTGTTGCTTTTTTCCGCAGCTCGGAATCGAAGGTAAAACTTGCCGCAGCGCACGGCACATAATTGCCATTCATGAATGTTTTTTAGCTTCCGCATCTCAGTGGCTGTAAGAGATGGTCGCGTGATAGACGAAAGAATTTATTACACTCCATATTGTGAGATCAGGGAAGGACAGATCGTGTCACGCGGTCATCACTGGAAATAGTTGCTCACCACACACATACACTGGCATGTAACAACGCTGTTGTTGTTATTCCGCTTTTCTTTCAGCCTCCGCAACAACAAAAACAACAGCAGCAACAACGATCACAAAAGCTGGTCAAATACAAAACACACTTGTAAATTTATTTAATCTTCGCTCAGACGTGTTTTCATCGTTTTTTTTTTTTCGTTTTTTCATACGCTGGGGTCCCGCTTACACATTACGATTTCTATCTCTCCTTCATTTTACTTTATTTCCATTTGTCGCCTCTGCTATTTTTTTACTTTTCTTTGCTGGCGAGATTTCTTTTCACGTTGAATTTATACTATAAACATATGTATATTGCATTTATATTATTGCGCTTATCACTGGCGCTTTGTTGCTGGCTTCTTGCCTTTCGCTTACATATTATATTCACTTGTGTGTGCTTGCACTGAACACTCGGATTGGGATTTGCGTGGGAGAAACATACGACGCGCAACTTTGCATTTAACATTTAACATTAACACACTTAAATAATCGCCCTCGGCTATTCTATTGGAATTTTTTTATTCGTGCCGTTGACGGCGATTCTGATTGGACAACACCACCTGCTCGCGAAGCAAAAACTCGGCACCGACTCGGTGTGACCGTTTTATGGGAGAGACAAAATGCCGAAAGCGATAAGGGTGCGGTGCAACTCTGTGGGCGAAATTAGATGTTAGTCAACATTAAAAGTGGATTTGAATTTGAGCAATATTTACCAACACTCTGGATTCACGCTGGGTAAAACATTTCAGTCTGAAATATAAAAAGTTCATTTGTGTTTATTTGTTCTTAAGCTTAAAAAAATGTTGGGATATCTTTGGAACAATTAGCTTTCTTAGCCATCAAAAATTTGTATTTCGTTTTTTAAGTTTAACCAGAATAGTTTTAGATATATTTAAAATATTTTCTTTCCATTTAACTCAAAACAAAAGTGCCATATTAATTTTATTTGAAAATGTACATTTTTGCTGACTTTTTTAATAAAATAATAAATGAAATAATATTATGCACCACTTAAAGGGTGCCTTTAAGTATGCAATCATTTTGCGAGCTTTGTAAATTCTTTCACCTCTTAAGATATAACCAAAGACAACAACTTTTAAGAAATGTACATACATACCAATGAAAACATCTCTCTGCAACTTATGCGAATTGCTGTTGTCTTGGATTTCTGGTTGACTTTGGCGGATCTGCAGTTTGAGGTCGCTGGCGAATGGACCTAGTCACTTGGGCCACCTCTCGCACTTTCTGGATCAGAATGGTCTTCGGAATCTCACGAGCCGCATACCACCCGGGATTAACGGCTTTGACCCACGAGTTGGCTGAGCACTCGAAATTGCCCAAAAGTTTTGCCACACAGCTAAACGAAACCATTTTTTAAAACGTATTAAAATTCAAAGTTGTTGAGAAAACAGCAAAGAAAACGCTCCGAAAATATGATTGTGCCCAATCGGAACTTTAAAATCGAATGAGTTTTTACTGTTACTTTTTAAGGAAAGTCCTTTTCGCAGCCTGCTTTTGTAACGGTTTTTTCTCTTTCCTGCGCAGCCTGGAATACGCACAAAACTAATTGGCATCCTGGAAGGAGCCAGTCCAATGAATGAAATCCTTCCAGTTGGCCTTTGATTCAACTCTCCGCCAGCAGCCAGCTGAATGAAAATGAAGCCGGGAATTACACTACAGCACTAAAACGGAAAAATGCGTGGGTGGAGAAAAAAAGAGATGGGTAGACTGGGACAAAGAGAGATGGCTTGAAAAGAGAGTGGGAGTTACGCACCAGAAGTCGCGTGACGTCAGCTCAAAGTTTTTTATACACTTAGAGAAATAATTCGTACTTAAATCATTAAAAAACGTAACATGGCGAATTCATTTTATAAATAGGTAGGCCTTGATTTCCTTTTCAATGGTTTTCCCGTAATAAATATGGCACATAAGGTGCACCCAAAATTTTCAATGAACCCACAATCCCCAGATAAACCAGCAAAAAAAATTCAACCAAAAGCAAAGCAAGCGAGTAGAAACATTCCAAACAGTCCAAGGATAATACCACCTGCATAATCCTGAAATAAATCCATGAATATATCATAATGGTTCGTAGAAGACTTCTAACAAACTCGGCCAATCAGGCTTCCATCAACGCCTACCAGCAGTTTTGGCAACAGCAGCACTTTTCCCGAGCACCATTGGTTGCTGCGATGCCTGAATATTGGCATTCTGTGTGTAACAAAATGGGTGGCGCGATGCCACGAATGGCGATAATTGCCCCACCGGAAGTCAGTAGCCGGAAATTGAGTCGTCTTCGTCGTCAGTTGATGAAAGCGCCCAGGGATACGGTGCCGATTCAAAGCTTTATTCCAAACTATGGACTTCAGCAGCAGCTACCACAAGTGCAATTTCAAAGAAACTATCATCAGAACGCAGGAAATGGGTCCTATCCAGGACAAAGTGCTTCCAATGCAGCACTTCTTAAGCCAGGTTGCATTTTAGCCGCCTGTCAAAGCCAGTGCTTCAGAAATGTTTCAGGAGGAGGAGGAGCGGGAATTCCACCCACAACCACCCAGCAGCAAAATCTACATTTAAATCAAGGCAATATATTCCATTGTCCAGCAGTAAGTCCCATGCAATGGCAACAACAGCAATATCAAGTGCAGCAGCAGCACAAGCAATTCCTGCTAGAGCAGCAGCAGAATGCTCTTCCTGTTGGTATCCTAAAGAACTCCTCAAGGATTGGGATGAGCCCACATTTTGGAGGTGATTTACAGACCTCCAATTCCCTGAAAACGAAAAGAGTTACGATCAAAAGTACAACTGCTCCAAAAGCCAAGTATCAACAGCCCACAGTGGAGCAAATAAAGATCAAGCCCGATGTACCACCTAAGCCAAATAAGAAGATCAAGCAAAATCTGTTGAGGAAAGAACGACAGCAGCTTCAGCAATTGCAACTGCAACATGAGCTTATGAAGCAGCATCAAACTATGCAAAATGAGAAAGAGAAAATGCAGGATCAGAAAAATCTACAGGAGCTACAACATCAAAATGAATTGAAGAAGCAGAGGAAATATCAGAAAGTCCACCAGGAACTGGATCAATGTAAGAGCTTTAATTTCGGAAAACTAGCAAACCGTTTGATAGAAGGCTGTGGCTGGAGTTCTGATTCAGAAACTCCCATGTTTGCGGCAGCGAATGCCAAAATAAATTCATCAAGCCAGCAAAATATGCCACCAATCTTAAGACCAGCTCAGAAATTAAGGTCTAGAAGCTTCTCCTATGTAGAAACCAAAGATTTGCAAACTAAACCAGACAATTTAGAGCATAACAGATTGGGTAAGACATCTTCGAGACGCTTCTTTGACCGCCATGTCCGGAAATGTGAGTTGGGAAACGAAAGCAGTACAATGACCCTAACTACAGAGCAGCAAAAGTCAAGAACTCAATTTAACAGTTGCACTTCTCTGACCGACAAAGCCACCAATACGAAGTCAGATCCTATAGATGACTTTTTAAGAAAGGGACCCCAAAAAGCTGTATCTGCCACGTCGGCAACTAGTAAGGGATCAAGAAAACTAAACCTCAATGAGCTATTGAGAAATGAAAAGGTCAAGGGACTGGAGGGCAATCCAATGTGGCATTCCCTCATGCAACTTGTGGCTCACATGTGTGAGACGAGGGAAAGTGAAAAGTGCGACAAGGATCAGAAGAGTCGATTGAGAGCAGGATCCGGTTCCGATGGTCTTCAGAAGCAGTATTCCGTATATCTGATGGTTACATCTGACGAGGAGGATGAAGACAAGTCTTCCGCCAAACCGACAGATGAGCAGTCAAGTATTGATACAAATGTGGCCAACAATGAAGGGATTCGTGGACAAGATGACTATGCCAATCGCTGTTTCAATGTCTACCAGGCAGAACATACCAGGTAAATTGAATAATACCATGCTAAGTATATCTCTCGAAATTTATCAAAAGGCCTAAAAGTATGTAACGATGTAGTTAAAGGCATTTGGCCCGAAGGATATATTTGCCAAACAAGAAGCATACTTTTAGGTACCGCATATAACTTTTGATAATATATATTAAATATTTACAAACTTAGGTCACTTCGCCGCAGACGGTCACAAAAGAAGTTGAATCCCCGCTTGCGTGAATTATCCATTCCTTACCCCAGCACGCAGCCTCAGTTGCCAATGAGAAGACCCCTCCACTGGCCTAAGCCCGATTTCTCCAAGCCACTAGTTCGATCGAACCGTACACGCAATTCATCTCGTGTTCGTATCCGCTCCTCAACCAAACAGGCTGTAAAATTCAGAAGTCAGAAGTTTTTAGGCTCAGCCCTTGATGAGAAACGCAGCTGGCGGTTGTGGCAGGATCTTCCGATGACTGCCAAAGTTTTGAATAAAGCTTATAGTCGCATGCTCAGGAGCTAACATTTGAAACATTATTTTGTTAACTGACAATAACATTTCAGATCATTGATGAACACAAAAGCACAGCTTTGTTCTCCCAAAGAATGTATATATATTGAAAAATCATTGGGAAAGAAAGCTGCGCTCAATGTTTCGTCTTTGCTCTGAAATTATTTTCGTACTAGAAATAAAAGACTGCTTGTTCTACTATAATCTTTAGATCCTAAAAAGATAAGTTGTGTTTTGTTCATCTGTGATTTTAAAGTCAGCCCCAAACCTTAAATATGTCGGGGTATACCTAAGTCTCTGTTTTTGTAAAAATACATTTCTAAATTTATTGTAACCAATTTATTTGTTAGTGAAGTGTCAAGAACCCAAGAGATCGGACAATTCCTTTCAATGGCTGCTCAATTTTCTAACAAATATCTGACCATCGAGAATGCCACCAGTGGAAGGAGCACATCTACGGACAACAACGACAATCATGGAAGTGTTTCGTTCACAGGATTTGGATCCAGTTTTGTTGGCTTGACTTTCATCCCTGAAAGGAGGAAAAGGGTTTGTGGTGGCGACGCCGAATACTATCAGCAAAACAACTTACTGCGAAATCCGTTGGTCGTAAGGAGTGGTGATTACCCAGATGACGATGGATGCCTTCCCAGCTGTCCATATTATCAGGGAATGAACCATTACCAACCGTCCCCAAATCCATACCAAAAACAGGATAACCAGCTTTCTGGAGCAGCCCAGCATCAACAGGCTTATTACGATAGTTGTTATGCCCCGCAGGCTAGGAGCCAATCAGCACCCAGGGATTTAAATGAAAATAATTGTGGTTGCAATTCTCCGACAGCCAGAAGAGCCTACAGGACAGCCTCGTCTCACTATATGGAATACAAGGAGTTCCAGCATAGTCCCAAAAGAAATCCTATCCCTGACAAACAGCGGTATAATAAATATCCTCAAGAATCACAGAGATCCAGTCGGTTGCAAAAAAAGAGCTCCGATTGTAGTTGCAGATCTGCCGAATCTCAGCAAGAAAGAAATTGCGTTCAGAGAACTGAACGGAAAATGTGTTATGGCTCCGGATCTTCCGAATCCCAGCAAGAAAGAAATCGCGTTCAGAGAACTGAACGGAAAATGTGTTATGGCTCCTCACCGGAAAGAACCAACCGGTCAAGTAAAAAGAAGCCCGAATGTAGCTGTGATCCTGGATCCTCACCTGTAAAATATCGAACTGAGAGAACTAATCGGGAGCAGAAAAGGAGTTCTGAGTGCGAATGTGATTCTGGATCCCCACCTGAAAAACGTCGAGCTCAGAGAACTAATAGGTCACAAAAAAATAGTTCCGAATGTAGCTGTGAATCTGAATCTTTAGCAGAGAAGCAGCAGGTTCAGAGAAGCAATCGGTTTCAGAAAAAGACATCCGAATGCTGCTGTGGAGGTGCCTCTCAACCAGGAAGACAGCAGTCAGTTCAGCGAAGAAGTGCATCCGAAAAACGGAAAACCCCTCAGGTAGATCCAACTTGTTCTGTTCGCTGTCATGCTCGTTCCCATGTAAAGGGACCACCACCTCCAACGGCCCCGAAGCGGAAATGCCCATGCAGTTCGCCACCACCCACTAGTAGAAAGCCCACACCCAAATCTCAATCACCGAGTTCCTCAAAAAGAAGCAAGAGAAGATGTAGTGTCTGCAATCGCTGTTCTGATGAGGATAGCGAACCCAACGATTATATGGAGAGAAGTCGTTCCCGCACTGAAGCTCTGAGAAATCCTTTGGTACAATCTCGCTCCAGTTACGATTGCAATGATAATCTGTCAAACTATAGCTACAGTGATGAGTATCCTGTCCAACGAAGAATGAGATCTTCAAGCCCCAGGAAAACCAAAGCGGAATGTCGAAGTTGCTCACGTAAAGAACCACCGATCTGCTCGAACGAAACACTGGTGGAAAAGCCAGTGAAAAGCTATCGTTTCAATTGCGCAGAGAATGGAAAATGTTCGTCTTGCCGAAAACTGTGCCCCAAATGCCATAAGGTGCAACCTCAAAAACCAAAGAGCTCGTCGACCAAGAGATGTGCTGCATCTATCGCGCAGAAGTGCTGTCCCATGTGCGGCCTTCTACCCATGATGCCGAATATTTCCATTCCCAATGTTAACAGTGTAAGATATTTGCAACATAATTTAATATCCATATCCATATTTTATTTGATTTTAAACCACTTACTCTTGCAAAACGATTTTAGGATTCCGAATACCCTTAGTATCTTCAGTAACATCTTTATTTTTAATCCTCAACTATTACTTAATCTTTGTTTTGACTTCACATCAAACTCATTTTCCTTACATTAGGGCAACCGCATTATCTACAAGACCCTGGGACGATGTCGACCTAGGAAACTACCCAAGTCCAAATACGAGTTGACCATTTGCTGCAAGAAGCGTTGCCAGGGGGGCCGCAATTCTCACTACATGACGAGCACTATTGCCACGAGTCTGAAAAGAAGAGCCAAGACGGCGATGACTGGTGGTAATCCGGTGGCGCCATCACGGATGTCAGGTCACAGACAGGGTAAGTATATTCCTAGCCGTTATGTATATCGTGGACTAAACGAAGTTCTCTTTTAGGTCTGAGACAATCCCTTTCTCCAGCTCAAAATGTGACGAGTCACTTACAGCCTGCAGGATACATAAAAAGCCAGAGCAGGGCTGGTCAAGCCCATTTTGAGCCAGCAACTTCTGATCAACAACGAGAAAGACCAGCTGCTCCACCGCAATATAAAATGCGTTCTCCTTCTGCCAGCCTAGTGCAAAAATCAGAGAGAAGGGTTCGTGAAAATGAACCAACACCTTCACCCCCTCCTAAACAAAGATCTAGATCTATAACGCCTGGTGTAGAGGTACGTAGTTCTTCACGACATCAAGAGTCCAACAGAGTTACTTCCTATCCCAAGGATCAGCTGCAATCTCAGAGATCTCAGCCGGATCCACCGCCTTCCTATAGATCTCAACCAGAACTAGCATCATCTAAAAGATCTAGACCTGAGCCAGAAATACCAGCAGCTAACACAGCTCCAGTCTCATTGGAACCGCAGGTATCAGAGCCCATTCGACGTGGAGCTTCCTATTTGGGCACCGAGGTTAACCCCTTCTACAGAGGTAGCTTCCTAAAAGTGCGTTGCTCACGGGACTCACACCCGAATCGCTTGAGTCCCATTCACCAAAGGGGAGAGAAGATCATGGAGATGCCTAAATTGACCAAAGCTCCAGCATTAGGCATACCCTTAAAATATACTAGACTGAGTCAACTGCATGCCTGGGTCTTTGGAGATCCATTTGTTAAAGGAAATGACAATTTGGGAACATGGAGTTGGCGGCAAGTTTTCGGACGCAGAAAGAAGAGTTCTGCAGCACCCAAGGGAAAATCCGTTAAGACGATTGAAGCCAGCACAATATAGGCAACGAATGTAATGTCCGAATAGAAACACTTTTTAAAAATGAAAAAATTCGTTAGAAACAAAATTATGGGCCACTACCGGAGCTCGGAGCAAAAAAGAACTAGAGCGGGTAATGAGAGTCAAACTGATATCTCCCAAGATAGTCAGGACAAAGTGTGCCCTAACGCACGTCCTGCTACTCCAAGATCATGTCCTGGTAGCCAGAGTTCACCAGAGAATATGTACGTCCTGAAGAACTGCGATCGGTGTCAGGATTATACAGTGACACCTTGTAATAATGGCTGCAGGTGTCCTAAGAGGGGAACGCAATGTGATGGTCAGTGTGATATTCCGCATCAGGAAAAATCACAATTGCCATCTCAAGAAACTCTCTCAGAAGCAGTGACACCAAGACTAAAGACTGCAAGTCCATCGAAATCTTCATTTGGGTCAAACACATATCGTCGGATGGGTGGCAACTGTCCAATTTGTCAGCTTTGCGGACATGGAGAGATCCAGCAGCCGGGTCAGAGTATGTGTGCCCAGTGCAATGAGAAGATCCAAGCTGCCGTGGATACTTACTACGTTCAATGCCAGGGACAATGCCAACAGACGCCTGGTCAGCCATGTCCTTATCAACAGGATCACTTGCAGGGACAACAGGTTCAACAGGCACAGCCACAGCCACAGCCACAACCACCTGGTCAATGGCAACAGTTGACTGGCAACCAGCAGCAGCAACATCAGCCGCAACCGGGTGATCAACCCTTCAACATCATTGTCCTCCAAGATTGCAACAATCATTCGCTAATCGATCAGTTAACAACGGCAATAAGTCGTGGAGGAGGTCAAATCCATACACCAACGGGAGCACAGCGATCTGAGTCCAACTTCTACCCGAACTACCCGAACTATCCTAGCCATCGGAATAGCTACCAGGGTAATCCTCTAACTGGCTATATAGACTACGAGTACTTGGACCCTCGTCGCCCGGGCTATGACGGTTATGAACCGGAAAGAGATGACAGATATGACTACGCTTACAACATGAGTCCTTGGCCAATGGATCCCTACTACCCAAGGGATGGTGAGTTGATATAAAAAATTGCGTTTTTATAGTTTAATTTATATACAAACTAGGATATGAAGAGGAGCGGTATGACAATGGCAACTCTTGCAACAGCTACGACTGTCCGGCTAAGAATGAACTGGATTCATTGGGCAGTAATCAGTATAATGCAACGAATCAATCACCAGGCATCGACCAAGCTGAAAGTTGCCCCGACACCTGCACTTGCAATTGCCAGTTTTGTCGCAAGGCGTTCGATACTAGGGAAAAGCTGGCTATGCTAATTGCCCAAGCCCTCGAGATTTTCATTAACAATAATAATTCGAAGCAGAAAAATCAAGAGGTCCCCAGAAAGCATAGTGTGCTAGATCCCAGGACCAAAGAACTTAAGGTCAAACGAAAGAGTAGGAGTTCGGAGTTAAGCGGAAAAAGATATTCAAAGCCCAAGAATGACAGTAATTTAGGGACTGCAAAGAGCAGTAGATCCAAATTTAGTTCACCCTCGACGCCAATCTCCAAGACGACTTCCTATCACAGTAACAAGAGTGCCACGAAATTGATGAGAAATGGATTACACACCTCCTCTAAGGATACCTCGGTCCAATCCATCACCGATCAGGATAGTATAATATCTCGTTCCAAGGACCTAACGAAGCCTCCATTCTTTTTGCCCAATTGCCAGGAGCACCGCTGCAAGAAGGACTGCAAAGGTGCTTGTTCGCGATATCCGCATGATTGTTCCAAGGGTTGTAAGTCCATCTGTCGAGGACCCTGCTCCAAGTCAGGAGGTGGCGATGGCAGACATCGCAGCAAGGCATCCAAAAGCAGTCAGCGACTGGTTAGCCGCTGCTATCAGTGCAACCAGGGTGAAGGTCGTCAGTGGCGGGAAGTGCCAGAATGTCCCAATGGGGAGAAAAGTGGTGGAGCCAATGGTGCCCCCGGATGTGCCGGTTGTGGGAAAGGCAATGATCGAAGTCTAGGTGGCGACGGTCGGGAAGCCCTTTTAGGACTAAGTCCCATTGCTCATTATCGACCCGGAATGATGAAGTTTCCTGTGAACTACCTCCTGCCGCGTACAAATTACCGACGAAGTCTGGTCCGCACAGCCGCTGGAGTTACCCTGCACCAGAAACCCTATCTGGATAAGTCTGATGCCAAGGATCTTCCAAACTTTCCTTGCCGGAAGAAAAGTAGCAGTCCAGATTGCCGAACGCCTGTCAAGAAGTGGCTCTGACCTCCAGAGTGCGTCTCAAGAAGTTATGCACTATAGAGTATCGAAGATCGATCAGGATTATCTTCGATCGATATAGTACATAGCCTTGTAGAGTCGCGTAGTGGCTTATAGTTGAAGTTCTCCAAATTTTTAAGTATTATTTCCAGTATTCCTAGCAATCATACAGTATTTACTATTTGCAATAAACCAGTCAGTAAGCAACCCCAAAGATAAAGAATCATTTTTAAAGAATTAATCGGGATAAGTTCTATATTAATAATATCACAGTAAAAAAACATTCTTCAACAAGTTGATCTTATAACTTTTAACCTTATTATATCCTTTTCTGTTCCCCAAATACTTGTCAACCTTGCCACAAAAATTCTTCAAAATATCTATTTTAATGCATCTATTTATCTATTTCCATCATTTGCAACAATCCAGCAAATTTCTAACTAACTTCTGGATCTACCGGATCTTCCGGCTTCCGTCTTTCGCCCATCATTGGCTTTGCCGTTTCCGCTACCTGTGGCCCAGATTAACCGCTTTGAGAGAGGGAGCGGTCAAATCAAAAGACGTGGCCAGCAATGAGCCGGGACAAAACAATTAACGCCGCAGGCGTTTCCTCATCGCCACCGACCAAAAATCACTAATCACCGGCAATATTTTGGATGTTGCCTACTCATACCTGAGCGGGACGTGGCCGGACAATGGGTCCGGGATCGATCGGGATTCGGCCTGCTGCAGCGGCAGCTTCCTGCGCTGCATTTCACACTGCCACGCAAACGAGAAACTAATTTGGTTGTCCCGCTGCGTTTGCCTTGCCACATGTCCTGCGGAGAGGATGTCGAAATGGGTACACCTGGAGAAATCAGTAAAGTAGGGCTAGAAAGGATATAAAGTAATATTTATTTATAGATAATAATAATACTATGGTGAAGATATGAAAATGTATGATTTTATTCTTCGTAACCGTTGTCTTTTGTTAGGTTTGGGTCAACTCTATTAGGCTTTTCACATATATTTATTGCTAATAGAAAGATGCTTTGGTTGGAAAAATCGTAAATCAAAATCGAACTGTTATATAGGCAGGATATTATATTCTCAGTTGAAATTCAAAATTTATAATTTACCTTAATATTTATCAACATAAGATCTATATAGTAAAATTAGACGCACTAGCTATATATGGTGATCTAGAAACCTTGATAAATATTTCTTAAAATTCCAACTTTAACCTCAGTGTAAAAATGTTAATTGCAACGCATAGCATTCTACGCACTTTCCTCGCTCAGCAGGACATCCTTTTCCTTGTTATTGTTGTTTGACAACATTTGTTTTTACAATTCCCTGCGTTCATCCTCGTCCTTTCCATCTACCCCCAGCTCCTGTTTTGTATACAGAGTACGCGCCTTCCCTGCTCGATTCCCGTTTCCGCTCAGTAGAAGCCTTAATTTCTGCCCCTTCCTCCCCCCTCTCTCTCTCTCTCGCTCTCTCTTTATCCAACGAGCAACAGATGATGATTCCTGGTTGTTCAGCTCCTGCAGGAGGAACTAATCCCATGTGCTATAGTTGCTGTTGTTGTTGTTTGGCGAACGGGATGCGGGACAGCAGGCATTTTATGGGCAGGAAATGCAATTGTCTAGGCTCAAATATTTGCCAAATGCACCGAGCCATTCATCCAGCGGATGCCCGTATTCATGAGTTTTCGATTGCTATCTGCCCATTGTTATGTTTGTCTTTGCCAAACTGAATCCGTTAGTTATATTTTACTTTCTATGTATGTATATGTATGTATGTATGTATGTATGTATGTATGTATGTATGTATGTATGTATGTATGTATGTATGTATGTATGTATGTATGTATGTATGTATGTATGTATGTATGTATGTATGTACAGTTGAAACTACCATTTATGTAAGCCTTTAAATATTTAAAGTGTTTATTAATTATGAATCTAGCACAATGGCTTCCAATCATGTTAAGAAGTTAATTACTCACTAAGGGTTTAAGCTTTAAGATTTGCTTAATAATAAGTTAAATCCTAAAAAAGTTTTGTTACTTCTTTATTACAAATAGATGGTTACAAAGTTTAATGAAAATATTTCTTGCTTACTCAGTCATTTACTTTGCTTTATTATACCCGTTACTCGTAGAGTAAAAGGCTATACGAGATTCGTCGAAATGTATGTAAGAGGAATGTAGAAAAACAACCACTAGAAAAATGAACATTTTACAATTGTGTAAAACAGTAACGGGTATTTATAATCCCTGATCTTACTAGGAAGAATAATATATATTCGGCGTTTGTTTGGGTGGCGTTGGCAGGAGCCTCATGTGGGTCCTAGGTTCTGGACGTTTATTAAATAAAAAGATACCCGTATGGTTTTCAGACTATTTTACCTAAATTTAGTTTACGTTTGCTCAAATGGTCGAAATAAACATTAAAATCTATCTGATTTTTACACTTAATATAAACATTAGAGTATAGCGACTAAATCAAATTTAAATACTATATAACCATAATTGATATGCCTAATTACGACTATCCAGCTAATTGCCTAAAGGTATTTATCTAGATTTCCGCTTTCCAGAGGTAAATATTTCCCTAAGCCCTTTAGCACCTACTTCCTACCCTACTTCCTACCTTACCTACCTACCTACCGACTTCCTCTCGAAGTAACCCGCCGCCTACAATCGTGATCGGATTGGATCTGTGTAAGTGGTTTAACTAACAAAGAACCGTCGCCTCATTAGAGATTTCCCTTCGGAGACAATCCAGCGGTGAGCTTTCCTCGACTCTTTATTGCCGGTTCTACTCGTATGCGTGCGATTGTTCTGGGGCATGTTGTTTGTGGGTTTTGTGTTAGTTTATTGCCCGGTGGGTTGGACCACAAACCATTTACGTGACACGTTTTGTAAGTTCCCATTGTTGTTGTTGCCGTTAATCAGATTCACGAAGCATTTCTTCACCGCCGTTCTCCTTATTTACTTTCATTGTTATCATTTGAAAATGCCTTAATCCGAATTTATGAAACGAAAGCGGAAGTCGGCAGCGGCCGTGGCTGTGTCTGTGTCTGTGGCTGCGGCTTGTTGCCCTATTGTCTCCGGTATTCGGTTCCCGGTTTCCCAGCTCCCGGTGATATACCCATCAGATCTTGCCTTGGAATCTCTTGAATACACTGAAAAAATAAGCGTTATGAGATAAAATGCAACCCGTTTTACTTAAAGCTTATTTAAGCTTATTAAGCCGATAAGACACATTTCTTAAGTAAGTTTATCTTTTAACGAATAAAAGAAATTTTACAAATGTTTTCCTGGGTTAAGACGAAACTTTTTTTTAATATTTTTTTATAACAAATTTGTAATTAATTTCAAGAAACCATTTATTTTGAAACAAAAATTTCTTTTAACAGTTTAAGTTCTTTTCGATAATAAGAAAACTAAAATATGCAAGACAAAGAACTCCACATTTTTCTGAGTGTATAATCTGTGTGGCATTTTCATTGCTATGTTTGTGTTTGCCAGTTTCTTTACGAGCGCGTCTTATTTTTCCAGCTTTTTTATTTACGGTTACTTGATTTTGGTTTTATTATTATTCTTCTGATTGATTCGAACGTTTTCGTAATAAGATTTCAGTTGGAAATTTGAGAGAACCGGGAAAAACTGAGAAAAACGCGAGGAAAACCCAACAAAAGCCGGGGAAAACATGACAGCTGCTGCTATGCAACGCCTCGCGGCCGACAATTCTACGAAGGAAAACGCTGAAAACTTTATGACGGAAGATGCCACACAATCTGTTTATTGATTTATAGTCTGGGGGAAAGTGCCAATAAAATGCCGGGCACGAAATGAAGGCTGGTCCTGGGATTACTTTGCCAGAGGGGAAATCCCTCTATGCGATCGTTAAAATTACTATATAGTATTCTGGATCTAAACTCTGTATATTTTTGTAGGCCTTTAATGATGATCACGAGGCATCCCTCTAGATGGAGTCGAGGAAATCTTCGAAAATATTGCTATGGCTCGTAAATCGTTTAGTTTGGGGATGGTTTAAAGAACTAAAAATAGATGGCGACACCCTGAATATTGGATGGATATTTTTGGGAATTTAATATATATCCACGGCACACGCTTCCCATTCTCGATCTCAAATCTCCCCAAAACATCTGCCAGATATATGTATATACCATAACATAAGTGTAAATTAACTATCGTGCTCGATCATGCTTGTGGGTTTAACTTCCTTTGCCCCGGCAATTTATGCGCAAACACAATCCGGATCCGGGCACGTAATTGAAAATCAACAAAGCTAAGCAAATATCCAGGCATTCCTTTTGGGCAATTATCAGCCGGACACACACTGAAATTACCTCACAGAGTCACGTACGTTCGCCTAAGTAAACATCCTTTTCATTCCTCTCCTTCCAGAGTATTTTTCTTATTTTGGCAACTCTCATTGCACATCCTGTCCAGAAAAACCAGCGATTCTTATCGCTTTCGAGACACCCGTCTCTAATGTGTAGATTCAAATTCCGATTTCTGGCCAGACAATAGGGAAGAAACGTTGCAATTGGATGCAAGACAGCTGCTTTGGCTTGGGCTCGTATGTGGACGGGATGAGCAGGGGATTAACTGCATGTGCACTGCGAGAAATCATTGGTGTTGTATGATAAGCATGCTTGGTTTGTGAAGGGTAAATCCTAGATGATTTGAAGTGGGTTTAGTTGTTATTTTAAAGAGTAATATCAAAAAAATGTATTTTGTTTTATCATTTATCTCTCCTATAGTGTTTTAGTCCTTAAAAACTGAAACATAAATTCAATAATTTGTTCTGTTTTTGTTCTTAAAAACTGAAACTGAACTGCCCTTACTTCCACTTAAGTAAATAGTAAGTTTTTGAAGATTAACCATAAGTTTATAAGGAGTGCTCTTGTTGGTAGAACATTTAGGACAAATGAAAGTTAATTTTTCTCCGTGTCTTTATCTGCTTTCCTGGTCCTTCGCATCGCAATTAGAAATGATTAGAGCGACGCCGCAATCAATTAAGGAGAATGGGTACCTACTCAATTTATTTGCCCGGCGATCGACAACTGCTGATAAACAAGCCATTAGATGCACTTGAGATCGCAACAGGACACCGCTTCAAAGAGGAGGTGCAGCATCTGCGCTGCAATTCGAGTGCGTTTTATCCTGCTGCATCCGCACCTTTTTGGAGGCGTACGCGTGCCCGTGGGTCGCAGGTCGTAGGCGTGGTGGTGGTGGTCCTGCAACTGCTCATAAAATTTCCAAGTAAAACTGGCGTAACTCGATCAGCGACATGATCCCGCTTCACGCGAGGATTCAAAGGATTTGGGCACGCACTTGACAGCTCTCTTTCTCTCGACGCATATGGCTGACCTACAGTATATATACCAGATATATATATATAAATATCTGCCATATGGTACGATTACAACACGGATCCTCAAGGATCTCCAGAGATATCCAGAAATCGCTTGGCATGCGTGTCAGCCGCAAAAACATTGAAATGCTTTTTAGGGCTCAACAGGAAAAAGGATTTCCTGTAATTACTCGTCGATCAATGCTGTCTGAATAATTAGGAGTGTTCAAAAAATATTAATGATGCAGTTACTCTACCGAATAAATGAATGCACAAGTGCTTGGGTCAAATGGTAAGTCATTGGAAAATGTTAATGAAAATGCTGATAAATTAGGTGACAAGTCCATGTGTTGAGTTTGTACACTCATCGAGGGCTAGTCAATGAATTTCGTTAGGTAAAGTAAGGGGGTTTGGAAACTCCAATCTTAAATTATTCATAAAAATGAAATATATGTTTTATTTATAAAACCATTCTGACACTTCTAGTGACGAATAAGTTTAATATATGACTTGTAGAAACATCAGCTAAGTTTTGATTACAATTTGTGCTTTGACCTCAAAAGTTCTTAAAATTCTGCTATATTTTGATGAGTAAAGTTTATTTACATTTATTTAACATTTCTAATATGTTAAATGTTCCAAAAAGGTTTTTTTTACCAAATTTTGAAACCAATTCATAGGAGTATTTCGAAGAAGAAAACTAATGAATACTTGATGACAGCTTCAGAGGAGATTTTTAGAACATTTGGCTGCTGGGATTAACCCAAGGGATTGCTTTTCTCCCTTTATATGGCTATGCTTGTTCTCTCGTTCCTTAATCCCCCTATAAATAAGAATACAAATACCAAAAAGTCTGTTTTAAAATCTCTTAATCCTTGAACAAAAAGTTCATGCTGCCAGAGGCAAAGTTAACCCACATTTTTGTAGGCCAAGGGATGATCGTTTTCATGTTGCTTGTTTCCTTCTTTCTTGAACCTGGGAAACCTTTACTCCATTGACCTCTGTTGTTGACTCAATCAGGAGTATAAACTACCCGATATGCGGGCCGTAAAGTACACAGAAATGGAGTTCTAGGTCTATATGTGATATAAAACTGTTTATAAGTTGCCCATCTATAATTTATCTATGTAAATATAAAATCTATGTGATATAAAAAAGAAAATATTCACATGTGGTCATGGTCAGGATTATACATATTTTTTTAAAGCATATATAAAAAACTATATCATACATATTCAGTAATATAATAAATCTTAATGTGCAGTTGATTAAATTTATTTTTATATTTTTCATCATTTAGTTACAGTAAATGATCTACAAACGTGCCCGCAGCTGTTAACCCAAAAAGAGCGGAGAGAAACCAGAAAGAAACCGGGAGAGTAATCCGCAAAAGAGAGTGAGAGCATGCGCAGGGAGAAAGAAAACACAGAGAGAGAGAGTGAGCGGGCGGTCAACAAAAACCGCTGCACGAGCACGATCGCAATCATTTGAGTTGAGAACGTGGAACGCGCGTGAACAGAACGCAGATACAATTCCAGCTTGCGATAGATTTGCAGTGCGCATTACTCACTCATCCGCCAGATACGAAGATACATTTCGCAGTCCCCGGCGAGACGACTGCAACTGCCAAACTGGATTTACCACCCAAAAAATAATACAACAAAAAATACAATAAAAGAAAACCAAAACAATACCCACAACTACAACTTGTGTTAAGTGAAAAACGAAGCCAATTGCAGCAGCAACAAAAAGAAACAAAAACTTTCAAAACCCGAGCCAAAGCGAAATAGAAAAAGTAGTTCAGAGCGTGAAAAATACGTTACTTGCTGCAAAAGTTGTGAAACGTATCCGAGAGATACACAAGCCCATTAGGAGAGCGAGCGAGAGCCTAGCAAAGTGCAATTTCCAATAGCAAATAACCATTTGAAAACATATTTATAAACCAACCGAAACCAAACAAATAATAAAAGCCTGAAAAATTGAAAATCTCCAAAAGCTAATTTTCCAAAAACCAATCAGCCTCGACGGAGATTCGAAAGACAAACTATTGTTGGATTAACATTTTTTCGATCAAGGTAAGTCGGTTTACATATTTATTTTGTATTTTTTTATGGCCCTCATTAACACTCCAAGTTAAGTGAACACAAAAAATAAAACCCAAAAACATTCCGAAGGTTTGACTTGACTTGGCTTTTGTAGTTGCTAGCTGTCTTGGAAGTTGTCTGTCTGTTTTGATGTGACTCTGGCTAATTGACCTCCAAACTTGTGTTTTCATAATTGAGCCAAAACGAAACTTGGTAGTAGTAACAAATTGAAAGTTAACGAAAGGGTTTTCAAGCAGGTTAACTTGGGGTTATAATGGAAAATGCAAAGAGAAATTTTGGTTTACTTTTTGAACTGAGTTGGTTAGTTTGATTTGAAGATGGATAGGTATGTGGCTTTAAGGCTTCCTAACCCGAGATTACCGATTTAGTAAGCTTAACCCGGTTTCAAAAACACCTTTTGGCTAACAACCATAAGAACAGATCAAGCCCTTTTAGTGATCTTGATATACCATATAATTTCGTTCTGTGGAGTAACAAAGCGACACTTAAAATGCCAAGACGGCAGCTGCAAAAAGGAAATTTTGTGGCCAAGTCGATAAAGATGCATTCGGCTGGATGGTTTTCGTGGTTATCCCCAGTTATTGCCCCGTTTCTCGTTTGTTCTGTTCTTCTTCTGTTCGGTTTCACTCATGAATGCGCGCGCATGCGCAAAGGATATATAGAGAGAGGCGTCAGGCGTCGAGGGTTGCTGGAGTGTTTATTCTCTGTAATCTTTGCAGCTGCAGGATCCTACCATATGCACCTGGCCTCGCCCGCCTTAATTAATTTCCCAGCTGACTTAGAGCTCTGCTTCGGCTTCATGGAAAACAAGCAACAAAAACAAGAACAAGAACAGAAGAAGGAAATGACAAACCTCTGACTATGCCGCTCATTTTTTGATAAGCAATTGAGGGGTGGTGGAGGAGGGGAGGCGGGTAGGCACTTCCTGCTGACCGAAGGGCGTAGCTTGGAGCTGCAATGCCTCACTTCACGGTGACACGTGCGAGGCGTGAACGCCCCCCTCCTTTCTTCGCCCGCCCCTACCAAATGTTCCTTCTCAGTTTAATTTACTTGGCCAGTGCACATTTGACAAGACTCAAAGCGATTCGAAATGCATTTGGCGCCATTTGGCCGCACGTACTTATATTTTTAAACGCATCACCGACAACAAGACCGAAAGTCGTCACACATCCGTCCATCACACATTGGGGGCCACAGAGCCAGGCACTTAGAGAAAAGGTGTTAAATTTAAGCAATATCAAATATCAATAAAAAGATTCCGAAGTTAAGTAAGGTAAAAGAAAGTATTAAGAAAGAAAACAAATATAAAAATCTATCTTTTTTTAAACTTGCTTAATTTCTAATTTCTAAAGTAGGGCTGGTCTTTCTACAGTTTTCCTAATTTTAATCACGAAATAAGAACTTAGAAGTGCTACATATATTGTAACTGTAAGTCATTTTCCATCTTCACTTTTGATATCTTATCATAAGTACTACTAAGTACAGATTTCTCTCAGTGTCTAGGGGAAATGATGAATGGGGCTGTTGGGGGCAGACAGAGACAGCGAGACAGCGAAACGGCGGAACAGTGTCGCAGACTGAGACGGCGATAGCAGACGTCAGGCAGACGATGCATTTTCGCTGCCTCGATGGCGTTACATGATTTGTAATATCAGCAAACATACGTCACAACAACAACAACAACAGCAACTGCAACATGACAACATGTGCATAAATGGAATCCGGTTCGGATTCAACTTCTAGACGAGCGCAACAAAAATGTTTATTTTTAACAATATTCAGCAGATTATCATCTGTCGTCTGCGTTGCACTTCGATGAATGAACGGGTTTATTGCCTTGAAAGCTGGCCAAGAAAATGAGAATATAAATTTTAGATTATCTACAGGATATACACAAAAATGCCTAACTTTTTAGGCAATGCTATTGAGATTTCCCCAAACTTTTATTAGTCACTTATCAAGTTCTTATCAAGAATATTATCAAGGCTGGTAAAACTTATTTTTCAGAAATTTATACCCTAGAGAAAGAATTATTTTGCTAAAATCTGGAAACGTAGGCAGGACATGAATAAACATGAGTTTTTGAAAAATTGTGTGCCAAATTATGTGTCACGGGAGTCGCTTGGATAAATTCACGAACAATTTTGAAAACCAGGCAGAAGAAACTGTTTCGCCGAGCGGAAACCGCTGAAAAGATGAAAAGGGAACCCTGGAGAATGAGGAAATTGTGGGGCATAAACACCCGCCGACAAAACAGACAAGATACACACTCAAAAGCCGGAGAATCACATGTATATACTCGTATATTTGGCGGATAGCAAATTACGCACTTAAAGTGCTCGCCAAATGACAGGAAACGCGTCATTTTTACGAACTTCAAATTACGATTTTTTTACGTTTCCTTGTCTTTTGCACACTTAAAACTCTGCGTGTGTGTCTGTCTGTCTTTTAGTAGCTGTTACTAAGTATCTTGGGAAGAGAGACAGAGCGAATTCTTTTTTCGTGAATGTAATTAAAACTGGCGCATTTCCTCATTTATTTGTGCGAGTGTATTGGTGGGGCATTTCCTTGAAACAAAAAGGGACAAACGGCGGGGGAGTGTGACTGCGTGTGCATCCTGTGCTCTGGCGGATATGCGAACGTTGCACTGACGACTCAACTTCCTGCCATTGACTTTTGTCAACCAAATAGTAACTGAAAACCATTTCCCTTTCCTTTTTCCCTTTTCCTTTTCCATTTCCATTGCCATTGCCATCATCCTCCACCAAAAACAACGACAAAAACACACACAAAGCGTAGCGTGAAAAACAACGCGTGCTGAGCACGAGCTGCCGATCAACTCGAATGTCAATGCCATATGCTATATATCTATATAGTAGGTAGGTACATTCCCCTCCCTGGACAACACGAATCAATCATTTTGAAACTCAACTTGAATGGGCTGTAGAGAAGGTGTATTGAAGTGAGCGGAAACCTCGCAGACAGATCCATTTTGCAATTGCTGACTAATGCGCTCCGCTTTTCCGCTTTTCACACGCTTTTCCCGGGAGCGCGTGCGTGGGAGTGGGAAACCGAAATGAACTTCAAGTGTTTTCATTGGCTTCTAACGTGGGCGGAAGTGGATGCACATTGAAAGATTATTATCATTATTTTTAACGATTTAGCAGTATAAAAAATATGGAAAAAAGAGATCTTAAACAGCTTATTCAGAATGGTTTGGTATGCTGTTAACTGATTTAAATAATCTTAACTGATTTTAATCTTACTCATTCACTTATGATCTTTCAATCTGTTTGTTGTCAAACTAATAGAAGTTAAATTTGTAATATATAGTATATATAGTTAATTTCCCCACTGCATGACTACCTCATGGGTGGGCTTCCCTCTTCTCTCTGTAAATTTCAAATTGAAGTGAAATAATTGAATTCATAGAGCAGCTACAATTATATAGTTCGCCCGCTGTGGACCGCCCGAAGATCGGCGAAACTTAGAGATTTTTAATGGGTCATCCTCCACCAGGGGGGCTTTTCTTCTAGGGCTTTGTTATTTCCACCTCTAATGGTGTCTGAAGTGTCGCTCAACTTAAATTTCAAATAGTTAATGGCATCCGCTGTGTGTGATTCACCTTTTAGTTTTTATTTTGTTTGATAGGCGTGGGCCGCTTTCTCTTCAACATTAATCTCAACTTTGGGTTTCGATAAGGGTCTATCACCTGCACTTCTAGGGTTTGCTGCCCTCCACTGCTTTCCAATTATTTGATAAATAAATATATATTTTAAAGAGGAAACAAATGCGGAATTAACAAGAAACCAGAACATTCTTGACATATTAGAATTTCTGATAAAAACACATTCTTGATTTCCTCTTCCCCTTGTGAATAATTTTTCGTGGGAATTTCTCTTTGGCCGGCAATGAAGTGTGTAATTAAAACCACTGCGACTCCTTACGCATTTCCTTTGAACGGAAGTTCTCCGGGGAGTTCAGTCAGGAAAACTATTAAGGTTCCCTTTTGGCGAGCTTGAAATCTGGAAGTCTCTGGGCTTCCGCTGCTGGCTTCTCTTCCCATTTCCATCCCATTGCCATTCCCATTCCCATTTCCATTCTTACCCACATTCGCATTGACACCTTTTATGATCCGTCGGCGGATGTTTTGCTTGCTGATTTGTTGTTTTTTTTGTTTTGTGAATAACCCCCCTGCCCCCTTTTGATGCCTTGACTTATTCCACATTTCGGTGGCTCTTTGTTTTGATCGCCACATTCGCAGCTGCCAATTGGGCTGGTAATTATTTCCGCTCCACTCTGCTTTTGACCCAGCCCCCTCTTGCCTTCTCAGAGCCGGATTCCCCTGATCTCTGACCAATTTGTTTATAATCGTAATCGATGCTTGGCCTGCGTTTCTATGTCAGCCACATGCCGATTTTCTACACAGCAGCTCCGCCCCCTTCGGTTCTCCCTAAACAAATGTGACCGCCGCCGATCGATATGACAGCCGCTTCGTAATGATTATTCAGCGCTTCCTTTCGCGTGTGATCCGCCTCGAACCGCTGATGCCGCCCATTCCGGCAACAAGGTCAGATTTAATAACGAAATATAATTTCAAAAAGGAAGTGCTTAAACGGTCTAACGAATATCGGACACTCTAGTCGTTAGGCTTCCCTTAAAACAATGCAATTTTCGAAAAATTAAAACTACTTGATGGTGAGGATTTGAGCAAAATCTATTAACATATGCGAAGAAATTAAGCATTCCCTGTAAAAATTACATAAATATGAAATATAATTTGTGCTCTACAAGCTAAAAAATTGTATTGTTGTCCAAAAAATAAAAATTTCCTGTTTAAGTACTTGAAGTTCTTCCAAAGAGGCGATTACTAAAGCAGTAATTCAACTTCAAAAATCCCAACTCTGTACTCAACATTAATCATGAATAATCTTGCTTAGTTCAGCAACACACCTCATGACTAATGCGGCATACCCCATAATCGTCGAAGAGCAGGTTCAACACACTTATGATGTGCACAACGCGGCGTATGCGTATTATTATTCGTATATACACATATTTATATTAGTATATGCTTGTTATTGTTTCTTGCTGTTGTAGCGATTAAAACAATTGCTAGCTTGTGAAAGCATTTCCGTTGTACTAACCACTCCGCAGCCCCCTTACCCTACCAAACATGAATCACATCCATTAATCAGCAATTCTTACTCCACTTTCAGAACAACAACAAAGCGAACGGAAGCGAAATGCAAGTGGAAGCCAGCTATCCAAAATACGCCGGACGTGTCCCACCTTTGGACCTAACCCAGGTGAATGGAGGTCAGGATTTGTGGGGCAGCAATGGCGGTGGCACTCCATCCGCAAAGCGCCATCTCCATCATCCCTATCAAATGCTGGACAAGTGTCGCGGCGGAGTGACCCTGATCAGTGCCCACACCTCCAACTCCACCAGCACTACCATCTCCTCCGATGACAATAACAATCGACTGATGAGCGGAGATGATGGTACCACCAGACTGCTGCATTCCATGGGCTCCGATGGTCTGCCCTTGGACCCGCGGGATTGGACACGAGCGGATGTTTGGAAGTGGCTGATCAACATGGCCGTATCCGAGGGACTGGAGGTCACGGCCGAACTGCCACAGAAGTTCCCGATGAATGGCAAGGCCTTGTGCCTGATGAGTCTCGATATGTACCTGTGCCGAGTTCCTGTCGGCGGCAAGATGCTCTACCGGGACTTCCGGGTGCGACTGGCCAGGGCCATGGCCCTGCTTTCCTAGGGTATTGATACCTTTACCCGGTTACTCAGTACCATCTCTCTGGTTGTACATATCTCTAGGATTCGATTAGTTTAGTCTAGTTCGGTTAGTTTTAATGCCTAGTCGTCTAGTTTTCTCGTCTAGTTAAGTCTTAGCCATAATATTCTGCATTTCAAATATTGTCAAAGATTGCTTCAAGTTTTTAAGTTTATAGAAAAACTTAATTAATTTGAGCAAAATGGTAAAAAGAGTGAAGTTAAAATGCTGTCCTATTAGTTGACTAAGTTCGCATCTGATGAAAATATAAAATGAAATTTTATAAATGAATAAAGTTTGTGTTTTTATTAATGGGAATTAATACATAAATTGGACTTTAATTCGATATTTGATAACCACATATTTGACTAAATGATTTTTTAACATCCCATTTTTTAGCTAGAAACTTCACATTTTTGTTGGAATTACTCATTATTTAAGAGAATGAATAACTCCAAGTACTTATGGACTGATTAAAAATGCCTTATTTGGTAAACTTCCAGTTTAAATTTTTGGCATTTTGTTATTTTTTTAATTGTTTGTCGGTTTATATAACTATTTCAGTTAATTTCCTTATCATAGAACCCTACAACTATGCATATTCAGGCTTACTCATATTTTTGTAAGCCTAGCAAAAACTTAACCCCAGTCTTGAGCCCTCTTAAGTTCTAAGCTTTTTTCCACAGCCATTTGGCAACCTTTTAGCTTGCATAATCTCTGATCTCTGTGTCTCCTCGGCCATTAGACATTGTTCTGAAATAATCCCAGAAAGATACCGCACTGGTCTTGGGCAATTCCCACTCTCTTTGGGACTTAATGTTCTGTTTATGTCTTTCACAATTTCCCCCCAGACGAACTCACATTGACAAGTGAAATATACGCTTCTGCCCAATTAGCACATCATTAAGTCCCAACAAATGCCCCAAAGTTGAGAATTTTGGATGGCTAGAGGGGTACGAAGATGGACCCCTCACTACACACACACACACTCACACATATATTGAAGACACACAGACAAGTGTAATAAACTCTTTGTTATTGTTGGCCAGAAGTTAGTGCTAGCATTTGTTTAGGCCCCGGCCATATACATAGATCACCAGAAAGTGTTTATTTTCCAAAGACTTTTCTCGTCTGTGTGATTAATGAGAGTGGAGTGGGGGTTATATGGGGGAAACTGGAGTTACTTCACAGCAAATAAAGAAAATCAAATGGTCAGAAATGGTAGTTGTTTAGCAGTAAACAAGGAAAATCAAACAGATAAACAAAGAAAGAGGTTTTTCTTTGGAAAATAAATTATATTTACAAATTAGAGGTACAAATATTGGAAATATCATCAAAGGATTATTTGTTTATAGTCTGGAAGCTATAGAGTTATATTAAAAATAATAAAAATAAATCAAATATATTTAGTAAGTAGTTTATTTCCCTGCATTTCCTTTAGTTAAATAAAACAAAAACGTAAAATCAAATGTCAAAATGGGGAAAAACATGCATTAAATGGATTTAATTGTAGTTTAAATTTTTGGTAATTCAAGGCGCTTAGTTGCAGTGACTAAGCAATAATTTCTGTATTTAAAAACTGGTTGTTAAAATAATGAGTATCTCTTTCAAACGAAAAATTAAATACACCAAAAAACAGAAATCCCCCAACAACTTCTCATGTTAGATCCGAATTTTCTCCATTTAAGCTACTGTTGTTGCAAAAAAAGCGGAACAATTATGACAATAACAATAACAATAACAATAACAATAACGGATAACGATAATCAGCATCGGTAGTCAAATAGAACCCGGATAGATACAGAGATACAAAGATACATCCGTGAGTGGGCGAGTTATAGAGCAATGGCATATATATATATATATATATATATACTCGCATATACAAATTCAAAGCGCTCCATCCGCCCGTGCATCCGCTCATTTCATTTGGGGTTTTCTTTTTTGTGCCTCCTATGAATGGGCAGATACACAGATGCATAGATACCCAGATACAGATACAGATACATTTGGATGCTCTTCCTGCTGTTGCCGTTGCTACTTTTTCGCTCCATGTGGCTCATTGTCGCTGCTGGGTTTTGTAAGTTTGCATTTAGTGCAGTTTGGTTGTTGGGCTGTTGGTTTTTCGGGAGCATCCGGGATGTTGTTAAAGGTAAAGGAAGTGAGACAAATGACCCAGACCCGATGAGTTCCCCTGGATGGTCTTGGTTGTTACCTTGTAAAACAGAAAAACCAAAAACAGAATCCCAAACATAAGCAACAGATGTCGCACAACCTGACACATGCCACAGCCACAGGGGCACAGTCCACACAACCTTGTCCACCAGCTGACGCTGGCTGCATCCAAAGACCTCGAAAAGGGCACAACAGGAATTTCAACTCCAATTACAGATTCCGAAGAACGGGAATTAGTCAAATTCAGGCAGGTCAAGTTGACTGCCAAAGGAAGACGAGTGCGTGTTTAAGATTCATAAATTTGTACATTTTGTTTTTAATTTGTGCTAAAAATACTATTAAGCATTGACAGAAACTCGGAAAGCTTTATTTATTTATACTCAAAAGTATTTTGATAGCTTCCTCCTACTTATTTGGAGTATAATAATTTCTTAGCTTTGGAAATTCCTTAAGTATTTATTTAACTACAAACATATTCATAATATTAATATGACTAACAGCTGGTTATAATAAACAGCTTTGATGATAATCATTTTAATAGGTAATAAATAAAATTCTAAGAAAAATGTGTTAAATTTAGCAATAAAAATTAGTCCCCAAGTCTTTTTAACAGACGTAACTAACATAAACTTTTGTAATTCTAAACTAAACCTAGTTGTTCTATCCAAAAAGTAGAAACAAGTTGCCTGTAGTTTATAATCAAAACAAAACTTATAGCAATTTTTTAATAACACTAATTACTTACTACATTTATAAATTCTTGAAAAAAGTCAACAAATTTCAAAATGCAGAAAACTAACAGTTTTAAGAGGTTGGTAAAGGCTAAACCAGCCTTTTTCTTTTTACTAAACTTCAGTACCTTTATATATCTCAGTTTTATACCCGTAAAAATCTATCAATCAGTCAGTGCTGTATATATGACCTGCATATCTAAGATGCCGCGGGATTCTTTTAAGCCAAAGATCGATCACAGTTTGCTGATCGAACAGGCCGTGGTCTCAGCTGTGGATGAGACTCTGCGTCCCTTGGACTATGAAAAACGGCAGCAAGAAGCCCGTGAGATTCTTCTCAAGTCGCAGGAGAACCTATTCGAAAAAATGGACGTAAGTCAGATATCCTCGGAGAAGGAGGCTTTACTAACGGACGATGAAGATGATGGTGAGATTGGCAATGATCCAGTGCGTCTAAAGTCGCAGGTTTTACTCGATGAGTATCGAAAGCGGTATGAAGATACCTCCAAGACGGATATAACGGATGTCCTACCCATCAAGGAGATAAGTATGTTTATTTACTTTATTTAATAACTTAATTTAAGTTTATCCTTAAATTAAATCTTACCCAGGACAATATGCTTGGCTTGTACTCAGTCTTTTCTTACTGGCCTGTAGTGTCTTTGTGCTGGTCAAGTGCGGGAACCATAACTATTTCCTATGACAAATCAGAAATCGTATATATATATATTGAATCGTGGCGAATGTGGCGAGCAAAACAGAACGGCAGATCAAGTGAATCATATAAAGAGCGGGAAAATTGAGGAAACGGTGCCGCTTATGTAAAGTAGAATATCCGCTGGCAGGCGAACGGAAGGCGAGGTGCGAAAACAATAAAAGCGGACGGAAGTTGGACAGGGACGGAAACCGGCGACGGTTCCGTCGATCTTTGGACTCTTTTTCCTAACCAATGCCACAATAATAATAGTTTACTATAAACCATAGACCAGCTACCGGACTTCAATCTTCTGCCTTCTGTCTTTTGCCAATTTGTCGAAATGCTTTTTCCGCTTTTCCGGCAACGTATGTAATTGAATTTCGTTTCGGGGAGGAAATGACTAAGCCAAAAACAAATTCTTCAAGTGCCCCAGTGGAGGAAGCTCGATAGGATGGGTTTTCAATTGCACCAGAACACTCCATAGCAGTGTTATATATGAGTATATATATATAAGTTTTTTAATTAGTTCATTGCCTGCACTGGCGCGATATTTCCCACGAAACTTCATCTGCTTATGGGGTAAACAAATGAAGTGAATCAACAGAAAACAACACAAAGAACAGATGAAGTAATATGGAAAGAGTTTTTCGAAAGCCACACACAATGCTCTTCGGGCAGAGCCACTTGTTGTTTGTTTGTTGTTCTGGCCCGAAAGAATATGCTAAGCATGTTTCGGGGCATCAGCATCAAAGAATTTATGATCCCCCAAACCCTACCCTATCGACCTAATGCATATATAGAAAACGCATCATTACGGCCCACGCAGGTGAGTCAGGTCATCAGAGCGGATGCCATAAAGTATCCCAAGCCCAAATAAGGCGACGTTTTGGACACCATTAGGAGTTAAAAGAAAAAATAAGAAGAAAAGAAAAAGATACCCCTTTGAGAGACTTTTAAACTGAAAATACTTTGCAGAGCTTCAGGAGGTCCCCAGCGGGAAAGTCAAATTCTAAAAACGTAATTAGTAGATTTCCAGTTCAGATCGATATACAAGTACCATGCGGTGCTGACTAATTCCAGGGGGCCACATTCTTCCCGATGACCCATTGGGGACTTCCGGCCGCCTTAGATGAAATATCATTTCTTAGTTCTTTATTCAGCAAATTCAAGAGCACTTGAAGTTCAGCGGATTGGATTTCTGCGCTTGTTTCGTTTTGTTTCATTTTTTTTTTTGGTTTCGGGTTCTTTCTCACTCCCACGCTCATGGGAGCTGGAAAAGCTGTGTGTGAATTGTTATTTGAGGGAAATGCCCAAAGACAAAAGTCTCAGGGCAGTCAAAGAAACTGTCATTGCCAGCAGAACCCACACACAATGAGAAACTATGGCACTTTGGCTGTATAAGATGGGAGAATGTTATGCATAGAGAGCGGTCTGATTGCCACACACCAGAAGAAGTTCATGGGAACGAACTTTGTGGCCCGGGTAAGTCAAGTGTGAAGAGGTGGTGGTAGGGGGGGACTTGGAGCTCAACACGGAGAGAGGGGCATAAAGGAAGCAGCAAGTGCAGTCATCTAATAGATGCAACAACCAGTCATGAATACGACAATTAATGCCATCCACCATTCATGATTTGCTCCTTGTATAAACGGTAATCAAGATGAGAACTCCCTTTACACTGAGGGATTACAATAATAACAATTTATAAGAATTTTAAGAATCTTTTTAACTAATTCTTTACAAAAAGTTATAAATAATTCTTATTTATCAAATATCAAAAATCAATTTGCCTAAAAAACGATAATTTGAATATTGGAAAACTCAGTTTAGTTTTAACCCATCACTTTCTACCCATGAAAATCGTATAATTTCTGTTTGTGTAGCCCATAAACTCCTCCAACCCGTTGTGCCCTCCTCCCTGGCATTCTCCACTTCCTCAGGCAATTGCTTGCTTATGCAAGGCAACGTGACTGTGTGGGCGTGTCATCACTTTCAATTTTGCGGCCAATTTGAGTGACACTTTCTGCCTGTTTGTCACGCCGCTTGCGTAGCCAAAGATTGTGGCATAAAGGGATGGCGCGCGGTGGTATTTCGGAACCAGGAGCCACTAAGGAGAGCCAGAAAAGGAGGCCTAGAGACGTCGCTACTTTGTGTCTGCTAGTCGTCTGCCTCGTTTCCGTTTCCTGTGCATAAATTTTAATGAACGAGCCAGATTTCCCTTGCTCCTACTCTACCTCCCCTTATCCGCCCCACCCATAAAGACACTATCAATTGAAGATAAGAAAATAAACGACCAGCAAAACAAGAAAATAACATTCAGCGGGAAAGGAAAGGAAACCCTTGGCTTCGTGTTGTGTCTCTTACCTTGACTTTCGCGAGCCGTGCACAAAGTCACGGCAATGTTGGCCATAAATTGGCACAACCAGTTTTGGCCACGGGAGAAAACAAAAGAAAAGCCGAGGCATTGGCCAAATGGATGAGGCTTTTACTGGCTTTCCCAACCATGAAATTCGCGCAAATAACATGCTACCTGGAAATCAGGTGAACAGACTGATCGACAGGTGGAGTATCTTGTTATAGAGGGTATGATAGTAATAAGTATAAAGTTATATTTTCATTTTTTATTAATTTGCAATCCACATAAAATGATAATCATAATGTATTTTCTTTTAATAATATAATAGAACATCGACTGAATTTGTTTTTAATTATGGTAAAATGTAAGACAAAATATTAATACCTTACCAACAGAAATATCTTTCAGCAAGTTCATTGGTGTTTTTAGGTTTAATATAGACATATTTAATATTTCACTAATGAAATATTCATAAAAATATATTACTTATACTGCTTAAGATTAAATATAAATTTATTAACTATTACTCCTACTACTCAAATGAATTTTTTGATTTCAAAATCAAAATTTCCCAACCAATTTTGTTCCTTAAAATAGCTTTATATTTTCCTGGTTTCCAGCATACCCTATTATCTCTAGGACTCCCAGTTTTTCTCTCTCTACCTCTCTCTTTCTCTTTCTTATACTCCTTCTCAGTCTTGACCACACACCGCTCTGACTTCAGCTGGCAATCGAAACTAGTTTTTCAGGTTCGGCTCATGGCTGATAACAACAATTGCAATGCGAATAACGCCGGACGACGGCGCATGCGCGCCAGTCTTGCATTCCTTTCGATGGCTCTGGGTGCGCAGAACCCCCTTCCCTTCGAGGCATTTGCGGAATTTTAATTGCGCAAAAAAAAGTACGGCGGGGGGAAGGAGAAAAGCCAACTGCAATTGCAACTGATGCGATGGGCTGGAATGGGAAATGGTTGGGAATGACGTTGAATGATGGTTAGTTGGGAGGATGGCTGCAAGTGAGAACATATCGCGTGATGGTGATAGATATAATGGCCATGGACATAGTAGTCTTGAGAAGATGAGGATGGGATTGGGGATGGCGATGGCTCATTCAGCAGCCACGCCTTGGACTCAAATACCCAGACTGGCAACCGCTGATTGCGATGGCAAACAGAAACGAAACAGAAACCAACGGACCAGAGCAGAACGAACCCAGTGGAGGGCTGGAGGAAAATCTTACACGCTGCTCGAATTATAAGTCGTCGACATTTTGCCTAGCAGTAGTAGTACTCGCCGCAGAAAAATGAGCCAGCACAAATAAACCAAAGCAAGGCAAAAGCAAAGCAAAATAGAATAGACATTTGTATCTGTTGTTTGTGTCTCTGGTGTAATTGAAGTTGCAGAAAGCCAGAAAGCCAAACAGCCACAAAACCCAAACTAACGACAAGAAACAGAATAAGATGGGGTCTACGTCTCCATCTACAAAGCCAGTGGAGCGCGAGGCATGGCGCATACGGAAGCCATAAGCTGCAAGAGATTTCTCTTCTTTGGCCTCCGCTCGACTTTCGGCTGGCTGTTGAACCCGCATCGCATCACTGGAGCGTGATCTCTTCGCCCGCTGATAGTGCTCCTCCCTTGCACTCCCCTCCCATTGCCCAAATCACTTGCCCCAAAACATGTTCAAGGATGCCATCGAAAATCAATCGCAGAATCGGAAAAAGAAGGGAACACCGTCGAAAGGAAGAGATGTACAAGCACAAATCGCCGAAAATTGCAGGAAGCAAAAGCAGTTGCCGAAACGATCGAAAATCATTCAATTACGACAGCTGGTCCTGCATATAAATAATGGGCGTGTGCTACCCAAAAAACCTTAATTATGTAACTACACAGAAGAAAAAACAAACACTGTTTAGAAGATTTTATTAAAATTTAAACAGCTCCTCAAGTGAATGGCACTAAATTTTGTAAAGAAAAATACTGCACAAAGCTTTTATTAATTAAAATGGTGAAAAAAATTGATTAATTTTTATATAAAAATAGTTAAGGCGACTTAAGAATAACTTTATAAGAATAAATAAATACTTTAAATATAGTTTTGAAATATAAATACTTAATATTTAAGTGCACTATTTCCTGGAACTCAAAAAGGTCAATTACATAAGTATAAATTTATTACAGGATGCGGGTGCAAAAATCAAGGCGAACCGAATGAGGTCAAAGCCTTTCGGCACAACTTTATGCTTCTCCATTCAAAAAAGAGTAATTTAAATTAAAAGAAAGCGCCAAAAGTTCGCCTTTGAGTACTTACCAACACTCAAAATTAGCTTACCCGTTTGAATGCTGTTATCGATATATTCACATTTATTATATTTACTAAGAATGTTTTTTGTAGTTTTAATGGTATTATTACACAGACAAACAACGGTCACACAGTTGCAACAATAAAGGAGAAAAAAAAAGAGGATAATGCTGTGGATATAAACAAAGAATCTTGGAAAAAACGTTTAACACTTAATCGTTGGCACTTACTCAGCAGGCAATGAGTTTTAATTTCTACGTAGAATCGTCCAATTCAACGTTGCAGTCGATTGCGCGACAAGTAGAGCAATTTGCTGGCGTTGCACTGAAGGCAGCTGTCGATCTGCGCGAAAATCTGGAATCTTTAACCGGTGATTTTCGTTGGGAGAACGGACCCATTGCGTTCACCGATCTGCAGGCCACCCTATTAAAAGTATTAATCGTCCTTCTTCTGGGAACCTGCATTCTAGCCGGCTATTCTTGGTTTGTTTACGGCCAAGTCATCACGGAAAAGTTTGTCAGACCAAGTAAGAAACTGCTCAAAATCATTGCTTTATATTGATTTTCTTACTACAGAGATGTCTTGCATTTCAGGCACCCTCAAGGAAATCGAAGAGCTTAAATTGTCGGTGGCGAAGTTGAAGTTGCCCAAAGAACACTCGCCGCGCATCTAGAAACAATGTCCAAGATCAAGAAGTTCTTTTCACGGAAGAAGGAGGAGGCGGCGGCCTTTAAAGTGGGTTATATATATAGTTCCATTGAAGAGATATAAAGAAAAAGTATATTTACAGCTCAAGCTAACAGGCAGTTCGATGGGCACGGGTCACAAGCTAAATGCGCCTAAACAGGAAGCTCCTGCAAGTAGTTCCCGCCAAAAATACGAAGCTTATGTGCCACCAAAACGAAATGATCTGAGTAACGAGGCCCGGGCAGCTGCCAATGCAGCACTAGCTCGCATTGACAAGAAAACATCTAGAGAATTCAATACCTCTCTATCGGCTGTGAAGGCTCAAGCCAAAAGGGAACTGGAGGCAGAGCGTCGTCAGAAGGAGGAGATAGAGTCCACGGCATCAAGCGTCAGCACAGCCCCTTCCGCTTCCGGTGGCGACAATCGCAATCTGGCCTGCGAAGGCGTCTTCTTCCGCTGCCCAATGATCAGCGAAGAGGTTTTACCCAAAAGCGTGTGGAAGGCTCGGATCAAGGAGTTCCTGTACCAGCAACTGGAGGGAGATCGTGGCCTCACCGGCTGTCTGATCATCCATAATTGCAATGTCAAGGAGAAGGCCGACGAGTGCATTGCCACGTTAATTCGTTATCTGGAGAACCTTATAAAAAATCCCGAGGAGGAAAAGTTCTGCAAGATACGCATGTCTAATAAGATCTTCAGCGAGAAGGTGCGCTACGTGGAGGGTGCCCTAGATGTTCTACAAGCAGCTGGTTTTAACGAGGTTAAGATCGACGAAGAGCAATTCTTGCTCTGGACTAGAGAGCAAACTGAACAAGATCTTGACCTGCCTACGCTGGTGGAGGCTCTTAAGAACTCGGAGACCATTCCACTTGAGCTTGACCGAAACATAAAGGTTCTACTTCCATCGCAAGCACGCCGTGTTGTACTACCCGACGAATTCTATCGCTTGGCGCCAGAGGAGATCAAGAAGGAGCAGCAGTTACGTTCGGAAGCCATTGCCCAGTCCCAGATGCTAAGAACCAAGGCAATGCGGGAGCGCGAGGAGCAGCGCAATTTGCGCATGTATCGATACGCTTTAGTCAGGGTTAAATTTCCCAATGGACTCTTTATACAGGTAAGCAATTTCGTGATGATGTCATTAATAGAAATTTGGTGTAATAACGTGAGTCATTCCAGGGCACTTTCAATGTTTATGAGAAAATCTCCGACGTGTTTGAGTTCGTGCAATCTTGCCTGGGGGACGAAAGCCTTGATTTCACCCTGATAGCCACCAGCGACGGCAAACTGGGCGAGGAAGACCTGGAAAAGACACTATTCGACTGCAAGTGAGTAATTCGAGTTTATATTTTTAACAACGGATGTACATTTATAAGCAATTGTATATATTTGTAGACTCATTCCGAACTCCTTGCTGCTGTTTAACGCAAATGGAGTGCCTGCTCCCGTTCAAGCGGATCTGAACTACTTAAAGGAGGATCTTCTCATGCTAGTGCAGGCCATGTAGAAGTGCTTTATTCCATCTAATCAGCTGTACTTGTCCCTTACATTATAACGAAGCTGTTGTTATTTATTACTTTCAAATCTATTATTCAAAATCAATTATTAAACGCACTTTTCAAGAAAATGTAGAATATTTTTGTAGTATTTTTTAACCGGTTATTCGTTATTTGATTTTTACATTTGAAATATTCAAAACGTTTATTAAATTTATTTCAGTGCCTTAAGCACTGTGCAGCTAACAGCTGTTTGGTATGTTTTTTGGTCCCTTGTGGTATTTTGAGAACCCCTGTAAACGGTCCCACTTTAAGTAGGCAAACTTAGTGCAAAAATAAACAACAAATTGCTGCGCTAGCAAGTAAAAATTAGCCTTTAAATAATAAACTATGAGCTTAAACTGTGAACTGTGAAGAGTGACGAAAATTGTTAAAATTCAGGAACCATTTGGTGCTATGTAAATGGGAGTGAGTATGGAATTTTAACTAAAATCATATGTTCCCTCAAACAATAACAAAGTGCCGTCATTCGGTTTTGGTCATCACATTAACAAATGTTTAATGATTGCTTAGGCACTTTAATTTGAGGGATGAAAAAGCCATAAATAATGTTATTAATAAGGGGAAATGTACCGGCTGCTTCGTGCTTTTCCCGCACTTCTATGCGGTCAACTCATCGCGTGGTCTTCCGACGATTTATGCACATTGTAATTTCCCTCACCATTTCCACTTTTCCTAGTCATTATCGAATTATTATTTGTTCTACATACATGTGGGTGCAATTTGTAAATGCTTAAACACTAATCATCCAGAGGGTCTGATCAAAACGATGTCACATTTGAGGGGGAAGCTTGGAAACCGGTTAAACCTAAACTTATGTACGATCTTATTTGAATGATTTGCAGTTTTAACAGACATATTCTAAAATAATGTGTGATCTAAGCCATTGAACTAAACCTTTTCAATTTTAGTTGTTTAAGAAAGAGATCACTTGATCTTAGAAGATGTTTCTGAGACGCCTTGATAGTTAATTGAAAATTGTAAATAAAAAGGTTATCAAATTATCTGTTCTAACGCCTATCAAAAAATAAAAAAAAAATAATGATTTAATTTATTATTAAATATTATTATTCTATTATTATGATAGTATTATTTGTGTCCTGCTCAATGGGTTATTCCATCTTATACTTAAGAACTAAATCTCTACCATCTAAATCTGAAACCATTGATACATATATAAATTGATCGGTCTAGAAATGTTTCTTTATTCCGTTTCACCCAATTTCATGGGAATGAGAAAAACTAGAACCGAGATGCTTATCTTTACCTTGGTTTTATTTTCAATTTCGCTAACCAAACAGTTGCATTTAATGAACCAATTTTGCCGATGGGACGTACTGTCTATCAAGGCGGCATCAGAAACGGTAAAACTAAAAGTCGGGGGAGAAATACAAAAGATGGAAGAGATGGCGGAATAGCGGTGGATGCTTCGCCCAAGCTCCGGGCACTGGCAATTTGGCGTAAATCTCGCTTGATCTTGGGAAAAAGTAAATAGAAAAGCACCTAAAATCAAACATTAATGAATCTTTTCGGCGCGGCAGCTAGCTCAGGGCTTAAATTAAGCCAAGCAATCGCGCCAAATCGAAACACGCAGCCGCGAGAGAAGGGAAGCTGAAAAAGCCAGAAAAGCAGAAAAGCTTAATAAAAAGCAGCCAGTAAGCCAGAGAGTCAGAAAGCCAGACTGCAAGCCATCGCATAAATTGGCCTAGGCTGGAGCCAAAGATTTCATTGTTGGCCATTGCTTATTATGGCCAGGCATCGGATCTGGGCCTTCATTAAACGGCCAAAAGCAGTAACTTCAAATGCACTGAAGAAAAATGTCATGGAATTTGGGAAACGTTTTGGTTGATTTAAGCAATAAAATTATTGTAGATTTTCTCCTTTAAACAAAATATTTTAGAACTAGAAATGGGCGCCTTAGAAAAGAAGTTGTCTTATTCGACCTACAACCTGAACTACCTCATCTTAAAAACTGTATAAGTCCACTTATCTATATATTTAATATCTCAATAACTTAAGTTTATTTCCCTCGAAAAATGTGAGTCTAGCATCACGAATATAAACTGTAATCGAGAAAACAACATTTCTTTCAGTGTACAGAAGAGCCTTAATTCAACTTTGGTCCGGCGAAGCTAGTGCGTGAGATATGCATTATTTATCTAGCGAAATTTTTCTCATTGCTACGGCAACTTGTTGCAGGCAGACTTCCTGGTTGGCCCAGCTGCGGCTAAGAGATAGCCGGTGAAATTCCAAAAATGATACGAATAGTTTGTTTCTGTCTGTAGATAGCGAGAAATATGTGGGACATCCTGAGGATCGTTGTATAGTTTTCGTCTTGGGATACGAGGTTACGGGTTACGGGTTACGAGTTACCTATTGCAGGTTGCAACCTGCACGTGCCTCATCTCGCCGTACCGACTGATTGAACGATTGAAAGATCATCACCCGGAAAAAGACCTGGCTGGATAATGATGATGATGAGGTGCAAATTGCCGCTGCCATGAAATTGCAAATCAACTTTCTGACTCCCGATTGCACTTCATTCTAAATTGTTTGCTCAATGTAGAGGCAGCAGCTCCTCTGCCACCGCCGAATCCTCCGGCGTTAGTACAAAAATTGCAAATCGAATTTGCCAATTGCCGGGATGCCTCCACTCTTGCTCCTTCACTTCTTCTGCTCCATTCTCCGGCTGATTTGTTTTTGTGGTTGCCACGAACCAACCGCACTCGGGCAATAACACCAACAACGGCGATCCCGCCCTTTAACAAGCATTTAGCTTGCTCCGCACAAGCTCGTGACCCATCCCCATTCCCACCAGAACTCCTCCAATATGCCGGCATGTTTATGACCCGGCTCGAAATTGAAGTGGAAATCGGTTAGCACTGGGTTCCCTTTTCGATTTGTTTTTATCGCTCCACGCAAGCGCCCTGCATTTACATATTTCTGCCTGCATTTGAACCCTGAACTTCTGGGCCAAGGAAATGCGATCCCAAAACGGTAACCAAGTCAGTCGACCAGGCTGGGTCCAGCTGCGCCCGGATTAGCTCACTTCTAGCGGAAATACTTCCCCTGTGACAGGAAAAATAAACAAATAAATAAGAATAATTAAGGCTTTTTGCTTTAATTAACACTATTGAACTTGGACAGCGGCTGGCATAGGAACAAAAAAGTAACCATTAAGTGAAGAAATCCGGAAAAGTAGATACTCTATATTGTCGTTTTAATACTTCTTTAAATACGTAAGTAATTCATTAAATTAGTATACGAGGTGTGTTCAAAAAGTAAGGTGACTTTTCAAATTTCGCGGGCAACATATTTTCGATTATCGTTTTTTTTGTTTTGTTATATTGGTACACTCTTCCCTAACATCTGTACCAAGTTTCAATGGAACATCCTCTTTTGTTTGGTTGTGAGAGGCGTAAAGGTACAAGTTGTTTTGCGAGCTCGGCGATTTTTTGCTTTTTTCGGTCTTGGCTCGTCTGGGCTCTTCCATTGGGACGATTGGGCTTTGGTTTCGATATCATAACCATATACCCATGATTCGTCACCAGTTATGACCCTTTTGAGTAAATCTGGGTCGTCGTTGACGTCATTCAACAGCTCTTGAGCGATGCTCATGCGACGGTTCTTTTGCTCAAAATTCAGCAATTTCGGAACAAACTTCGCTGACACACGACTCATACCCAAAACGTTTGAAAAAATTTCATGGCACGAGCCAAGCGATATACCGACATCTTCAGCAACTTCTCTGATAGTGATTCGACGATTTTCCAAAACAATTTTCGTCACTGCTTGAACGTTTTCATCAGTTGTTGACGTGCTTGGGCGTCCAGAGCGAGGCTGGTCATTGGCATCTTCCCGGCCATCTTGGAAGAGTTTGTACCACTTGTACACATTTTTTTTACTCAGAACAGTTTCACCGTATGCCACTGTCAACATTTCAAGTGTTTCAGAGCACTTAATTTTATTTTTTACACAAAATTTGATGCAAATCCTTTGATCCATATTTTTCGATAGCAAAAAATCGCCGAGCTCGCAAAACAACTTGTACCTTTACGCCTCTCACAACCAAACAAAAGAGGATGTTCCATTGAAACTTGGTACAGATGTTAGGGAAGAGTGTACCAATATAACAAAACAAAAAAAACGATAATCGAAAATATGTTGCCCGCGAAATTTGAAAAGTCACCTTACTTTTTGAACACACCTCGTACACTTAACTTAACGTACTAAAGGGATACATAAATATGAAATGACTGAAACTTTTTAAGGAAGAGAGGTTACAATTTGTATTCAATTTTAATTGGCTATAAATATTTCGTTTTAAAAAGTTCTTACCTATCTTTAGCACTTCGAATAACTTGAATAGCTCTTATAGCCTAATTCCTTTTCCTAATCATAATCATAAGCAGGCTACCGATATGCCTAGAGCATACCCTTTCTGGGAACCTATCACAAGTTTCAATCAAATAAGAACTTCCGGTCCACTCAGCGAGTGTTTTATGAATGGAAATCTTGTCTCATTGTCTCATCCAGCTCCTCATCATCGCCCGTCCAGTTGTCCGGCGTCCAAGTTGTCGATGTCCATCGCCAGCGATCGTCACGCTCATTGCCAATTAGTGCAATCAACTGTGTGGATGATGGTTGGGGGTTTCTGTTTTTGGGAGAGGGATGCCAAGGGGATTGGGTGCTTCATTGGGTAGTGCTTGGCCAGACCTCAACCTAGAAAACTGCCAGGGAAATCTTTCAGAGTTCATAACTTGATAGCATTAATTGACTGGGTCTGCTTTTGCGTTTAAGGGAGTTCAAATGTAACGAAGAAGAAAATGTGAACTTATGGTATAGGGAAAAATATTGTTGAATTTTAAAAGAAAGTTTAGGAGATATTTTATATTAGAAAGCAACATTAAATTCAACTTTATACCCAGCTATAAATTCTATATAAACTCTGGTATAAGATATGATCCATTGTATTTGAACAAATTAAGTACCTTTTGAAAAATAGTCATTATCTATTTTCCTGTCCTTTGGAAGGTCTTATAATAATATTTTAATTATTATTGAAATTTTGTTAT